AAAAGGATTAAAACTAGCCGAATTAGCATATTACGAATAATTAAGGAAAAATCGCTCCCGATTAATACGGATTAATAAAACGGATAACTAATAGCAAACGTATAAAACAATTTTATAGCATTTATAAAAAACTACTTTTTGTATTATTTAGTTATTTTAAATTTAGCGATAACGATTTTAATTATAAATATAAAAGCAAAGCTTATTAATTATAAATAAGCTTTTAATTACGACTTTATTTAATTAGGCGACCGGAAATTACTTATTTACGGATATAATATAATAATTATATAATTTAAATTTAAAATATTATTATTAAATAATATAGCTTATTATTTTAAATTATTAATTATATTAATATTATTCCGTTAATTATAAAAACGAAAATATTATTAAAATAATAAAAACAACCTTATAATATTACGCAAAAAAAATAGATTTTTAATTAGCATACTTTAAAATTAATATAGATAATACGTCCTCGAATATAAATTTTATAAATTATTTTTAGCGTTATTTGCCATTTACCGGAAAAAATATAAATAAAAAGGCTATTATTAACTAAAAAAGCTATACGATAGCATTATAAAATAAAATACCTAGGCCCGGCAATTTTTAAATATTTTATCTATTTATTTTAAAAAATAAAAATTAAAGGACCAATTATAATAAAATATAAAACCTGCGTATTTATAAAAATTAAGCGCTAATTACGGCAAATATTACGGCTAATTAATAAAAATTATAGCAAACGATTAGCTATAAATTTTTATAATTATATTAAAAAAATCGAAAACTATATATCCTAAATATTAATTATTTATCGGTAAACGGGATATATATAAAACTATTATTTTACGGAAAAAACTGCTATTATATTAATTAACGCTTTCCGATCGTTTCTAGGCATAATAAAAATTTAATATAATATTAAAATTAAAGTTATCGAATACGATAACGAAATTATTAAAATTAAATAAGTAATTAGAAAATATTTTAAAAATAAATATATTAAATTTAAGCTTTTAGCATTATATATATAAGCTTAAAATAAAGCTGCTAAACGCTTAAGAGGTATAATTAAAAAAAAAGAACGTATAATGCGTACCGGCGTAAAACTCCTTTATTAATTTTAGCCTAAAATCGGCAAAACCGCGGTATATTTATATAATCGCACGTCGAATTATAATTCCCGATAGCGTATATTATATATAAAATTTTATAAAGCAATTATAAAAATAAAAAGAGTCCTAAATCTAAATTATAAGCCTAATTAAACCTATTTTAAAATATTCGGATATAAAGCGTATATAATAACGCTAACGGTATAATAAAAATTCGGCCGTTTATAGCGATTAATACTTAAAGCCTAAATAAAATACCTAATCGGATATAGGTTATTTAATATTTATAAGATTTAAATTTTTAATTAAAATAAATTAATTAATATAAAAGATATAATTATAAATAAAAAAAAATTATGCGATAAAAAATAAAACATATTTAAAAATAAGCTTTTAAATATTAATACCTAGCTTATCGCCGATTTTATAACTAATTACGTAATATTTAAAAACGAGATTTTATAAAAATTAAAAAGTAAAAATACCGCCGCAAAAGATATTTTATTAGGCGATAATTAAAATAATTAAAAAAAAAGTGGTAATTAAAAAAGTAAAAAAAATAACGCTAAATAAAAAAAATAAATAATACCCTTTTATTATAGCGAAATTTACCTTTTAGACTTTATTATAAATATTTTTATTAGCTTTATTAATATATAGTATAAAGGCGATTACGATTAAAAATACGGCGTTATTAATAAAAAAATTTAAAATAATTTTATAATAAATAGCTTTTTTAGCTAGTTATAAAACTATTCCTAAAATAAAATAAAGCAATAATTAAAACGATAAACCGAAGCTAAAACGCTTTTTTCGTTAAAAGGTAAAAATTTATAAAGGGGAAATCCTAGCTTTTTTTAAATAATATTATAAATTGCATTATTATCCGTTTAGCAAATTATTTTTTTAAATAAAAGCTAATTATTTATAAAATTATAAAAATATATAATTTTAAACCGAAATTAATAAAAAGGATTTATAAATAAAAAGTAAATAAATTTTTAATTATATATAAATATACGTATATAAATTCGATAAATATAAGAAATTCTAAAAATGCAAAGCAAAATTCGTCGTTTACGGTAATTAATAAGCAAAATCCTAAAACTAGGAAATTTACGCGGCTATATTAGCTAAAAGATTATTTCGCATTTTAATCGCGATTATAGCAAAATTCGATTTTAAACTAATATAATATAACGTAATAAACGCGTTTATATACGCTTTTATTAATTAAAATGTATTTATAAAAATACCGGATAAATATCGAAAAAAAATATTATATTAATATTAAATAAAGCATTTTATAAATTACGGATATTACCGCTATTATAGCAAAAAAAATTTATAAAAACTTTAGCCGAAATCGGCTATATTTAAATACTATATAAATTTTGCGTATTTATTAATAAAAGAGTGTTAATTTTTTTTTACGTTAACGACGTAATTATCGTATATAAGAATAAAAATAAAAAAGCTATTAATTATTTAATATAGCATTTTATAAAAAAAATATAAAATTAATAATAGCGAGCTAATATAATGGTTTTTCGGGATAAAAGTAATTAGAAATCGTATATTTAAAATAATTTAGCTATTTTAAAAAGTTTATTTTAAAAAATCGCTAAATTTATAAATAAATAAAAAATTTATACGACGCTAATAAGCTACGAAAAATTTATATTTTAATTAATTATAGCGCTTTTATACGAAATATAAAAATATTAAAAAAAAATCGGATTATTGCTATTCGCGGTTATATTTACGAAATTAAATATTATATTTATAATAACTAAATTAGCTCGATTCCTTAATAATCTAAGCTAAATATATTAAAAAGCTGCTAATCGAGCTTTAATTTACCTAATTAATACTAAAAAACTTTTGCTTAAAATCGGAAAATCCGCTAATCTAATAATTGCTAATAACGCATTATTTACCGATAATAATATCGATTTTAAAAATACCTAAATATTCGCTATAAAGTTATTCGGAAAATTAATTAATTAGCGATTAAATAAATAAAATATAATTATTACTTTTATTACGGAAATTAAATTATTTGCGTTAATATAAGTTATTAAAGAGATATTATTCGTTAATTAATTATTAAAAGAATTATTAATATAACTAAATAATAATATTATTATTATTAAATATAATAATAAGCAGATTATTAATTTAATTAACGCTAAAATCGCGTTATTAAAAATAAAACTCCGTTATATAAATATTTATAACTATTAGCTATAATAAAAAGCCTAAAACGAAAAAATTAGAATTATTTATAAACCTTTAAATAAAATAATAATAAATAAATTAACGAAAAGCTTATTAATAGGAAAATAGCAAAATTTTTTGCAATAAATAGGATTTAAAATTATTTATTATAATTAAAACGAATAGCCTTAAAAAAAGCTATATTTTACTAATTAGCAATTTTAATTTAAATATAGCCAAATTTACGATAAATCGTGGATTTAAAGGGGTATATTAAATAATAAATTATAATTCCTATATATTAGCGTATATTTAAGTATACGGATTAATATTATAATATCTAGATAAATATACGGGACCTCCCGGGGATTAGCCGAGGCCACCTAAATAAGCGTATACCTTATTAAAACTAAAAGGCGCAGAATATAAATTAATATATTATATATTTAACACCAATATTAAACCAGTTTAAACTCCAATAGGAAAGCACCACCTTAATCAACAATAATAACGGCTTTAAATTAATCCCTAAAAAGCGCTGCTTTTCGTAAATATATTAATAGCTATTAATATAAAAATAAAAAATATTATATTAAAAATAAATAATTTCCTTTTTTTTTTAAAATTTTATAGCTAATGCCTTAAGCTATTTATTTATAAATTTAAGCTTAATTATATTAGCTTTAATTATATCGGCTAATACCCTAAAAATTATTATTATAATAATTATAGCTAATAATTCCCTTTTTTAGCGGCTAATTTATATTAGCTATTAATAACGCGTTATTTAGCTATAAAGCGCTTTTTACCTTTTATAAACGCTTATTTTAATTATATTTCGATAAATAATAATAATTTACTTTTATTAATTAAAAGGCCCGGAAAACTTTTAATTAGCGGCTATTAATAAGGCATTTATAAATCGGGTATAATATTAAAGCCCTTTTTACGGATTTATTATTTTTAAAGCTTTTTTATAGCTTTATAGCTATGCGTTATATTTTCGTTTTAATATAGCGCTAATACCCGGTATATAGTATTTAATATCTAAAGGTTTTATTAAATATTATAAATACCTAATTAAGATAATATAAAATTTATTATAATAAAATAATTATTAATAAAATAAAAATATATTAATTAATTATATAATAAAGCTAATATAAATAAATAAAAAGTTAAATAAAAATAAATATAGCTAAGACCTTTATTAAAAAAAACCGTAAAATCCAAAGGCTATATATATTAAAAAAATCCGTATACCTCGGATTTTTAAATTTTAACCTATTTATTTTTATTTTTTTATAATAAATTTTCCTACTAAAATCCAAAAGGCTAAAATTTCCCAAGGCTATTTAACTAATTAAAGGCCAGGGATCTAGGGAATAAGGGAACGGAGGAACGCGGGACCACGCCCCAGTCCTATGACACCAATCAATGCCATATTCCACTTTTATTACAAGGTCTCATACACCATCACATAGTCACTAACAAAGTCTCATACACCATCACGTAGTCACTTACAAGTGGGTCAGGATACAAAGGCAAATATATATTCATCGACATCCGGTCTTGAAAAGATTGTATCTGCACAACTCCCTTCTCAATCAAAAACCTTTCCCACAAAAGCAGACGCACTATCAACACAATTTCAAAATGACCTCAACCATTCCAACCAGCGAAGTTGTCCCTATGGACTTTCAAGTAAGTACTTGGAGAAGGTTCATTACCAAGTTCGAGGCCGACGAATTCACCGGCTGGATTGATGAGTCTGTGTCGTGGAAGACCGACTGCTACATTGGAGATTGGTCGCAGCTACTCAAGACACGAATTCGCGGTCCGGAAGCAAAGAGCTTCTTGGAGTACATTTCGACCAACCATTGGCCTACATTTACGCCAGGCCAAGCCAAACACTCCATCATGTGTGAGGACGGAGGTCACGTTGTCGGTGAAGGCCTCATATTAATGTTGGCGGATGACGACTTCGTCTTCACCAGTGTCCCTGGAGTGTCCTGGTTGACGTACCAGTTCACGCATGGACGCAAGTCCTTTTCTGCAACTATCGAAGACGTGACCGATCAGTGGTATCTATTCCAAGTGCAGGGCCCGAGATCCGTTGAGCTGCTTGATGAAATCACAGGCAGCACTGTCCGCGACATCAAGTTCATGTCTGCAAAGCGACTGAGCATTCAAGGGCGCCAATTCTGGTGTCTGCGCCAGGGCGTATCGGGAGAGGTTGGATTTGAGCTGTGGGGGCCGGCCGCTGAAGGTCGAGAGGTCTACGACGCCATCCGTCAGCTTGGACAACGCAAGTATGGACTTCGCCAGCTGGGCTGTCGGGCCAAGCCCATCAATCATGTAAGGATCGATTCACGCATGGTGTGACTGTTGCTGACAATGTCGTTTCAAGGTCGAAGCTGGTTTTGTCACTCCGGCACTCGAGTTTCTCTCGGCCACTGAAGGTGCGACGGCACAGCTGGAAGGGTACAGAGAATTTCTTCGCGGGTCCAAGTACGCGTTTGTTGAGAAAGTCTTTTCTCGGTTTGCCGGCAATTACGGAAGTCAGCCGACTGATCACTACCGGACACCCTTCGATCTCGGCTGGGACAGACTAGTCAAGTTTGACCACGACTTCATAGGGAAGAGTGCGTTGCAAAAGGTCGCGGATGCTCCGCCAAATCAGCTCGTCACTCTGGTCTGGGATAAGAGCGATGTCGCCGACGTTTTCTCATCCATGTTTACTCCGACGCCATTTCAGTACATGGACATGCCTAGAGCCCCCGGAGGAGTCGTCGAGGGCTGTACAGTCTCCATTGACGATGAGATTGTTGGGTGCGCCATGTCCAGGTGCTACAGCTTCTGGTTCAAGTCGATGCTGTCTTTTGCCATTGTCCGGCGGGATTGTGCCATGGTCGGCACAAAAGTACAAGTATTATGGGGAGGACCCAACAGTCGGCAAAAGTTGATACGCGCGGTATGGTCCACCTCTATTATTAAGTTTCTACTTTTATACTAACACAGGACGCCTAGGAGATTGCAAAATGCCCGTTCAAGGAGGATAAGCGAAGGCAGCCGCTATTGTAATCATACTGTAGTAATTGTGATGGGGAATCATCTGATATAGCCCTACAGACTATGTAAAATTGAATTGGGATGATCTGTTACGGTCACCCCCACAGAAACTATCGATCTTGACATTTTGCGAAACCTACGAACACAGTTCCGAACTGAGGTATAGCTAGATAGATGACGCATTTGAACGGCATCAAGAATACTTTCGATATCCTAGGGCCCACTGCCGTCTCCAAAGACTCTCTTGAATTTGACTCTTATTTCTACCGAATCATAAAAGTAGTCCGTCCTTACCGGAACCTGTTTTTAAGCTGCGACAGGCTGAACAATTGACAGGTCATCAGTTCCTCTCAGAGTCGTCAAACGACGTGGCTGGCAGATTTACCTTAGATGCTGATGCCCCAGCAAAATGGTCCTTGCTTTGTGAGTAATGATTTCAACGCCCCTCCATCCAGCTTGTCTCATGTATATCTAGTGGGACTACTGCCATGCCGATTGAAGCTGCCATGATGGAAAATGGAACAGATAATTCTGCACTACACGAAAGATTCACGGGTGATTTAACAAGTATTATCATATGAACTGACAGCACCAGGGTTCGTATCCCTTCTGCCGACGCTTTCATGATTTGTGGTATCTAAAGACCTTTCTACAACCCACCACAAACGCCGAGCCATGCAAAACTTGCCCAAGACAACGCCTTTTCCAGTTGCAGAGCGGTACCACTAAGAAAAATGAGTCCATCTAGCCCTCGAGACATACGCAGAGACGCGACTTCTCACAACTTCCTGATGGTTGTGCTCTTTCCCGCCTTTTCGCCATGCATGCGTCTAGCCGGCTTGGGGCCTTCGGCTGTCAACGATGCATATGGGTTAAAGACCTTGCCCTTGCCACCCCTTGCGTCGGTTCCAGATCTCTTAGAATTCAACACCGACTTTGCCTGACTGTAATCAAAAGGCTCCTCATCCTCCTCGGCCTGCTCCGTAGCTTCTTTCTCGGCGCGCTCTCGGACCTTTTCGCGCTTTCGCTCCTTGCGAGCCTTTTTGGCAGCTTTTCTGCGTGCTCTCTCCTTGGCTTCTTCCTCAGATGTGCCATCGACAGAAATCTCATCGTCAAAAGTGATCTCATCATTGCCTGTCGTAGAAGAAGGCTTGGTAATCGTCTGTGGTGTCGCCTCCCCTTCTTCCTCAGAAGAGTCATCCTGCACAACAGGCTCTGCAGCTTTACGCTTCTGGCCTTGCTTGAGCGTGAATTGGGCGTCTTCATCCAAGCCACTCCGTGTCGTTGTGTTTGCCGTAGTAGGAGCAGATGCTGCTGATGCTTTGGGGGCGGATGGCTCTGTTGCAGCTACCGATACGTTCTCCATAAACGCTGCCCAGGGAAGCGCAAACACTGTATCTTGCGCTTTACCTCCATCACTCGCCGGCTCCCAGCGGCTGCTCATTGGAACCTCGCCCCATAATTGGGATATCTCGGAAACGAGATCATCTGTGTCTAGAATCTTGGTTGCTCCACCATTGTCTTTCAAAGAAGGAAGTAATTGCTGCGTTTCTGCGCCGTTACCCTGGCCAGAAGCTTCTCTAGCCTTTTGGTTGAAGTATTCGGTAAGACTGGGTCCATGAGCACCGTCTGCCTTGGCTTGCTGGACGAGCTTGAAAAGTTCCGAAATGCGCTGCTTGAGTGGATGCGAAGCATGAGGGACCAAGCTCAGGAGAGCTTTGGGATCTGGTGGCAAGCGTCTCGAAATGTCAAAGATTGCTGAATTGCTCATGATGAACATGGGACTTTCGTCCTCGGCTCGAGCCAACTCGTCGCGCCATCTGTGTACTGCCCTGAGCACGGCAAATTGTTCTCGAGAGAAAGTCCCGGATGATTGCTTCATCACCATGTTGAACCATCCTACCGGCCCTTGTCCACTCTCTGAGTCATAAACCGGTTTCTCGTAGCGCCTCAAAGACACTTCTTTTGAGCGCTCCAACACGTTTTCCATGTAATTCTCTTCCGGGTTCTCGGGTTTCGAGTGATTGTTGAGTTCATTCCGAATCAAGTCATAAATGTAGAGTAGATAATGTGTATCAGAGCGCGCGTAGTAGAACATCTCCTCGGGAATAGGTCTGCCATATCAATCAGCGTACAATCATGAGAGAATAGCCGTTGAAGATCTACCTTATTCTCCAATCGGCAAGCTGGTACTTCTTATCTGCATCAAAGTCCACGAAGCGCTTCAAGAGATACGCAAGACTTCTTGCTGGGTAACCCAGAGTATCTGCTGCATGGAAAGTGTCAAAAAGTCCAACAATGTACAGACCACAGTCGCGCTGAAGCCAAATGATGTCCATATAAGCGCCATGAAGAACCTGTAAAAATGTAAGTCAAAAGTTCAGATCTAGATATCACAATATGATCTCTGAGAAGGGGTCTTCGCACTTTGATGATACTGGGGTCGGCAAAGACCTCATTGAGAACCTCAAGCTTGTGGCGCCAAGGCTGAAGAGTGTCTACGATCCAGTCCTTGTCTCTTGTGCTGATTTGCATGAGCGAGAGCAGGCCGTTGTAAGTTCTAAAGTCGTGATGTTCTGTGTCAATGGCAATCTCCTTGGCCTGCTTGAGTTCAGCCAACATATCCAGCACACCTGAGAAAGTGTTCACAAAAGTAGCGGCTGTTGTTTCCACAGGTTGGTACTTGATGGGCTCCGCGACTTGATAGATGGCGTTGGGGTATTTGAGGTTCAGGATCTCCGTTTCATAAGGATGTTTGTATCTATATCTGCAGTCAGCACCCCATACTGAGGTTTTATCCTTCCAAAGTACAGCCAGTCTTTTCTGCCTTCGGTTTCTCTTCCTCTGCACGTCCTCAACACTTGGAGGTGGTACATCAGGCGCTTGCCTTGTTAAGTCGGGGAATCTGTACAAGTGGTGCAAGAAAATGGTGTAATCGTACTGTACGGTGTCCTGGTCGTTGTTGAATGTGCCAATGCTATCTGCAAGGGGTACAGTAGCATGCGGCTTTGCCGTGAGGAGGGGTTTCCAGGGACTAGAGTCATCGTTGTCGGGCTTGATTTCGAAAGCGTTCTGCGGCTTGAGGATGTTTGCGCGGCGCAGTGATGAGTCGAGTGCTGTGTATGTCTTGGTTTTCTTTGGAACCGAGCCCTTGCAGTCCATTAGTTTTGATTCTCCATATGGCAATATGTCGTTCCTTACAGCTTCCTCTGTTGGCGCCAGCTTCCTCTTCACCAAACCAGTGTACTCGTCCAGGCAAGTGTCGGCCTTCTCGAGGAGGGTATCAATGACATCCACGATCCTCGACCAATGAACGTCGACATCGTCGGCATCCTCCAATCTTGGGGCAGCATTATTCGTTCCTTTGGTCGCCGACTTGAGCAGCGCAGTCGACAGCGCAAGCAGTCGTTCGCTGGCTTCGTCGAGGGCCTCACCGGCGGCGGGGTTGCTGCGGCGCTGGAAGTTGAGGTCTTCAGCAGCGATCGAGTTGCTGGTCCTGGTCGCCTTGACAAGCGCGCCTTGAACCTTTTCCTGCGTGGACTTGAAGTCTTGAGACGAGTCCATGCTGGCGGTATTGGCAAAGGGCGTTGAGAGGCAGACCCGATGCGATGATTGCGTGTGCCGTGTCTGAGCTGGGCGTAGACGGACTCTGTAGCTCCAAGTTCAAACAAAATTTCAAGAATTATCGGTGCTCAACGCGCCGACAGCTTGGAAGTTGCAGGGGTACAACGCGGCAAGTGGGATGCAAATCAGCCGCTAAGATAAGGATAAGGCCGCTGGCGAGCTGCAAAGCTTCCGCGGTTACGACATGGGCTGGTTTATTAGAGATGGCTTCATTGCTCATCCAGATTCCGCATATCCGAACCGACCAAATACCTGGGCTCAACCATTGCACCTACTACGATGTCGGCCTCATTAGCACCGGAATGTAACGAAGTCAAGGAGTATGTATAGGCGAACAATGAATCATCATCAGCATTAGAACCATAACTGATCATTATACATACAGACGCTATGATCAATGCTTTCTTAAATGGTATAGCGAGAGTAGGTCTTTTTAGCCGGCTGCGATGTCTAATGTGTGGTTCTTGAGTATGTTGAGCTGAAAGCAAGCTAGAATACCTCAAAGGCAAGACGGACAACAATGAGTGTGCAAACCTTTTCAAGGAATACAACCAGTGCTTGACGGTATTTCCCACACCTCACTGCATGGCTGAGCAGACTGGCTGACTAAAGACAAAGATCGCACTCAAGGAAAAGGGTATTGACAAGCTCATTAGTGAGGCACGAGAGGACACCAAGGAAAACGATGCCATATACATGAAGCGGAAATAGCCTGACAAGCACAGGACCGAGCATTTGGTTGCGATTTGTATCTACTGCGACATCATGACTGGCTTGGCTGTCTCCAGGGCCCAACGTCCTGGGTGTTTGCATTGTACGATACTTATTTACCTGAAGCTACGTGGGAGCGATGAGTGAGCTTGGCTGGCGGGCAAAAAGGCATGGATTGGCGTTCAGGAATCTCGTATTTACACATCTCTGCTCCGTAATACCCCGGTAGGCGTGCAAAGGGGGCGCGTTGCTCCTCATTATATCATATAAGACTGGCTGACCGGCCTGCTGCACTTTATATTAAATGTGAATGTGTAACCCAACTAATTTACATGTCATCGTTCTCATCACATTTCTTTGGCGTGCCCGAAACGAGAATCGCGACACAATCCAGCCGACGAGCGCCCCTGATCAGTCGGTAGTAGCATTTGCTTGGCTCACGATCGTTAGGCTAGATGGAGCGAGCGGCTGCCCCCACGAACGGGACGCGGTCCAGACCAGAGAAGCCACCAAATATGATCCAACCACTGGGGAACGCTGCTTATTAGCAGTCAGTCTAGAGACTGGACGACGTTTGGTTGAAAAGAAGATGGCCACTAGATTCAAATCGATCAATCGGGAAGAGACATACGACGACGCGTAACCTCAGCTGCGCCCAGTTTGCATTATACCAACATTCAAATAATAACATCCAGGTCACAAGAGAAAGAGGCCGAAAGACCCATGCAATGCTACTGCAAGGGCCACTTTAAGCTGATTTACCTTATTACATTACCTTCTAGGTAGAACACCAAGGAACCCTCCCACCAAACCACTGCCGTCAATCGCATCAGCCGCGTCTTGCTGCCTCTTACGACATCCAGACTTGGCATCCCAACCCCAAGCTCTCCTGAGACTTTTTTTATTGTTTTCCCAACAGTCACAACAGTCCTCGATCAAACAGTCAGTCGGACAGGACGTATATTGGAGCTGATTCATTATACAAAAAAAAATATCAAGACTCAAAAGTACAACGCCACGCCTTTGCGACTAGCCAGTCTTCCAGGGTTTCGTGGTACCAAGCCTACGGTATTCACGCTAAAGAAGTTGGAGAGTTTGAGCTACCTACAGGTACTCCGAGCAACTGCCATCAGCTTGGGCAACTTTGCAGAAGTGCGACTTTCTCTCCAGCCCCCAATTGACGCCGACAACATCCCATCGTCACCACTCAATCGAAGCGCAGGAAGAAACCTCCCCCGGCCGCAGAGGTCGATATAGGAATGCGTTTGCTTTCCGCCGACACTTAGAAGATCTATGCACCCTTTTTCCGTCGTCACCCTTGCCATCTTTGTAGCTGGCTACGGTACTGCTCGATGGGATCTTGTCACACGTCTCTATGAGCTTGCACTCTTTGCCTGGGATAAGGGAGTTATTGTGCGTTACCTCCACTGCCTGCGCAATCGACATAGTAGGGGACTATATACTAACCTCTGACCTCCTGCGATAGACTCGCGCCGCGCAAGGATTCGCCTTCTTGACACTGGTCTTCTTGGTCGTCTTTCTACCTGTGCATCATCTCGCCCGACTCGAATCTCAATTGGTACGACGCCCACTTTGTTGCGCCTCGACGCTCCGAGACATTGCGCTTGGCATCAATGCCAGTGATCGTCCTTTCTAGAACAATACCCGCTGACCAATGCTTCTGTAGCACCCTCGAACCCCCGGTGCTGGAGTTTCGGCCCGCGAACAACTTAGGCGCAGAGGCTCCTTTTGACCGGAGTCCTCTGGCGCCCATATGACATGCCAGAGCATGATGGATTGATGAGAGTGTTCTGGCCGACGGACATTGCCAAGACTGATTTGCCCGGCGTCATTGTCGGCTGGAGGAATTCGGGTCTGGATGTGGTTGTCGTAGCAGTGTTGGATCATGTCGATGTGAGCCTTTTCGCCAGCGGCCCCCTTACCTCGTGGCCTTGGTAGCTGATTGTGCCTTGTACAGCCTCGAAACGTCGAAAACGCTTTGAAAACCGGTATCCTCTTGCGGAGCGCGCCGCACGATCCTACCCGAATTAGCAAACTGTGTGGCCATGATTCCATGCACGTCCTGGGTGTTACGAATGCGCATGCCGCTGCAGAAGGCGCATTTGTGCTCGAGCCATCATGGGTGCTTGCAAAGACCGGACACTCCCTGCGCGTACCCAAAGTGACATGCCATGTGGCTTCAAGCGTTCAGGTCATCTTATTTGAAAGACCATTGCCAAACCGGATGCAATACATCTCTCTCAATCCCATGGCGCTAGCTCTTGCAGACAAGGAGGATCACTTGCTGCTATCGCTTTCCGACGCGTCAGAAGCCGAGGACGAGAAGCATGAGCGCCAATACAAGGAAAAGAGGCGGAAATTGGTTGAGAAGCTCGCGCAGCACTCTGTCATCAAACACGCGCCATCAATGAAGGACAAGGCATTACCGAGGATCGTCAACCAGATCAACTGGGCATTCGAGCTGGAGCAGCTGCTGCAGAAAAACGTGCCATTGATCGGCACACGACCAAAGAGGGCCCTCAGCGTTTCGGAGCGGGTAGTTGAGCATGCCACAACCATGCGCGACTATGTAATACTGTGGATGTGGGACATGATTATACTCTATCTGTTCCCCGTTATCCGGCGCCTGTTCATACTTATGCTTGTTGGCCATCGAGCTGCCGCAGAGATCTTGCTACAGGTTCTAGAATGGCGGCTGAGGCCGAGCTCGCCAGCACTCAAGGATATTTCAGCAACGGCCCAGCAGATCGAAATCCGCCTACAACAGTTCTGCTATTGGCCCATGCAATATGTCAAGCTTCGCCTGCGAAAAAACGATTGGGAGAGTGTCACGACCAGCCACCCCGACTACATACGATTCTATAACAGCTTGTGGCTTGTGGCTAATGATGTGATTATCGGTATTGCTATCGGATCCTACATCATCGACAATGCCGGTTGGGTTGCAGATCAAATTGGCATACTGCTCGGGCAATATACCGTGGAGGCACTGCACAGCAGCATTGAGTGGCTCATGGGATGGCCGGCCGGACTAAAGCTCAACAAGGAGCTTGCACTCTTCCTGGGTGACTTGTTTCTTTGGGTCATTGAGTACTGGTCAAGCTGCATCGCCACGCTCCAACCCTTGCTGCCACATATTATCTGGTTCATTGGCTTTTCCAGCTTTGCCGGTGCTAGCATGCCTATCGCCATGTTCTCTGACCTGGTATCGATCCTGACGGTCCACATATACTCCTTCTACCTCGCTTCCGCCCGTATATATCATTGGCAACTCACCATTCTTCTCTCTCTTTTCCAGCTCTTTCGGGGGAAAAAGTACAATGTGCTTCGTAATCGTGTCGACTCATGCGACTACGACCTAGACCAACTACTCGTTGGCACGATTCTCTTCACGTTACTCTTCTTCTTACTCCCTACTGTTGTCGTGTTCTACTTGAATTTCGCCGTAGCGCGGATGGCCATCATCTCTCTGAAGGCTGTCTTTGATACGATGCTTTCTTGTTTGAACCATTTCCCACTGTTTGCCTTGATGCTCCGGATCAAAGATCCTCGGCGTCTCCCAGGTCAGTCTCCGCTATCCTACATTGTCGGGTGCAAAATACTAATTCTCTGTAGGCGGCATCCGTTTTGAACTTCGTGATACCCAAGATAGACTTAAACTCGAATCTAATACTCCCACATCGCCGTTACAACCACCTACCTCTGTCATTTACGTCAAGCCGATTCCGCTTTCCTTTACAGCAATGTTTCATCAGTACTTCCAGATGGGCAGTCGCATACGCAAGCACTATCTGTCACCACGTGTGCTGTTCTGCCTGATTACAGGACGCTTCGTTCCGCCAATCCATCGCAAGGTCCTATACTCGTTGCAATATAGCATGTTACCTGCTCGACGGGCAGGCATCATAGAGATGTGGGATGCGTTGAACTCTCTACCGACTAAGAAACGTCCCGTCAACATATATCCCTATGGAACTAGTTTCTTGAATGTTCCCAACTTGGCGAATGGACGCCGCACTAATGGAAGGAGAGGAGGCTGGCAATGAGATGAAGTCGATGAAGGAATGAAGAAGTACGAAATATGATTATGTGACCAATGGATGTATATACAAGCTAGAATTCACGAGGATGGTACCCTTTGACAGGATCGCGCTTCTACCAAATTTGGTGTAAAATGGCTCTTGTATCCATGCCCTAGATTCTGTATAATAATTACTTTTTTGAGTTGCAGATGATATACTGGATTAGAGTCTCGCCGGCTGCTACATCAAGATACACTGAAATACATCTAGAGTTTCGGTTCCGATCTGATCTTTGCTTTCTGCTTTTCAACCAATTCCCACGCCCTCTCACCCGAAGGCTTGAAAGCATCGGCGTATTGCTTTGCCTGTTCATTTGTTGCCTGCCTCTGTGCCACGCGTCCGGCGATGCCCTGCAGGATAGCTGCTGAACGAAACGCACCAAAGGCAATCGCCCAGTCCATCTCGGGACGCGGGTCCCAGCCGGCGACTTCAGAGTACCAGGCCAGCACAGCATCGGCGGCGGGAAGACCGGGCGTGGCGCCGGACAAAAAGGCCTTGTTAGACAAGGGGCTGACCTCGGTGGAAAAGTACGGGTAGGTCAGGTTGACAACGTCGGAGAGCGGGTGGCCGACGGTGCTCATCTCCCAGTCGAGGATGCCAATGACGCGCGGCTCCGTCTTGTGAAACACCATGTTGTCAATCTTGTAGTCGCCGTGCACGAGCGTCGCCCGGTCTTGGGGTTGGAGTTTCTGGTTGGAGAAGAAGTCGACTAGCCCGTCGAAATGGGGAATCTTGCCCACGGGTTCCTTGGTGTCTGCCTGTTCCTTGGTGTTAGGATGAAGAGTAAATCATGAGGGCGTTATTAACGGAATGGCAATACAGAATGGGAATTAAAAAACAAACTCACATCCACTGCCTTCTCTTGAGCGCTACATGTCCGTATCCATGTCGCCAATTGGCGATCATAGAAGCCGCTATTCTTGCCTAGCATGTTCTAATCAGCGCGTGTTGCTTGAAAGTGAGATTGAAGCATACCATAGTTTCCAAGTCCAAGTTTCTTGAAATCCAGGCGGTGGAACTTTGCCAGCGTTCGGACTGCATCCTTCCAGAGTTCTGTTCTCTCATCCGCGGACACGCCCGGCATGGCATGATCTTCAAATATCCGCCCATCCAGAAACTCCATGATGTAGAATGCTGTTCCAATAACTGAAGCATCTTCACACAGACAGTACGCCTTGGGCACTGGCACGTCCGTCGGTCCCAAGGCGGCAATGATGCGGTACTCGCGCTCCACCTGGTGTGCCGTTTTCGAGAGAAGCTTGCCTGGCGGCTTCTTGCGCATCACGTAGCGTTCGCCGGTCGACGTGGATGTGAGCTGGTACGTGGGATTGGATTGTCCAAACCCAAATTGCTTCACCTCCAGCGGCGTCTTGATCTCTGGAACATTTTGCTGAACATACTTTTCCAACGCCGCTACATCAATTGGCTGCCGGACACGTCCAGCCATTCTGCTATAGTATAGATGAGAGCCACAGTATTGAGTTTAATGGTCGATGGGGCGAGCTTCATTTAAACGTTACGACAATCTGCAAACGGATAGAGCCAATAATTGTACCACGGCAGAGATATTTCTACGCTGTCATACTCCCGTATAAGCCGAGGCTGCCCAGCCGTTTACCCCGTACAGTCCAAATAGAGTTATTGGGGGATGTGTAAAGGAGCCGCCCCCGGAAATGCGGGGAAGAAACCAGTATATAGGAAGTACAACAGGATACCTCGGCGTGCGGACGCTTCTCCGCAGACCATAAAGATGGCCATCTGCTTTGGGATTTAGCTGAACAAAGTGTGCTGTTACTTATCTAATGTTCTTCATGACCAATGGGTGATTAATTCCAACTAAAAAGAGACCCATCTTACTTTGACATAACCATGAATTTTGAACTTCCATCCGATCTCAAGGAGTATATCTCCAAACTTGATACCTTCATTAATACCACAATTCTGCCACTCCAACACAAGGATGACAATAATAGATTCTTTGATCACCGCCGAGAGCCGTCACGAACACAATGGGACAATGGTGGCCTCCCGACACACGATTGGGAGGTCCTTTTGACACAAGCGCGCAAGCTTGCTGACGAGGCAGGTTTCTACCGCTTCCCTATTCCCAAAAAGTATGGAGGCCTAGAGCACCCATCGGCAAACCTTTGGATGTGCGCTCTGCGATACCACATGGCATCACATCCCGTGTACGGAGGCGGCGTGAGTCTCGCCAATGACTTGCAAAACGAGCACAGTGTCATTGGCAATTTCCCGGATTTTCTGATGCTCTACCACTGGGGTAATGAGAAACAGAAGGATGAGCTGATCCCAGCCCGCCTGGCGGGAGAATTCCGAATGACATTTGGCTTGACGGAAATTCATCACGGAAGTGATGCGACACACATGGACACGCGAGCAAAAGCTACAAAGCTGGCCAATGGTGCTACCGGCTACAGTATTACGGGAAACAAGAAGTGGCAGACTGGCGCACATTCTGCCACTCACTTTCTCGTCTTTGCCCGGACTTCTGGCGAGAATGGTTCCCCCAAAGGAATTACCGCCTTCATCGTGCCCAGGGAGACACCGGGAGTCATCATCAAGTCGTACGAGTATACCTTGAACATGCCGACAGACCACGCCACAATCCTCTTCGACGACGTCCAGGTGCCTGCCTCGGCCGTGCTCGGCCCCCTCGACAACGGGCTCGCCATTGCCCAGACATTCACTCACGAGAACCGCATCCGCCAGGCCGCCAGCTCGTGCGGCGCGGCGCAGTTCTGCATCGACCGATCGGTAGCGTACGCGCGTGAGCGCATCGTCTTTGGCAAGCCGCTGTCGGCGAACCAAGCCATCCAGTGGCCCCTAGTCGAGCTCTCGACCCAGGCCGAGATGCTGCGGCTGCTTATCCTGCGCACGGCCAACGAAATGGACGACATTCAGCGGCGGTACAAGGGCAACGCCGCCATGCCGCCGTGGATCGCCATTGAGAAGCAGCTAGGCCACAAGATTAGCATGTGTAACTACTATGCCAACCGCCTGGCTACCCAAGCCGCCGACAATGCCATTCAGGTCCACGGCGGTAACGGCTACAGCAGACATCAGCCGTTTGAACATATTTGGCGGCATTTCCGTCGCTACCGTATCACCGAGGGCAGCGAAGAGGTGCAGATGCGCAAGGTCGCTGGATACCTTTTCGGATACAAAAGTACTGGTCTCAATGACAAGAAGGACAATAGCAAGTTGTAAGTTGTATAAGCATAAAGCTATCGCGCATGTTTGGGCCTCTATAGCCTACCCCGGCGAGTCGCTAGGTATTTTCAGGATACATGGATGATACTGTACGAGAAGTAAAACAGGAGACCAAATCAGAGGTTTCGAGAATGAGCACAAAAGGAAAAATTCATAATCAATCTGTCTTTAAGATGATCGTGGTTAATGCTGAAAATGATTAGCACTAGAGTGTTCAATGGTGAAGTACAAGAGTTTCAGTGCCTCCTTCCCCGTAATCGTAGGTACATACCTCTTGTACACCTTTTAGTGTTCATGTGGGCCGGCCCGCGAAACTTGAATGTGGCTCGTGCTCTCAAACGGCTTCGCACAGCCACACGGTACCTTTTGGGTGGTCCGGCAATCTAATCTATGCCAACTCTGGAGCTTCGCGGGTTCTGACGTAGCATTCTCGCGATTTTTTGTCCATGAGTCGAGCTTTCACAGCACGACTCGAGATTTTGCGACTATAGCCATGCGCAGCGCCAGGACGTTGGTCCGGAATGGGCAGCCGAAGCAATTGGCCGGCAGGACCAGCTACGTCTGCCGGCAATGTAGGGCAATTCAGATCAGCTCTGCGCCTACGACAGAATCACCGCGTCTTGGTGGGGATGCATTCGGCTCGCCGCTGAGCACGTACAAAGATGTCGCAGGTATGCATTATACAACCCAGATACACTCGGTTGAATACACGAATCTAACCATGGACATTCAGATGCACGATTCGAAGTGATAGGCACACCTTATTCCCTTCTTTCGGTCGACTTGTCCGCATCACAAAAGCTCTACACAAGACGAGGAACATTGGTGGCAGTTTCTGGCAAGGCACAAAACGTGAGAAATAACCGGTGGACAATCTGGGAGATGGGGTCGCTAACTTAAGGCTTGGCAGGCCCAATCGACATTGTCCCTTCTGTCGCCCTTCAGTCGCGCACTTACTGGTGTGCCATTCCTATACCAGCGCGTTACCTCGACGACTCCGTTACAAGCACTTATTGCTACGAAATCGCCGACGACAACCTTCTCAGTATTACACTTGGATGGAACCACAGACTGGGTGGTTGGCCAGCGATCAGCATTGCTGGCATGGACTGGCCACACCCTAACAGTTACTCCACGGATACGATACCGCCTGCCTTTGGCTCACTGGGGCTGCTCCGAACTCACCGGCCGCGGACTGGTCGCTCTCTCGGCGCCTGGTCATGTTCACCAGCTGACCTTGGCTGAAGGGGAGGAAATTGTGCTACATCCGTCCAACGTTGTGGCTTACACGATTACGCGCAACCCCCCTCTGCCATTCCGGTTCAAGAGCTCTGGTATTCGATTCCAGATCCCAGCCGTTTCGGCCTGGTTCGGCAACATCAAGTTCGTCCAGTCCATGCGTACAACCGAGTGGTACAAGTTCTTGAGCCGTGTTCTTCACAGCCTGCGTACGATGACGAGAAGGACCATTTGGGGCGACCGGCTCTTCCTGCAGTTTCAAGGACCTGCTACAATTCTCATGTCGAGCAGAGCAGCAAGAATCAGCGATGTCCTCACGAAAGACGAGGTCAATGAGATTGCCGGTGCTCCAGCTGGTGTCGTGGGCGAAGCAGTTGATCTAGCAACGAAGCCAAAGCCGAGCCCGGTAGCTCCAGTCAAGGCCGACGAGGTGCCCGTCAAGGACAGTATTGCTAGCGCGGGCCAGGATGGCAAGGCCCCATTTTCGGATGCGAAAAATGTCGAGGACTTTGAGAAGGTGAAGTCGTCGTAACCTCACAAGGGAATGAGTATAATCAATAAAACGGAGACACGTACAACGAGCGAGCCCACGCGGCAGTAGTAGTCTACTATGTACAACATTATCAATTACCATGTTTTGGAACCAAGCAAAATATCCCTCGGAGGATTCATTATATTATTTTGTTCTAACACTGCGATTTATAGATACTGTCATTTGGAGCAAAGTTGCCATCCAAAGACTATTGGTCTCGGCCCATTCGTCATCGTAGCACTCGGTTATTTCACAATAGACCATATCCGCAGTTGGCGCCATAACCAAAGACATTGCATAGGCAGTCCTCCTCCGAAATAGAACAACTGAACCAATTAGTGGCATGACTCTCCGGTTGGAAGATGCTGGAAACTCACAGAGATGCCTCCTCGCCAAACCAAATATGCCACGTCCATTCCAACAACCTTCCACTGCTGTAGCTTGAGAGCGAGGTACTAATCAGCCAGCTTCGCAAAGCCTGCCACCATTCTCGGCTCCTCGACTGCACCGCGACACGGCTGACGGCGAACTGAGCACAGCAAGGCGCCGCAATCTTGCTGGGAATGGATTCGGCTGGGTCCAAGAACTCGGACAGAAGCGAGCGCAGCTGGGCATCGCGCGTCACCAAGTGAATATCCGCGAGGCTCACTCCTTCATCCGCCACGGGCATGACATTCTCGCACCCGCCCATGCACCTCGGCGACACGTAGCCCCTCTCGAGCACGTACTCGGCGCGCAGCGAGCTGACCTCGAACACCGAGTCAAAGGCCTGGTGCCACGATTTGTGGTGCGAATGCCGGAAAAAGATGACGTCTGGCAGCTCGTCGTAGTGGTCAATAATATACGTCAGATAGGCCATGGCTTCGTTGCCCTTGTCTGCCGGCACTGACAACGCAGTCGATGACGACGGAGAGAAGCTGCCAATCTCATCCGTCACATAGTGGTAGATGGCCCAGTCCCGAGGAACTTGGGATAGCCATGCCGTGTCTTGCGAAGTCGCAATGCTGGATGCTATCACCAGCGCTTTTTGCAAAGACGGCGATGATGACTGATGTGGTGGAGGATTTGTATCGATTCCGCAATATAGTAATAACGAAATACAAAAAAAGACTGCCAGAAGCTGTAATGCGGTAGTCTTGAACTTGCCAGCACGCAGGCGGCTAGATTCTCTCAGCATCCTATTCAAAGATTTCGTACGGTAATGACTGGCTTTAGTATGTATGAAGAAGAAGAAGCGAATAACTTGGCAAGATGCGCCAAGGTAATGCCAAGATGGATAGAGAAGCGATCATTTTGAAGGGAATTCAGACGAAAAGTGATGGCTTCTGGTAGGGCTGAGACGCGAATTGTGTCAAGTCCACATCTGCGACGAGGGGTCCGAGGGAGCAGGAGGGCGTCCGTCGGTCTTGATGTTGGCCAGCGACAACTTTCCAATGACGAAATGGCAGGTCAAACATCGAGTATGAGCTGATGCAGATACTTTCATCTTGTTAATTCCATTTGAAGATTGTCAAGATGAGTTATTACATGAGGCTCGGATTTTGACAATATATGATTTCTGTATAAACCCTGCGTTATTGCTTCCCGGCTTATCGTGTCACCCAGAACGGAGTTTCCTTTCTGAGATGTGTACCATTGACTCACATTCAGGCTCAACTAATTCTAGTATCACTATATTAAAGCAATGTTTGGGTGATGCGCTTGCCTGCACATTATTGCGCCTTGCATTAGAGGTGGAAGGACGTGAATGGTGTTGGGCATCATGTTGTGCCAACAACGAGTATGGGGATGCCGAATTTTCATGATACGGCTCAGCTATGAGCCATCTTACTTATAAGCACGTATTGAACAGTCGGATAGATTTTTCTGTTTTTACAGATATGATTGGGAGTTATGGTTGCACTATCAGGCCTCGAGACATTCAGGGGGGGGCCAGAAATCCCCATAGCTCAGCCCAAAGAGGGGGCTATGTACGATATACAGCTGGGCGCTAGACGTGTAACACACCTGTAAGGGATGATAAAAGGTACACTGCCCAAAAGGCCATGCGTTCCATAGAGTCGGGGCACACTAAGAATGACAATCTGGTTTTTTTTTCGATAGGTTGTAGATGCAGTCAGGCGGGACCAATCAGAGCCGCTCTGGCAAGGTAGGCTGACTGGGTGGCTGACTTGCATAGCCCCCCATGGGCTGAACCTCGAGACCTGGTGAGTCAAGCTGATGAGGTTTATCAGATGGCAAAATCATGTGGAAAAACACTATACATCTCGTCAATATTCTCTTGGGTGTCAGAAGAAAGCATCAAGTATATATGTGTTTTCATTGCCCGACATGATCCTCAAGTATAGGCCTCGGATCCACAAGATTCTACGCATCCGCAAACAACGCCTAGTGACACCAGATTTCACCAGTCCTTTACCTGCAAAAATTGTAATGTCACAAAGCCAGGACTCGACGGCGACAATAATTGAGGAGGCAGCAGTCGTGCCCAAAGGGCCCGCATTGTGCAGTCTCGACAAGATTGGTGATCAGTACCTTCTCACACACGATGGCGTCGAGCGGACGTTTCGGGGTCTGATAGTCGCCACCAAGCTTGATGAAGTTCGAGAGAGAAATATTCGGAAATGGCTCTCACAGCAACAGGAAGTCCTGGACTCGCAACCATTATCTGTCAACCAGTGGCTAGAGGCAGTCCGGTCACGGTTCTCGCAAGAGCTAGAGTATCTTGTCCTCATGAACCTCATTGTGGGCATCTCATATATGCGCGAACGCGGACGGCATAGCACAGAGCCTGAGGACGTGGTCAGTCAGAATTTTATATGGCCACACATATACGCGGCCCTGGCCAACACAAAGTCCCTCTTCAAGCCTTCGCGAAGCTCGGCGGGCTTTATGTTTGTTCCATTATGCAGCCTGATAAAGGACGGAGCCATTGACGAGCTGTGGCGGCTACATGTGTGGCTGCCCGACGGCCACCGCGCCGATCCCGCCATTAGTGTTCACGGACACCATGCGTTTGGACAGTCGTGGATCCTCGCGGGCGAGGGGACCAACCACCGGTGGGCAGTCGACGCCGTGGATGACGACCATGCGGCCGAGGCGACGCACGCCGAGTACCGCGTCTCGTGGGACGACGGCAAGGGCTCGAGCCCGGGGTACAAGACGCACCAGGTCTCGTCGACGATAGTCAACACGTACAAGTACTTTCGGGCGACGCGCCTCGGCTCCGAGGAGACGGAGCGGCGCGGCATGACGTACAGCGTGTCCCAGGACGAGTGGCACAGCTCGACGGTGGCGCCCGAGATTGTCTTTGCCACGCTCTTCGTATTTGATGCGCACCGCGGCGCCAACAAGGACGCCGCCATTCTGGGGCCCAGGGACGGCGAGTCGTTTACGACATCGAAAGATCCCGAGGGCAATACCGCCGATGGTCTGGTGAGGACTGTCGAGTCGCTCCGTCGTTGGGAGGACTGCGTGGCGGCGTTCAGCAAGGAGCGTCTCGGGGAGGCGGCAGAGGATGAAGCAGACGAGAGCAAAGAGTGCACTGCCACGCCGAGTTCCTTTGATCAGGCCATGAGGTTATGCAAAGAAGAGCCCGACTTTCCGAATCGGGATTATTATGTAAAAAAGACTTTAGAAGCACGGGACTCGGTATCAAAGATTAGAAGGGGAGCCGGAGCTCAGACCTGAGTGGAATATGACAAGAGTCAAGACCGTTGACACAAAATGCCATGATTGATGCGTGACTCCACTAATAGACCGACTTTAAAAAGTAGATGTATAATGCTTGGTTCAACTACCACCAAGTCTTCATGTGATCACCACAGCTAGTGGGGACTTTTCTAGAATATTGTCTATTATCGAGTCTGTCCGCTCCGCCTTGCTCCTGTTCTCCTTTTTTGCTTATTGGAAAAAGCTCCAGTTTGTGGATGGCGAGGCAAGTACCATCTCGTGTTCAACCGCGTCCGTGAAAGGTCTCAAGACTCGAGACATCTTCTAATGATGGTTGAAGCGTACTTTGGTTGTAATTTCTACATGAGAAGAACCGCCTTCTTGGGCATAAAAGAACTATACTTTCTTGATGGTACTTTTTATGTTCGGCGATCTGCGGAATACACTACTCCATATGCCATTTTGAAAATATGCTTAGTCTTGTTTCAAACTAGAGGAGACTAAATAACAGTTCAGATGAAGGGATTAGTTCAAGCCCCCTTTTAAGCTTAGATGCAACTACGTTGGGTACTGGTAGATGATCTTGCCACTATGAGGAGATCTGTTCTGTTAATAGATTTTTGTCACTAGAGACATTTGACCCGACTTTTGACATCACTGCAGTCGTAAGTTCTCGTATGGTTGAACAAATATCCGTGACTGCGAAAAAAAAGACTCGCTCTATCTTGTGTGAGCAGTTTTGCCCCAGCTCGCTACGCCTAACCACGTGAGAAGAAGATCGTCAACCCTCTTCTCTACCCAGTATTCCTCATGAGATGCAGCAATACGAAGAGGCCAAAGACCCTTTTGTTTACTTTACCATAAAGCATGAACTTATGAAGTCATGGTTGGCTTGGACAAGGCAACTAGTCAAGGATGACGGTATGCAACGTACCGACGCTACCGTGGATATGATGATGATCGCAACCCTGCTTGCCGAGGAGCCTTTTAAGTCTAAAATTGACCCCTGGTTCAAAGCCGGGGAGTCCTAAATTACGTTATGTGCTCACCCGTCGCCTCAAGCCGGCGAAAGATCGGGACTCGATTAGTGGTATGCGGTAGACTTGTTAGGTTGCATGGTTACTTTGGTATGGAGCTGAAAAGAAGGCAGTGCTCAGCTGTGTGCTAAAAGAAGAAGTGAGGCGAAGAACTTGGAGAGAATAAAGGTGAATTAAACTTCACGGCTAAGGGGGTGTTTAGCGGAGTGCGTCTTTCAGGGAGCCATCATCCACCAACCCACTGCATTCTTGGCATTTTAGGCGAGGACAGTCCACTAATTGGCGCGGTTCCCATCTACCGGGGCGGAGAGCCCGGGGGTTGATTGGGGCTCATCCCAGCGGTCCCCCATTTCTTCTTCCACTGGCTCAACTGCTGGCACCAGCCTGCGCCCAACCGGCCCCTCGAAAAGCCTCGTATTCTATCGGAACGTCGCATTGTGGATATGGCGGCAGTACTGCATAGCGCCCGTGACATTATACGAGGAGGCCAAGCCAAGACAACGAACAACTTCCCTGGTGAGCCGATCGTCCGATGCCTGCGATGGTCTGTGACGTCGATTTCTGAATGGATTGGAGTAGATGACATCTGAATATATAAAGTCCAGGTAGGAACATGAGATGAACAGCTTTTGAAATATCCTCATCATCAACATCTTCAGAGCTCAACACCTCAAAACCAAAACTCCAAAACAACTCTATCAAAACTACCTCAAAAGTTTTAATACTTAATACCACCATCAAAATGTACGCCAAGGCTCTTTCTCTCCTCAGCATCGCCGGCCTCTCGGCCGCATCTCCTCTGGCCGCCAGACAGTCCACCATTGTCGATGGCACACCCTTTGGCCTGATGGCTCTCCGCTCCGCCAGCGAGGTTCACTTTGCTCAGTTTGACGCCGCTCTGAGCTCCATCTTCCTCAACCTGCCCGCCCAGAACGCTTCGTGCGACAATGGCGCCGCCGACTCGGCCACTTTCTACCTCAACGAGGGCGGCCTGTACCTGTACGCCGAGAGCGCCACGCCCCAGCAGGCCTTTGTCGACCGCTCGGGAATGGGCCAGGGCAAGTTTGGCTACACCACGGGCGCCCAGCCCGTCGTCCGCAACGGCGAGCGCGTCAACTTTACCCTCGACGCCACCGGCGACCTCACCTTCAACGGCGCCGGCTTCCTCGCCTGCCCCAACAGCATTGACGGTGCCTGGAGCGTCTGGGTCGACGCCGGTGTCTCGGAGCCCGCCGGCAACTCGGGCTGCCTGGGCATCTCGGTCCGCGCCGTCGAGGTCACCGAGCCCAACGGCTGCAGCTACACCCAGTAAATGGTGTCAAGGCTGGTGCATAGCGAATAGGGGATGCACTGCATGATTGCATAGTATATATTTTGTCTAACCTGTACATATTTAAAAATATCTAATAGACACATAATGCATACATGAATGAATCAAGTCTTTCCTTGCTCTTGTGAAATGATCAAAGCACCTTAGTTACTCAAAAATAGTCAAAGTTGTACAAGATGCAGTCTGATTCATAATTATTGTACTACGTCGAAAGCATGAAACTGTAATAACTATAGCTGGTACCTAAAGTACGGGTTGGCCTTGTCTGTTAGATCCTGGAAAGCCAATTTCGCCTTTTCAATCTCGTTGTCCTCATGACCTGCTTCCTTCTTACGATTCTCCATTCGTAGCACAAAATAAAGAGCAATGGATGACACTATAGTAATGCAGTAGCTAATTATTGAGAATGATTAGTTTACATATCTCAAGGAGAATACGTCGAAGAAGTGAATCAGCTTACCAAATGATGAGACCTAGCCACAGTTCTGGATAATGAGCAGCCTTTGTCTGAGATTTGATCAATTGTGGACCAATGATATTTCCTAGTCATCGGTTAGTCGTGTTTATGAGTTGAAAAAAAAAAAGAGCCGAAATCCTGCTTACCAACACAATATGCGACAAAAATGGTTGCCGAGGTAAAGCTCTTCTTTGTGTGGCCAGCGACATTGGACATGCCAATGGTAATGATCAAGCTCACGACTGCACCAAATGTGCCAGTGATGGAGTATCCGACAACTGGGGCGGCAGCGTGGTAGGTCCATTCACTTTTCCAGATTAATGCACAGCCCGCAATAACAGGCAAACAGCAAACGATGAGCATGATGATGCGAATGTTCTGGAACCGCGATCCGAGCCATCCGGTCAACAAGATTGTGATCAGACAGAGGCCACCAAGCGGAAATTGAAAGACGATGGACTGTAGCGTATTCCATCCAAAGGTCTATTTTGGAGTTAGTCTCATGAAAGCCGCTCGATATCAAATTTGAAATAACTACTCACCGAGACGATCAATGGCCCAAAACCGGATACAGCACCATTCACGGTGTATGCAGAAGCCATCATGATAAATATGAGCCATATTTTCACGTCAAGCAGAGCTTCTTTGAGTTGCACTCCCTTGAACTGGGAGCAGCGTATACCGGTTTGCCCCAATCTCAGCCTCTCCACAGCAGCAAACTTTTCATCCTCGGACAGGAACCAGGCAGTAACGGGCGAGCTGGGGATGGCGAAGCAGAAGAGACCAAATAAAAAGGTCAAGGATCCGGCGAGCAGATAGATGTACTGCCATCGTTGGAGCCCGCCACCAGTGATTTGGGCAAAGCCATAGTTGAGGGCTCCGCCGATAATGGTCCACCATCCAGTTGAGGAGAACCACCAGCTCTGCCGCAGGGACTGCTCCTGCTGCGTATAGTAACCCGAGATGATGGTCATGAAGCCAGTGGGGATGACACTTTCAATAAAGCCGAGAAAGAAGCGCTGGGCGTAGAGACCCTGCCAGGTCGTCACGGCCGCGGTCAGCAGACACACGAGGGCCCAGGTACAGACAACAGCTCCCAAAGTCCTGCCGGTTTCAAAGCGCTGCAGTGCATAGGACATGGGATATAAGCCGGCCAGCATGCCAAAGTAAAATAGCGAGGTGGCCCATGACAGACGGGAAGTGTCTGTGACTGAGGGATTGCTGGGGCTCGGGACGCTCAACTTCAAATCTGTCGTCATGCCAAACAGTGCAGCCGAACCCAATATGGCCTGTGAATACATGTGTCAGTCTGTGGAGCCACATGTGCCAGATGAGGAATATGAACCTTATCATAGTATACAAGGCCGTACTAGGAATAGCATTTGTTAGCTACATGCATATTTTGAGAATATTTGCAGGGGAACTTACGCCAATTGTCATGGCCGGGATCAGGAACCAGTCAATCTTTCTGACTGCATGAGCAGCCACGGCCGGGTCGATGGCATGGCTCTTCTCGCCAACCATTTCGATGGCGACATCCTTTGCGGCGGTTGGACCAGCCTCGACCGACTGCGCAGCGCGATCCTGTTCCATTCTCGCAGTCAAGCTCGCCGTCTTTCTGAGCCGCTACAGTACAGGTCCAACCGAGATGCTGTTTAGTTGAAAATGGAAGTGGTCGAGCGATGTAAAGTCTCGTTGCGCGATATTATTTTTTGTCTTCAACACCACAAAAAGGCCACAAATGGCCGACCTGCGGACTACCTATTCTGTCGTGGAAATGACTAAAAAGGCCTTTTTTCGCTCTCTTTTTACGTTTTCAGCACGCTACGAGGGCACTAAACCGCTCTCTCTCTCTCCAATTGTAGTGGATAGCGTGCTGCTGGACATAGCGCCATCCCCACCTTTCTCAGGAACCATGAACAAACACTGCAAAAGGGAGTTCTTGCGGAGGAATATATGGTAGGTACAGAGATCAAGCTATATAGTCCAGTACACATATCAAACAGACTATACCCATCACATTTATGGCAGAGAAATAACGGTTCCATCTCAACTTGTACCTTGCCATATCCAGTCCCATTCGGCTGGTCGCGCCAAAGCAAAACTGTTGGGGCCGACGATCGACGGACACTACTACACTAAGCCCTGCGCCATTGCTCCCAGATATGCGGACCGGAATGCAGTGTACACCTCCTCAAGGATTATAAATGTTAGATCGGTACGTAACTCCACTCACTGACCCTCTGATCTGTCGGGTATCTCTCCCTATAATTTATGCTGTTTGTGTACGGGTTGTGGAAGCTTCCAGCACTGGGTATGGAAGTAGATAGAAAATTGGCTTCGTTTTGGTGGTAAAATTCCGATGAGAGATGCTGGGTCATTGCGTGGGGCAAGTAACGATCTAACGTTTATAATCCTTGTGGAGGTGTAATGGGACATATGCATCCCCCCACTCGTACCTTGGTGTTGGAATGTCCATTGAAAATCTCCCATCATTCGGATGCTATATGCATACGATCGTCCTTTAATGTTCTGGCATGACTAGGGAATTCGCTATGTCAGATTTGATACACAGATCCATTATGTGAAAAGTGGCTATAATTGTTACAAAAGTATTTCGCAATACTATAAACAGCAATGCGCCCCGTTGGTGCAGATGGCACTCTGACCTTTGACCAGGATATACCAATGGACACAAAAAACAAGAATGGGCCCCATCAACAGCAAGCTTGTCCAAGTTTATTTCGACTGGCTTGATTCATGTGTTGTGCTGGTCACCAGAGTAATGATTCTAGACAGGAAAGGTCATGAGACTTATCTGCAGGACCTTTTTTTCCGGACCTTGGACTAATGTCGTCATCTACCCCTAGTCTTGATGTAGGGCTGATTCAGTATTCCCTGCCGCTCTCCCGAGGTTGACAAGTCCAGAGCAAGTATTTCGGTCGTAGTGCATTACCTATTAAATCAGGCATAGATCCCGGTCGTGACAATAAGATAGTATTCCCGCCATCTTCAGAGTTGACTACTATATCTGTCTCACCTAAACCCCCCATGCATTTGTAAAACACTTATACACACCATGGCGTCCAATGAAAAGACATCGCTGTCCAAGACAGGCCCAATAGCTTCAGATGAAGGACCCTCCGCTATCGACATGTATGATGAACTTGAGCAAGCACCTCGAATCTTGAAACTATCTTCTAGGGGCAAACGACGCTTTCCCGTAGAACGACTAATTATCCAAGTCGAAGACGCACCAGACAGCTTTGTCCCCGGCTTTCTTCACCTGCCCTCTGACTTTGTCTCGCCTGCACCGCATGATCACCACCGGACGGCAGCTATACTGCTTTCTGGGGCAGGTGGAGGTGTCGCTGGTCCGAGTTGCATTTACTTGTCGATCGCCGCCAAACTAGCCGCTCTCAGCACCGGAATACCAGCGCTGAGGCTCGACTACCGCTACCCAGGGCGCAACAAGTACTGCGTCGAGGATGTCAAGGCTGCAATGTCGTGCCTTCAGGAGACGTATGGCCTCGATCGTTTTGTGCTCATTGGGTGGTCTTTCGGTAGCGCCCCCGTGTTTACCATTGGCGGTAGCGACGACCGGATCACAGGCTGCGCAGCAATGGCTAGCCAGTCGGCCGAGACAGATGGGATCCGCCGCCTGGCACCTACCCCAGTGTTGCTGCTCCATGGCACGGCTGACACAACCCTCAGTCCTTCCTGTTCCGCCGCTCTGTACGACATGTATGGTGAGATGGGAAACAGGCATATCCACCTTTTCGAGAATGACGACCACGCACTCAGCCACAATGCCAGTACAGCAGAAGGCATGTTGCTGAAATTTGTGGTTGGGTGTGCCGGCTTGGATATTAGCAATGCCGAGCTGAACCGTATAACCAGCCAGGTGCTAATTGAGGAAGGTGAAAGAACAGAACTCATGAAGAAAGGGGGTGATCTTCGGCCTCCCGAAAGTCTATCGTAGCCGAGTACGACCGGGCCAGCTTGCAGGTGTGGCCCTTATGACCGTTATGAGGCAAGCAGGTGGTTCGAACAAATCAAGCTTCGTACTGAACGGAAAGAACAACACCCAATTCGAAAGCAAGATTGGCACTGGGTCTCTGTCGAGTCAACAATCCCCAAGTCCAGGAGGCTAACCATTGGAATACTGCAAAGCTGCCTCGAGCCCCGACACCTCCTACGACATTGGCGATATCTAGGTACACATTAATCAACATCTATCGTTTGATATCAGTTATCGACTCCATTCTCAAGTCCCGGGTCAACTCTTGGTGTCAATTTATCCTAAAGGTGTATCGTTGACAATCCTGAGCCTCTCATCCACACCCCTCGCCTTGTGCACAACCGCCGCACCAGCATCTGCTTCAATCAACAATGTTAAGGGTAGCTCGGGCCAAGGATGCCGACCGTTGGATATATCCCATAGGCAACACACCAGCCGTCTCTCTAACAGAAGCTCTGCCGCGAAACAGTCCCGCTAATATCTTGGTCCTGGGCTGCGGCGACATACGAAACATACTCTTCACCACCCATGTCGACAGTGAGCCAACTCTTCCCAATAATACCAGTTCAGTGAGCCATGGGGTTGACATTGGCAGGTCGAAAGCTGGATATCACATGCTGCGATCATCAGACTTCCATCATCGGTAAGCTTACGGATTGATTTACTGAATCATTCATGCATCAAAATATCTGATTACCGTATCAACCATTAGCTCGAAACATGCTCATTTTGTCCCTCATAATCGATGATGAGAACGAAAACAATTCAGAAGCAATATGGAGTATCCAATACCACATGTATCTCAGCCCCTTGGAGACGGATCTATTGCGGGAACATCTGTCAAGCTGTACGGGCTTTCCATCAATCTAGGTCAGTAGCTACCAGATTGAATTTTGACTACTGGACGCCTCTTGTCACCTTGAAGCGGGACAACGCATCAGAAAAGAACGGCAACACAGCGGCCAGATAGGAAATCATGTCTGATATATGTATATGTTCAACAGCTAACATATTTTTACCTAACAGCTTCATGGGAAAAGAGCAAGTATGGCAGACGGCTTCAGTTCTGTGATGAGCCAACGCTCAAATTCGTGCGCAGAGAGTGGTCCTGGTACGGAAGCTGTGCACGAGAAGACGATTCAGATGTATTCGTGAGAGATTACGAGAACATGAAAGATTTTGGGGGAGTTCAGTGGGATCCAGTCTCGGCTGATATTCTGTCTTCAGAGAGCAACGTCTCCAAGACCATGTTACAATTACACCAGCATTACCGGAGGTATGGAAGCCTAGAGCTTGACGCCAGTCGACGAAAACAACGAAATAAGCTCAATCGTACGCTTTGTTTTCTTGGATCCAACAGAGTACTTCATCCGGATACGAACCCCCTCCATGGTTTCCACCTCGCTCTTGCTTACCTCCCACTCAAAGATGACAATGAGTTCGGTCGCCAGCTCGGCAGCCTCTCAGGTCCAGAGAGGATCGTGGCATCTGCTCGGCTCGAGTTCAAACTGTGGTCCCATTCTCTTCGCCAAAATTTAATGGCAGTTTGCATTCGCTTTTTTGTAGGAGATGCAATAGCTTTTGCGCACACGTTGAATTACACGCGTAACGGAGGCACAACTACAGCCAACTGGCAACGGACTCCCTACAGATCTGAACGGTTGGCCCTGAATGGCTTTGACCGTCTAGATAACGCAGCTTTGAGCTTTGACGCCATCGATACTTGCAATATCTTGGACCATGTCGATCCACTGAGCTTGCTCGTTGCTGTGTCGCCTTTGCTGCGCTGCAAGGCTTCCTCGGTACTTTATACACAGATACCCGTACAACCCGGCATTTCCAACAAGTACGTGATGGACTACTTGTTTTCTGGGCGTTTGCAAGCCATATCAGCTTTTCTGGGTCTGAGACCCGTGGAAATGTGGCTCAACACGTCTTCGCGTTCGTACAGTAACAAGTATTGTTTTCAAGAGCTTGAAGACCGGCGCGGGAATAGCTACAAAGAGACAAAGGCAATGTACTACAGAATGCCATGGAGGTTGGCGGTCACTGGTCCAATAAGCCAAGAAAAGCTACCGTGTATTCAATTTGATGAAGCAGAGCTGGCGGAATTGCTATTCCACATCTTCTCAAGACTCTTCCTAGTTGACCATGAACAAGTCCCTGAACCTGTTGCGAGACTACGCTCAACCGGATTTCGATACAATTACGCCAGCTTCGCGGCATTCCTTCGAGTGTTGGGAAATCGTATGGTGTGTGACTGGGGGAGGGTCATGCATGGCTTGCTTCGCAAGATAGTGGAGGGCTCTGGTATCAAAGGAACCTACGCCTATCAGGAGCTCTTCTGTTGGATACATATCTTTGGAGCTGCTCGCATGACCTGCGACTTCAGGCCAAAGGCGATGTTCCAGGCTGACCTAACCAAAGTGTTTACGGCACATCAAATCAAAGTCCCCACCAGTCCCAATGGACAATTGGGAAATATCGGCAAGAAAGGCTCCGAAGGCTCCGAAAGCATCATCGAAGAGCCCTTCGGTAGTAAATTCAGAAAATGGACTCAAGATCTGGCAGTCGTCTGTATCACCTTGAGAATCATTCCCAAACGAGCAGCCATGGTTCAATCAGAAAACGGGCGCCTACCATTCGCGTCCTGCTTGCTCGTTTCCACCGCATGGGCAATCCCTTTCCAGGAAACTTTCATTGCTTCTGGCAATTTGGAAACGAAGGGAAAACCAGGCACCTCATCTTACCACATCTTCGTCACCAATACGTATCCGTACTGGCGCAACGATTCTCCACTGATAGTCAGCTTTTATGTGCCCGTGCAGAGCCTCTTGTTCGATCCTTCTGGCACGTCGGTAATATTCGCAACACATACATCGACCACTTACCAGGCAAAGCCCTCCATAGAACCTCAAACCTACCATCCACACTTTCAAGTTGGAATCACTGAGACTGAGAGTGTCTTCGTCACTTGCTTTGCTCCTAATCAATCAGGATATCCCATGGTTTCTGGATTTAACCCGGCCGAGCTTGCGAGGACCATTATGAATCCATACGCCGCGATTACACTGTACGGGCATATCGATACGGACAAGGGTGACATTACTGGATTGACGGCCCTCTGCAAACTTCTATCTCACCGAGCACCAAGGTATCAGAAAGACTATGATACTCAAGTCGAGGTGGTCTCCCCATATGAAGCCATCGTCTGTCTCGAACCCAAGGATTCGCAGAAGCTCTCTATACGCATTCCCATTTCTCTTGCTGTTTGTATAAGGCGCTCCCATGGCAAACAATGTCTTTTTGATTCTCCGACTGGCGCCGTGGTACTAACGGTGACTGTCGCGCAGTCGACATCGTTAGCCTGGAAAGAATTTTCCAGCATGAAACCGTTTAGAAGGGATGATATGGTGCTAAGCATTGGACTTATGTCGTCGCTAGAGCTTGGAAAATGCTTCAATGTAGATGCCATGAAAGATGCGGTGACAACTGTGTGGCTCAACGAAAACCTCTACCATGTAAACCATGATGGCAAGACAACGGCACGGCGACCTCTACTCGGGCTACCTTCCACGGAAGAAGACGTTCGACTGGGTTTCGATCAGTCGTTGTCCTCGGTCTTCCTTGCTCATGCAAACGGCGAGAAAAGAATCGCTTTCTTCGGCCGCCCTGACGACATTCAGTTTGCACTACTTATATCGCGTCTCCAGTTCGACGCGGCTTCCTGTCGAGTGATTCTAGACTGCGCAGTACTGCAAGTGAATGCAAAGCGCTCACGCGATCTCTTGGCCAATATGAACAATTGGGCTGACAGAAACGGGAGCATCGTCAGCAGGCATGAGCCGAGTGAACTGGTCTTGAGACGGTGGAAGGCCAATCTCGAAGTCTACAGTGAACATTGCAGAACCTGGTATCACAAAATCAACTGTGAGTATGCATCGAGACCCTCGAGAAACGCGATCACAGTTTCATCCCAGATTGGCGACACGGCCTTCTTGTGTTCATGCGGCAAAGGAGTCTTTCCTCGTGACTACGCCATTCCCTGGAACTTGTGGTCCAGCCGAGAGACTTTGCTAAAGCTTGCAATTCGAGCCGCCATCCCCCTAACCTTTCAGAGTCCATTCGGTGATGCTCTAGAAGTCACCCCTCAGAGTTAGGCTATCGAGGAGGGAGGCACCTTGAATGGTGTTGTTGAATGTTCCAAGGCCAATTCTGGAAGCGGCGACAACCTCCTCACGGGGAATGGGGGAAAGTAGCACCCCTAATTAGAACTTACAAAGAGTGCTCAGGTCAGGGGAGGCATAATGACGTTTCTGGAAATGATATAAGTTGAGATGGATTTGAGCATAGGCACCCACCTCCCTTCTTGTACAGGAGGGGAGCATTCAATGGGAAAAGGATACCTGGACAGCGTAAAGTATGAATTAGACATGCAGCAGCGATGGATGGATCATTTCTAGGCACCTAGCCAGTTGATAGATCAAGAAAAGAAGAATAACGTTCCATGAGAAGAAAGTTCTTATTTGCGTTATCGCTCTTCCGAATACGGAAGTCCGGATTCTACCAGTTGAAGTAAAAAGTAGACGGGGATATCAAAATAAGATTATCTCATACGGCATAGCCATCCAGCTTGGATTGACTATTCAGCAGGGCATTCAGTCACTGAGGGATGCGGACCATTATCCAAAATAAAGGATAAGATTAAAGATGGTGTCCACCTACGAAATCAATGCGAAAACAAATAAACTTGATAACCCTTCCCGTTGTGTCACATTGCACATCCACACCTGTGGCTCACCATTGTGCAATAAAATCCGACAAAACCTCAAAAGACCCCCAAAAAAATCATTCAGCTTGCTTCCATAACTTCTGGCCAACCACCGCAGGCAACAAGGTTGATTGGCCACTCCACCATCCAATGACTAGATACATTGGAGCATACAGATCTTCTTCTTAGCTCCCTCACACTTTTCGGCACACTCCATGGTCTTGGCCGCCTGGTCAATCTTCTCAGGCCAAGAGGGGATGTCCGTATAGGACGCTGGAGCGGGCTTGACGTTGCAGCCCAGGATGCAGACTGTAAGACGAAGGCGGAGACCCGCAAGGTTAGCCGACTTTTGTGTGGTAAAAAGGGGAAGAGAAAGGTGGGTGAAGACTTACTCAGTCCATGGTTGCAATTCTTGGTGCAATCCAAGAGACCAATGACAGTGGCCAGGCCCTTGGTGGCCTTTTCCACGGCAGCGGCGTCGGGCTTGTTGTTCTTGCCCTGGGAACCATAGTTCTCGACGCACGTGCCGATGCAGCCGATGTTCTTGTTGCAGTCGTTGAGACAATTGACGGCCCAAGCGGCGCCGGGGAGCTGCTCGAGCTTGGTCTTGGCCAGGGCCGGGTCGGGCTTGTCCTCGCGGACCGACAGGACCGAGACTGTCTGGTTGGTGTACGGCATGGCGGCCGCGGTGTTGTTGGTAAAGGGCATGGCGATCGCCATGGTGGCGAAGCCAAAGGATGTGGCAACGGAAGAGAACTTCATGATGAAGAAAAGTAGTTGAAGAACTGCTAAGATCTATTTGGTAGATGGAAGAGTGTGATGAAGTTGATGTGTGATGAAGAAGGATGGAAAGAAACAGCTCAGGATGGGGAGGAAGGGCCTTCTTAAATATTCGATTCCATACGTGCCAAATGCTTTCGGACAGAGTGGACAACAAGATAGTCTGTATAATGTCTGTATAATGGCCGAAATTGTCAAAGTATAATTCAGGTCGCGTGGCAATGGTCAGACAAGCCCCTCCAGGAGGAGAGGTGTAGGAACTGGAACGGGACAGAGATTTCCAAGAAGATAAGGTGTACATGTAGGTTTATTGATACTGGGGGAAAAAGAAGGTTTCCCTGTGGTGCCCTGAAAGCTCTTATTTGTACACCCGAGCTCTTAATGGCACCTTCCAACATCTCCCACCAGCCAACAACAAGTTTGACACGACCTTTTCTTTCCTTACTCTATTTCTTGGTCCTTTTTGCCTTCCTAATTGCTTCTTTTCCCCTTCATATCGCAAGTACAGCCCCAGTGAGAACGTCCGTAGTCCAGCCCCGCGAAGGAACCCTCGAAGCCTAGCTTAAAATACATAGGTGGGAAAGACCTAGGGTGAAAGCTTCGTGAAGATGAAGTTTCCGGTGTTTCTTTTTGGTAAGTTTCCAATGCCGGGAAGGCTCCAGTGGCAAAAGCATGATTCCGAGAGATTGAAAAAGAGTTGCTGGGAGTTGCTAATAAAAGTAATTTTTTGTAACCGTCAACGGCTTTCTAATATTTTCTATTGTAAAGAGAAACTTTGAAGAGCGTTTGTGGGAGTGAAAACTTTGTATTTGGGAGAACGCCCGATACACAGCCGAGGAGACTTTTCAGCCCGATTTTGACCTTGGATTCTTTTTATAGCTCCTTGAGGCAAGGGTCTTTGCATAAGGTTATACACAAGCGAACTCGGCAACGTGATTTGCAAGTCATTACGTTGCAATGACAGCTTGATTATTGTTTTTGACTATGTCAGGTTGGGGTCCAGTAAATATATCTCGAATTTGTATTTAAGATTATTTCGAAGGAATGTCATATCTCTAGATTGTTGCCATACTGTGATATCCAGCATGGAAATATGGTACTATCACGGAACTAACACTTGGAGTCGAATTCTTACGAAAATACGTCAAGGTTATCCATGTAAGATCTCTTGGAGGCTGGCATTATTTGACGAGCCATAAGTGCGTCCCAAAGCGCAAGTAACGTTGACGTCCAAAGTGACTTTTCGGGGACTTTGAAAAAAGTGTCAAAGTAAGAGCCATCCTCTGGCTGGCTGCCTCTGGAACGTCAATTTTTGCATGGGAACCCTCCTTTGGGTATATATCAAGCTGGGGCCCGAACGGCTCACTCGGCGTATGTCTGCATTTCGTTCAATCCTTGGTATATCAACCTAGCACGCCAATGTGCCTTTTCTTTCCGGGATTGAGAGTTTGGCCTCTCAACGCACACGTGGTCGGACTGTTGTTCGGGCCGGCCGGCCCGACTTTGTGGTATGCCAGAAAAGTCCAGGTAGAGTTTCGATAAACTCAAAGGGGCATTTCAAATTACTGCAAGACATTGAGTATAAAGTGGCTTTTATAACACTCAAAGTTCTCTTCTTCAAGGTCGGAAAGAAAATGTGTCCAGATCTCACGGTGGCATTCTCTGTGAAAGGGCTTCTTCGATCACTAAAATACCAGACTCGGCTCTACTTTAACCAAATATCAGATGATTTATGTTGCAGTTATTGCTATAACGGTCCGGTTTCACTACACCTAGTTTCAATGGACGTCGAATGTCTATCTAGGTATGATTACGGCCGGATATTACACTAAGTAAATGCCCACGTGGGCATGAATTGATTATGGGTTCTCTATCGTCCCAGGGCGAGAAGTGCTAAGGATCAATACGAGAACTATTTTAATCTCACATTCAACGAAATTCGAAAATAGTCGTTTGAAAAAAAAGTGTTCTATTACCAAAATTGGCTGGCTAGTAACAAAAATGTATCAGATTTATACGCCTTTACCACAAGATCTTGGCGTGATGTGGATATGTCCTGTCCCCTTGTACTCTTCTCTTATGTACATATTTTTGGTGTCATGATATCTAAACATGGGTTGCGAAGCCCAGAGAGTTGTTACCACCGTTGAAGGCAACGAAATTGCTCTTGAAGAAGATGTCTCCGTAGATGAAAAGGTTGGCAGGGGATGCCTGAACACCACCGAAGCAGTCTAATTATGAAATGTTAGTAAATTGTAGAAGAAATTCTTGAGAAAACGAAATAAGAACTGCAAATTGGGTCAAAACTTACTCTGTGCGTCGACCTGAGCAAAGTTAATATCAGCTCCCTTGATAGTGGCCGGGGTTCCACCGATATCGAGTGCGAGGTCGGGCATCTGAGTGTCGCAAGGAAAGACGAAGCCACCGGCCTGAGCATCGTTGACGGCACCTTGGACCTGGGAGTAGTATGCGTCGACGGCAACGGGGTCAGCCAAGACAAGGGTGGTGCCCGTGTCGGCAATGGCCTGGGCACCGGCGGTACCCTGCTGAGTGGCACCGCCGTTGACGGCAAAGCTCTCGCTGGCGAACTGCCAGAAGCCCTGGGTGTCGTTGATAGGGACCCAGGTCATCTGGCCGGTGAACTTGCTAGTGTCGACGCGGCCAAACTCGTAGGCGCCGGTGGCATTGGCACGGAGATCGGCAGTGAAGACGGGCTCGGCGAGCGAGGGCATGACATTGTCGAAGAAGGTCTTTTGCTGCTGGGGCTGCACCGTGTTGAGCTTGGAAAAGGCCAGGCCGAGCAGACCATTGTTGCTGGTGTCCTGGACAAACGACTTGGAGACGGCCGTGGCCAGCTCGACGGCCTGAGCAGTGACGGTGGCACCACCCACGTTGACCGTGTCCGTACCGACGTTGCCGGCGGCTCCCGAACCGTCACCGTAGCTGATCTCGAAAGAAGCACCGTTCATCAGAGCAAACGTGTTGGACTTGGTGGCATCAAAGACAGTGTGTCCAGTGGTCGCGGCGCCGCTGAGCTGGTTATTGAACACCCAAAGGTCGGAAGAACCAGAATCAAAGTCGAGGTTGAGAGTCTGGCCACCAATATCGACAGGCGACAAATACTCGACATCATTCTCCTCGGGCGTAGCAGTGACAAGACCAGTACCAGTGCCATTGGCGGCGGCAGCACTCGCCGTGCCGTTGTCTGCAGCAGCAGCACCAGCCCCGGCACCATTCTTTGCTCCCTTCTTCTTCTCCTTGCCTGATGAGTCGAAATGTGTTAGCTTTTGATCTTTTCATGTGAATGTAATCGAGTATCATTTGTTGTAACCCTTTCCGAAAACAGCACCATGTTTACTTACGCTTGGAGATCATCTCGTGTCCCTCGACAGACTCCATTAGACCGGCGGGAATTGGCATGCGGTACTTTCTAAGAGTCTTGAGAAGTGCCCGGGGGCCATTCTTGCCCGTGTAGGCCGGGTTTGACACCCGCTCAACCTTGTATACACCACGCTTCTGGATCTTGGGGGCCGGGGAAGCAGCCACAAGGGCCACGAGGGCCATGAGGAATAGGACCTTCATTAACGACTGCATCTTTGTCGAAGGGAATATGGTAAAGAAGGTAATAAAAAAACCACACCAGGTGGGAGGGACAAGAGGAAGAATGAGCGTAATGGAGGGAGCTCAACTCGCGCGATGAATCTATCACCAACAAGATACCCTCAAGAGAAGTGAATAACAAAACCCAAAACGGAATCTACAGCAGAAACAGCAATGAGAAAGAAAAGAAGGATGGGAGAAAGAAGAATGCCAAGACTTGAGATCCTCAGGGACCCATTGATGTTTTAAACGAAAAGAGATCTGTAAGAGTCAGGCAACTTGAGGTACATCGGTATAGCAGAACATCCATGGGCCCACATGAAGAGTCAGGGCATTGACACAGAGGAACTGTGGCCAGGGGGTGGTAGTAAGCCATGGTGTGGGTGTGGTATGTACTATGGCCTGCTCTCTCGGAGGTATCATTGAAGATTTCACAAGCCAAGCCTCCAACCAAGATGGGCAGTGAAGATCACAAAGCTGTTGCAGCTACTGGGGAATCTGGGACAAGAATTGCGTACTTGTCTTGGCCTCCATCGCCGAGACTGATCTTCCTGCCATGATCACCAAACATGGGCGGCTCGCGTAGATCCACACATCCCAAGCAAGTCCAAGACAGAGTATGCGGCAAGATGGTGGGGCCAGGACAAGCATGTCCTATAGGACGGACGGGGAGTGAAGAAGAAGCAGAGCAGCTTCGTTCAGTCCGTGTCCGGGCAATTGGAAATGCGAGTTGGGAGCATTGAGCCATTGGCTGCTCGTGCTGGTGCTCGGTACTAGGAAAAATCAGTTGAACTAGGTGAATTAGGAGGCTTGGGATGTACATTTCTGGCCGAATGTGCGGTGCGTATACAAAGTAAGTGCCCCTAGTATCCCCTCCCTCAGGGGTCTAGCATCACCCCAGAAAAAAAGTAAAATAAAAAAACCACAACAAGCTAAGGCAGGGGGCGGTTTTGCGGTGCCAAGGGCCCTGGGGTCTCTCGGTATGCTGCCGACGGTTGCACTACAGCTATTCGGTAACTGCTAAAAGACGTTGGTCTTCTCCACAGGCCAATGGTATCCTAGTCATGATGCATTTCTCTTGGCAAGCGATGTCAGAGCCTCAAATGGGGGCCGCATCGGGATTTTGCGAGGGCTCTTTACGGACATGGCCATAGGCAGATGCAGCCCAGACCGCGCAGATCTCTGTCCAGGAGAAAACATGTTCGTGTCGCGGGCGCCAAGCCAGAAACAAACCCACAGAGGCCATCTGCGGTGGTCATGTTTGGAGTCGACGTGTACACACAATCCGCAGATTTCGCGGGGCCATGGTCATTGTCGACTTCTAGGTTAGATGGATGCGTAAAGGAACATATCCCCTCCAAATTCGGAACACCTAAACGGCGTCTAACTGAATCCCCGAGTGGCAGTGCCATTTCTGTCCAAGTAGATATGCATGGCCGGGCCTTTCTTGACGCACGAGCACATGAACTACTGCTTTTGGCATACAATGATTGCCTACACATTCCTCACAGTAGACAACAAGTGCCTTGGAACAGTAATACCTGCTCAAAGGGTGGCTGTAGGTAGCAGTCAAAGCTGTAGCTTCTGGCCGGAAAGAGCAGGAGGCGGTATTGCCGTTTGGTAGGAACATCGACTGTCTTGGTAAAAGTTGGGACGGAGGCCATACACCGTCGAGCGCTGGTCGGTCGTGTTCGGCAGTCCGAGGTTGTCCTGCCTCAGATCTGTTTCGCTTCCGGGCGCTCTGATGATTGCTGGTGGCTGATGATGGGTCGAATACGACAGCGTAATGTTACTCCTTGACGACTAGTCGCGACACACTGGAGCAGATGATTGAGTTGCATTCGATCCTGTACGAATTTCGCATAATGCTGGTTCATTGTGGAATTTTCTACCAGCTCGGCGCAAAACGGAGATAAATTTTGAATGTCCCACCAGATCGCTTGCCAAGTTGATTTGGCATCGGCAATCAATGAGCTTGTTTTCTTCCTGTGAGCATTGGCGCCGAGGCGTCCAGTCTGGGCGTTCTGGATGGTTGCCCTTTAGGGGCGATTCGGTCCCCCAGGCGGGCACCACCCCCAGTGAAACCGGCAACCCCTGGCGCTACCCCACACATTTGAAGCACCCGTTTCGACCGTGGTCAAGCCCACCAATTGAACCATCATGTCCGTTGTCGATGTTCGCATCGACTTCCGTTCAGCAGGTGAGGTAAACAGGCATATTCAATCTCCAGAGAGCTAGGAATCAGGAATCAGGATACTACATACTACTATTTTCGTCTGAACTTGCGCGGCCTTGAATTTGTCCCTAGCACTCGTTTCATCAACTCCCCCGTCTCTTTCCTCCTACCAAGCCAAGTAAGTCAGCGAATGGCCAGGTAAGCCAACCGATTGGGACTGACTGAATGGCTGGGCTGGGATAGAGGAGTCCGGTCGCATCAGAGGCCCAGACGAGAAGCTTGAAAATTGGACACGGGGATAAGCTTGATGCAATCAAGCCTTGCTTTCCCAGCTGGGCGTTTAGATTAAATGACCTATCTAATCCACTGATCATGTAGCCAGCCGCAAGATGTGGATATTCCCAAAAGCATTGTTGTTCATCATAGCCATGACCATGATGAGATGATATTGTGGACATTCTTCGTTTAGATATTAATATTCTTGAGACCGGGTATTCGAATGCTCAAACATGACGTGCCAAGACTTTTGTTCATCTTTACCGCGAGAGACATGGAAACACTGCGATCCGGGAAACGAAAAGAGCAGCATCGTGGTCAGACGAGATTGGTGATCCCAGCTGGTCCCAACCTGCACAGCCCCATACACTTCGGGTCCGTATAATCCGCATAAGAGAAAGGAGGTCTTGCTCTAGATAAATTAATCAAGATTGAACTAGATTCGGAAATGGTTGGTCCATTGCTACAATGCTTAGTACAGCATAGTTGTTGTCTCAGCGCTCTCTATAACCGAAAGAACACTCGAGTGATTTATCTTGCCAGCAGAAATTGATTGAAATAAGCTGTCAACTTTGGAGATGGCTTATCAGGAGAAGACTTGCTATTTGGGATAAAGATTACACGACTATTCATTGACGAGATTCCAACTTTTTGGACTACGATATAAATTTGAAAGCCTTAAAGACTGGCTTAGACAGAATTGGCTGTGTTTTTATCGTAGATTTCGCCTGGCATATTGCTCTATGTTGTATATCAGGTGAGTAAACCGCAATTTGATGATTAAAGGTATTGATAGGCCAGGAGCTGGGTTCATGAAATGAAAACCTAGAGCAACGAGATTTCAAATTGTATATGCGTATAATTTCCCACGTAGTAGTATTGTCTTGCATGACTCTCAAAAAGCAGAGTATTCCCAGACCCGTTAAACTATTACCCTTGCTCAAAGGACATATTGAACATTCATGCTGTACCCTGACGTGCTGGGTAGCATAGTCTCTTGGTCATAGTAATGCAAATAATCGTCATCAGCTAAAATGGACTGGCAGGGAAAGCTTCGCCAACATGAACACTGGTTCCGTGGTAGCTGGTACGCAAACTTGAACTTGACAAACTATTTGACACGCAAAGCCAATATCCAATATTGGATCAGAGTCGGTAGCTCAACACGGTTATTTATACAGAATGTATTATTCGATTCCATCCTATGTACATATCTTTGAACTTCTGGATTGCGAGTATTATCATTAGACCCAAAATTGGAGTCGTCATTCGTGTAACGCTATCATAAAGTCGTGAGAGAATCGCCAAGGTCGTTGAACCCACCATGCTCATCTTTCGCTGGGTCTGGACTATGAACCATCAAGTGATACAAACTCAAAAGGCTCGTGAGATGCCTTTCGCTGTATGTTAATCTTACAAATATTGGTGCCGCATTCGCAACGGCCCAATTGGAAGTGTTTCCTCCTCCCTGGTTATCCACGTCATGAAGCCTCCTCACCAACTCTTCCCAATCCTAGCGTGCGGGAATGGACCTCGCGTAGACGTCCTACCCAATGTCTCCGTAATTCAGGGGTGGCCTTTACAAACATCATGGCCTTGACCTCATCTGCAAATGCCTTCTCAGCAATTTTGAGTTGTAGATCGGGATCTTCGTCGGAAAAATCGCGGAACAAGATCTCCATAGCTTGCTCGGGCCATTTGGGCGGATTGCGATTCTTCAAGGCCTCGGCCAACAGCAATATCCCATCCTCGACGAGAGCCGATGAGCTAAAGGAAGAGTGCAATGGTTGTGCCCGAGATGAACTTGCTGGTGGCGGTGGACCAAGATTGATGGACGCAGCTGCGGCCGGAGAATTGCTATAGATGTTGGAAGAAAATCTTGAAGGCCGCCCTCTGCGTCTCTCTCCTTCGCCTGCGATTCGTCTCCGGGCATGAGCTGTGTTTGGAGTTTCGTCTGGCGGCGTGAGCGCAGTATTACTGCCTGCAGATGTCTGCGAGGACACTCCTGCAGTTGTAGAATGTGTAACAGGCTGAGGATTACTCGATGCCTGGGGAGTCGGTTGCGGCTGTTGTGTCGCATTGTGCGTCGGTGTTTGCGAATAAAGGCTCGAGTCCAACGTCAAATCCATGACGTTTTGGCCGTGATTAATCGAGTTGTCGACTGCAAGAGGTGTCCCGTCTGGCCCCTTTCGTTTCTTCATGACACGCTTCGGGGCACCACCAGAACCAACCACGTCCGGAAACAGAATCTCCATGTATTCCTCATGATCGAACGGTCTGCCGCGGAGAGCTTTCGAGAGGGGCTCTTTCTGTATGAGGAATTTCCACATTAGCAAATACTATCTATAGTGGCGCCTTGCCGCATACCCGACTGATGCTCGACATACCTCGAAGTGGCTCTGCCATGCCTCCTCGCTGGCATTCACCATGCGCGTAGCGGGGTTATAGAGAAACTCGGGGTCTTCCCTAAGCCCGCGCCACATACGAAACCTCTTTCGAGCATTATCTGCCTTGTTGATCAAATGACTCTTCTCAGGATATGCCGCGTGCTTATCGCGTAGCGCGATGGCTGCTCTCTCCCATGCACCGGCCTTGAAGCTGTGATTTTCCTTAAAGCCCAATTGTATCGACTCGCAGAGGGACCGGAAAAAGGTGGCCTCGTAGGCAGGATTCCAGCTGAAGCGTGGCGTCCGCCTGTCAGCCCCGCGCGCATCGCTGTCAGCCATGGCTGTGTGTGGTTGTCTTTTTTGTCTTTATCCCGGAGCCCGTTGCCCGCAGGCCGTGTCGTTGGGATGGCTTCTCGACGTCGGCGGCCTGGCGGGAAGCCCCGAAATGAGCTCGTCTATAGGTAAGTCTTGTCCCGGCACTTGAACGGGAGAAAAAAACCGGGACCGAAACGTCGACTGTCTTCACTTATCGTAACTTATCGTAACTCGTTAGCGCCAATGGAGGTTGGGACGCGGAAAGACGGCGATGATCGATTGGATGTGCCAGAAAATCGAGGGGCGGGAAGAATACTAGCACGTGACGTTAGGGGTCTTAGCAGTTCGGTTGGCAGCTACTACTACTACTATAGGCGGGAAGTAATGTATGTAGGTAATGTACGAATCAGGCCTGGTTGTGGGCAGCATATTAAGACTCAAAGTGCAGCCATACTCGGTTTTCTTCTCTTTGCAATTTCATGATTCCCCGGTGTTCTACAAAGTACGTACACAATTTTTTTTTTTCTTCCCTTGCAAATAGTTGATAGGTTGCCGTGGGTCATGAATCAGAGCGCGTCACTGCCCCATCAATGTCTTAAATTACCCACCGTACGCATTTAGTATAATGTACTGCCAGCTGCACCCCAAGGCCTAATACTGTGGATCTTGGTTTTCGAGCTTCAAATTTATGAGACTTGGAAATAAATCTGTGCTTTTCCAAGGTCTTATTTGTTGGGAGAAACATATAATTCAATTTGCAATATCAAGGAAAAGCTTGAGACGTAGGTTCAAGTGCGCTAAAGACAGACCAGGAGCCGCATGACCAGCCCGCATAGTGTAGCGTGTAGCATTTCTGCCCGAGGGGGAAAAAAAATGCTGTCATTACGTTGAAGTATAACGAGCGATTTGTCCACGGTTGAGTATAATCCCGGAACAAGGCGCTAATCTGGTCATTACGACCGAGCTTACCTCGGAGGTCAATAGTTGCTCCGTGACACCGCCATTGTGAGAGTAGTAGCAACTGGCAATTGCGTGCGAACCTGCTGTCACTCTTTACACGATGGACCACATTTGTAACAGCCCATGTTCGGATCCGACTTATTTAGGCACTTTGGCAGTTCCGCCTTTCCGATGTACGACCTGGAGACTTCTGGAGCCGTAAATATGGCGACAAGTTTCGTCAAAATGGCGGAGCTCAAGACTACCAGGCCATGACAAGAGTGCCGTTTTCAACCGAGCAGAACTTGCAAAGAGAAAAAGTCATACTGGAAATGAACTGGAGACCAACAGACGATGGCCTTTTGGCAAAAATTCTGCATACAAGGTCCAGAATATCTCTCAACTATTGCCTGGCAAGCTTGGCATGGCGGTGAACTTGCCACAAAGACGGAATATGTGTACCCTATGCTAGGTAGGTAGGCCTCGGCCTGCTGAGAAATGCGCGAAACCAGACACGAAATAGGTATCTCGATGCCAGAGAGAAAAAGAAAAAAAAAGATGGCGAAAGTGAGCGGCAATATAGCAGCCGAAATCGGAAATTCAGGTACCTGGCAGGTCCTGCACTGGTGGAACTGGCGAGATCCCTGAGCAGATTATCTTATCTAATCAGATTAATCTCTAACGACCCCATCCCGTCATCCGGAGCCCCTCGGCGGCCCAATCACGTCCGACAGCGAGCTGGTTGCCTTTGAATGCGACCCGAAGACTGTCATGAATCCATCCGCTCGCAAAAATTTTCACAGCCTAGCTCGTCCACATGGCCATATCCCCTGCGCGACCACACCACAATTCACCGTGTGAGAGTCTCTAGTCTACCGGCGATTCGTCATGAGAGACCCGCCGTGTAGCTGGCTGGTGTACGGTTAATGCCAAATGGTGCTCTATTCTCGCGCTGCCGTTGGCTACCAAGTGTGCACTACGACTCAACCTACGTACCCCCTAGCTGTTCTGGGAAGACATGGCCGGTTCCCTTTCCATCGCGAGCGCCCAGCCTGCCCTTGGGCATGTCATCTGGACACTGGTGAGATGCGGAGGCAATAGCAGAGCAGGCACTAGATGATTTGAAATCATCACAAGGCGAGCGCCTTGTCCTGTTTCTTCCATATACTCGTCTCCATCGTCTCCAACATCTTTAATAACAAAGTCAGGTTGCCAAATGAGGATCAGAGCTCGGAGTCGGCCAAGTCGGCCTTCTAAGCAGGCTGCCCGAAGGACCCCGGCCTCCCGCCGAGCTTCTTTGCAGGGTAAGGCTTGGCTCTTACGAGCTCCGTCTAATGACGCATCGCCGCCGGCCCCACGATCATATGCAGGAAACGAGTCTTGGCCCATGGCCGTACTGCCCTATAGAGTTATCTGATCCGCTTAAAGTTATCTGATCAAATCCGATCCGCCCCAGGGTCGTCTGCGTAGTCTATCCGCCGTTGGGTTACCAAAACTCGACCCTGGCGGTCTTTGCATTAGCAGATTTGTAACAACTGGAGCTCTGTGAGACCATGGAACCACTTCTCTTGTCATGGCCCTTGTCGATTGCACGAGGAGGGTGCCGCAGTCGGCATGATCCAGTCGGCGGCTCAGCGATGGACATGCTGCTAGCAGTAAATTACTCCATCGTTTCCTCCCTCGATGGCAAGGTTAAGTTCACCATTCTAGATTTGTAGCAATTCACTCTCTTGCCTCTACCTACCAAGCTACTTACCCTAGATGTTGAATGCTCGAGTAGTGCAGTAATCGGTGTGTTTGAGAGCACAGGTCATTTGCCTGTAGTTCGAGTTGGCTGCAAACCGATCACGAAAATAAACGACACTCATTGACGAATCCGGCCGCCGGCATCGACTGTCTTTGCCATGTCGAACCCAATGGCTGACGAGGCGAATGCCGGCGCATCCCTCGACCACAATCTGCAGGAAGACTATTCCGGCGAAGCATCCGACGATGAAGCCTTCCATACTCCCACGTCAACGCCACCAAACGAGTTGTCCGAAGATGCCATCGTAGCAGAAAACCCGGACCTTGAGCAAATTTGGAGCTGGAACACGCCCGTTCCGCCGACATTGTCTACTTGCATGCACGAGCTGATCTCAGAACAAGCCAAGCGGGACCCGAGCCGTGCAGCAGTCAATTCATGGGACGGAGACTTTACTTATGGCGACGTCGAAGAATACTCCAACCGCCTGGCACTATATCTCGCATCTATTGGTGTTGGTGTTGGCACCATTGTTCCAGTGCTATTCGAAAAATCAAAATGGACGTGCGTAGCGGTTCTGGCCGTGATGAAGGCAGGAGGAGCTTTTGCTCTCATGGACCCAAGCCAGCCTGAGGGTAGACTACGCGCCATCGTGGATTTGACCGGCGCAGCTCACATTGTGACCTCGCTGGCACAATCATCTCTTGGTAGCAGTGTGGCACCGACAGCAGCCCATGTGGCTCTTGCTGCAGAATGGTTCGATTCACACGAGATCCCATCCGACTCCCAGCTGCCCGAGGTGCCCGCAAGCGCCAACCTCTATATCCAATTCACCTCGGGAAGCACTGGCATTCCCAAGGGCTGTGTCATCACCCATGTCAACTACACCAGCGGCGCTATACCACGAGCCGACCTTGTCGGATATCGGGAACACTCCCGTGTCTTGGACTTTGCGTCCTACGCTTTCGACGTGTGCATCGACTGTATGCTATGCACCTTGGCGAACGGAGGTTGCCTCTGTATTCCCACCGAGGCGGACCGTGTCAACGACTTGAGCGGCGCAATTCGGAAAATGAATGTCAACATGGCTCACATGACACCCTCGGTAGCACGTGTCCTCGATTCCGACATCATCCCGTCGCTCGAAGTGCTCGGCCTCGGTGGTGAGGCCATCTCGAACGGAGATGCTGCAAAATGGGGCAAGGAGGCACAAGTCGTCAACGCATACGGTCCGTCGGAGTGTACTGTTGGATGCACAATCAACAACCAGGTTGGCCGCGACGGCAAGCAGCAAGTCACCATTGGCAAAGGTGTTGGTGGTGCCATTTGGATCGTTGACCCGGCCGACCATAACAAACTCACGCCACTCGGGGAGGTCGGAGAACTCATTGTCGAGGGTGCCATTGTCGGTCCTGGCTACCTGGGCAATGCAGAGAAGACTTCAGAAGTCTTCATTGAGGACCCAGCCTTCCTTGTGGCTGGCTACAAGGGATTCCCTGGACGCCACGGACGATGCTACAAGACCGGTGACTTGGTCAAATACGATACTGACGGATCAATCATCTTTATTGGTCGTGGCGATCAGCAGGTCAAGCTCAGAGGTCAGCGTATCGAGCTTGCCGAAATCGAGCACCACATGCGCGATAAGCTACCAGCCGAGACTCGGGTTGCCGCTGAAGTCATCAAACCCGGCGGCGGTACAAGCGACCCAATGCTTGTTGCATTCATTTCGGAGAAGGCGGGTCTCGTTCCCAGTTTCGAGGACCTCCTGGGATCATTTTCCCCAGACATCACAGACGCCTTGACTGGTATGAACAAGGCACTTTCGGAATACCTCCCCATCTACATGGTACCGGCTGCATACATTCCACTTCAGACTATGCCCTTGTTAGTCTCGGCAAAGACTGACAGAAAGCGACTCCGTGAGCTTGGCGCTTCCATGAGCAGACGAGACGTTGCCGCTTTTGCGAATGCATTGGTACAAAGGAGAGAGCCGTCGACGGAAATGGAACAAAAGCTGGCCACCATTTGGGGCGATGTCCTGGGTCCCGATGCTGACCTCAGTGCCACTGATAACTTTTTCGCCGTCGGAGGTGACTCTCTCAGAGCAATGAGACTGGTAGCAGCAGCACGAGCACACGGCGTGTCCCTTTCCGTGGCTGCGATATTTGCCAACCCAGTGCTGGAGGATATGGCTCAGGTGGCGCAACCAGCGACTGCTGATGAATTCGTCACTGTGGCGCCCTTCTCCCTGCTCAGCGAGACGTGGTCTCAAGAGGCTGCCAAAGCAGAAACCGCCGAGCTTTGCAATCTGGACCCCGAAAGAGTCGAAGATGTCTACCCTTGTACACCATTGCAGGAAGGTCTCATGGCTCTGTCTGCCAAGGTCACTGAAGCATACGTTGCTCAGCGTGTCGTTGAAATGTCAAGCGTTGACATTGCTCAAAGACTTGCAGATGCCTTCAAGACTTCTTCAACGGATTGCCCCATTCTTCGCACCAGAATTGTCCAGATTCCTGGCCAAGGACTCATGCAAGTTGTTGTCAAGGACGACTTTGCCTGCCCGCTGATCCAGGAGCAGAGCTTGACCGACTTCCTCGTCGCAGATCGAAGTGACCCCGTGGATCTGGGCAAGCCATTGGTACGATATGCCATCGTAGCCGGCGAGGATACCGGAAAAGTACACTTTGTTCTGACAATGCACCATGCTCTCTATGATGGTTGGTCCATGCCCCTAGTGGTTGAGAGAGTAAACAAGGCATACCACGGAGAAACCATTACTCGCCCTGCCAGCTTCAAGAATTTCATCAAGTATCTCGGCGATATGGACCGCAAGGACTCGGAGACTTATTGGAGAGAACGTCTGGACGGTGCCGATGGAGAGCAATTCCCGGCTCTGCCGTATCCTGGATACCAGCAGCAAGCCGACTCATTGCTTGAGCACTACGTTTCGATTGAGACCAGAGTCGGAGGCACGACGGTAGCAACCGCAATTCTGGGCGCCTGGGCACTGTTGATCGCTGCCTACACTGCATCCAATGATGTCGTGTTTGGAGAGACCCTGACTGGACGAAATGCGCCAATTCCAGGAGTTGAAGAGATCGAAGGACCCATGATTGCGACGATTCCTGTGCGTGTAGCTGTCAACCCTGATGCGACCGTCTCGGAATACCTTCAGGAGGTCCACCATCAGTCTGTCCTCAGCATCCCCCATGAACACTTTGGTCTTCAACACATTCGTCGCCTGAGCCCAGATGCTCGCGAGGCTTGTGAGCTCAGAACTGGATTCGTCCTCCACCCCAGCACGGAAGGCGAAGAGGTCGCTTCGATAGAAGACCAACCTGCCAATGGCTTCGTCCCCGCCGGCGACGATGAGGCTGCCCAGGAAGCCTTGAAGTTCAACACATATGCGCTCATGCTTGTTTGTTCCCTGGACCCCAAGGGTTTCCTGATCATGGCCAGCTTTGACTCGAACACTGTCAAGAGCCCACAGATGCAGAGAATGCTCACACAGTTGGGCAGATTGACTCAGCAATTCTGTGAATACCCCGGCAAGAGATTGGCTGACCTCGAGGTTCTGGACACTGCAGAGCAGGCAGAGATTACTCAGCTCAGTACACAGGCCGCCGCAAACTCTGTGCTCTCATCATTGGTTCCAAACGACAGCGAGATTACGGGTGCTTGGATCGTCGACCCTGCTGATGCTGCACGGCTTTCTCCCATTGGTGCAACTGGCGAGCTTCTCATTCACTGCTCTGGTGATCCAAACCTTGAATCAATTGATACTCCAAGGTGGCTGAACGGTGCTGTGGCTGGAAAGGTCTATCGGACAGGAAAGCTGGCCAAGTACAACCCCGAGGGTTCCATTGTACTGGTAGAGAAACCCGTCAAGGAGAAGAAGCAAAAGGTTGAACGAGCAAGCAAAGTATCGGTATCATCGGCGAAGCAAAGAAAACTGCGTAGTGCTTGGAGTCGCATTATTGGCATTCCGGAGGACGAGATCAGCCTGGACGATAGCTTCTTCCTCTTGGGTGGTGACTCGATCGGTGCCATGAAACTGGTTGCCGAAACCCGTGTAGAGGGCTTCGAGATCACCGTCAAGGACATCTTCAAGCACCGGACATTGTACGACATGTCAAATGTGTTGAAGGAGTCGCTAGCTGTCACAAAGGAGACCAAGGAAGAGGTCATCAAGCCATTCTCGCTCCTCGAGATGACCGACAACAGGTTACAGGAGATCAAAAAGTCACTGGCCCAGCCAGACTGGATCGTGGAAGATGTATACCCCACACGGCCTCTGCAACAGGTAGCAGTCTACGGCACAGTAAAGCTGCCTCGCTACTCGACTCGTTACGAGCTTTTCCACCTCGATGGAGATGTGGACAGAGAAAGACTTTTGCGCAGCTGCCAAGAGCTGGTTGAGCGAAACGAAATCCTGCGCACCGTCTTTGTGGAGAGCGAAGGCCAATGCCTCGGCGTCGTGTTGAAGTCGGTGACTGCTCAAGTCGACGAATTCGATATTGAGGGCAAGATTGAAAAGTTTGTGCACAACTTGTGCAAGACGGATATCCAGACCAAGATGCCCCTCGGATCAGTCTTTGTCAAGTTTATGCTCGTGCGAGGCGATACTGGCAAGAGCTGTCTCATTATTCGCATCTCCCACGCCCAATACGATGAGATCTGCTTGGTACCACTGCTACGCCAACTCGGCGCTCTGTATGATGGACTGCCTTTCAGACCTAGTGCACCGTTCTCCAACTTTGTATATCACACAGTCAACAAGAGCATACCGCAGAGCATCGACTACTGGAGAGACCTTCTCAAGGGATCAGAACTCTCTGTTCTCAAGTGTGACCTGCCCCTGACCAAGAGACTGCCGGGAGACATTACCCGTACCGTCAGCATTGCCGCGCGACCCAAGGACATTACGGTCGCCACGCTGCCCACTGCCGCCTGGGCTCTCTGCCTCGCCCGACGCCTCGGCCGCCGCGATGTCGTCTTTGGCGAGGTCGTCAGCGGCCGCAACACGGACCTGGCCAACGTGGACGCCGTCATGGGACCGACCTGGCAGTACGTGCCGGTGCGCGTCAAGTTCGAGGAGGGCTGGACCGGTCTCGACCTCTTGGAGCACGTCCAGTACCAGCACATCTCCAGCGCGCAGCACGAGGGCATGGGCCTCGCCGAGATTGTGCCGCAGTGCACCGACTGGCCCGCGACCGTGGACTGGTTCGACTCGGTCGTCCACCAGGACGTCTACCACGTCGAGGAAATGACCTTTGGCAAGGCCAGCTGCCGCATGGAGACCGTCTACCCGCACTACGAGCCCCTCAAGGAGTGGAAGTGCCAGGCCTTTGTCAAGGGCGACGAGCTCATGTTTGAGATTGTCACGTTTGACGATTGGCTCTCGGTCGCTGAGGAGCTGCTAGGCGAGCTGGAGGAGATTATGGACTTGTTGGTGAGAAGACCCAAGGAGGTCATTCCCTGGTGAACGGATCATGTCTGGGAGAGATCTAACCTAGATAATTTTGAAGACATGGGCTCTGGGGAGGATGAGTAAGGTTTTGCATCATATTTCTTTGTGTATATTGCATTTGATAAAAATACTTGGCATTTTGTACATACCCGTTTGCATAAGACTTTCTCGTGTTCATGCCGCATTTTCTTGTAGATTGATCGCAATACAGTTTGTTGAAACAGGCAAAGAATCGAGGTGTAGCATTTCTTGTACAAATGTGTGACCGGTACCATCAGTGTATGTTCGGGTCAAAATCCCGTCTAAAGTTTCACAAATTCTAGTCCTTTTATGGCTTGACTAAAGGCAACTATCAATAATCAATCTTTCGTCAGTATTTACAGGCGAGCTTGCTGCTCTTGTCCAGTCAGCCCTCTTTCCAAGGCGGCTCCAAAAGCTTCCGTCACATCGTGCTCATGAATCCAACTGGTATCAGCCCTCTCCTTCATTTTTCGTCTCAACTCCTCATCGGTTGTGGCATCCTGTCGTTTGACTTGTTCAATCTTCTTGGCATTCATCTGAGCCACGACGTGCATCACGCGGTCCGTATGCGGCTTCCTCGTCCTCTCATACAAGGCAAGAGCAGCCGCAACGTCACGAGCAGAGGGCTTCCGGGCAGCATCCGGCGGTACAGCCTCGAAGAGGGATGCAGCAAAGGCCCACGCATCATCGAGAGCCAGGCTCCCTCCCGCGGCAAACGCACCGCCGTGAGCGTGCGCCGCGTCGCCCGCCAGCGTCACCCTGCCGGCCCCGAGAACCCACGTATCCAGGGCGTGTGCCGTGCTGTTGGGGTATACCCGCGTATGGGGCACGGCATTGATGATGGCCTGGACAGCAGGACTCCAGTCCCGGTAGTACTCGCGCAAGACGGCCACGTCGCCATCCGAGTTCCACGTTGCGTCCCGGTAGGGTGCGTCTGGCGCGTTGGGGTCGCTCTGAGCGGACCCGACGACGGTAAACAGGTCCCGGCCCAGACGCGAGAGAAAGAGGGTACGGTCGGGGCCCCAAATGTGGACGGCCTCGTCTGGGATATCGGCCGCGGGAATGTGCGAGAGGTGCGATATTGGAAAGACTGAGCGCAATGTCGTCCAGCCTGTCCAGGTTGTTCGGGATGTTGGCACGTATTGCGTGCGTACTTTGGAGTGGATGCCGTCGGCTCCAAGGAGGAGGTCGGCCTGGGTTACTGTTCCGTCTGTGAAGGTAATGGTGAGCTTTTGGCTCGATTCGTCAAAGTCGGCTGAGCTGAAGGCCTTGGACAAATGAAGTTGGGAAGGCTCTACATGCTCGGCCAGAGCTTGATGTAAGTGCGCTCTGTAGAAGCGTGAGGTCAAATGCCTGTCCTCGACATGGCCTTTATGACTGTCCACTGATATGTCTTCATTTGTTTTCCAGTGACTGTTCAATACGTCAGTATATACGTCCCAACAGTGCTCACTCACCATGAGCTCTTCATACCGATATATCATTGGATGTCTCGACTTATTGCGAAAGGCAACCGAGTCGTCCAGAGCATTGTCCACGCCCAGCCGGTCCAGCGTGCGCATTCCATTGGGACCGAGAGCAATAGAGGCCCCGATCTCGCGGAGTTCGGCCGCCCGTTCGTATATCTGCACGTCTACTGCGGGGTGGTCCTTGAGCGCAATGGCGGCGGCCAGCCCGGCGATGCCGCCTCCAATAATAGCCACTTGAAGTTTGGGTATTTCTGCCATGGTGCAAATTTGGGTATATTAAGAGATATTTGTATTAGATGAGTTGATTTCTTCTTCCAATTATGCCTTTTTGCTTAAATCGAAAATCGTCTTTGGCCGTACCCACGAGTGTCTGGGTACATACCTAACCTAGGCATATGCACATTACCTTTTACGTGAGCGATGGCGTAAGACGGTGCCGCAATGGCACAACGTCCGCTGTCGGTGCTGTTGCATCTTGGTAACTACCACGGGCGAATGCCATTGACTTGAGTTATCATCGAAGCTGATGAATGTATGATGTGTCGCGCGGGGTATGTATGGATTTGCTTGCGATGCGGGAGTGCTCATTGACCCAGTAAACTTTCAGTCCCGAGCATCCCAAACTGGATGCACAGTGTAGGCACATTTATGATGTGCATCATAGATATACAGAGCATCCCGCCCAATCCCTATTTGGGATTGCCAGAACCTCCAACAAAGTCTTCCATTTCGTAGTGGTACGGAGTTCAGACTCAATATAATCACTGTCAATATTGAATTACTGCAAATACGGTTGTCCCAATGCTGACTTGCGGGTGTGCATTGAGAGTATTGATTAAGTCGTATGCTGGCTTAACAAACCGCCAAGGTGCAATCCAAAATGGTTCTCTACCATGAAACACAAGCCTGCCATTACTAAGGGGGTGGCCTTTAGATAAGCGACTTACCAAGCAAGATAACTATTGGATTTTGTCTCGAACGAAACGACATTCTCTAGTTTGTGATGCGAGAGAGATGCAGCATAAAGATTCATCTTCACCTATTTATAGTTGAAGATTTCCACAGTGATTCCGTGGATCTGGTCGATCGTCAAGCCCCAGCTTAGGTGGCCAATGGCCATTGATGCAATTCTACACTACGAGCTACATAGTATGCATTGCGTATTCACTACCAGTGTACTAAAAGATTGTACCGGGTCAATCACCTGCATGCTTGCACCTGCAGTAATCATTTCCATTAACTCGCAGCATGCAGAAGCCTGGCGCTTGGAAGTTGCATGTTGGCAGCTTTGGATTGTAGCGATAGGAAGGCATCACTTGAAAAAAGAGGATCCAGTTAGAAAGAAGAAAGCCGCTGCCATGCATGGAGGATCTCGTTTTCATCCGACCACTCAGACTCTTGGTCTAGGGGCTTTCTTAGCGAGGGGTATCACCAGCGAAAAAGAGGTGTAACCAGGGCCTGTAGTGGGAAAGGGTCGCAGGGGCGGGGTGCGCTGCCAAAAAGAGAAGGACCAGTAAAAAGAGCCGCCGAGGTTCAGAAGTTAGAGCCCCCCTGGCACTTCACGGCCAGCAGACGTCGCGATTGGATCGCTTGTGACACGGCCTTTGCCGCAAGCCGCCCAGACCCTCAGGCCTCTGCCCCCCCCCCAATGCTGGTCTTCTCTGACTCGACGTGTCGCATCGCCAGTCGATCCGACAGTCCCAGACAATGCTGCCGCGCTTGCAAGTCTTGACTGACTGCTCAAGACAGCGCTCAGCCACCTACTTCTGCTTCGTCCCATCTCCTGTTCTCATGCTACCGAACCCATACCCAGTCAGTTCCAGGCCAACGGGAACCAGAATTGTCTCATGGTCTGGCCATTTTCCTGGGCATCACCGTTGGCATATGGTGTGTTCGCTGCTGGTGTCGGGGCTACATTGCTTCGCTCCCACGCCGTCGGTCCCTTGCGACGGCTGGTGCAACCTACCCCCCAGGCGTCGACTGTCAGTGCTAAGCTTAAACGTCCACCCACGAACGCCCCCAAAAGCTTGACTTGCCATTGCTGTATCCTCATTGGCCCTCTTTATTCCCACGCCAGTGTAAAGCGTCTTGAGCCTCATGATGTCGTCCTCTAACCCATCCGCGACCCATCTGGTATAGCCGCCTGCCCTCTTCTCATCTTTTCCCCCGTTGTCCTCCTGACTCTCAGTTTTGTAAGATGGCCTCTTCCTTTGTGGTTCATCATCGTGCCACTGCCCAGGTCTAGAGACACATGTGAGAAGAGTGACGTCGCCTGTTCAGTAGTAACCCTTTGACATCGTCTCTTCTTTCCCACCCATGCCCGGACCCCCCTGGATGCAACCATAACCCAATAGGTTGCAGGGGTGTCTGATAATATGTCCTCGCATACTCTGTACTGATCTTTGCCCATGATTAATTCTGCGACTGGGACCTCACCCCTGTCAAAGCCTCTCTCTTGTCGTCTGCCGTTTTCTCCGTGAACCGAAACTAAACAAGACTACTCCCTCCCGCACGGCCAGTCTCTTTCTTTTCTCTTTATTCTTTTGCTTTGCTGGGCTTCTCGATCGACAGTCACAACTGTATTCAGGTAGACGCGAGTCAACTTTCGTTTACTATTCGCTTCTCTTCTTCCGCCGGTCGGCCTTTTTCTACGTGACATTAATATTTTTGTGCGCTTCGATTCTATATCCTCTCTTTCCACTTTCTTCATATAATATACCCTTCTTTGGTCTTTGCCGCAAACAAACATAGCCAAAATGATTTGGACTACTTCAATTGCGGCCTCGTTGCTGGTGACGGGGGCCTATGCTGGCGTGGGACGAATGGCGGGCATGGAACCCAGGAATGTGGTGGAACCGAGAATGGAGGATGATATCACACCAATGCTGGAAAAGAGACAGAGCTCGATCAACCTGACGCCGAACCAGTCGTCGATGAACATGTCACAGTGGAACGCCGAGACTTCAGCAGCATGTACGACGGCTCTTTCGCAACTCTCAGTCGCATCGAACCCTTCAGGAACTGCTGTCTGCTACAACATTCCTAGCCTGGATACGAACACGGGCACTTTCATGGCAGATCTGAGATTATTCCAAGTATCCTCGGCGACTGGAGACTTTTCGAGTATTCCCCAGCAGAACATTCAAGTCGAACTTCAATACAAGGGTGCTTCGGTGTCAAGTGTCAACCAAACATCGTCATCAGTAGCTGCACGTGGACTGGAAGCGCGTGCCGTGAACCCTACTCCACTGCAAACCTACTTGTTCGTTGGACAAATAGATCAGGCACAGCTTGCCCAGCCAATGACCATGTAAGTGAAGAAATACTCAATGCACTAAAGTTGGGAGAACTTGTACTGATACTATGGAAAGGGGAGTTCTCGAGGCATTGATCATGCCTACAGTTAGTCTCAAGGGTGTCAACGCCGCAGGCAACACGGTCACTACCAACGTCTCTTCCAACGAGGCCGCCTTTGTGAACGGCATTTTCTCCAATGAGGTCATCATGTCTGATCTCGCTCTCGCCCAGCTGGCAGTCAATGACGTGGTTGCTGGGCTCAAGAATGGAACCGTCGCCTTTATTCTGCCGGGCGTCAACATTCTCATTTTCCCCGTTGGTCTGGTTGTTACTGGCTTCTGGACTCTGGCCGGATTTGCCGTTTATGGCTATGGCACGTTTCAACGCATCAGCTACCGCGAGTCGTACAGGTCAAGGAAAGCGAGGGTTGGAAAGTCGAGCACCATGAGGTTTTGAGCAGTAACGCGCAAACTCCCAAAAACCGTTAAAAGTCCCTCTGGCATGTTGAAACGATTTGGTCAACGGACAATATCTTCCGCACTTCATTCGGAGGATGATATAAATGCCGTACTTTTGCCATGATGATTCAGCTACGAATGCCCTATTCATGTCTCGAGTGTTCGACTGGGCCAATCCTTGCCGTTTTTCAGCTTAAACAACTTATACGCTTGCAGCTTTAGACAGTTACATACCTATGTAGATTCAGATTCAATTCAAGAAAGAAAGAGAAAAAATGATCATCACACTATTTCCCCAGATGAGAACATCATGTACCAGAGTGAATTCCAGACTGGGAGATCCTAGTTAGAGAATGCGAATACAATGCAAGACTCCATAAAAAAGCCAGTTCGGCAACATGGAATTGCTGCCGACGCATTTGTACGAGGAGGGGCCCTTGAAGTTGGGTTTTCTCTGTTCGTTGGGTCGACACACGGGAGTGAATGATGCCGATCTATTTGGAGAGCTGAAAGGTCAGTGTATCGAATCGACCCAGTTGGACCCAGTGAAGCGGGAGGTCCCACGGCCTAGTTCCAGCGGCTTTTATGCGAAGAACAATTCGAGTGGATCGCGCTGGGGGCCACCACCGCAGAACTGAGCAAAGACATTCTTTTCTTCCAAATTTGTCGCCTCGATATTCTAGAAGGAAATGAATTGTTATCACTGCCACAGAGGCTACTTGTCCTCGCGAATTGCGTCTTGTTTCATCAGAGGCATGTCGCCATGCAAGAACTCTCGTGGGATGAGAGAAACAAGTGGCATGGCAAGTACGCTGAGAAGTGGTCAGCTAGCAGGCGCGAATTCGCTCAGGCTTCAGCGGGTCACTGCAGTAAAAACCAAGGCGTCTATCGCATCCGTAGCGTGTCCTCGTTTTCCTTCTCTTCACAACACATGGACCAACGACCGTCTCTTGAGTATTGCACCACGGGAAGTGAGAAATGTTTATTGCTCTTTCCATTTGCATGTCTACTGCGCTCGACTATTGGCATATTGACATGTCGCTGCAACGATGTGGATCATCATTTCACCTTTAGGGCACAAAGTCCACGAAAGAAGCCTCGCGTGTATATCGCGCCCCTCCGCCAGAATGTCCCTTATATTTTACCCAAGCCTAGAAGCTTGGACGGCACCTAAAATGACAACAACAGCCTCTTGGGCACAAATTTAGAAATGTCCAGAAGCAATAAGGAACACCCTAAACCTTGGTTCCCAATGCATTTTGTCCACTGATCATCAATCAGTGGCGATCAAGACTCTTGTCTCATGAGTACGAGGCGAGGATAGTAAATAGCCCACCCCGGATCTGCCGAGAACATCGTGGGCGATCCGATCACAGACCAATCGATGGTCCGTTCCTCAACGCCGTCTCAAGACATACAGCCTCACTGTGATTTCTGGCTGCAACGTCGAGCCCAGAAATTCCGGGGACAGCTTTGATTAAGGCATCATTGGGCGGAAAGGCCATCCGCGGCATACTGACAATAAACTCCCAGTCAATTCCAAGGGCAGTGAGGGCCGAGTAAACGTTGGTAAGGCCGTAGATTCTATACCCACACATGCTATACTCGGATTCGCGCTAGGTATTTCCATCCGAGGCGCATAAACGATGAGCAAAGCTATTGTCAACGCTGAAGCTCGGATCCCAGCAGACCATTTGCATGATCACCGTCTCTTCGTTGGTAGCTACAAATAGCTCTCATGTTTCACCAATCAACCAGAATCTTCTCCTCCGTCTGATCTTCTCCAGCGTGCAATTGTTTGCCATTGACGACTTTTCTCTACACTCATTTTTTCACGAAGACGACAAGTGTCACTATACCTCTGAAATTATCTCTCTTGTGTTGCTTGCGCCACAGTCATATACAATTCGTTTCATCTCATTACAAGATACCCCTCAACGGCCTATAGCGTTTCTTTTGTATATTCAAGATGTTCAATATTTCCTCCTTTGTGCAGCGTATGCACGACAACTTGTCGTCTATCAAGGACACTGTCAGCGGGCTGTCAACAGAGAGCCACAATACCCAGCTCGATGAGCTCGAGCAGCAACGGGACTCTCTTCTGGCCGGGCTCCGCACCATTTTTGACCAGGAGCTGGAGGAGGCAAAGGCCAAGCGTCAAGTAGAGCTTGATGAAATCAAGGAAAGGAGAAGAATAGAGGACGAGGAGCGGGAAGCTCGACGCAAGGAGGAAGATGAGACACTCCAGAACAGAAATGATGCTGAGGACATCGCTCGGCAAGAGAAGCTCGATGGAGACGTCAAGCTAGTCGACGAGGACACGGACAAGAAGATGGACGAGATTGAGGAAGCTGCAAGAGCACTGATTGATGGTGCGAAACTGAAGATATCCGCTCTCGAAGACCAACGAAAGGTGAGTCTTTTCATGAATTACTTGGAAGAAAGCCGGTTTGACAAAATACTAATGTAAGCAATCTTCAGGAGATCAACCAATTGATCGATGAACATCTTCAAATTACTCTGCCAGAGATGCCAACTCGAAAGAGGGGCCGAGTTGAGCAGCCAACTGAAGCTGCCGTGGCGGAAACCCAAGTTGAAGCTGTCGTTGAGAGCCCCGAGCCGGCTGCTGAACCTGCTGTGGAAACTGAAGAAGAACCGGCTGCCGAGGAACCAACAACTGAGGCTACTGAAAATGCTACTGAAGCCGTTAACGAGCCATCAGAGGAATCTGCAGCAGAGCCGGTCGACGAGCCGGCCACTACTGATGCCAAGTCGATCGAGGAGGTGGCACCTGAAGAGCCTGCTGCCGAGACTCCTGAACCTGCTGTCGAAGAACCTGCTGTCGAAGAACCTGCTGTCGAAGAACCTGCTGTCGAAGAACCTGCTGTCGAAGAACCTGTTGTGGAAACACCTACTGTCGAATCTGTCCCTGCTGAGCCGATTGAAGAATTAGCTACCGAGAACGCCACTGAACCTGCCGCCGAACCCGCCGAGTCCGCCCCCGAGGTTGCTACTGAAGCCGCCACTGAATCCGTCGCCGAACCAGTTGTTTCGGAACCAGTCGAGGAACCTGCTACTGAATCTACCGTCAATCCTACCGCTGTTGAGTCGGTAGATCTTGCTGTTGAGACTGCTGTTGAACCGACTACCGCCGAGATTCCTGCTGAACCCGCCGCTGAGCCTGCTGCCATTGATTCTGCAGAACAATCTGCCGCGAACGCGGTTGCTGATGCTGATACCGTCCCCGAGCCCGTTGAGGAATCCGCGACGGAAGCTAAGGTCGAACCAACCATCGCCGAGCCGGCAGAGGAGCCAGCGGCCGAGACTGCTATGGAACCATCAGCCGAACCCGCCACCGCCGAACCAGTCGACGAGACAGTCATTGCAGCTGAACCCGTCACAGAGCTCACCACTGCTGAGTCGGTAGAAGAGCCTGCTCCTGAAGCTACCGCTTCTGATCCGACAGAGGAAAATGTCCCTGGATCTGTTCTCGAGCCAGTAGAGCAAGCCGTTATTGAATCTGCCTCTACTGAGCCGGTAGAGGAAGCTACTATCGAAGCTGTTGATGAGCCTATCGCCGAGCCGGTCGCCGAAGTTTCCACCACAGAACCTGTTGCAGCAGAAGACGCAGCCATTGCATCCTCTGAGGAGACTGTCACTGAGCCTGTCACCGAGTCTGTCACCGAGCCTACTGCTGAAGTAACAGAAGAACCTTCTCATCAGTCCACCGAGCCTGTTGTGGAGCCTGCTACTGAGTCGGTAAATGAAGTTGCTGCTGAGACTATTGGTGAAGCTCCTCTCGAATCTACCTCCAAGGCCACTGTCCAGACTTCTGAGCCTGCTGCCGAGTCTGGACAAGATTCTGCCACTGAATCCGCGATCGAGGATAAGCAACCAGTAGACGAAATTGCTCTTGAAACTGCCGAAGCAGCCGAGCCTTCTGTTGAGGCAACAGCCACCGAAGTCCCCGAAGCCACTGTCGAGACTGAGACCGTACCCGTAGACACACCTGTGAAGGCACCAGCAGCAGAGGAGCCTGTTGCAGAGGAGCCTGTTGCAGAGGAACCTGTTGCAGAGTCTGTAGAGGAGACTGTCACGAAAGCTGTCGAGGTTCCAGAGAGCCAAGAATCCGTAAATGCTTCCGAGGCCACACAGGATCCCACTGGGGAGCCTACTGAGGCTCCTGTAGCCACTCAGCCAGTAGAGGAGTCTGTTGCCGAGGCTTCTGAGACCGCCAAGGACATCGAAATCATCGAAACAGAACAGGTTTCCGAAGTTGTTGATTCCACACAGCTTGCAAATGAACCAACTGTTTCTGCTGAAAACGTTATGGAAGCATCTGTCGCTGATGCTGCTCAACCGGCCGATGAGAAGGTTGAGATTGTAGCCGAAGCACCTGCCATCCCTGCCGCCAATGAAGTCGTATCAGAAGCATCGGAGGAAGTCACAGCTCCCATTGAGACGGCTATCGAGACTACTCAATCAATTGAGCCCGAGGACACAACAACTGAAGCAGCGAGCGAAGAGGTCCAACAGGAAAAGCCGGATACAATCACAGACGTCCAGCCCGCTGAAGACATTGCATCTGTACCTGCGGAACTCGATCTAACTACCAAGAATGCCACCACGCATCCTGAGGTGGACGAGTCCAGTTCCAACGACGAGATTGTCGAGCCCATAGCCGCCCAGGAGGACTCTGCTGTCGAGCCTACTGAGGGTGTTGAAGAAGTCCCGAAAGAGATGGTTGAGCCAGTCCAAGACACTACAGAAGAACTTGCCACAGCACCTGTTGAAGCCCCTGTCGAGGACCTTGCCCAAAAGTCTACGGAGATCGTGGAGAATCCTGTTGTTGAAGAAAGCACTCAGGAACCTGTAGAGTCTGTCCAGGAATCCGTTGAGCAAGTCATTGAGAAGCCTACAGAGATTGTCCCTGAAGATACTAGCAAGACGCCTGCTCCAGAGACTACCGAGGAAGTCCCTCAACAGACTGTCGAAGTGATCCAGGATGTTGTCCACGAGCCCGTGGAGGTACCAGCCCAAGAGACTACTGAAGCTAACCAAGAAGAAGCCACCGAGTTGTCTGTTCTGGAAGCTCCTACAAGTGATGCCTCTATCAGTGTGCCGGTCGATGACACACCCGCAGAGGGTGTCACTGTTGAGCAACATGAGCACATTTCGCACGATCAGCCGACCATCCCTGAGTCCATGTCTGCCGTAAAGATTGCTGAGGAGCCTAAAGAATCCACTTACACCGAAGATGTGAAAGAAATACAACTTTCTTCAGTGCCCACCGCACCAGCTGATAATGTCGAGACCGACACGGCTGAATCAACGGAGCAGAGCCAGCCAAGCACAGCAGATACCACACTGGATTCGGATGACCTTGTCCAAGACAGTACTGACAACAGCGAGCTGCTCGAGAAAGATGCAGGCGAAGAGAAAGCCGATGTCAACAAGACACGAGACACATCGGCGAAGAGCATCCTTGATACTCAGGAAGGGGCCAAGGGGGCACTAGAGTCGGCGCGGAATGAAGACGCAAAGAGCAACATTGAAGTTGTTCCTGCGATAAATGTAGCTCGTATTCCCACTGACTCTGCGGATGGATCCCCTTTCGAAGCAAAAGATATGCCGACATCTGAGTCCAAAGACATGCCCAACTTTGAGTCTGCAAACAAATATAGCAATGAAGCGGACACATCAGCATCAGGACGTCTGGAAGACGAACAAGTTGGTACCTCCCCCCGAAACCCGGTTCAACCTGGTATCTCAACTCTGACTGACACGCAATCAGATTATGCTGGACGATCAGAGCCTTCCCGGGAGCCCGTCACGGATTCGCCTCCGGATGCGGAGCGACAGTCAGCGCAAGCAATTGGAGACACAGTGGAACACCAGGAAAAAGCAGATTCGTCTTCAGCTGAAAGGTCCAACCCAGTAGAGTTGACCGACAAGTATATACCTCCCGTCGTCACACAGACGGCCAGCTCCTCGGGAAACACCAAGCTGGGTCATCGTCCCTTGCCACCAATTCCTGCCGATGAACACCAAAGAGAAGTTTCCGCATCGCCACTACCGGTCGAGAACGTCACTGTACAGGGTTCTGACGATCTGTTCGATGACGAAACCGCCTCATCTCATTTTAGTGATGAGGAAGACTCCGAGATCATCGATTCGTTTCCAGTTGCCCACGGCTCCAACAGTTACATGAGAGAGTCAAGTCCTGCCCAGTATGACGGAGCAAGCTGGGGTGAATTGACGGACCGATCCACCGACGAACCCTTCAAGGCTGCTACAACTTTCCAAGAGGAGCAGACTCCAACGCAAAGCAAGTTTGACTTTCCCCGGAGCTTTGGGATCCGAGCAGTCGGTGGTTCTGGCCATGAGGAAGATGCTCTATCTGTTGGCCGTGCACGAACACCTAGCCTAGCTCCTAGTGTACTGGGAAACAACCGCGAGGTCAGTCCTCTCGTGTTACAACCTGGTACTCCCAACAGAGGAGGACTGGCTGCCAGCAGACACGCTGCTCTCACACCGACCAGACAGTATGAACCAGAAGTGGAGCCCGAAGCCGAGGCCGATCCTTCACAATTTGCACCTCGCGATGTCACGCACGTTTTCTGGCACGCACGCAGTCCGAGCAGCCTCTCGACAAGGCCTTCGTCACCGGCCCCTTCGTCCTTGTCTGTTGACAAGCGCGAGCCTGCAATTCAAGATTCCTGGCAAGGATCAGTCAGTGGGCGGTCTCGAGCCAGTACCCAGATGACAGACCCATATGGCGATGATGAGTTTGATCCGTTTAAATATGACAGCGCCAAGCCTGCTCCGTCTGACTTCAGCTCTTCACGGCGAAGTGTACTCATCCACCCACCAGTCATGGAGTCACATCGCTCCGTCTCCGGTTCTCACGCACCTGCCGGCTCGCACATGTTCCAGAAACTTCGTAACATGTTCGAGGCACCAGGCGGCAATTCTGGTGAGGGGGCCAGCAGCGCATCAACCATCCCATCGCAATCTGAATCCATCACGGTGCCCTCCATCAACCGCAAGCGGAGCTCTTCCCAACTCCACGAAGCACGTCCCTCTATTGACTCTAGCCAGAAGTCTGCCAGGAAGACGTTCTCGAGGGAGCGAGACGACAAGTCAAGCGAACGCAGTTCGTTATTGCGCAGCTTCAGCAGCGCATCCCGACACTGACCACATTCGGTCGCGACGGGAGATACAAATCATCCAGAGCCTGACGGCTTAAACACGCATTATGATAATGAAGACTATGAGGACGAATACGACGATGTGGGGCCAATCAACGGGTCACAGGCAAGTGGTGACTTTCGCCTCGCCTGGCTGTTCGTGAGTGGCTGGCGACAGCGTCTGAGTACTGGATATGATCTTGTTGAGATGCACAAGAGGGAATGGGATTTGGAGGATGCGGACGTGGAAGCGGAGACAGACGGGCAGTCTAGCAAGCGGTCTTCGTGGTTTTCATTCTAGGAGGATTTGTTTGGGGATTCGGTCAAGGGACGACGAATCCAATGTTCGGGCTTTGCGATTACATATATTTGGCGTTTAGGTGTTGATGGTTCATATACTCCCTCAGATCCCTAGTTGGGCCGGAGTTACCTTCAGATTTGAAATTGAGCTTGTTTACCACAATGTATTTTCAAATGATGTATTCGCAATACTCAATTTTGCCATGGTGTGAAGCAATCTACAAACAGCATCAGATCGCTTGCCGAATTCAGTGTGGAGTACTCCGTATGCAGCAGCGTACAGTATCAAATTGCAGAATATACTGTCCTCAACATGGCCGCTTGTGATTAGAACTCGGGCCAAAGTTGTACAGTGGGAAACTCGCGGTCCACCTTGGAACGGTCACCTTGTATGCTCATTCATCCACAACGTATCGGCATAATCACTGGCAGTCCCTTGAGTGAAACATTAGGCTTTCCACGTCCGGTAACTCCCATTATTCTTTGCTCGTGAAGAGCCTCCTCCGCATCAATGCCAAAAAAGAGAGGTGCAAGCGGCACGCGGCCGACATCATCATCTGATGATGATGCAATCATTCGAGCAGCTGCCTATGAGCGGGATGACTTGACGCAGGTCGTCATACAGTTTGAGCAGAGTTCTCACTCGGCGGTACAGTCATTGCTGTTTCAACCGATTTCTTCCATGTCAGGAGGAGCACAGTTTGGAAACCTGACGAGCCTACCCATCGAGGTCATTTCCACTATTTGCATGATGCTTGATGCCAAGAGCGCCTTTTTCTTCAGTCACGTCAGCCGCCGGGCCCGGGAGACGACAGCGACGATTCCAGCGTTCAGACGCGTGGCCGAGCATGGTTCAGAAACTCTGCGCGCAGTGCTCAAGACTGGGTACGGGCCCCACCTCTCTGTGGGTGACATTGACTCTGCCCTCACCTCGAAAGAGTGTATCGTTTGCAAGCATTTTGGCTGCTTCTTCTTCATCCCAGAGGCCTCGCGGTGCTGCTATGAGTGTCTTCGCTGCGAGCCCGACTTGGGTGTCATGAAGCTGAGTGACGTTCCGCGTATCTTGGAGGAGAGCTCAACGGAGGTGCTCAAGAAGTCCATCCCCGTCCTCCGCACCCTGCCGGGAACATATCGGGATGTGTATCATCGTACCGCCACCAAGCCACGCCGCCGCCGGGTCGACATTGTCTCGGAAAACAAGGCCATAGCGTATGCCGCGGAGAAGACTGTTTCCGACGCAGAGGTCTTGCGCAAGGTCTACGCGTACTGGCGCCCCAGCTTCGATATGACGGATGCCTATCGCTTCATGGCGGCGACGCGGCTACCCTATTTCGATATCGAGGCGGGAACAGCCGACAATGGCTTGTGCTGCAAGGGATGTCAGGAGTCGCAGCAGACGGCGCCGGCCGTGGCGACGTGGACGCGCGACTTCAAGGTTCGGCAGAGAATGTTTCTACGACCTGAATTTTTGCATCACTTTGCTTCCTGTCCGGCGGCACAAGAACGTCATCGTTTGATGGCGGAAACTGTGTCGTAACAATATGTTTGCTCGTGCTACGGTAGCATCGAGTTCAGGACTCGGGATCGAGCGATTTCCACACTTTTGACCCCCTACATTGTAATGATTATCCTTGTTATCGATTAATATACATATCATACAACGGAAAGAATCAAGGAGAGAGAGCATGATTTGTGATTACCTGGTTCGTATCTTTTGCAGCTCGTTTCACCGAGATTGGCGACCGCAGTGGAGGAAATAAGGGAAGGAAAGAATATTACACTGCACTTGCCTTTTATCTTGGTGCATACTGTCGTTGTGCCTGCCTCTGGATAATAGAATCCTCCGTTCTCATTTCCAAAAGACTGTTTTCCCTTTATCCGAGTGTCCATGGTCGAATCCCCAACCCAGTCTCATCAAAACAGCATCCTTCCTTCGCAGTCTTACTGAATACGTACCCAACGCACATTAGGCACGCCGGCACCAATACGACCTTGTGCATATTTTGCTTCGCCGGGCCAACAACTTTATTCCGAGTAGCATTGTCACATCATTGCCCTCCTCCCACCAGAACCATGGCAGATGAGCAAGTAAATTGGTTCACCGTTGGAAATACCGATCGACATCGGCCAAGCCGCTGGTATTGCGCGGTGAGACCGCTCCCAAGATTGTGCTGTGACACTTGTTCAAAGGTAGCGGAAGAAAAGTGTGAATACTGCGGCATGTCTATATGCGGAGACGAGGCTTGCGAGTACGATTGTGACCGCCACGACGTTGCCCTGTGCGACACATTTTCGTCTTTGGTGCCAAAGCCACAGTGTGCACGTGTGATCCGACTTGATAACGAGTGCGATGCCCCCGAGTGGGATTATCTTCGATGCAAAAGAGAGGACAAGTTCGACTCTATTGAGCTCCCGTTATGTGCTCCAGAGTTTGCCGACCTGCCACGGCAACAGCTCTTGAAGCATAGTTGGACGCGAATGTATAACTGGTTCAACGTTTCCGACGGCTGCTGCTTGGAACTCTTTGCTGCAGTTCCCTTTGGTGGTATTGATGGAACAGCAACCGTCTACAATGGTCTACGCGGCCGACCCAACAAACATATCCGAATATTGGAACCGACCGGCTGTGGTGGTTCAGTCTACCCGTGGTCGTCGACAGCCTACATTGTCGCCTGGAAGCACGAGCTCCATCCACGCACCGGGAAAATGAGGGCTCGATGGCAGGATGTCACCATGGACCATTACAGGCTCGTAGTAGACTGGTTTTTGTCGTCTTGGCTCAATTCAAGTGCTTGCATGGGCACTCACTTACGCGAAGATAACTCAACCTTCGCTCTCAAAATCAACAGCGATGGCGAAAAGGATTGGACTTACAGCGACTCTGAATTTCGACGGATGGACGACGCGGCCACGGTCTATCGCCATCCTCTTTTCGTGCTAGAGGACATACAATGGGCCTCCCCACTGGCCTATATGCTTGGTCTCCCTTGGGTGTGTCGCATAGCACCTTCGCATCTCGAGATTAGCAGAATGTCAGATATGCTCCCAGATGCCCTGCAGCTTCTAAAAAACGACAAGGCCATCCTACTGAGCGCTCAGTACATTGATCCCGTCCCGACCCCTGGGCGTAAGCGTCGCCATCTTCCACAAATATACAGTTTTCAAAACCTTCGATTCAATCCGTATCCTGGCACAGTAATGATAATTCACGCCAACGGAGGACTGGTTGCGCCAGAGCACGTTGATGCCTTCAACGAGTTCGTCGGACGCCATCTACGGGCCTCGGACAAGGATCCGTCCAAGTACCAAATCAAGAATTTTCGAAGATCAATGTTCATGGAGTTCTAGGAAACATACAGGACTCGGTATCCGCAGCATAAACTCATTTCACCCTACGTGCAGGAACGCAAGTGCTGCTTGGCAGATCGAAGATGGCACGCATGGGAGGCTGCATGGTTTGAGTTTTACCATGAACGGCCACTCACGGACCGTGAATACGCCGCAGGAGGCGCTTTTCTCCCTTTGCCGAGGAAGTCGATGCTTCGAAGTGGTGAATCATGCATTTTCAATGCACTTCTAAAATTTGCCTGGGCGAAAGTAAGAGGGGTCAGGATTGATAGAGAAGAGATATGGAGAGAGTATGTGGTTGAATATGTTACAGAAGCCCTAGGGCATGCTAAATTCCAGATCGGTGGCTTCACCTTTCTCATGCCTCAGGAGTCAGTCATTACAGACAAGCTGGAGATTGCAAGAGAGTCGGCCTTGACTGCCTAGTGGACAGTCATAGCCATTTTCATCGAGGGAATGGAGAAGACCAGAAAAGAAAGACTAGCCAGTGGGACACTCAAAGACGACGAGCTCGAAGACGACGAGCGTGCGAGCAACTACATTGTTTCGCAAGACCTTGAGAGATTACATTACTTTTTCACCAACGGTTCCATTCACAGCGAGGGAACTCATGGCACCGAAAAATGGATCTTGGACTCAGTGATGGCAATTTTTGGGCTCCGTGCGGAACCAGTCGACACCGATGGGCGGGATTCTGCAGACGAAACAAGTAGCACGAGATACTTCGGCGACAGAGGAAAGCCCACCGGCCAAGGCGAAGCAGACGAAGCAGTTGGTCGTGTCATTTCAGCGCATGGTGAACCACAAAGTCCGATTGCAAAGGCATCGATCTCCTTGGCGGATAAATTGGTTGTCTCTCAGATCTGTGGAGAGGCATCGTTGGACACTGAGGGCATTACCTACAGCCAGGCTTCGTCTAGAACACTTTCACTCAGAGACACGGTGTCAGTTGACAGCTCTGATGATGGCCAGCCTTGCGTTAGTACTCCTGTTTCAGGTATCGAATCAGATCAGCTTGGTCCAGCTGCCGTAGCGGCTATTGAGACTGTTGATTGGCACGAGAAGCTTGACCAGGCTGCGGACATTGACCAAACGACTCATCTTGTCAAGGTTACTGAACAGTCCGTTGAAGAGCCTGGACAGTTCAATGAGCCCAGCACCTTGAACAAAGAGTCAACTGCAGAACTTGAGAAGATTGACAAGTCTGGAAAGTTGAGTCAAGATTTCGAAGAATCATTCGAGCAGTCAGGCCCGTCTATAACGTCGCCCGAAGAGTCAGAGAAACAATCTGAACATCTCGAACAGTCTGGAACACTGACTGAAGTATCTATCGGAGCTCCTGACAGATCTAAAAAGCCTGCTACTGTGCAGGAAGAAGTAACTCAGTGTCAGGAGACGATTGAAGAATCGGGTGTGGTGGCTGAAGACTCACTTGAACAACTTGAGCATCTTGATGAAGCGGCTGCAGTACCTGAAGAGTTGGCTAATCGGATTGAGAAGCTTGACCAGACTGGCGAGAGTATTGAAGTGTTAGTTGAAAGATCTGAGCAGGTTGATCAACCTGACAAAGTGGCAGAAGGGTCACCTAAAGGATTTGGACAGCTTAATCAGACTGACAGGGTAACAGAGTCTCGCCAACGGATCAAATCTACTACTTCGGATGAGGGCCATCAATCTGGTGCAAAGAATAAAGACTTCGATAACGATCCCGAGCAGCTCTTTGCGGTGACGGTGCCTTACCCAACTGACAATCTCCGATTTCCTACTTCCGACATACACTTTCAAGCTAGCGAGGCGTGTAAAGAGCCCAGAGAAGATCCCGAGCCGCTTTTTGCGGCAACAGTGCCTTACTCAACTGATAATCTGTTGTTCACGATTCCAGAAGAAATTGAGAACGAATTCGGGACGTTTGATGAGTCAAACAAAAAGACCGCAGTGATGACTGGGTCTCGGTAAATATTTGTAAAGTTTATCAAAGCGTTGGAATCAAGATTGGGACAGTCTTTACTTGTTTAGCGATTACAGGCATTAGTTATGAGGACTTCTTGCATTGATACTCTCCGTCTTTCGATGCATTTCTTGCTCTCACTTGGGTACACTGGCAAATTCTTTGGATACCATTACATGATATTCCATGTTCAAGAAATGAATTATCGACATGGATCCTTTGCGCCCACTTGTACTAGTGGCGGCCAAGCTAGAAACATATTTCTCTCCTAGTCCAGAAGACCAGCCAGCTTGGTCAAACCCTCACGATCAACCCTCATGCCAACCCACTCGTTCATGGCTGTGGCACCGATGGACTCGTAAAACTTGATACTCGGCTCATTCCACTTGAGGACGGACCACTCCAGTCTACCGCCATTCATGGCCTTGACCTCCTTGGCGAGCTCGACGAGCAGCCTCTTGCCGTAGCCCTTGCCGCGCTCCGACGACTTGACGTAGAGATCCTCGAGGTAGATGCCGCCCTTGGCCCGCCAGGTGCTGTAGTTGTAAAAGTACAGGGCCATGCCGGCGGGGGCGTTGGCCTCGTTGAAGAGGAGCAGGCAGCGCGCCGGCCGGGTCGGCGATGTGGATTCCGTCTGGGGCGCCGTCGAGGTGGACTCGACGCCGGCCGGCGCAAAGGCAATGGTGGCGAGGAGGGTCTCCTCGGTGGCCTCGACGGCGTCGAGCTCATGCTCGTAGTCGGCGAGTTCCCGGATCAAGTCCAGGATCGTCGAGACATCTGACCGCCATTTCCTTAGTTTGAGATTTTTACAAATTCAATCGAGTGAGATAAAGTGGCCCGCCATACCTTCCCGACGAGCATGTCGAACTGTGCAAGCTGCTGGTGCCATTTTGCCAAGTATCTTGTTTGAGTCTCTCTCTTGTAATTTGCCTGTGTTGATTTTCTTTAAAGTCAATGACACCTGAAAGCTTTGACACTATATAGACCAAATGGACAAGTAAAAATGGACGACCCATAGAGACGCCCTTCCAGTCATTGACTTTTCTCGGCGGGGCACACACAGAGCTTATTATAGGGCCCTAATGCAGGTCGCTCTCCTCAAGTGACCCAGCTAGGCGCTTTGTGGAGAGCTGGGCTCGTTGCGGGCCACCGCTCTCGGAAACGGACATTGGCATGGCCAAATGGCCGGAGCAGATCGCCGGCATCATTCCGCTCCCATGTTGAAGCCCAGCCCGAATGTTTTGGTGACTTGGAATCCAGTAGAGCAAAGTACCTTGGCCAGTGTTTTTGCTGAGGCTTTCATACAACTTAACCCACGACCTTGCCATTCGTGTCAACACCCTGGAAGAACCTGGCATGGGACGCTTTTGCAGTAGACGGTTTGGGCATTGGTTCGCTCCCCCAAGTTACCGTCCATTTGCCCTTGGCGTTCTTCTCCATGGCGGGTGAAAGCTGCCAGACCTTGCTGTAGATGGCGCTTCTGAGAAATGAAGGCGTGAGAGTGCGGACATCAACGGGATGATCTTGAAATTGTGGGTGTTCGGGCATGCTTCCAGAAAGGGCCATTTTTCTTCGCGAGTTGTGTCTCTCCAGTTTGCGAATTGGAGTAGTCGCATGTTTCTCCCAGTCCCAGATTCCCTGATTCTTCCCCGTGCTAGAAGTCGCATTCTGTGCGTCTGCAAGTAATGAAACTGCCACTGGTCTCCGTTTGGGTACTGAATGCATGCTCTTTGGAGCAGTTCCCTCCACGACCGCTTTCAAGAGATCCCACTCTTCCTGGGGCAAGGGTGCCATGACAGAGCTAAGCACAGATTTCCAATGTTTCTGCAGTCTGTTGGTCATCTGGCGAGGCTTCAAGGGCAGACCCCAGCAATTTTCGGTAACCACGGTCATCTTGGGGTCAATCGTGCGTCGAATCTTGTTCTTGGCTACCCAATCGACCGTGGCCTCTTGTTGAAGGTACTGAGACTGTGCCAATGCCTTGACCTTTACCAAATCCCAATTCTCCATCCAGGAAGGGCTACAAGTAGCCGGCAGAACCTTCTTGAAACCCTTCTTTTTTGGAATATGGGCCTCGTTAGGTGCCGTGCCCCAGGCAGCTAACTCAAGTCGTGGCAGGGCATCCGAAGAGGCCGACGAGTTTTGGTCAGTAGTATCTTCGAGGGCTGCCGAGTCCTCGGGCGGCGGAGTCGAGAGGTAGGTCGAAGAGAGCAGACGTCTCCTCTTGCCTAGCCGGCCGGTGGCAAGGAAGCATATGCGCAGCATGCGGTCGGCATGGCCGGCATTCGCAGAGCGCAGATAGCGCAGTGAACGGTGTGCAGACTGGATGTAGCGCTTCTTTGGAGTTTCGGGGTGTTGACGGTCGCGGAATCTCGACTGGATCTGTGAATATGTCCAGGGCCGCGCGAGGGGCGGGAGGTAGGTCGCTTCTCTCAAGAGGTGCCGGTATAGATGGAGGGCGGTGTTGGGGTGAGGAATTTGGAGAGGCATGGTCGAATGGCTGGGTTGGGTAGGAAGAACTGTCGTAGTCAAGACATTTGCGCGGCGCATAAAAAAGAGGTGAGATGTTGGTCTCCCACTGAGAGCTTGCCCAAAATTTGAAGCTTATTGGGGCTTTAGTTGCTGCAAATACGTATCGCGACCTACCGTGGTACTGGTGCTTGGAGCAAAAATTGCATACCTATGTACCTAGTACTTAGTAGGCCATATGATTTTCTTTCTTTCTCTCTTAAAGACATGGGAATCAAGCCAGGAGAGTTTTGTCAAGTACACACTCAAGCTAGAAAGTATTCACTGCGCAGAGACAGTGAAACTGGCTAGCAGCTGGAGTTTCTAGCAGAAAGCTGCCGACCTTGATGCGGATAAAAGTCCTGGTAATTGACCTCCAGGGCTCTTGAGGTAGCTTGGGTACCTTATAGCTGTACCTACCAGGGCTGTACCTATACAGGTACATTAGTATGGGCTACACCCTCCAGGCCCGATCGGTGATACAACTCGGAGTCAGGCTGGATCCTATACAGCCATGTATCATTTTGTCTCGCCATAAGAATCCGATAAGATACTCACCGAGACCCAAGAAACTCACCATAATCGAGTCGCCGTGAATGAACGCGAATATTGGAGTCATTGTCACATGCAGCAGAGCTTATTAACCCGGATCCGCTACCTGTAGCAGTAAGGCACTGCAGCACTATGATCTATGAATGGCTGTGCCCATCTGCACTCTGCATATAACATATATCTATACAGCATGTCCTACCTACATATGAATGCATCGCTAGGGTCTGTATAGGCTGCATTGCCGTTGCAGAACAGTATGAGACAATACTCGAGACCAATGATGATGTGCGTGCACTTGTCACAATGACTAACAAATGTTGGCTGCCCCGCTGAGAGAAAAAGCGTCAGTACCTCAGGTGTATGTCAGTAGTAGTGCTGCTGGCGTCTGCATGTGTGAGCTGCCGCGCGTAGATTTTAAATACTCGATCGACTAGCTCGTACGTACAGGCAAGACAGGATGCATGTCTCTTCCCACCCTTGCTAGCCAATAGCGCACTGTCTAATTTTTTGCGCGTCCCGTGTCGGCGCGCCCTCAATTTCCCTCCCCGACACCCTCGGGTTACTTCACGCTTCACGAAACTGACACGTCCTCCCCCAGGTTCGCGTCGCAACCTTTAATTGATTCTCTTTCGGCACGAGGCTCTACCTACTGACGGGACCTGCTACGTACATTGCTTTTTGGCATATCGTCGCATGCGTCAGAGTCTTTGGGTTGACCTCAAATTCAGCATTTTACATACAAGAGAGATTCTGTCGTTTCATGCTGGGCTGCACTCGAAGCGCACCGCTTTGGATTGCCCCGTGCTCACTCGACGCACAATATTCTCTCTGGACCATCGTCGACTCGGCCCTTGCTCCCACATAATCCTCCCCTGCTAGCCGCCCCCCAAGACAGCAGGACAGCATCTCAGACCTCTCTTGATTCTGGTTACAGCTCGCCAGTCTTCCAGCCTCAATTACTTGTCAGGGCCCAGCGCGCCACCATTCGATAATTTCTCAAGGACCTTCAATTCGTCATATCCTGATTGCAAGCGCATTGTTTCCTTCCAGGCCGAAAAGGTAGCTCATGGCCTCGTCTACCGTCGCCAATTCTACAACTATCCCCACCGCCCCGGCGGCCACCGCCTCGGCCTCACATCAATACCGCGCCCCCGGATCGGCGCATTCACATCGAGGCTCATTATCCTCAACGGCAGCCCAGCCTCTGGCCACATCCTCGAACAGCAACTTGAATGCTGCCAACAACGACCCAAAAATGTCGCAGCAGTCACAACCTTCTTCCCAGCAGTCCTTTGCCATGAGCCAACCCTCTGGATCGCAAGGGTTCCGCCCTTTCTCTGATCCTCAGTCGCGACCAAATCCTCACAATGCTAGCCAAATCTACTCGGTAAGTCAATCTGACTGCTTGAGGAACTGCTCTGACGGAAGATACTGACACATTCCCATCCTATAGGCTAGCTACTCCAGCGTCGAGGTCTACGAAATGGAAGTGAATGGGATAGCAGTCATGCGCCGCAGAAGGGATAGTTGGCTCAATGCGACCCAGATTCTCAAGGTTGCCGGTGTCGACAAGGGCAAGCGAACCAAGATTCTGGAAAAGGAGATTCAGACAGGTGAGCACGAAAAGGTTCAGGGTGGATACGGCAAGTATCAAGGAACTTGGATCAGGTTTGAGAGGGGTGTCCAGGTTTGCAGGCAGTACGGCGTCGAAGATATCCTCCGACCCCTTTTGACCTATGATATGGGCCAGGACGGTGGTGTTGCCGGCAGTGGTGATCTCAATACTCCGACAAAAGAACAGGCTTTGGCAGCCGCAAGGAAGCGCATGTATAGCGGCATGGGCAACGAGGTTCGTACCAATGGGTCCTCGGGCACCTTTTTCAGCAATATTTCGACCATGGCATCAACTGCAGTCGCTGCCATCGGTAAAGCTCGATTCGATTCGCCAGGCCCACGAGGCCGCAATGGTCCTACAAGACCCCCGAGCTTTAGTCGCCAATCGTCAATGCAAAATCCAGATGAATTGCCGACCAACTCTCAGCAGAGCTTCACCTCCGAATACGGAAACCAGGTCGACTCGGCATACTCGACGCAAAATACACAAATTTTCGAAGAGCCGCCGCGGAAAAAACAGCGGGTCGTAACACCCAATGAGAGTTTTGGCTATACATCGCAGTCGATGGAGATATATGCCAACAACTTCCCAGGCTCTCCCACCGAACCCAACGAATCTTTTATTTATAGCCAAGCTGGTGTCAATGTGGCTGGGGCTGAGGATGGTGTACCTCTTGCTCCCCTGCCATATGAAATGTCTCCAGAGGCCGAACAACGACGGAACCTCGTCATGGGCTTGTTCATGGACTCTACCACGAAGGACTTTGCCAACAACGGCGCACTTCAGACACTAAGCCCCCAAGAGCTGGATTCTCCGATCGACACCTCCAGCCATACTGCGCTCCATTGGGCTGCCACTTTGTCACGCATCCCACTGCTTCGCGCCCTCATAACAGCTGGCGCCAATCCTTTCCGTGTCAATGGACTTGGTGAGACTGCACTCATGAGAGCCTGCAGTGTTACCAACAATTCAGACCAGAGCTCTTTTCCAGAGCTGCTTGATGCATTAGGCAGCACGATTGAGGTGCGTGACAAGAAGGGTAGGACTGTTTTGCATCACATTGCCGTGGCCAGTGCAGTAAAAGGTCGCAGCCAGTCGAGCAAATATTATCTCGAGAGTCTCCTCGAATGGGTTGTTCGACAGGGCAGTGCACCAAGCAGTCAGTCCACCAACAGCAGTGGACCGAAGATCAATTTGGGCAGATTCATGAGCGAAATTGTGAACGCCCAAGACAACTCTGGTGACACCGCGCTCAACCTTGCGTCACGGATAAGCAATCGAAGCATTATTTCCCAATTGATGGAGGTTGGAGCGGATCCAAGCATTCCCAATAATTCCGGCCTTGCTCCTGTTGATTTCGGTATCAAAGGGAATGGAGGCGAAGCCGGTTCCAACGGCGAGGTTTCTGATGGAAACAACACCGTGGACGAGAGCCAAAAGACCCGCGAGAGCAGTGATGATATCATCTTGTGTATGTTATTCCAATATCGTTGCCATAGTTTGAGAAACCTGCTGACATTGTCTAGCGATAACCACCATGTTGACAGATACTGCAACAAGCTTTCATTCTGAGATGAAGAAAAAGCAAGCAGATCTTGACTCACTCCATGCATCCTTGAGAACAACGTCGCAACAATTGGGGGATGCAAAGAAGGATTTGGATGAATTGCAAGAAAAGGCACAAAATCAGAACCTGACTCGCCAGAAGATCTACAACTTGAATCGCGGTCGAGAGGAAGAGCAGAATCGCCTACAGCAAATTGAGCAGAGCCACGGCGCTTCAGAACCTGGGGCCAGCGCTTGGGAGGCCGAGCTGGCGACGTCGACGCCAATCAACGTTGAGACCCTGCCAAGCACAGCTGTTCTTCGTGCAAGGCTACAGGCCTTGCGATCAAGAACCGAGGTCTCTCGGAAGACTGTTGGATCCTTGAAGGGAAGAAGCAAAGACATTGAAAACAAATATAGGAGGGTGGTTGCTCTTTGCTCGGGTGTCCCCGAGTCGGATGTCGAGGCTGTTATTGACAGCCTTCTGCGAGCCGTCGAAAGCGAGAAGGACGGACTGGAAATCGGTCGGGTAAGGAGATTTCTTGGCGGGGTTGACGGTGTTGCATAATCACTTTTATCATTCTACTGGTGTTTTGGCGTTCAAGATAAGCGGACCGTCATGATACGTCCCACCATGATATTGGCATGGTCAGAAACATATATTGTTGGTCTATATACCTGGTTCAGAGTGCGAGGAAGAAATTCAGAGGATTGATTGGGGAATTCCGACCCCTTTTCAGAAGCACACCTTCTGCTTTGCCTGAAACCCGAATCCATGACCACGAATCTTTAGTGGAATGGATTCAGCAATGCTGTCTCTATTTGATGCCGTCCAACACCGCAGCTACCTTTGCCTCGTCCATCAGTTTAACTTTTCCCTCGCCCAGCACAAACCCACCGCATGATATCTTTGCGATCCGTACATCAGAGTGTCTCATATTCAGCGCAAGGTGCTTGTCCACATATGAGGCCAGCCTATCCGAGAACTTGTCTCCATCGGATGTCCCAGTAAAGGCTGCCAGATCTTGGGCGGGAATGGCAATGTCGAGGGTCCGGAGCCCTCCTGCACTGGCCTTGTCGGCAAAGCGCAGGGTGATGGCAACATCTTTTTGCGTAAAACCTGCTGCTCCACTGCCATCTTCGTCGCCGAGCCACGTCTCTAAGATGCGCATGAGCGCGCCCGAGTCCGGGACCAGTACCGTTGCGCGCGTGTCCAGGGTCTGCATCAGGAAGCGCACAAGGGCGCCGCGCACCGGCACAGGCGCATTAATGAGGAGGAGGCCTCGCGCAATGAAGAGGTAGGCCAGAAAGGTGTTGCGCTCATAGACGAGCTCGACGCGGTGCGTGGGCCCTTGATCGTCGTAATAGTATTGATGATTGTTGTCGTCGGCATCGCTGTGGTCCTCTTGGCGGCGGTCTGGATCCGAGAGGACCCGCCAGTCCACGGCCATGAGCGCGCCGGCGTCACTGCCGCCAATGGTCTCGGCGCCGCGGATCTCAATGCCGCGCACCGTGTCGCCGGCCAGGTGGTCGCGCAGCCGTTGCGATAGGACCTCGGGCGCGGGTGGCTCGACCACGATGCTGATGCGGTATGCGGTAAAGGTCCGTTTTAGAATGTCCATGGTGCCGACGAGAGGTGGCGGGGAAGATCTCGAGCACCTTTACCACTGATGAGTCGGCTGCTACCGGTAGATCTACGCCCCTTCGAACTGGCTAGGTGAGAAGCGACGAGATCAAGTGGTAGACAAAGTAGTATACAGTAGTGGTGTTAATGTCATGGCATCGTTTGCTTCTGTTTCGTCGCTAGCCGAATAAAATGGCATCAATCCATCTGGCTGAAAATTCTTGGTGTAAGAAACATCACACGAATAAATTGTTACGCGTGAGCAGGGACACATCTGAAATGAGAATTGGAACTTGATTCCCAAGAATATTTCAACAGATGTGCCCAACTGGACAATGGCATGTACTGTAGTCGCGTCTCAACGACTAGAAGCTTGACCTTTTTTGACGCGTCGTTTCTAGTCCCTTGAAAATCATGGTGGGGGTGGGGCAGATGATTTGCCTGGGGGAGAAGGAAGAAGAGAGCAAAGAAAGACCCCGCCATCCAAGCAGAAACCAAGAACGTCATCGCGGGACAGGCCTCTAAGAAAAGTGTCCCCGCGATTCCGGAAGGAGCTGTTCTTCTAAGAATGTGTGCTTACCTTGTATTTACCTAACCTGGGGGGAAAATGATTTAGTCGCCGTGTTTCTAGGTTAGTGTCAACCATCGTGGTTGTAAGCAATTCCCATCAACGCTACCTAGAAATTCATCCACTCGAGTCTCAAAATTAGGCGACAGTCACTCTTCATAACCTTGTAGTGCCGCAGCTTGCAATTCCTCCAATCGCGTCTCCAACTGATCTTTATTGGTGGCATTAAATATGACAATCACAAAGCTCGGCGATGTCTCATCATCCTCGTCTGATGCATCCAGTTGTTTGGATCCAGCAACCACGACATTTTCTCCATTCATGAAATTGCCACCAGAGATCCGTCATCAGATATACTTGGCTGCTATCCCATCCCCTGGTGTCAATTTCTTCAACATACACAGTTTTCCAAACGACCACCATGGCGCTAATAGGAGCACATCTCCGCCAAATCTTCACTTGGACCTGCGCAGACTATCCATTGACGATGATGACGACGATGTGGCCAAGTACGACCCTTCAGTCTGGCAGATCCGACATGCTCTCCGTCAAACTTGCCGCGAGGCTAGGATCATCTGTGCCATTCCAGAGGGCAAGGTCGTCTGCTTGACCTTGTCTATTCCCAAGAGAGGCCTGTTTACACACGCCGGCGATGGACTCCAGCGGTCCATGACGCCCTTACTGTTGCCAGATCGGCATTTTGAGCCCGCCGTTTACCGGCAAGTCCAGATACACGCCGATGATGTGGTGGCCTTGTCGGTGGAAAACTGCAGTTTCAATATTGTCTTTGAAGAGTCAACCATGTTCCATGTCGGGCGTGACGATGAGGAGGATGAAATCAATCTCGGATGGGCATATGATCCACAATTCAAGGACGGGAGGCCTCTGGGCATTCCCAGCACAAGATTCTGTCTCAACTTGGCCCGGGATGAATGGGCTACCATGCGCGCGCTCGAGGAAATCGCTGGTGCTTTACTTGAAGCATCCACCGGTGCCGGCCAAGATGTCCCAGGCAATGATGCGAATCGCGGGCTCGTAATGCTCGATAACGAGGCCGAACATATGGATGATGTCACTCGAAAGTATCGCAAGAAACAGCTCAAACAATATTGGGATCGCTGGGAAGATTTATACATTTCCATCCCTTGGGACTATGAAGACTTGCCAATGAACCTCCAACTCATGAAGATCAGTCCGGAAAAAACGTCTCTACGAACAAGATACTTGAGATCAGCGATACTGAGGAGTCCGAAACGACCACTATAATTTGGCTTGTTTGGAGTCAACTGTGGTCAATCATCAGTATGGGCAGGATTGCAGCGAAACAAATCATTATCGCTCCAAAGTTCACGTTCAGATTTTGTCACAGCTAAGGCTCATCACCCGGTAATCTCAAATCTGCAACTCCTTCTCTTGCCTATGGCTTTGTTTCTAAATAGCACACATGTAGGAAAACACCAACAAAAACAGGTCCCATCGCCATAAAAAGAAGAATCAAACTCCAACCTATACTCTGCAGTCTCAAATGAACATTGCCTAGCCACTCTACCTAGGCTGAACAGCGTTTGCAAGCTCGTCATCACGATGAAGCGCTGCCTGGCTGGCCACCGTTGGGGGAGGGAGGGTTGTGAGGTGGGACACTTGGCGTGACTGTCCGGAGAGTGACTTGAACCTTCTCAGTCGAGGATTCGGTGCTTGGATCCCAGTTGAGAGTCCAGAGGTTTGTGTCCTCATATGGCAGGGCGTACCACTTGGTCTGAAGTTCACCAGTAGAGTCTTCCCAAGCGGCTGTGTTGCCATAGAAGACAAAGCCAGTGACAAGGTCATCGGTGGTGATGTCATCGGCCTCAAGGAAACCTGTCTGATGAGTGGTTGTGGTGTCACTGGGGATGTAGTAGGTGACGTTGAACCAGGACGGTGACGCCTGGCCAGGCACAGGTACTGGGTTACCAGTCATGCTGGTAGTGCTGCTGGGACTGCGCATGACTATCGGTTCTCGTCAGCAAAAGTGCCAAAGTTGCTGGAAGGTGAGCATCGAAACTTACACTGGACTTGAGCTGCCTCGGAGTCGCCGGCTTCGGACGCGTTGCCCAGGAAGGCGAGACCTAGAGAATGATCAATAAGATTCTAACAAAGATACAGACACAAGGGCAACTACCGTTCCAGTTGAATACAGAGAGACCGCCAAACTCCTGTCCATATGCGTACAACTCAAACCCCATGTTGGGGACTCCAGGGCCTGGGGACGGTGGCTCAGTGCCTTGGGGTGCAGGCGCTGCGTGGATGGCCAAGGGCAACATGCCCAAAGTAAGGATTGAAAAGTGCATCTTGCAATAGCTGGGACTTAACGAAAGACTTGGCAAGATTTGTGGGTGAGTGATCAAAACTGCGGGTAGTGCAGCACGCAACGAGGTTGATATGTATATCTCAACAGTGCTCTCGGGTAGGCGATGATCGAATGATGGACGCGTACAACTGGTTTAAGCGAATGACATGTGCGGCGTCGAGACCTTTCCTGGTTTTCTATGCCTTGAGGCGATCTCCTAGGCGCGGGAAGATATTATTAACCACTGCAACGGAACGGTATCCAACACTCACGAACCCACGTTGTGAGGTCGCCTCTGCCGGAATGTGGGTATAGTGTTGCATCGGAGGCTACACCGCACTTCGGTAAACAGAAAAAAAGGGCTACGTAAGCCCACGGCAATCAGCTGTTTGGACACAAAGAGGCCCGAGGGTTGGTTGAGGCTCCCGGCAGTGCAGCATGTGCGCGCAAAAATTGCACAGCATTGCGGCGCACAGAATCCTGTATTGTGGTGGCCGGACGTCCGGAAGAGGCAACTTGTTAAGGTATGATGGGGGCGCCGGGGCTCCACCACGACCGAAAGCGGATGGTGATGTTCACTTATTTTCCGGTGCCTGACTACTGCACGGGCTCGGCCGATACGACTCAACGATTATCGCGACTTATCAGTGGACCCAAGGGCTTTTATGCTCTCTGACGATGCTATACCGGTGCAGGCGTTGCTATAATAATATTGCGGATCAAGATCTGTTCTCGACATGATTGCCGCACTATGCGCACTGATTCCAGCACGACCGTTCGCCAAGACAAGGTCTGGATGCACGGACTGGCTCGTTCACCCGCACAATTGCCCACAGTCTTGTTTCGCATTAAAATTACACAGGACGTCAAATCGCATACAAGCTTATATCGCCAGAAACCCGTCGCCAAGGAGGGGCCGGCGTGAGGACAATTGTAGAAGGCACATCGTAACCCCATACTCCCCCACAGTCGTCATGTGTGTATTTGGCGCCTCTCAGCCAATCAGAAGAGTCGAATTTGTGCATAGTCGTCGTGTCTATCAAGAGCCGCGGCTTGTATGAAGCATCAACTCATAGATGATCTGCGATCTGTGAGCCTCTTCTAGTTTCCCTATTCATGAGAGCTTACGTGGAATCGCAGATGCAGGGCAGTATAGCCTGCATCACGTTATCAGATGCACAACATTCACAGCAATTCGCGATCAGTGGCTCGGAAAACGAGCCGACTCACCCTAAGAAATACGAGAATTGTCTATGGATTTGCGTGCTCCTGCTGTTATGGATTGAGATATCCGAGACCGAGGCTGCGTGGCTCCGATTTTGTTGACATGCAGCCACGGCCTTCAAATAGAGGTCATTGAACCTTCAATCGAAAACTTAACGAAAAGGGAAGAGCAAGTCTCTAGAGGATTCACACTCGCTTCAGGTGATCAACACCAGCCATTGCCAACAGTTCAAGGAGTCCAACTCTCCTGACTCGGCATTTTCTTCGCCTTTGACGTTTCTTCTTTCTCTCGTTCTGGGCCACCCGGTGCTGATATAGTCTGCACCCCATCTTTTCCGCCACCATGAAGTTCACGTCTGCGAACTCGATGCTTTTGGCATCGTTCCTAATCTCTGGCGTAGTATCAACGCCACACCCGCAGCAACCTGGTAAGAAAAACCCTCTAATTCCCAGCCTGGCACCGGAAACTCCCCGAGCCTAGAAACGCTCCCCCCAACCCTTTTACACCGCAAGCCATGATCCTGATCCAGCCTCGACTCCCGGTGGTCCTGGTCAAGGGCAACCTACCACCACCCAACCCGCTCCTGGCCAGCCCACAAGCCCAGGCAATCCTGAGCAGCCGGGTCAGCCAAGCACTGGCACCGCTGCTACCACGGTTCTGCTTCTGATTCTAACGATCCAACAGTACCTCGTGATGTCTGCGATGGCAACACTGCATCCACGCGCTCAGAGTGGTGCGATTACTCCATTGATACCGACTATACATCCACCTCTCCGGATACCGGAGTGACGAGGGAGTATTGGTTTGAACTCACTGATGTCACCGTCTCCCCTGATGGCGTCTGTAAGTTGTTCCCTTAGAAACATCTCGATTACCACGTGAGACTGTAGACTGACCTGGACCACTAGCACGCACTGCCATGGCCGTCAATGGCTCCATTCCCGGCCCCACCATCATTGCCGACTGGGGTGACACTGTCGTGGTCCATGTTACCAACTCTCTGACTACATCCTTGAACGGCACGAGCCTGCACTTCCACGGTATCCGCCAAAACTACACCAACCAGAACGACGGTGTGAGCTCCATCACCCAGTGCCCCACTGCAGTTGGATCAAGTGTAACCTATACCTGGAAGGCTGAGCAATATGGTTCTTCATGGTATCACTCCCACTTCTCGCTTCAGGCCTGGCAGGGAGTCTTTGGCGGTATCATTATCAACGGACCGGCCACCGCCGATTACGATGAGGACCTTGGAAACCTCTTCCTGAACGACTGGGACCATCAGACTGTCGATGAGCTCTACGACTACGCCCAGACAGTTGGACCTCCTACTCTTGACAATGGTCTTATCAACGGCACCAACGTTTACGATGATGGTGGCTCTCGCTTCACTACTTCCTGGGTGTCGGGAACTACTTACCGCCTCCGTCTAGTCAACGGTGCCGTCGACACACACTGGAAGTTCATGGTGGACAACCACACCATGACTGTCATTGCATCTGACTTTGTGCCCATCCAGCCTTATACAGCAGACTATATCAACATTGGCATGGGTGAGTTTTCATCTTTAGTGGGCCAAGGGAGCAGCAGCTAATCATTTGTAGGTCAACGCTACGATGTTCTCATCACTGCCGACCAGGCTGATGTGGCTGACCAGTTCTGGATGCGCGCCATTCCCCAATCGGCCTGCTCTGATAATGACAATGCAGACAACATTCTCGGTATAGTGACCTATGTTGACGATACCACCACGGAGCCCACTACGACTGGTTATGACTACGGCTCCGACACTTGCGATGACGAGACCGACAACTTGGTCCCGTATATTTCCAAGACGGTGGGCGATGTTGAGCTACAAGTCGCCGAGGACGCTTCCATTGCGCTTGATGGAACTCTCTTCAAGTGGACGCTCAACTCGACGTCGCTGCTGACGGACTGGGCCAACCCCACGCTGATGCAAGTGCTGGACGGAACCGACGAGTTTGAGACTGACGACGCCGTCATTCACCTCGAGACAGCCAACGAGTGGTTCTACCTCGTTATTGAGACCTCTCTAGCTGTGACGCACCCTATCCACTTGCACGGTCACGATTTCTTCATCCTGGCTCAGGGTACTGGAACGTACTCGACCGACGTGACGCTCAACCTGGACAACCCTCCTCGTCGTGATGTCGCCATGCTACCCGCCAGTGGTTATCTGGTCATGGCCTGGGAGACGGACAACCCCGGTGTCTGGCTGCTTCACTGCCACATTGGCTGGCACACCAGTGAGGGCTTTGCTCTGCAATTTGTAGAGCGGTTCGACGAGATCGCTGACATGATGGACTCGACGTACGTGAGCGATCAGTGTGATGCCTGGTCCACGTTCCAAGACGAGAACAGCATTGAGCAGATTGATTCTGGCATTTAGATTTTTAATGTGGAGACGACGGGACTCGGATGATACACATGATAAAGGTTGGCGGGAGAAAGAGATGGACAGGATTTGCCATGGACTATATCATATTTTGGGTATTTTATTATTTCTTATTTGTCTTAGTCTATGGAGTGCAGGGTCGATACATTTTTGTAGTTGGTAAATGAATTTATGGAAAATCTAACAGTAACATTCAAATTGGCACCAATGCAAGAAGTCCATGTACTATGTAGCATTCAGACCTGCTTGCCGCACCGACGCTATCTACAGTTGCAGTCGCAGTCCGTGTCCCCCCCCCGGCTTTTAGAGCCGCTTGGGGGAAGATGTAACCATCACAAGCTTGGTTTGGCCAGACAGGGGGGTTCAAGCAAAGATCGGGGGGGTTAGAGAGTCGCTTAACGGACATACCTGGCAGCCGACTTGCGCAATAACCATTACATGGTACCTAGCTAATACGCCCAGACAACTACGCCCAGAAAACCACGATTCTTTTCAGCACGCCATTTATATTTCGGATTATTCTCGTGGGGGGATTGTGACAATTTATAAATATGATGAGAAATCATTCCTTTTTTGCATAGATTCGAAAAGGGAATGAAAACAATGAGGTCAGAGAAACAAGGATGGGGACTTTAGCAGAAGCCCTCTGTAGGGCAAATATTTGTCCTTACCGACGAATCTTTTGTACAAATGTGCGCATTATTTTTATATATTATATTATAGATTTTGTAATACTGGTGATATGACTCTTTCGACCTCTTCTTGTCTCATTGCGATCAGCACTTGTCTAATTCTTTCTAGTATACACCCTCTCCACAAGTTTTGCATCACCAAACCGTGTATATGTTTCGCAGAATGGAGCAAGCGCGGAATTGTCATTACTCCTACAGTTGAGTGCCAGCTAGGCCCTCATGGGGTGTTGCCAGAAAAAAAAAAGCCTAAAGTTAGAGTCGTCATGTCGCGATTAATGTCGATCAAGGCGTGCTCTCGGTTTTAGCCAATCAGGAGCGACCATACCACGCCCATATGGGGAACCCGGCCCTCTTGGAACGCCCATTGTGCAATCGATACTGATTTCATCGTGCGTCAGTTTCTTTTTTACCGTGTCAGGCGTGAAAGAAGAGCTGAAGAAGCTTTGCCCTGGCGAAAAGTAATGTGGCTGTTTCCTTTCCCTGCCCCCAACAGTCTTGAGCAAGGTTCTAGTAGATTGATAAAGAAGAATGGAGGGTGGGCCACCTCGGGATGATATGGTGGTGCATCATTTCAACGTGCATCGATTTTGAATAAGAGAAGGCAACTGCACGCTTCTCGCCCAACCGTTTTTACTTTCTTCTGGTGTTTGTCGAATATTTATACCTTTGCCACGTGGGTGCTATAATAGTCCATACTAGCATAACCTACATATAGGCTCCGCAGCAGCTAAAAAGGATTCGCTTGTAAGTTGTTGTCGCATTTTCCTTTCTTTTATATTTGTTGGGTATAGCTCGTCGCTGTACTGCGGCCGATCATGCATGGCCTCGCCTATCGTACACCGTTTTGATCTCTGGAAGACCCAGCGCACGTGGCAGATCGTCGTCGTCGTCGTCTTTTTGTCACGGCTCTTCCGATACTGAACAAAACCATAATCGAGCAACATCTGCATTACCTTTTGGCTACTGAAGCTGTTGCGATACACACAGGATGACTAACCTGTACCTGATTTAGATCCAGCCAGATTTTGCCAGATAGGATATCATTTCCTAATTTATTTGTTCCTTATCGCAGAAACGGCAAGCTGAGCACTGAGGACATCACGAAAACCATGTCCGCCTCAACGCCCGAGAAAACGGGTGATCCCGTACTCGACGACCAGAGTCCGTCCGATACTGAGATTGCCGGGTCCAAGATTAGCGAAAAGGCCCTGCTGAGAAAGATTGATGCCCATCTTCTGCCGGCCGTTGGTATCCTGTATCTCTTGTCATTCTTGGATCGTAGCAATGGTAGGCACTTATGCTCATCCCGCAGTCGCAACGGAGAAGCCAAGAGATATCATGATTACTAACACTCGGTGCGAATTAGTTGGAAATGCTCGTATCGAAGGATTGTTGGATGATACCAATATTTGTGAGTATACACCCTCTGCGCAAGCAAAACGAGACTTGTCGGCTGATTAATATAAATTATTCTATAGCCGCGGATGGATACCTTAACGGACTGACATTATATTTTGTCGGTTACGTTCTATTCGAGGTAAGCCAGCATGACAACAATGAGAAGCATTCTTTTCCGGGGCCCATCGTATTGACTAGAGGGGACTTTCTCCCTGTCCAGATTCCATGCAACATTATACTCAAGAAGACCACGCCTAGAATCTGGCTTCCGACCTTGACCATTGCCTGGGGTGTGGTATCCACGCTACTCGGCATCGTGCACAACTACTCTGGATTTCTTGCTGCTCGGTTCTTTCTTGGTGTGGCCGAGTCGGGTCTCTTTCCTGGTGTGGTGTATTACTTTTCCATGTGGTACGTGGTCTTTGTTGGGTCACCATGGTTGACTCATTATGTACGGTTGAGGCTGACTGAATATTGGTTATCTAGGTACAAACGACGTGAGCGCCAATATCGCGTTTCCCTCTTCTTTAGCGCAGCGTCTTTGGCTGGTGCCTTTGGTGGTATTCTCGCCTATGTATGTTTCGTCTTCCCCCACACCTCATTGTGCTATTTCAAGTCATGCTGACTTGATACAGGGTATTGGAAGGATGGAAGGTATTGTGTGGCAGAATGGGTGGCGGTGGATCTTTATTCTCGTCAGTCAATACGCCTTACTAGACATTAGCGGCATCAGACTCACATCTTGTAGGAAGGTATTTTTACTGTTGTGGTCGCTTTTGCGGCCTATTGGTAAGACATGCAATCCGGATGAATCACTCCAATTAAGACCGCTAATCTCAGAGCGTAGGTTCGTTCACAATTATCCCAAGACATCCACGTTTCTCAGCGAGGACGAGCGCCAGTTCATCCAGCAGAGGCTGGCATCGGACTCGGATGCGACGCACGATGAGCACTTTAGCTGGGCGGCTGTCCGTGAGGCCTTCAAGGATCCAAACTGTTGGCTTTATGGCTTGGGGTTCCACACTATGAGTTTGCCGCTTTATACTTTGTCGCTTTTCCTGGTGAGGCTATATTTTTTGTCTAATCTGCTTAGCAAGTCGAGCTGACTGCCCTGTCCCTCTAGCCAACTATTATCAAGAGTTTGGGTTATACGGCTGCAACCGCACAATTGCTGACGGTGCCCCCGTACGCCTTTGCCTTCCTCACGACAATCACGGTAGCCATTCTATCTGAAAAGCTGGGTCAGCGCGCCATGTTTATTGGAGGATCGTCACTCTTTGGCGCGATTGGGTACTGCATCCTGCTGGGCAACACCAACCCGTCGGCGCGGCCGGGCGTGTCGTATCTGGGCGTCTTCTTCGCCGCGGGCGGCATCTACCCGGCCGTGGCGCTCGTGCTCTCGTGGCCGGCCATCAACGTCTCGGGCCAGACCAAGCGCGCCATTGCCAATGCCATGCAGATTAGCATTGGCAACTGCGGCGCCGTCATTGGCACCCAGCTCTACCGCTCCACCGACGGTCCTCGGTATATCGTCGGCCACAGCGTCGCCCTCGCTTACCTCGTTGCCAATGCTGCCGTTGTGGCCATCTTGTATTTTCGCCTCAAGCGGGAGAACAAGAAACGTGATGCTATTGCCCCCGAGATTAAGGATGTTGGCGCGGTGGCGGACTGGAAGGGCGATTCGGATCCTCGATGGAGATTTGTATACTAGGCGTTTAATCCTTTTGCACAGCTGTACATTCGGTTTACTACATAATCTAGCCGTCAGTCGGGGATGGGGTGTGAGTGCTTGGAAATATTGAGATGAATTTTAAGTGGTATCAAGAGAAGTGCTTCTATACAAATAATCATTGTTACAAAATAAATGACTGGTCCCGGGCAAATGTCTAGATATATCAAGCCCATGGTTCTTTATCAAATACCAGCAAGCCTTCTTAGCACGCTGTTCTCCAAAATGGGAAATTGGTCAATCATCTGCAAGTCCTTGGCGGGCACAAACTGGCTCTGGTGTTTACCGAGGGCGAGCTCGGTCAGAACACGCCCCAGGGGCTCCGTGGGGCTATGGAAGCTCTTGAGACCCCAGCGGATCGGCGGGCCGAGGATGGGATCAATCAGGCGCAGCGTAAAGGGGCGGGTGGGCAGGTAAGGGTGGATGGCGGTATGGGCGTGGCCGTCGACAAAGGCCGGCCGGGTCGACAGGGCGTGCAGGGCCGGGTTCGCCTTGCGGAGCTCGGCCAGGGCCACCTCGGTCTGGCCCTTGACGCGTCCGAAGATGGGCGTCAGGCGCCCCGGCTCCGTGGTGGCGCCGTTGCCCGAGACAAAGACAAAGTGAAAGGGCTCTTCTGCGGTGCCCAGTGTGCCAAACGCCTTGGCGGCTGCAAGGGTAAAGTCCTTTGTGATTTTCACGTATTCCCTGAGATAACCCGAGTTAGCACGCGACGAATTGTAAGTCAACTTTGGGGTTACACAAAAAAACTCACTCGGGTCCGACTTGTGTTTGGCTTATGCCTAGCGCCCACACGCACCCGCGCGCGCCCTTGAGCTTGTCGAGGAGTTCGGCGTCGTAATTTTCAAAGTCCTTGTGAATAATGATGTTGACTCTGGGGTCCTTGATGTCTTCTGCCATTTTTACGGGTCGCCGCGACACAATTGAGATTTTTGTGATTTCCTTCATTTTAATCATGGCGTCCAAGACGCCCGAGCCTACTAGGCCTGTTGCTCCTGTGAGGATGACGTGCATTTTCGGGGCTATTTTCTTTTCCTTTCTTTTTTGTTGTTGGATGAGATCTTTGAGAAGATGAGATTTCTACCACGGTAAAGAGGTGGAACAATCAATCCTTTTAAGTATTTAGGATTGTTAAGTAAGACCAAAAAAAAAAAAACGCCAACGGCTCACAGAGCTGGAATCTGGGTGAGATTTTGGCGCGACTTATACCACCTAAAATTTCGGAAATAGGGGATGAGTTATGGTGCTAAAAGCCGGTACCTAATCCACCTACAGGCTACCGTACAGTTGGCGCGTCATGATATGATCGGGGGACCTCATGCGATTGCGCCAGCCCAACCTAGACGATGACCAGGGCGTTTGCAGTAGCTGACAAGACTGTTGCATGCGCTGTGCCGTAAAGTTGTTTATGGCGGTATCATCTATCAATTTGTGCCGTGGTCAAGATTGTTTGGGGGCCATTTGAGCTATTTTTAGAGGCCAGATCATAAAAGGTGCACAAAGTCCAGAACATTCCAAAAAGTTACCATTGGCGTAAGGCTCTGAGAGAGTTTGACATCGTGGCACCGCTGGAATCACTACATATATAGTCTCAAGCAGTCGGGACTGTTATGTCGTCTTGGTCGATATCACGGAAACTTTACATTCATCTAAGCCGCCACTACAATCACTCATCATGCCGCTATGTACGCTATGCAAGGATCTTCCGCCGCTCGAGGATCTTTATGTTTTCAGGCATCGCACGTACGAGGAATTGCAAATTTCGTCGGCCACTAAACAATGTGACTTCTGCTCCTTGATCTGGGAAACTCTAGATGGGTTGGGGAGCACTGACAAAATACTGGCCGAAGAGCCGAGTAAGGTCTCGGTGATATTGAACTACCAGGGCAGCGCAGTTTATGACCGCATTCTCGTGAGTCCGGATATTCCCATCGATGCTGGAGCCACAATTGAGCTCTTCACAAAGCGAGGTGAGTCATCACTAGTTCCGATCACACATTATTCAAATACTTCCCATTCCCGATGCGAAATTAATCGCCACCTGGAACAGGAGAGCAAACCCGAAATTCCATCATCAGCAAAGAGATTGCCTCTTCGCATAATTCGCACCAGACGTACGACTTCATTCGGGGCGCAATTCAAGATTGTTTGAGCAACCATAAACAATGTGCCAAGAATATAGAAGTTGAACTGCCATCATTCCTCATTGATGTGGGCACATCTCACGATCAAGAGAATGTTAGGCTTGTACATAACGATGAGACGTGCAGGGGAACTTATGTTGCCATGAGTTACTGCTGGGGCGGACCCCAAAGAGTCATGTTGACGACCAACACGTTACTATCGTTTCAAGACAAGCTGGCAACAAGCTGTCTCCCTGAGGCGCTCCGAGATGCTATACATGTCACTCGAGAGCTGGGCTATCAATACATCTGGATCGACGCATTATGTATTATCCAAGACGACGATGACTTTAAACAGGTTGAGCTTCAAAAGATGAATCGCATCTATCAAAATGCTTTCTTGACCATTCAACCGACATTGTCGGATTCAGTCGAGAAAGGATTTTTGGATGGGAGGATAATCACACCCCATGTCAAGTTGCGTTTCACCAATGGCACCCAGTCTTATGTCTACGCAAGACGACTGATTCCTTCATCACGGGATAATGATGGACCAACGACAAAGAGGGCGTGGATCTTCCAAGAGACGGCTCTCTCTACACGATTGGTAGTTTATAATTACCAGCAGGCCATCGTTGCATGTCAGACACAGACTCGACTAGAAAGTGCGGGCAAAGAGCCCAATTCCTTCTTGGGCCCTGGCCTACATAGACTCATCCGACCCGATCGATATATTCCCGTGGAATCCCGTGATGCAACAGAATCGCGCAAAGCGGCATTCTCTGGGTGGTACAAGGCAGTTGGGGTCCAGTACAGTGGCAGGCTCTACACTGTTGGCAAAGACCGACTCTATGCCCTTTCAGCTTTCGCAGAAGAGGCACACCAGCTCATAGGAGGCGAGTATCTCGCGGGCCTCTGGAGCGCAGATCTTCTCCGCGGCCTTGCGTGGGGTCCTAGGAGCTGGAGGGTGCTGAACAAGGCAACTCAATACCGCGCACCATCGTGGAGTTGGGCCGCACTTGATGGCATGGTTCTCTGGAGTACAGAAAGAAGTCACATTGAGCCTATATCTAAGGAAACTAGAGTTGTAGAAGCCTGGGTCAAGCCAGAGGGAATCAATCCCTACGGCCCCTGCCTTGATGGAAACCTTGTCTTGGAGGCTCTGGTCGGTGCAGCTTCGGTCTCGATGAAGCCATGGTACGAAGGAAAGCACATCATGCATGGCCAATTCATTATGACAACCATGAACGGCACCCGAGACGTGTGCTATGCCCATTTCGACACAACGGAGCAGCCCGAATCTTTTACTTGTGTTTTTTTGACAGGTCAAAGAGGACTCCTTCTTGCCACGCATGGTTCAAGCTTTCGGCGAATAGGGACTTTTCTTCTGGGCGATGCTTTCATCAAGACAAGCGGTACGCAGGGCTTCCAGACGTGGAGGGACAGTTGCGAGTACCAGATGATTTCGATAAAATAATGTTGTCCTTACGCTGGCAGCCATCGACGCCCCGCGCAGGCGTTGTTGCGGAAAACCGGGTGCCCACCAACATGTGCTGCTCTTCTTCATATCTGTTATTGGATGTGCTGACCCGGAAGTCCCTCTGTTACAGCTTTCATTCACCAAATTGGCCGAAATGTGAACTGCAGTTACTGCAGTATCTTCAACTTGGTGCTGCCAGTTGCTGGGATCCGCGGGCGCCGCCATCACGATCAGAGATCCCGCCCCTTGCATTAACTCCTACTAAACTCCGACAAACTCCGTCAACTACATGATAACTTACGAAGCCTCAGAAGCCTAATCAAATGCCCCAGGCAGCTCAGCTCAAACTCTGCTCCGGGTCCCACTCTCACCAGGACCAGACTCGCGATGATCAATTGAATCCAATCCAATGGCTGGTGCGAGTTCCAGCTGCTTATCAACTCCTTGATTCTGCTTTGCCTGCACCTCCTTTCCTTCAAACATGAATGCCAATTCTTCGAGTGACCGGCCCTGTGATGTGGTGGATTTTGTCAGCCTGGACCGCAAGATTGAACATGTTGCATGTGCTATAGTCCACCAACACATATAAAATCAAGCCCACCTTTGTTTCCGGAAAGAGAAAGTAGACAGTGGCAATCTCAAAGAGGATCCACACACAATAGACGATATAGTAGCGCCAACCAATCGCATCGAGCGCAATTGGATTCACGTAGGTGTTGAAGAAGACGGCAATACGGACAGCGAGCTGCTCCACGGCGATGCCTTGAGATCGCTGGCTGTATGGGAATATCTCTACAAGGTATGTATAGGCCAGGGCATTCCAGCCAATATTGTAGAAGCTGGAGAATCGGTTAGTCTACACGAGCCATGAAGGAGTCGATCAGTTCCTTTCACTTACGGCGAGTAGACAAAGATGAAGACCAGCACAGCGATACCGGCTGAGGCTGTATTATGTATGGCGTAGCGAGCCGAAGCAATTGTCCACACAGTCTGTGTATCCATCATCAATTAGCCAATCCCCTTTCAAAAATATGTACGCCTCGACTCTTTGCATGTTGTATTCAGCCGAAGATTCAGTCACCACTTGAATACGGCTGATTAGAACTTAGGGGCATGCATTAGATAACTCACATAAACAACCGCAGTTCCAATAGTACACGTCAAAAACGCGACTCGGCGCCTGATGCGTGGCACCGTAATGGCGATCGGTACACCGACAATGAGATCCCAACAGCTCTTACTCAAGATGATCTTTTGTACCGTCAAGTTATCCTTGATTCCCACTAGGTTCAAGATCTTCTTCATGTAGAAAGACAAGAGACCGTTGCCACTCCATTGGGCAAAGAAGCCAATTGTTACGGCAAGCACTGTACCAGGCACCAATGTTAGCAGCTGCAACTCTCATGCTTCTCGTCTGGTTTCAGCTCGCGCTGACACTGATGAGGACAAAACTCACAGAACCGTCGCCGCATGGGAGCATCGCGGAAGACATTGGCCCAAATAAAGGCCTTGGTAGTCTCCTTTTCCAGGGCCAAAGTGCTCTGAATCTGCGCAAACTCGAGGCGCACAAACTCTTCGCCATTGTCGCCTTCGCTGTGATACTTGGACAGCACGGCAAACGCTTCGTCGGCGCGGTCGCGCGAGACGAGCCAGCGCGGGCTCTCGGGGCAAAAGGGCAGGAAGCACACCTGACACATGCTGGGCACGAGCTGCAGCAGCGACGGCAGCCGCCACGACCAGGTGCTGTCCATCTGGAAGGTGCCGTACGTGGTGCCGGCCGCCACGATGGCGCCCACGAACCACGACGCGTTGAAGAGCGACGTCATGACGGGCCGCTCGCGCTCGTACGACAGCTCCCCTATCAGCGACGAGGCATTGACTATGGCAAAGGGGATGCCGAATCCCAGCACCCAGCGCGACGCCAGAAACATGTCTTGGTTGCGCGCTCCCGCCTGTAGCCCGGCCCCGAGAAACATGATTAGAGAGCCCAGGGCAATCGTCCAGCGTCTGCCGAGCAGCTGCGAAGTGCTGGGGACAAAGGGGACGGCCATGAGACCGCCCAAAGAATACATGGCGTTTAGCAGTCCAAGTCTGTCACTGGTTGGGTTGCCAAAGTCTAAAGATGTACGAAACAAAGTCAGTATACTGCAGCATGTTAAGTAGGTCAAGGAAATTTCCTTATCTCACGTACACTCAACCCACGATGGCACGGCTTGCAAAGAGTTCATCATGGACGAGTCGAATCCGGATGTCCACTCGACGCCGAGCCCGCACGGGACCAGGATGAGATAGAGGGATCGCAGGTTGGGTTTTTGATACCACTTTTTGCTATCTTCGCGCGCAATATTGGAGACCCGGGGGTCTCCGAGCTCTTCCTTGTGGCCTATAATCGCCATGATGTCGTCGAAATGGGGCCGCACTTGGGCGGTATGTAGCAAGTCGGGAAAGAGACTGTTCACGACGATTAAATCCTCGTCGTCGAGTTCATACTTGACACGAGTGAGCGCAAAAGTCTAGCATGGTTGCAACGGAATTGAGAGGCCTAATATTTCTATACAAATACTTACACCGCCCAAGCTGTTCGAGCATACTGAGCATCTGCATTCTTGACAGGCTTCACCGAGCCAAGGTCTCGGAGAGCAGTACTATTGGTTATGCAAACCCCGGATATATGCTGACAAGCGGCGCATGGAAAGCGGGGAAGGGCTGCAGAGACAGAGATTATTGATGGAATGTTGGGGTCTCCCCGTGGTGTGACCATAAGCGCCGTCTTGGCTCTGGGAACCCTTGATCTTCAGACGGGAACACTCAAGGAAAACGGCGCGATGTGCCGAGTTCAGATGCATACGGCGTACTTGGCTAGATGATCTATCATGCTTAGAAACTTCAAGTGAGCAGATTGAAATCAAGCTGTAAGAATCAGTCAGCCTCAGCTGTATGAGTGATTAATTATTAAAAATAGTATGTACATGGATGAAAATATGTAGGAGAATCCTGAATATAGAATTGCAACACATTTATGTGGCGTCTGCCAAGATGTCATCTGCTGCCTTTTCTGCCATCATGTAGAATCCCAAGACGGGGAAAGTGCCAATGATCTTGGGGAACACGGAGGCATCGACAACACGGAGACCGTCGACGCCGCGCACGCGAAACTGTCCATCCAGGACAGCCATCGGGTCGTCGTCTGCTCCAATCGGCGCCGAGCACGAGGCGTGGTGACCCCAGGACTCGTCCTGGATCCACTGCCTCAGATCATCGTCGGAGCTGACTTCAGGCGGTGGCCATATCCGCTCGAAATCGCCGTCGAGGGGGATGAGGTTGTCAAATGCCTGGATACCAAAGCGCATACCCTCGAGCACGGCCTGGATATCCTTTTCCGCGCCCTCGGCGCCCTCGTAGAAGCTGTTAAAGGTGATCTTGGGGGTATCGCGCGGGTTGGTCGATGTCAGATTGACGGTGCCGGCGTTATTGCGCGAGTGCGCCTTGAGCACCAGCCACGTCCAGTGGTTCTTTTCGCCAATGACCGTCTTGGAGTATCCCGGAAAGTAGCCCTGAAACAGGCCGGGGATGCCGCCAACCCAGAGGTCGTGGTCGGCCTCGGCCACGGACGAGCGAGTGAACAGGCCCAGGGCGATGCCGCCGGTAGTGTACGAGCCCTTGAGGGCGCCGACGCCGTCTACCCACTTGTCGTAACACGGGTCCTCGTCGCCCTCGAGGAACGTGCACCCGCTCAGGATGAAAAAGTTGGAGGGCGCCTCGCCGGAAACGCCAAGCTCGTAGCGGTCTTGGAGGTTGGTGCCAACGCCCGGCAAGTCCTTGACGACAGGGATGTCAAAGCGAGCCAGCTCGTCGGCAGGACCGATGCCCGAGAGCTTGAGAATCTGCGGCGTGTTAAAGGTTCCTCCCGATACAATGACCTCGCGGGTGGCGGACACGCTGCCAGCGACACCGCCGTCGCCTTCGAGGTCGGACCTGGGGTCGGCTCTGTACAGAGACTCTCCGTATAGGTATTCGACACCATTGGCTTTTGGCTTGCCACTAGATGTCGCGTTGTCAAAGGTGACTTTTGATACTAGGGTGTTGAGGGCAATGTCCAGCTTGTACTTTCTAGAGCCGTCAGAGTTGGTCGCCGTGGCAATGTCGTAGACCCAGTCGCGCGGCGAAGACCGGCGGTAGTCGGGAGAGTGCATGGCTAGAGGGATCTGGGCCAGAGCAGTATCGCTGTCCCTAGTGGGAGAGTCGTTGTTAATGTCGTTGAGGAGCAACTAAGAAAGAATGAGTTAGGCAAAAAGCAGCGACAATCAGTTTCATGTATCAGTATACTCACCTTTCCCAGACCGTCGACCAGACCGAGAAGCGACGGGCTGCCAGGCAGAATCTTTATAAAGGTTAGTATTTACTACACTCAACGTGGTCACAACAGTATACTCACAGCTCCGAGCAACCCATCAACCAGGTCCGACACCTTGCCTACCAGATCATCTGTGTTGACACCGATCGCGGAAGCGGCAGCCACCACGAGAGAAATGATCTTCAAGTCCTGAGCAACCAAAATAATAGGAGTGAGCTGCGTGCTGAGCCATCCACCGTACCCATGAGCGGTAGGGTCATTTGGAAGAATGTACTGGTTGTTCTCGAGTTTTTTGTAATAATTTCTCATGTTTTGTGCATCCCAGTTACTGTCGCCAGTGAGGTTCTTGATGTAGTCCCAATCGTTGTTGGCTGGCAGAATGGAGAGCATGGCATTGTGCTCCGTACATCCGCCTAGGCCGCCGACACGGGGGTAGTAATTGCCTTGACAAAGTGTGTCAGTAGATGTCCTTATCCTGAAACCTACGAGATACTGCAATTACTCACCGAGTCGCTCAGCACCCTCGGGCGGGTTGGTGCCGCTATAGAAATCACCACTCTCTGTACGATAGGTCATCTTTCTGTCCCTAACCGCCTGCTCTTCTCCTTCGTAGTGATGTGTGAAAAAGGCCCAGCTCAGATCGCTTCTTTCCGAGGCCCAGATACTCAAGGCGGGTACCTCGACTTCGCGCATGCGGCCATGATCAGCGCCGGCGTCGATGAGCAGCACACTGTGACCGGCCAAGGCCAGTCGAGCCGCCACGGGAGAGCCGCCCGCTCCAGATCCCACGACGATGTACTCGTACGTCTCATTCGGAGGAGGACCGGGTGTGAGTTGGGGTCCGTTGGGAGGGTACGAGTTTGATGGCATATCACGGGGAACAGTGATGTTCACCGCGACCGAGGCACTTTACGCCGTTAGCCCATTGGGAATGATTAGACTCGAGAGATGGTTTATCTGTCTCTGCATCTATTTGAACTTACCTTGTAGTGCCTAGATAGCCGCAAGCGCTGACAAGCGCCGCAAAGGCGAAAGACTTCATGTTGGAATCTTTGGCTTGGCTTGTCTAACGGACAGACATTTGGGGTTGAGCTGAGTAAGAAGAAGGCCAGAAGATTCATTGTGTCGCACAACATCAAGACGAAAGCATTCAAATATGGAGGGTATCGTGCTTCGCAAATTGCGACCTAAGATTTGCGACGATCATGTCCCAAAGTAGCGAGGAGTATGCATACTCGGGTCCCTCTCACCCACCATAGTACGCACTCCATATCTACCGTACTTACCTAACTACTGTTTAACTACCCTACAGGCCACGCTGTGGATGATCTGAGGGTCCCATGGGTCCGCTCAGAAGAATGCAGGGGATGAGAGGGGCATGGTGAAAGCCTGGGTACAGAGTAGGAGCTGTCAATCTTTGGCAGGTCATGAAAATGTAACGTGAAATTGTGGCATACTTTTAGTTGTTTCGGTAGTCATTTAAGCATATTTTCCCAATCATGATACTATAGTACTTGAAGACTTTTTAGTTCGCTTTCGGTGGCCCAAAAGGTGTACCTGAAAGTGATACGACCGTCCCAGAGCCGGTCAAGTGCTATTTTGCCTAGTTCGTTATTGATTGAATGAATTTCAAGAGAGGCCATAGGCACTTGTACTGTGGCTGATGATTGCATATCGAATGATGCCAGGATGGCCATGTCGAAAGTTATGATGCATTGCATCCCAGTCTTGGGCTTCGGTTAGATGTTTTTGGGCTTGGGTTAGATGTTTTCTATCCAATGACCTGACAGACTGGTCTTTCGTGGCACCACGAACATTTTTGATCAGTTTTCTTGTGCAATTTCGCTTGACATGCCGCTTTCAAGGACGTTGTTGGAGTTGAGCAGCCATTGATCTTGGCAGGCCGCAGCCCACAGAAGACTATCACCCACTGGAAGTACGTATGATGTTTCCAATGACTGCTGTACGTCCCTACAAAGCTGCTATCTTAGAAGCATCTTAGAACATGGCGCAGGACATGGTGGGAGTTGTGCTCTTTTGCAAAGTGAAAATCTTGTCAGCAACTTGTCAGCAAGAAATAAGAAGAAGAAAATGTCCACAGCAATCTTGGCTCTCGCCGGCTGTTGCGCTTCTTCCTTTATTCGTTGGGGACGTTGGGGGGTGCGAGATCGGCATCGGAGCCACCTAGTTCAGTTAGCCACAAACCCTTACGGGCTCGGTTCCCCGGTGCTAGGGGCTCTTGTCCTTTAGGCGCAGCAGCCATTCAGAGGTCGAGCGGCTAGATAAATGCCCTCTAGCCAAGGGCCGGGCCGTTGATGAGGTCGTGTTTAATGGGTTACACGGCCGGCAATACATTTCGGAGTGCTCTGCTATTTGTCGCCGTGAAAAGGAGTGAGAGACAGAAAAGCCTGGTAATACATTACTTGAGCCAGACAGAAGCGCTCTGTGGTAGAGAATATCCGCCAGCCACGCATACAGACCAAGGTTGACAAATTACCTAGTCCAAAGTCCCCCCACGAGGAAGCGAATACCAACATCCATGATGCCCCAGCCGACCGCTAAGAGCCCTTGGAGCGCAACTGTAATTTCAGCATCTCTATGGCCAAGCAACGACCTCGAAACTAAATCCTTCGCGCCACAGCGGGCTTGACACTGGGGAAAGTCCTTAGGTAATTTGGCCCGGGCCGCTAGAGTCGGCAAGCCGCCAAGTCTCGTCAGAGGGGCCTGGGCTGGAATTAATGCCTGCTCATATTCTGTACCTCCAAGTATGCTCGAGACTGGGCCTCTGTGTTATGCGCACAAGCCTTAGACAAGGTAATCATAATTCTACTTGCACATGTACTCTGCAGACTATGTGTGTGATAACGAGTTTATCCATGCAAGAGCAATGAACCACTCCTGACTTCTGGGCAAGGGTGGGTATGCTTGCTGCGTGCATTTTTGGTATTGAATAACGCATCTGCCGTTACTCCACCCGCGCGTAGCACCACTCTTTTTTAGGTTGATATACCTAAACCTCAGATCACGGGGGATTCCCTAGGGCCAAGGATAAACGTTCCAGTGCCCTTGTTTTTCTCGCCCAGACTATACCTAGGTAGCATGGTCTACCCTGGCTAATAATGTCCAAGGCACAAATGTCCATCTATACTTGTATGTAGTATGCGCTGCTGTGTATGGAACGGAAAGGCCCTCATCATTGAACCACAATTGGCGGTCTAGTCAATCGTTACTTTCTGTAAATGTCCCGAAGATGACCCTCCCTGTACGAGATGTAATGTGTTTGCCTACATTAAAGACACAACTGGGACCATTCCATGTGATTTCTTCGACTTCTTTTTCTCTTCTTCTTTTTCTGGTCTTGCTAAATAACCCTGGAAAACATATCCATGGCGCTTGGAACTGTCTTAAATCTCAAGTATTCTTGGGAGTTTTCCAACTGCAAGGTAAACTATTGCACAGACTGCAGGAACACGATTTGACAGGTTGATGATGGGGACTGTACAAGTACGGCGCAGCAGGCGAAGAATCCAAAATGGCAATGATCTCCCAAAAATGACCTGATTCTGTGATCTTGGATAGGAACATGTACTTTCGTACCTGGCAGTAAGCAGAGTTGCAATGCAAGACCGCTGCGTTCCACCTGCTCGGTGACATGGCCGAGAGCCGGGGGCCTGGACAAGTCGGGACAAAAGCCGTTGGGTGGGGGAAGGGGGAGGGCAAGATTGACGATATTATAGAGACTGGGGCTTGCGAAGTTGCGAAAGTTTGCGAACCCTTTCCCCCTTGCATGCCCAATGATGGTGATGAAAAGAGAAGAAGCTTCTACCGTCTGAAAGGGACCATCTGTAATACGACGTCGCAGTCAAAATCTTCAATCGGCCGAGTCATTCATCAGTCATCATCGGCCATACAGGAAGATGCTCGCCCCGTTTCGGAGCCGGCTCTCGATGTGCATTCTCTCATATATGCGCCAAGTAGTTTTTGTTTGACCTTGGCCCTGTCTAGGATCTGTGACGAATAGCCACTACTCACCCTGTCTGGATTGTGTGTGCCTCATGTGCCTTGTACGACTTGCAAATGCTGGTACTGGGTAGCAGCACATCACATTACATACAACGCTGGCCATTGATGACTTGAACACTTTTATTTATCGTCCATGTCCTGTTATTGTTGACCCTAATATTCTGCTATGCACTGGACTACTCCATCTTCCAAATTTCAGTACTAGATGATGGCGACGATGCGGGTTGTGTTGTTGTGGTTGGCAAGTTGCATTGCTACTGTAGCTGCCACAGTAGATCCGGTTTCACTCGCCCTGGCGACATATCCAGAATGTGCCGTAAGTCTTGTCCAGGGATATACGAGAACAACTTGGTCGCCATTTTTCTAATCCAGTGTCTACAGATCACCTGTTTGGCCAAGTTGGTACCCGTGTCGGCTTGTGAACTCACAGATGTGGACTGTCTCTGCCACGACGCACCACTCAATAGCAAACTTACAGTGTGCGTGACTGCAAATTGCTCGACCGTTGATGCTCTAGGTAAGATGACCCCAGAATCGGACAACGATGAGTTGTAGGGTATTGACGATCATCCCGATAACAGCTACCAAGAACGGTTCAGCAACATTGTGCCAGGAGCCCGTGAGAGACAACAGTCTCAACCAAGGTCTGGTGGGAATCATTGGTTGCAGTCTCACCTTTATTATCTTTCTCATACGCATTGCCTCCAACATGTCCTATGGCGGCGGTGGCCTTGGATGGGATTCTTTCCTCATCACTGTCACTATGATTTGCACAATTGTTGCCAGCGCACTGGCACCTGTTGGTAAGATATCTATACTCCATTGCCTAGGATATTATGGGCTAATCCGCGAGAAGCGGCATCCCATGGAGTTGGGAGAGACATTTGGACATTATCAGTCGCTGATATCGAGGCCGCTCTATTCGTAAGTTTTCAATTTTTAATTTATTTTTGCATAGCTCTTTTACACCAACATGGATGCTGACTCCTCCCACCATAGTATTATTTGATTGCAGAACTCTTCTACTTTGCCGCCGTCGGCCTAGTAAAAGCCTCGATCCTCGTCTTCATGCTCCGCATCTTTCCCCAGGAGCGCTTCCGCATAGCCGTCTTCATCGTCGTCGGCCTCGTCGTCGCCTACACCCTTGCCTTTCTCCTGGCCACCACGTTCCAGTGCCAGCCCGTCAGCTACTTTTGGCTGCAGCTCGACGATAATGTCGAGGGCCGGTGCAATAACATTAACGCCCAGGCGTGGATCAGCGCCGCGCTCAACATGGTTCTGGACCTCATTGTCCTGGGGCTCCCGCTCAAGTCGCTCTGGGGGCTGCAGCTATCGGTGGCGAGGAAGCTGACTGTCATGGCCATGTTTTCCTTGGGGATATTGTAAGAGCATGCACCCGCTGGGACCTTGATGCGGTTAATACTGACCATGGTACCTCTTGCATTCAGTGTAACAATCATTAGTGCAATTCGGATGCACACATTTATCGAGTTTTCAAGCTCGGTCAATTTTACCTGTAAGACGTCGAATTCTCAGTCACCCCAATAATTATCTCATCGTCTACTCACACGAAGACCATAGGGGATTACAAGGATGGCGGGACATGGAGTCTTATTGAGCTTTATGTCAGTATAGTCTGTGCCTGCCTACCAGCGCTGCGCGTTCTCCTTGCCATGATACAGTCGAGATGGCGCGGTTCAAAATCCTATGTTCAGACCGGCACGAAACAAAGCCATGGCTCTACGTTGAGTGGCAAGATCTCTTCCAAGCAAGGCGACACTTCGAGGAATCAAAATGATTCTGTCTGGGCTGATGAAAGGGATGGTGTCGATTTGGTGGACATGGGAGAGGAAAATAAAAAGACAAAAGCTACTGTACATTCATCCGAGATTTGATGAAGTCATCAAAACGAGATGCTTTTCTTTTCCCCAAAGAATGAAAAACCATATTGACAGGACAAAATATCGCAAAAGTCGCAAAGAGCCAACCTGTACGGCATGCTGCGACTAGTCTACTGCCAAATGGTCAGGTCCGGTGGCGTGTCTGTCACCAGCCAGCCTGGGGCAAATGTGAAAAATGACTCAACATCTGCGACGACGGATTCCAAACCTGTCATTTCCCACCCGTCATTGACTTCGATTGGCTCATCTTGAGGGCGCTCTTTCTGGCTGATGCCTTGAAGAACCGACATACACGTATGTAAAGCCCCTTCAACATTGCGAGCAAAGGCTTTATGCACTTCTTCGCTAGGTAGACTTTGGCGCCTGGCATCGATATGAGCCTGCAGGATATTAGATGATATTTTCTGGACGAAATATGAAGAGAAACATGAAGAGAAACTCATCACAGTCGGATGAAACGTAGGAGTGTGACCACTCACAATTAAACCACAAAGCAACATGTACCCCTTAATGTTGGTGCTTCCAGTCTCAACCCGCGCCAAGCTCCAATCTCTCGACCCATGCAGAATCGCCAGCAAGTCAGGTCGCAGCGTTTTGGGGCCAAGACTCTCGTCTTCCTCCAGCTGGGTCAGGATCTCAATGGCAACACTCAAGAAAGCCTGTATTGGAACCGATCGAAAGAAGCCGGCTGCGCATTTGGTAAAGAGGGCCAAGTCGCCATCCATGGAAACCATGTGCCAGATTTTGGTCGCCGTTTCCACCACCATCCATCGAGAATGGGCAAAAGCTGCATTTTGGAGAGACTTCCCAAACCATGGGGCATGGAGAGAAAGAAAATAACGGCGAACAATGAAATCCAGAAATTGAGAATCAAAAGGCGAAAGACTACTGTTTTGTAGCCCTTGGATAGATTTGCACAACTGCTTGTAAGCATCGCGCAGACTTACTTCAAGCTGAATGACTTCATCATACTGATGTCTTCTCGGATTGAGATCATTGAGGAATTTGGCAACATGGAGTCTGACGGGCAACATGTACCGTAAAGCGATGGCACTACAATGACTTGAATTAGTATTTGTTTACGTTTCTTCTTCTCTTTTCATATTTCTGTAGTCTATAATGATGGTATAGCGAATAAGGAAAGATGATTGAGACTTGCATCGATGTTTGGGTAAATATTTCTGGCGCTTTAGGTTCAGGTCGAGGTTCTTCTGTATTGCCAGCTACCAATTGGACGTCGTCAAAGTTTCCAGGGGGCTCCGTGTCAAAATCTGCGAACGATATCATGGGAGGACCTCCAGAGTCTATGCTGGTTTGGACCGCAAGCTGGTACATCTTAGCATGTCTATTCCTCGCTCCTCACTGACGTGGGGATGGCATCTGATCGATAGACCGGTGGCACCTTGGGACAAGTGGTTTGACGTACCTCGAGAATGGTGTTCCATAGCCTGCGATGTATCTCTTCCTGGAATAGGGACGTTCTTGGCAGCCTTTTGGGGTCACGATGGAAGCCCATGCTGATGGCTGCCCGCAGCAATGAACCGACAGTTATCCAGATCAAGTCTGCGCCAAGCCCGGTCGTTTCTCGAGCGATGCACAAGAGTATCATTATTTGCAATCCTGACACTGTCAATCGAGATTTTGATCGCGGCACAGACAACCATAATTCAGCCTCGCGAACCCAGGCAATGGCATTCTTGCGATATGAAAAGTTATTGTCGTAGAGAACTGCCCCAATTGCCATTACTAATTTGACCTGCAACTGGAATGGGGTTGCTGAAGTTTGCGTCAGATTTTCTGATGTTGCCCAGAAAGCTTCGTAATCCTGCCAGAATGAAGGTATGTGAAGAACACGAAAGGCAGACTCGAAAGTGCGAAAGTAGCCTTTGACCAATTCATCTGCAACTGCCCTCGGGGGAAAGAATGTTGAGGGCGCTATTGTTGTACTCGATTCCCTGCTTGCTTTAATTTTCCTTGCTAGTGCCTTGCACTCATTGAGAAGTGATAAGGCGTTCGAGTCTTTGCTGCGAGAAAGTCGTTCAAAACTCTCAAACATTGGCTCAAGCTAGATTATTTTCCTCTTTTAGTAAATCAGCACGGGATGATTTCCCCAGAAAGTCGACTGACTAGGATAGCTCCATTCATCCAATGAGACTGACCAAACAGGCGAGTCTTGGACATGGTGCCGCGATCAGTGTTATATATGTCGCACAACGCCCTTGCTTCGACAGCCTTTGTAGCCTCTCTAGAAGCTTGTTATCTTCCACTTACAACACTGCGTATTTTCTATGCGGGGTTGCTTCGCTCAAATACACGGTCACAATGAATTGAAGTAAAACCTGCAAGGCAAGCCTACTTACATGAAGACAGACGACGAATTGTCAGAAGTATAGTCTGTTGATTCGGGTGTTGGCAGTCCCACGTGGCCGATGGAGGTTGGTGACGCGACTGACGCCGGACCGATGGACCTGATAGATGAAGGCCCGGAATCTGAGTAATTAGATGTTGTGGGCGTGCACAAAGCGTTGGCAACGTGATCCCGCGGCACCTGCCCTGCGCCAGTGTTTGCCCGAAGCGGCAATAACGAGGTTCGCTGGCGCCGTTCACTGATTTCCGAGTCGTAGACACAGTCACTCTTCTTGGCTCGAACGCAATTGGAGCAAGGGATTTCACGATTACAACGAATCTTTCTCCTCCGGCAAAGATTGCATGAGCTGGGAAATAAGTGTCAGCGTGGCTCTTGTTGATTACAAGAAATGGCCTATATCCCTACGTTGCGGGTCGCCTTCGGCGGACCCTGGGTTTGTCGGACGTGGCTGGGTCGGTCATTGCACTCGGAGCGACTGGCTGTGATGTAAAATACAGACAGATTATTGAGTTCTTGATCCGTGCTCGATGATAGATAAAGACGATAATGTGTGCGAATTTGTAGGACAAAAAAGGAAAATGTTAGACTGATGCTGTTTCTGGAGTCATGTACAGGTATGAAGGAGAATTCGGGAAATTGTTCAATTCTCCGAGGCTTTGGGCAATTCCATTGGTTGAATTTTCCGTGTTAGTGAGTGCTGCCACTAAACTTCCAGTAGTCACTTACGCTGGCACCGTGAGTATTAAATGTAATCACGTAGAAACTTTGCTTGACAACGCGATTCAGAACGACAAATGTGATGTCACGCGATTATCGACGCGTTGTGAGGATGCTCATTCGCTAGAAGTAGTATCAGCATGATTGATGTTGCGCTTAGTCATCACGAGAAAATACCGATGTTTATGAAAACTTACACCAAGTCGATGTTGAGGTTTCGCCAGGGAATCAAATTAGCATCGCGATACACTGCCTTTCCAATGGCAGAACTCGCTTCGAAGGTCTAGTTGTCGACTCACGACGTGCAGTGCATCTTTCGAATTTACTTGCATCTTGTCAACATCACGGAAGTAATCATTCACAAGGAGCGTGCAAGAAGGAAGCTTGGCAATCACCAGATCGATAAGGAGACAACGATCAACGTACTCAGATGCCATGGTTTTTCTTACGGGTTCATGCATCCTGCTACCCTCCGAACCACAATTCGTCAATGCTCCGGACCCAAGCCGGTGCGTAATCTTGCATTCTGCCGGTCGCCGAGTGTCCATGGGCCATTACCCAAGGCATTTAGCCATATTATTGGCACAAAATGTCACCGTCATAACCCCTGGATTGAGATATAGCGAAGGGACCGAATTAGCAGATGCAGAAAATATAATGATGCCTACTCTTGGAGAGTCGTATCAGTGGACATATTGGTGCAACAAAACCTGGTTATCGCAAGACCAATATCGAATCAGCCGATCTGGTTCATGCTTTTCGGTTGCTTCCAAAACTTATTTATGGTCCTGTAGCTCTTGCGAGCATGCCCACAAACAGGCTCGAGAAACTTTGCTAGTGTCGCGGTATTGACGGACCTGCCCTGAACGATGCATGTTTCATGAGTGCTTCTCATTGCCAAAATAATCCATCCACAAGCTCGTGGGCTGTTATAGAATAGCCCGTCAGCTACTGGCATCCTTTCAAAGTCGCCACATTTGAAGCACACGGAGCGAATCACAATGCAAATCGATTTTCATCTTGGCCCTTTGGCGTTTTACTGCTTGATGTTGGCAAGTCTCACTGCAGGAGGCCCAACGGTTGGTGGTGAAATTGCCCAAAGCACCAGTTTGCATCGGCCTCGGGCTTGCACCACAACGCTCACGGTCAACCCATCCCAGGTCGCCGGTCTGGTGTCGACGGTTTATCGCTCAACGGCTACGGAAACGTCACACGTCACCTGCAGTGGGTGTGCGCTGGTTGTGAAGACCCAAGCACAAGGTTTTGGTCCACCACCGCAGTATACGAGCACAACGACAGCAGCAAAGACGACTGAAACGGCGTATAGCTGCGGATGAGGGTGCAATACGTTGGAAATGAGAAAAGTGAAAAGGACAGGCAACGGGGGTACGTTGGATTCAGGAGTATCACGTACATGGCAATGAAGGGGCAGAGGGTCCTCCAAACATTATCTGTCGGGTTTGAATAGAGGACTGGCGGTGACGATTTTTTGGGTTGATGTCAAGAAAGCCACAAAGAAGGTATCAAGTGGACAAGGATGAGGAGGATTTTATGAGTATTTCCGGCTCTCGGCGGCGAATGCAAGACGGACAGGACGAATTCCATCACGGTGCCCCACGCTCTTACATGTCCGTCACCCCAGTTATCCGGCAACCGCTTACCAGGATCCATCTTTCAACACGATAGTCCTGGCTTGCTACTAGTTCAAAGCATGGCCCGTCATCAGAGAGCTTCTAGAAGCGAGTATCGACACCTTCTCGAACCCAATCGACGTGTTCGGCACTCATTGATTGCATTGTACATGCTTCCCGGGTTGGGCCCTCTAGGAGTCGGGTTTCAGGGAGTGACGACAGGGGCTGGCTTCACTAAATTCGTAGGCCTAGGTGATAGAAATGGGAGGCATGAATCCATCTACGCAAATCTCTCAGTTTATAATTGTCAACGAGAATAGAGAGAACTTTGAAAGAGTGCACATTTTGTAGGTAAAACGATCAGTAATTTTTGCTTTTTCTGGAAATCAAGAAACACGTGATGTGATCTGTCGTGTAACATTGCAGCAGCCTTCGCTTGCAGGCTACCTTAGGCACCATGATGAGTTGGTGGCCATTTACTTTCCTTCTTGTATGCATGTGGAGGAAAACGGCAAGTAGCACCTTAGCTGCAGCTGCATGATTGCACAAGTGAAGGCAGCTGGCAAACGGGAGAAAAACGAACAAGAACACGGCAAACGGTCGGTCCAATTCATGTTGGGGCCTTAGCCAGCTACTACCTACCCTACATGACCTACCTACTAGCACTTTCCATTTGAACAAGCTCAAGGTCCCGTTCCGTCCGTCTTGCACACACAAATTTCCCCCCACTTAGGCAAACCTCAGGGCTTTTGGCTTCAAATCCAAAACGAGGCAGGTACAACAACGGTGACCGAACAGTACTTACTGTCCGAATTTAGGTGTTGTCCTTTCCAGACCGTTTGCAACTGGGAGATAGGCAGAGGTATCTAATTACTTGCAAAAACACTTTCGCAGCTTTGCAAAAAGTCGTGTCCTTACTTCTTCTTCCATCCAAGCAGATTGGCATTTGCAAGCGACTACAAGACAAGACTCCTCCGTCGTCGCCGTCGCAGCGTCAGCATACTGGACCTACCTACCAGTACCAACCATCAAGACGATCCTCGTCTCGTTTTTCTTCTCCGTCTTTCTGCCCTTTTCTTTCGTCCCCGAGGGAACAAAATTCAGTAGTCGGTTTATCTCGTAGGTTAGATACTCTCGCGGGCCATCTATCAATTGATTCAGCGCCTGCCACTAAGCATCATCCATCCCCCCCCCAACCTTCACTAATTCAATCCACCATCAAGGTTTTTGCTACTGCTGCTCCTCCTCAAGATGGACATTCGAGCGCATGCAGAGCGCTGCATGAAGGACACGGAGGTTATTCTTCGCGATGCCCAAGAATGGATGGGAAACTTCATAACTACAGACCATCAGAAGAACGAAGTCATTACAGTCAGTTCTATCCTATTCCGGGTCCCTGTCCAGGTCCCCCACGGACATCTCGGTCATTCACCCTCGTCGCACCCCTCCTTTGCGGCATGTTACCGTGATCCTTCAATTCCCGCTGCCCTCACGATTGCCCGGTGCACGCATGCATCAGGAACTGGTCTGTCTGGTCAGCTCTCAATTGCTGTGTGCATGTAACTGTTAGCAATCACCATAATCCGAGACTCTCTACTACCGAGTCCTCTATACTTGTCGGACTGAGACATGACTGACACTATCAATTCAGGCTTTAATTCAGCGACTTGAAGATGAGCAACATCAAAAGGACCAGCTCAAGCGCGACTTGGCCGCTGAGCATAAATCGCGAAATAACTTCCAGATGGAGGCTGAGCGATACGAATCTGTCGTGCAGAGACTAGAGCAGAAAATTGTGAATATTCCTCACACCCTCTCCAGCCCCGGCCAAGCCACTAAAATGATGCTCGTTTCCAGAATGAAGGGTCTTTTATTGCGGTTCTTATAGACGGCGATGGGGCGAAATTTGCAGACGCATTTATTCGCAACCCTGTTGACGGCGCCCCCAGAGCCGCTCAAGTTCTTAAACAAGCAGTGCGCACTTATATTGAGAATGAGGTTCCTGAACTCAACGGTGACGACATACCGATTCTGATCCGTGTTTACGCCAACCTCAATGGCCTAGCCCAGTCGCTGCGACTATCCAGAATCATTGAGAGAGATGAGGATATGAAAATTTTTGCCGAACACCTTACCAACAGCCGTACGGAGGTTGATTTTGTTAATGTTGGAAGGTACAATGCTACTACTGGTGCACAACCTCTTGGCTCAATTCTTGGCTGACTTTTTGGCGTAAAACAGAGGCAAAGAAAACGCCGACTCCAAGCTTAGAAGTAAGTGTACCTTGGTGTCGCGTACTGGCTGGCACGCGAAACGCCGCATTCGCCATACTTGAGAGAAGTACTGACCAATATTCTAGAAATGCTCAGCCATTACCACAACAACCTACAGTGTAAGAAGATTTTCGTCGCCTGCTGCCACGATAATGGTTACCTTCATGACCTACGTGAGTACAGCGACAAGAATGGGCTTAACAAGAAGATCATCTTGGTCGAGACAACCCCAGCAGAGCCTCAGTTTCAGACTCTCGGTTTTCCTATAACTAGGTTCGATGGCGTTTTCCGCTCCAGGCCCTTGGATAACGAGACCAAGCACTTGCCTCCACCCCTCAGAACGAATTCAATTCAAGATACGTCACCTGCTGCCGGGCTTCCTGTTAGACAGCAGTCCCTGCCCCAGGCTTTTCCCCCGCCGCCACCCCAGCCGCTTCCCCAGTCGCTTCCCCAACCGCTTCCCCAACCGCTTCCACAGGCGTTGCCAAAGTCACCAGAGCAGCCGACACCGCAGCCGCAGCAACAACCGGCTCGATTTGTGCCTACTCCGGCAAGCAGCGAGTCTCAGCCCTCTCCGGCTCCCGTCAAGGCCGAGATCGAGGCTGTCCCTCGCGCCCCAAGCATTGTCAACTCTGGAAATGGCGGGACCTCCATCAGCTATGCTACTGCTGGGGGCCATGGTGGTGACTTTCAAAACATTACAATCAAGTCTTCCAAGTCCAAGAAGCAGGCCAAAACTATTCTCTATAACAGTGAGGGCAGCCGCATCGACCCACCCACTAAGCACCCCGCCAACACGCCCGCTCAGAGCACCTATCAGACCAAGCTGGAGAAGGTTGCCCCTAATGCATTCTGTAACGACCACTATCTAGTTGGTATCTGTCGCCGAAGCGGCTGCGAGCGCGTGCACAATATCGACCTCACTCCCCAGGAGGTCTCAATTCATCGCTACAAGGCCCGTACTAGCGTCTGCCCCCGTGGCCCCGAATGCGACGACTACGATTGCTACCTCAGTCACCATTGTCTTAAGGATCCCCGATGTGTGCGTGGTAGCGCTTGCAAGTTCTACAACACGGAGTATGGCAATCTACACCTCGACAGCAATGAGAAATTGCAGCCCGCGTATGTTTGACCCTTCTGTATTACTGACTATAAAGTACTGACTCTTGGCAAAGCACTCGATGGACTCAGGGCAGTGACTTCCCAGAGCACCTACAGTAAACGACTCTGGGAAGGATATTTAGGAGAATATGAACAAAGTTATGAAGGAAGGCATGTCACGTGGAGGATCTCAAATTTTAGTGTAAATGGCTCACAGATTGTTTCACCCCGACTGTAACTAATGCTAGTCGCTATACGAGCCAAGTAATAAAATATAGAAAATCGCAGCTCTAAACGTGCACATGGGCGGCTCACTTGGAAGTCTCGGTGCTGACAGATTGCCGCGCACCAAAAATGCTGGCCCAATATTATTTATTACCCCTCCTCACTTGCTCCAATGTGAGACGTCGAGCCAATTCGTTCCAATGGCCCCAACCACCAACCGGTGAACGCCATTTGACCTGTAGCTCTTGGGTATACATACATGTGTACCCCGCCGACGCCCAGTCTCCTGTAGGCTGTGACTGAAATCGGGCGAATCTATTTGGTTGCAATCTTGCGAGCCACTCACAAGGTAAGACGGGCAAGCACAGCCTCAAGAATAGATAATCAAATGCAGCAAGGAAGACAAAAACCCACCTTGTGCAAATGAGTAGTAGTATTACGGAATACTCGCCCGACCATCATGCTGTGACACGCCACTTGGCAGAGCCCGCAAGGTCTCACCAATTCACCAACCCCGCTTCCGGCAGTTCCAGTACTAAGCAATGCTGCACGCTTCAGATAGGTCCAACACGACAGAACATTTCGAAAGCTCTATGGATACTTGCAAATGACCAGACAGTGTTAGCACGTGAGGGGTACTTTAGGTACTCTCAAGTAGATGCCAACATGGAGGTGCCGGATCATTGCAGCAAATGGACCACGTCTGTTCCCGCGTGAAATTCTCAACATGCACATTCACAATCACATTCATGGCGAGAGTTGAGGACTGGTTTTGAGACTGTTAATGCGAGCAGTGATGACATTGGCTCAAGCAGGGCATATGTTGATAATGTACAGGGAAATGAACAAAGGAAACATGGGAAGAAAAGCGCTGGCGACATGGGGCGAATGGAATAGTGTGCAACAATGTCTCTGTCCTCCAGTAATGACAACATTTCTCCATGATCAAGACATGCAAACATGATTCCGTCTAGTCGGCGACCGTTCAACAGTACGGCCACTCAAGGCTGCCAACCAGCACTCTCGCCCTTCCCAAAAATCCATTCCAACACAACAGCATCCTTACGATATCAATCCCGGGCATTCCCGTAGTCCCCGTATCCCTCCTGCAAGGTAGCCATGGCCATCGTCCTGGTTGGCTGGCATGCCACTCCAATATCTCGTACGTCACCAGTCGACGAAGCAATACGTGAGGACTTGACAGCCTACTGGTTCCATCTCAAAGACCACAGGAGTGGGAATGACCACCAAGGATCCCTTTTCGACCAAAAGAGTGACATTTACCTGAGGGCATAGAAGGAACGTTGGGGTCATGATGGAGGGTGACTGGGTAAAGTATAGTTGGAAGAGCACTAGCTAGAGATGTATGTGGATGTAAAGAATAACAGATATTTGATAAATGAAAACGAATTTACCTGAAAGTGTACGGATCAAGAGCGAAAACATGCAGTACATCAGTATAATAAAGACTAACAGTAGCAAGCAAAGGAGATTTCGCTCAGACCTGTGCCTCGCATATGTATCTTAAGGACCGACAACTTGACCGTCGACATTACGCGAGAACACAAAAACCAGGACAGCACATTGACACATGATATTCTTCATTTCAGTATCTGTTTGTGAAGTTGCGACGCAATCCCCATTTCTACTCTGCGAATCGCATCACCAAAGACAAAGCCCATCTGGTTTGGGGCAACGCTACTCGACTTCTTCCCATCTCGCCTCCAACTCGTCAATCAGTCGCCATTCATCTTCTCGATTCGCGTCTGCTATCGCATGGTACATCGAGTCCACCATACGCTGCCCTTCAGCAATCTGTTCCCTTCGGTTTGAGTCGACAACGAGTGACGGTATCTCTGCTTCTCGAGCATTCGTCTGCGCGTGGCTCTGGGTAGCGATCCCATGAGCGCCTAAACCTGTTGCGACCTCCACGAGAGAAAGCTTTCGGTTTTTGATGTTCTTGATCATTGAAACTGTTTCAGTATACAGTCGTAGCCGAGTGCCTGCGCAGGCAGAAAACTCATTGAGACTCTGACGGCGGCATGCTTCCCACCAGTGATGACGCATTCGCGGAGAGGCAAGACTGCATATCTTCAAGGTCGTATCGGCAGAATCACCGAGGATAAAGAGCTTTTCCCATCGTGTACCAGAGACCGTGGTATCGTAACATTCCGGACATACCACACAGTTTCCGTGAGATAACCAAGCGCTGCTGCTCGGTATGGGCTCCCGGCCTGGACACGGCGGTAGGGCGGAGAGCTGTCGAGTCAGCTTTACAAAAATGTCAAAGTCGCCAATGTCCAGGGCTTCTCCCATTTTTGAAACAAAGTGCAAGAAGCGAGGGTCCGACGGATTAAAACTGCAGGTATGCTTGGACTGAGAGGCTCTGTTGACAGCATGGAAGTATCCGTCTAGGTCGCAAGTGGTCATGATGCCCGCGTGACATGCTTGACAGATGAGGAAATCTGTGCCGCCGCTTTTCAGACCATACCAAATGCCTCCGTCGATTCCTTTTGAGTCACAAGTCTTGCTGTCTGAAATTTCCTTCACGGCGTGCTGGAAGACGCCATAGTCGTTTCGTGCCAGGCTTGCTTCGAGAGCCATCAACACGGGTCCTGTTGATAGCGCACATCGTACAGTATCATCACCAGTCATGAGTGGGCGGACATTTTTGCGCATCAAGTGAAAATGAAGGCGGAAGACGGTAAAGTGAATACGGTCCAGGTAGCAATGTTCGCAAATCCAAATGCGACCTGCAGGCACGTTGCTATACCACTTGCCAGAGTTTAGGTCGCTCAACCGCCCTTTGCATGGTGAGCCCTGATTCCGGTGACGTATTACTTGCTGGCAGCGTCTCCAATCATTGTCCTTGGCATAATATGAGAGTGCTCTCTGCACGGCAGGATGACACAAACTACAGCGCAACAACTCGTCTGGTGATTCTCGTGTGCGGTATGGCAAGAATCGATGTTCGAAATTCGTGCCGACAAGTTGATCTTGGTAGCAAGCCCGACAAGATAGAAACCCATCCGTAGGGCAACGATACCATTGAATACCCACACGGGAGAGGTCACTGATTGCCTCTACAGTATCTGGAATCGTGACACGTAGTCTCGCGTATGCTACCAACTCTTCGAGAACACCTCGGTCTTTGGTATCTGGCCAGATGCTCGTGGATACACGAGGCACCCAGAAGCGGCATCGATGTGGCACTCCAGTTTCTGACTGGAACCGTAAAAAGAGGTCTGGAAATTGCGATTTTTCGACATGATCTTGATAGCAGCGGGAGCAGACAAGGAAGTCTGGAACGTAGTCGAGTCTGTACCAAATGGTTGAGTATCGAATACTATGTTGGCGAGGGCACCTTCCAATCAAAGCACTCGAAGGTCCTTTAGCCGTTGCGCTAGACAGTGCTGGCGATGAAAGATCGAGAATCGAGCTGTCGACGTCGCCTAATGCTCCCTTCCGGCTGACTTTCAGACAACCTCTGGCGTCGTCGTCTTCATCATTGTCGAGGAAAGACGTTTCATGGTTTGGGGATGTTGCCCGACTGTTCTCCGCAATCACAGTGATAAGCGTGCACACACTTCCAGATCTCGTCACTTCCACTGGCAGGTTTTTTGCCTCTGTCAATGAAAGCATACTCCCAATACGGCGCCAAAACATGCTGATGCTGTTCTGCCTCTCCATTGCGATTCTTTGAGGCGATTGATGTCGGGATGAACGAGGTTATTGCACGGCAGGATGCATGGTGTCAAGTGTGGGTTGGTTGAAATTTGTCCGACAGGCAAGTGAGGAACGCTTGATGAATTTTCCAGGCAGTATTCGACCAAGAGTGGAAAGAAGTCCAGCTCAGGGTTGTGATGGATTTCTCAGAACAATCGGCTGATTGAATCGTCATGGTCGTCGAGCATCACATCTGTAACGTTAGCGCCGAATGCTTCCCTCTCCAGCATATTCTTCATGTTACTCTCAATGTAGCTGGCAATCTGCTTGGTCTGCGCATCTGTTCCACGCCAGATCCTGCCCTGGAGATGCCGGAGGCACAGCGATTGACCCTCGTCTGGGTAGTAGAGCCAAGTAGCCCATTTCGCCCACAAGCCTTCCTTCATCTGAGTTCTGGCAATTTGGCCTATCTTGTCTTCGATAAAGTCACCACGCATCATGGCAAGCCGCGACGGAAAGACTCTGGCGAGGTAGTGCTGCGTCGAGGCAATGTGAGGCTTGTCATGCCAAAAGAACATTGGCGTCAAGGGAATCTTGACTTCGGGCTGCTGAGGCGGAACAAAATCCCGTTTGAGCTTTTCCGTCAGGTCTTTGAGGACAGGGAAATGCTTTACATCGGCCGAGGTGGCGTATGTGAGCATGCGTATGGCGGGGAGACAAATGTACTTGACTGGGAGGTCAGTGCTGGAGTCATGCTGTTGCATGATCTCAACCATGCTCGCGACTGGTACGTCAGCAATGACATTCCAGTCGTGCTGCTGAAGCCATACGTAGGGTGTCTCGACCATGCGCAGTGCCGACCGCACAGCTAGCCCAAAGCCCAGACGCCGAACGGGCTCAATAAAGGTTACACTTCTGTCGCGTGTGTATGTAGTGGTGAATGCCACCGAGTTCGCCTCCTTTGGAGAACCAAACTCGGCTTCACCTTGCTCCGTGCCAAGCTCTACATCGGCAGCGGCGCCACGGAACTGCTCGAGAATGAGTTTCTTGGTGTTGGCCTTGTAAAGATGCCAATCTCTGGCCTGGTTGGGCGTGACGTGTCCCTTCTTCAAGCGTGCAAACGATACAATCTGATCGTAATTGTCAAAGACCACAATGACGCGACAGCGTAGCAGATGTGGGCAGTGCTCACGAAAACCGTCCACGACAGCAGACAGAAGATCCGTATTGGGGATCGAGGGCGTGACCGAGGTTGTGATGATCACGGTAAGGAGATTGGGTAGTGACGAGACTTGCGATGCCGCAAGCGGCCCTTGGCCCTCCGAGGCGGACATGATGTTTTGCGACCAGATTCTCGCAACAATGTCAAAGGCGGTGTCTGATCGAGGCTATTCCCATCCATTCACGGGTGTCTTGGCGGATTGAATTTTTGGTGGGTCAACTCAGTACTATTGGCGGGAACTGGAGTCAGGCTAGCGTACTAAGGTAGCGTTGCCCCATGACACACGGACTTATAGTGTATTATTAGGTACTACCTTAATCTGTTTTCGGGGAGACTGGGGGATATTCAGTGGGAATCAACAAGGTCATTAATTATTGTGCTTTTCCACAAGATGATCAACACCAATGCCACGCTGGTGTTGAACTTTGAGAGAGAGGGAAAACAAGGTTCTCTTCTTCTTTCTCTTTGTCTTTGATCGCTCTTTGGATGACTTGGCAAAGATGTGACGTCTTGGCACTGCATCGGTACCTAGGTATCCATCTTGGTCGTTTTTTTAGATAAGGAACAAGGCCCTATTCCATACTCGGTATCATGGGAAAACAAGCGAGAGATCATGATTGCGCTCGAAGAATAGAACAGCAAGAGTGTACATTCGCCATGACCCATGGTTGCCAATTCTATGGTGTGCTCGTTTGGCTACATTGAAGAAAAGGTATATCAATACGCAAGTTGTTGATGAATCTCAATGGATATACTATTCTTGTACATCGACAAGTTTATATTTCCTGATCATCGTGGGCTTTCCTAGCAATGCCATCCAGCTGAAAACTAGCACCGGCCCACAGTAAATCATATCCCTGAAAAGATTAAGCTTGGCTCATTTGGGGAGCCCGGGATTATCAGACCGGACATCTTGCGGCCCTGGCATGGATTTTCTGCAGTTCTCGTCTAAACCACTCGACGATTAATAGCAGCCAAGCAAAGTAGTAGCCGCACACCAGAGCTTTCAGGGGACCGGAAGGATCGTCTTTCCGATTTAAATGACTACGCTTGCAAGAACCCTGTTTAAAAAACAAGCCTGCAGGTTTCCGAGTACCAATCGCGATTGAGTATTTCTCTTTTTTGGGAGCAATTTCCAGCTTTCGATACAAGCATAAGGCAGAGAGACCATTTTTAGGACCTTGGGACGACGGGGGTCCTGATGGATCAAAAGAGACGCGACAAATCTTTAGCCATGGGGTCTCCCGGTTCCGTTCCTCTGGGAAACTTTATCTCTTTTTTCTTGTTTTTGCATTCTTTTGCTTTCTAGTCAACTATACCAGAATTCCCCATTTCCCCCATAATGTATACACTCTCAAGCCATCCACGCACACAAGCTGTCCTGGCCTTGGGCCTATTGACCGCCTTGTCGGTAGGGCAAGAAGGTCAAGCTGGCGTACACTGGATATTCCCTCCCGCTGGGGGAGAGACGTTGACATTTCATCACAATGATACAATCAACGTGACCTATACATCCTCGTTTCCGACGCCTATTCTGTATACATTTTGTCAGGGATCACATGTAGATCGTAAGTTTTTAATTAGTTTTTTTTTTTTTTTTTTTTTCACGCAGCGACTGACGCGAAGTTCTTCTGTTTCGCCGCATATATCATTATCAAGAGTTTTTACTGATTGACCTATTTCAGAGGTCAAGATCATGAATGTGCCTGGCAACAATGCCTCTGTCCTCGTCAAGCTCGCCTTTGATCACGACGATGCAAAATGCTGGTTCGACTTGAAGCCCGACTCGGACGGAGGAAAAGGCTCCAACTCGGACAGCTTCTTGTACGCGTCGAATGAAGATGAACGGGCCACCATTGGCCTGTCATCAACGTCTACGTCGTCTACGAGCACGGCCACCAGTAGTAGTAGCACAACGACCACTTCATCAAATGGGGCAGATGGTACCGGCGTGGCCGCCACTCGGACAAACATCCCGGCCACGACGACTTCGTCTTCAGTCGGTGCCACCTCTACCGGTTCAAGCGACACCAGCACGAATGGTCTCTCGGTCGGTGCGCAAGCCGGTATCGGGGTCGGCGCCGGACTCGCGGGCGTTGCTATTGGTGCATTGGCTATATTCATGCTTTTGCGAAGGCGCAAACAGGGCGCCATTGCCAATGCGAACCCGTCGACGGATCCCTCCATGGGACAAAGTCATTACGATACTAGTATTCTGTCACAGCAGCCACATTATGCGGCGTACAGTGACCAGGCTTCTTCGGGGTATCAAAGCCGCTCTCACACAACGTCCCCGGATAACACGTTGCTCGATGGAGCAGCATCGGTCGGGACAAGCGCGACAAATTATACTCCGATACCACAGGAACTCGACGCTCCACACACGTATTTGCAGGAGTTGCCTTCATCAAGACATATGTGAAATGATTGAACCTTGACCGCATGCTATCAAGGCACCGGGGGCAACGGTAATGAGCTAGGAATCAGTGCTTTATTGAAGCAACAGCTAAATATGAGGACATTTTGCCCAATCTCTCAAAAAGACACTTTTTACAGGAGTTGGTCGACGAAACAAGCGACCACGCTAATATACTCCGTTGGTATCTCATGAGTGCGTACTGTTGCACTCCGTGTGTTGAAACATTTTTTTTAATACCCGACAGAGATTGAACTGGGATCTCCCTTTACTGAACTTTTCATGGTCAGTATCCTTCTTTTACCATCCACGACCAGCCAGCTTGTCCTGGGCGCGCAAGCTGGAGACCGAGATTCCGACCATGGCCTCACCCAGACCCTCGCTGCACTCGGCAAGCACTTTGGCGTCCTTGTAGTGTGTCGTGGCCCGCACAATGGCCTTTGCTCTCTTTGCGGCGTCCCCTGACTTGAAAATGCCGCTACCGACGAAGACGCCGTCACAGCCCAACTGCATCATCAGTGCGGCATCAGCGGGTGTAGCAACGCCACCGGCGGCAAAGTTGACGACAGGCAGTCTGCCCAATTCGGCCGTCTGCTTCAACAGTTGAGGGTCGCACTCGAATTCTCTAGCCAGCATCCGGATGGCCAGGTCGCCGCCTTCTTGCAACGCAGCCTTGGCTCGAGCAATGTCCTTGCTGACCTGGCGCATGTGCTTGACAGCCTCGACGACATCACCAGTGCCGGCCTCGCCCTTGGTCCGGATCATGGCAGCACCCTCGGCAATACGGCGCAGGGCCTCGGGCAGGTTTCTGCAGCCGCATACAAAGGGGGCCGTGAAGCCGTGCTTCTCGACATGGTACTGGTCGTCGGCCGGGGTCAAGACCTCACTCTCGTCAATGTAGTCGACGCCGAGGGACTCGAGGATCTGGCACTCGACAAAGTGGCCGATGCGAGCCTTGGCCATGACAGGGATGGTCACGGCCTCTTGGATTTCCTTGATCTTGCCCGGATCAGACATGCGGACCACTCCGCCCTCTGCGCGAATGTCGGCGGGCACACGCTCCAGGGCCATGACGGCACATGCTCCGGCTTCTTCGGCGATGCGGGCCTGCTCAGCATTGGTCACGTCCATGATGACACCGCCCTTGAGCATCTGCGCCAGGCCCGCCTTGACCTTGAAGTCGGTGGGCCCAGCGTTGCCATTGCTGCCGCTCGCCACGGCGGCGGCGCTGCTGGTAATATCGTTGGTCATTGTGATGTGAAGATGTGGGCAAGGAGAGGAGAGCTGGAAAGTGATGGTCTTTCTAGAATGCCAGGAAGTAGGAAGTCACCAAGGCGGGGGAGGAAAAAACAATGGGCTATATGCTTGAAGCTCGAGACCATGTGACAAGAATGAACGGCTCTCGGTTTCGGGAGATGGCTCTCGATGCAGATATATTGCAAGGAGGGGTGACCAATCGTAGGGCTGGGCGTGTCTTGGTTAGGCAAGTACAAGCTGACAGGATGAGGTGGTGCTTTTTTCGTCTGGAGAACACGTCGACGACGAAGGGAGGGGTTGAGGAGAAAGAAGTAGGTAGAGGATGATGGAAAGAAAAGAGATTGGTCCACATGTGTAATACTTGTACAGTCACATTTTCTAGACCTCCAGGGTCCAAAACTCTAAAGGATCACTTGAATGTAAGCGAGGTCGCAGCCGTATGCATCTTTCCGGAGAGCCTAGCAAGCCTAGGACGAGCCAGAGTCAAGAAGATCGCCCGTTCTTGGTACGTAGCAAAAAAATGAAGCCAATTGATGAGCCCTGTGAGAACTATTAGCTGTCCCTAGTGTAGAAATGTATGCAGCCAACCAACCCGGTCGTCCGTCTTGTCAAGTCAGTCCCCGGCCCCAGGGAAAAAAAGACAGCCCATTGCTCGGCACCCAGCAAAGCAACCAGTTGTTGCTCATCCTACTACTCCACCGGACGGACCGTAACTGCCGTGGCGTTATACTGGGTCTGGTCTGGATTGAGTAAGTAGTGCATCCCTTAGCCAAAGTACATGACGTTACCTTGATCGTGACGCATCTCGGTAATTGGTCCCGATGTCGGGTCCGCATGCAAAACGGTCGATCCGGGGAGGGTCCCTTGGATCCCCTTGAGAGGGTTGCCCGGACGCGACTACATTAGCGATCCAGTAGTGGGGGGGCAAAAGCGGGAAGGCAAATAAAGGACCGGTCATTTCAATTGAATGGGCAGCAGCAGCAACAGCCAGCAGCAAAAAGAGAAGACCGATGCAATCCGAGCCAGTCATACCTGCGAATCGAAAGGAACGCCGACACTCGGAATAGGAATGTGTTGGCGAATCGTGTATGCGTCAAATTTGTCTAATGTCTGTTGGTGTGATTTATCTCACCCCCAATCTTTTGTCATTTCATTCATTGCAACTTGCTGCTGCATGTGGTCAGTTGGTCACTGGCCGGGTTGTTTCTTGACACGGTCTGTCCAATTGAATAAAAAATTATGTGTAACCATCGAAAGCCCATCAGAGTACATGCATCCTAGCTCCGTGCGCTGCATCTACACTCTGACATCTGAACACCCACTTACCTACCTATGTAGGTACCTACTCGATGGTCCTTCCCCCTCCATGTACAGTCAGCCATATCCTCGCTAGCAACAACCTCTATCATTTGTCCTTCTTTCCACCTCGTTCGCCTCGCGTGACTTTTCCAGTTTCTAGAAACCACCCTTATCATCCACGCTACTCCTGGTACCGTACCTAGTCTACCCAAGGCTTGACCCTTGGAGCGTTCTAAAAACACTTGGCCCCAAACTCTACTTCCAGCCCAGCGACCATTGAGAACAACAAAATTTCATTCTTGAATGAAAGAAAAATTTCTGTTATACGCAATTGACACATTTGCACCAAAACATGGTATTCACAGTTGGCGTATTGTCCTTGCAAGGAGGCTTCTCTGAGCACTTGGTGTCCCTGAAACGTGCCGCCGTCCATTTGCAGCGCAACGTCGAGTGTATAGAAGTCCGCACGCCCCAAGAGCTCTCAACGTGCGAGGCCCTCATCATTCCGGGAGGAGAGAGCACCACTCTCTCCTTGGTGGCGCAACAGTCGGGGCTTCTTGAGCCTTTGCGAGACTTTGTAAAGTAAGTTTTGAAAATGTCCAAAAAGTCCCATTAGGAATACTATTCCAAGGACTTACACCCTCGTCTACAGGCAAAAGAGGAAGCCGACTTGGGGTACCTGCGCGGGCTTGATTTTCCTGTCCGAAGAGGCCACTTCCACCAAGAGGGGAGGACAGGAACTCGTCGGCGGCCTTGACGTGCGGGTGCATCGCAACCATTTCGGTCGACAAAAGGAGAGCTTCGTGACCAACCTGGAGCTGGCCTTTCTGCAGGACTCATCGGTGACAGACAAGCCCCCTCCTTTCCCTGCCGTCTTTATCCGCGCGCCCGTTGTGGACAAGGTATTGACCGACAAGGTCGAACAAACGCCCACGGCACCCGTCGAGGTGCTGGCCGTTCTGCCCGGCCGTCATGCTTCGAACAAGGCCGCGTTGACGGGTGATGAAGCTTCGGTCCAACCACAAGGAGACGGTGATATTGTTGCGCTGAGACAGGCCAATGTATTCGGGACAAGCTTCCACCCAGAACTTACCGACGACATTCGGGTACATGTTTGGTGGCTTCAACAGGTTTTCATGGCCAGCACGCCAAATTAAGCAAAAACGGCAAACTTATCGAGCATTGTACGCAGGCTTTCAAAGGTGGAAGACGTGAAATGTCTAAGCTGTATCACCTATTTAGTATGAGAGTCAAGCAAATGCGCCAGAAATGTACATCAAGGCAACCAAATCTTCGCGCCAATTTTAGTCGGCCCTTCCTCCCATAGGCACGAAACCGAGAATCGTGGATTTTGAGAATTGTAAAAGAGATCAGGTCAAGCACGATGTTCAGCTTGACGCCTATTGTTCTTGTGTGGAAACGTCTGGTTCGGCTTCATCTTCCAATGTCTCTATTGTGCTTCCTTGCGGTGGGATACGGACGAATGTGAGAATCAAAATGGCGAGCAATGCAACCGCCTGTGTCATGATCTGTTAGATAATCAACTGGGACATTACCGAACTCGGACACTTACTGCATTGCAGAAGAAGGTAAGATGAGCTTGGTCAATCTCGGCAAATGCCGAGTACATTGAGCCAAAGACTCCAGCGGTAGAAAGGGATGCCAAGTATCCAACAAAAGTGATGGCCTGGAGCGCGTCTAAACGCTGGGCGGCTGGAACGAGGTCGGTAAGTACGCCTTTACTAGCAGCATCTGACCCCGAGAAGAAGGGAAGCAAGAATCCAGCTTGGCGTCCATTGTTAGTTGTTGAAAATGACGAGGTGTTTTGGAATCAATGTGTCTTACCGAGAAACAAGTGCCATGGCATAGTGGAGAATCCGATACAACCAGTGACGATTGCGTCGCCAAGCATACTCCACCGCAAGAAGAACAAGTCAAACGCCGCGCCTGCGTCTTCGTCGACTGGCTTGGGAGGGTTTGCGGGCTCCAACGTCTCTGCCTCGGGTAATGCTTCAATCGGCCCAAGATCACGCGGCTCCGTGGGTAGAGTTTCTGCCAAGACAGGTCCCGACTGCACAGCTTCCTCGGACGTGGCAAACCATCTCCTGCCCCATTTGATGATCTCTGGGAAGATAAACATCAGGTAGACGCCTCTTACAGTAAAGGACATGAACATGAAAGCACTATTCATGGTTGGCGTAAAGTTCAGCTTTGTAATCGAATACATCTGCGTCAGCGGAGGAGCATAACCAACTGCTAGTACAGCGACAAATGTGCCCGCGGCAAGCAGTGGCAGTCCATAGTATCTCGTCGTTCTACCATCGGGGAGTCGCAGTGTCTGAGGGGCTAGAACACGGAAAACAGAGGCATTCTTGGCATTTGTGCCCTTTTTGCTGTCTGCGCCACCCATTGTCTTGGGGTCGATGTACGGAACGAAGACGGCACAATAAACAAACGAGAAAGACAGCAGTACAGCAGTGATCTCAAAGGGCCGGCGAATGATGGTGGCTTCACCGACAATGCCGCCAAGCAAGAAACCTAGAGCTGTACCAAACATGGCCGCTCCTTGTAGTCGGCCGAAAGAGGCTGTACGCTTGTTGGGATCTACGAGCTCGGCGATGGATGTATTGAGCGTGAGTAGGTATCCAGCAGGACCTCCTACAATACCAAAGAGCTGACTGCTCTGCATCAGGATGATACCAGTGCGGCCACCAATGCCGACAGCTACCGCTTGCATGGTCACGCGGAGGACGGGGAAGAAGGTATTTACGAGAAGGGCAAAGCGTGGTCCTCGGTTCTTGATTGATGCGCCAGTGACATTCAGATTGAGGATCCCGCACAGGATCGTCGACATACCCAGGATCATGATCTGTCTAGCAGTGGACGCGTCAATCTCGGGCCTGCTACACTGATCTCCTGTTCCGATATATGGTGCCGCGTGCTCGTAGTAATCTTCGCAGGCCATTTTGCGAAAGGCGTAGAGAATGCTGCCAAGTCCATTAGTTGCCTTGTTCACATGGCCGGTCCGGCCCCAAGACACGCATGCATAGTAGATACGTACGGAACCTGAGTAAAACAAAGGCCGGTTGTGATGAGGAACGCGGCCATCAACAGGCGCATCTCGGGTGTCGCAATGTGCTGCCACCGGTCCGCAGTGGCTGCTGATTTGCCGTCATCGGCCGGGGCCGTTGTCTTGGGGCCGGTGCTGTTGCCATTTTCACTGCCATTGTTCAGCAGAGGCGTCGTCTCCTGCGCTTCTCTTCCATCCACGGATGCTGCCATCTTGCCAATGCCTCGAGCTGGGAAACAGCTTAAGGTCCAGGTTCCAGTGGATTGCGCGCGCTGGCAGAGAGGGAGCTGTAATAAACACCCAGTCACGCGCGCTGAGGGGAAGGGCCGGAGAAGAAAAAAAAGAAAAAAGAAAAAGAAAAGATTAGGTCAGTCGTCGCAATGGGACTTTCTGCCTGTCCCCTGGTCTCACTCAACTGAAACTCCAAGGGTCCTTCCTATTCTATCTCTAGTAATCTGCTGCAAGAAACCCCCCACTTGCATCTTGTTGCGGGAGCCCCGCCTTTAGTAAAGTATTTCGGGGACGCTGATCCGACCAAACCCGGTCATTTATATCAAATGTCCCGAAGCCTGAATAATGTACGGCCGTGTCTTATCAGCTAGGGCCCGTTTTGAGTGGAATACACGATAGATCCAGATTCGACTTTTTAATATAAAAGCAGAAACTATTCCAAGAGCAAATCAAATCTCACGGATCTCACCTTCTCAGGACAAGACACTGATCACTGTGGCCCAGGCAATAAAAGCAATTGCTTTTGGCGTCTGTGCCGGATGTGCAGTCATTCGGCTGAAAAGGAATAGCTGCTAAAAAGAATCAACTCGGCTCTGTTTCATTGCTGGAACATGACTTGGTTTACCAAAGCGAAAAGGCAACGATGCACTGGAGCGGGATCGAAGGGAGTAATCTAATCTACCTATCCTTTCACATTCACCGCGTTTGTGCTCGCTGCCGCAGTGGCTGGAGGAGAATATCGCAACACGAAAACAAGCAGCAAGCATGCAAACCATGACTCGAGCCCAGAAAGGTGCAGCCTACTTTGTGATGCGATGTCCGAGCCATGAACAAACAAAAATAATGAATAATGCGCCTAGATAAGCGACAATTTTGTCATGTAACGGAAAAGTCAACATAAACACGGCTATAATTCACTGCTGCATCTCAGACATATACCCTAGCTATTGAATTCACGAGGCAATCTTTGCTTAGATTTTCATGTGCATCATGACAAGTCTATATCGATCAGGCTCAAGGATCATGGTCCGATCTTGGGCAACAATTTTTGGGAAGAAAGGAGAAGTGCCACGCAACAAGAATAGCCAGGAAACAAGAAATCCGTGTATTGTCCTAAGGATGATAAAACACCTAATGGAAGAATGAATATATAGGTTCAAAAGCTGCCACTAGGCCCCCAAGCTCCGTATACTACTAGAATATTGGCGAACTCGGTTCTTGGCGCAACTACTATACATACCCCCACTACTATAAATCATGTTGTGGAATGACGTTCTAAAGTTCAAGATGTCATAGTTCTATGGATAGTTTTGCTAAATAGCTATACTACATACTGCTCTGGCCAAAGAGGCAATGCCCAAGGGTTGTGCTAGCCGTTCGCATACGCACTTATAGTGTTTCCCCCTCCCTTCAATCTACAACTCCATCATTCCATATCCTTTAAACACAAAAAATCTCCATCCCCAAATCGAAGAAGAGGACAAACACACCCGTCCATCATGCAGGAATTCGTGATTGTGACACCGCCATCTCTAATGGATGTATAGGCCGTTACTCTTCGCTGATTGGCTGCACATCCAACAAACACCGCTAAAATGTCGTGATCGATGCTGACATTCACTTTCAGCCAGCTGATCCCTGCACCTAGGGCCACATGTGTTGTTTCGGAGGTTATTTTTCAGCACCCAACCTTGATTGGAAAGCCTGAGGAAAACCACTCAGCCAGCTATGGAGATTCCCTTTGCTGTCCCCTCCTCGAAAGCCGAAAAATGGTTGGACAATTATAAACAGCAAAGCACTGGGTGCCATCTAAACCCGAGGCCCGCTTAATATAGGATTGCCGTGTGATCTGCAATTCCTCCGCGTTTGGGTGATTGAGCAGCGCCGTAGACGCGTGTAGCGAGCAGCACGCTCAAGCACGCCATAGTAGGCTTGCCTACCATCTCCAAATGGGGGCGTCCATCTCGCCGTGGGATATATTAAAACCAGGCTTCGCCCTCGCAGGCGTCTGCAGCCAGAGACTATGCCGGCCGCTGAGCCCATAGACTTTTACGAGCCCTTGAGAGGTACTACAAGTTCGCGGGCGACGAGTACTCGTAGGGACAGCGACAGCAGCTCCAACCTAGAGCTTGATAATCTACACAGAATAGAATCCGGCACAGCAACAGCAACGACGGCACAGTCCTCTCGACGACGCAACCTGCTACATCTCCTCGACACCACCAAAATGTCCTACGAGCCTCTCTCGTCCAAAGACCCAGACGACGAGCACAAGAGCTACGGCTCCACAGACTCGTCGCCTGCTGCCGCCGCCGCGAGGAGCCCGACGGCGCTGCTGATTGAAAATGTCGTCTTGGAAGATTTCGAGCGGCCGCAGGCCAGCAACCCCTTTCTCGACCCCGAGACGGCCGCGTATTGGCGCAACGTCTATGAAGGCTGCGAGTACGAGTGCCGACACGCCTTTGATCCGACGCTGACCTGGTCGAGAAAGGAGGAGCAGGATCTTGTCCGAAAGCTGGATTGGAAAGTGTGTTTGTGGGCTGTAGGTTTGCCTTCTTATCCTGCTAATTTAGCATTCTTGCTTCCAAGGGAGGGGGGCGAGGTAGCGAGGACTTGTGGCTAATATGGTGAATCAGTGTGTCATGTTCTTTGGTCTACAGGTAGATCGAAACAACTTGAGCCAGGCCGTTTCAGATAATATGCTCGATGATTTGGGCCTCAGTACAGATGGTGAGGCGAATTCCCCGTCATGCCTGCAAGAAGATCCTTTGCTCATGAGAAGACAGATTACAATTACGGAAACTCTGTCTTTCTCGTGTCATTTTTGGTGGCTGAACTGCCATCCCAGCTTATATCCAAGGCATTAGGACCGGACCGGTGGATTCCAATGCAAATGGTGTTGTGGTCCTTTGTTGCCATATCGCAATGTCTGATTACGGGTCGGAGTACTTTTCTGCTTACGCGGAGCTTGCTTGGATTTCTAGAGGTATACCTTCCCTGCGGCCTTTGCGGCCACTCGATTCTTTCATCTTGGCTGCTGCTGACTTTTTTCTTGGCACAAGGGTGGTTTTATACCCGACTTGGTTCTTTGGCTTTCTTACTTTTATACTTCACGGGAGCTACCGATCCGCCTATCCTATTTTTGGACCACATTGTCGGTAACGGGCATTCTGACCTCGCTTCTGGCCTCGGTGCTTCTTCGCCTTCGTGGGGTGGCAGGTTGGGAGGGTTGGCGGTGGCTATTTCTGGTCGAAGGTGGAATTACCTTGGCAGTAGGCGTGGCCTCCTTTTTCCGCATGCCCGCCTCCGCCGTCCAAACCAAGACGTGGTTTCGTCCAAACGGATGGTTCACCCCGAGGGAAGAGGCCATTGTGGTGAATAGGGTGCTGCGGGACGACCCGAGCAAAGGCGATATGCACAACAGAGAGGCATTGACACCACGAAAGCTGTGGGAAGCGCTCAAGGATTTCGATTTGTGGCCACTATACGTCATTGGACTTGTCGCCTATATTCCACAAAGCCCGCCAAAGACTTACATCACTTTGATATTGAGAAGCCTGGGATTCAGTGTGCTAGAGACCAATTTATTGACCATTCCTGCAGTATGTATTTCTCCATGTCTCGATTTCCTGGGTAAGTAAACAGAAGTACTGATCAAAACACTTGACAGGAGTTTCTTCATATTTGTAACCTTCTTATCATAACACGGCTGTCCGAATGGTTGAATGAGCGAGCTCTAGTTGCTATACTTCAGCCTATCTGGACTCTGCCTTGCATATTTGCGCTACGATTCTGGGATGGCACATTTGAGAATGCTTGGGGAAGCTACGCATTGGTCATGGTTCTCCTGTCCTATCCATACTGTCGTAAGTCCGGTCACAAGAACCTCCTGGTTTCAGTTAGACACAAAAAAACTCACGTTTCACGACTTGGTAGACGCGATCTTGGTAGGCTGGACCTCGAAAAACTCCAACAATGTCGGCACGCGCACTGTCTCAGCGGCGCTGTACAACATGTCGGTGCAGACGGGGTCCGTCTTCTCAGCCTACGTATACCGCGATGACGACAAGCCCCTGTACCGCCGCGGCCATTCGACCCTGCTGGTCATCAATGTCGTGTCCATTCTCGTCTTTCTGCTGACGAAGCTCTACTATGTCTGCCGCAACCGTCAAAAGGAGGCCCAGTGGAACGCCCTGTCCGAGGAAGAAAAGGTCGAGTACCGCCGGGTGACCAAGATTCAGGGTAGCCGGCGACTGGATTTTCGGTTTGCCCATTGATAAATAGACTATTGCCTAGGTAGTTTTGAAGCAGGAATGGTTGCCTGACATGTTCTAGAAGGGAATCATCACATTATTAGAAGAGAAACACTAGCTAGACATAGACTCTCCATGAGACCACGAGACACGATGGATGGAGGAAACGAGATTAGCATATTTGAGAGAGGTCGATATAATGGATTTAAATGCTTGTCCCACTCATTGTAAGAGACAAGGTTATGCCCATCTCCCAAACATCATAAAGCACCTCAAATCGGGCTATGCCACCGCTGAGAAATTATGCACAACCCAGAACCCTTAGATTTGAGCTTGAATACAGGCTTGTAGGCTCTATTAAATGCACGGCCTTATTGCTACATGTCAGAATCGCAGAGCGCATAGGCGCACCTGTTCTGCCCAAAACGCCCTTTACATATGCTGGTTTTTCCAAATTCCGGGTATCAACGCCTTTGTTCACTCATGACTCCAACCCTTGCCCATTTCCCTGGTAATAGCAAATCGTCTTTTCAATACACACCGCTCCGTGGATGGTGACGGCTCGGGAGGAAATCACCAAGCTGCAAGCGAGTCATGCCCTCCCTCGCACCACCGACCTGTTGAGCAACTTCTAGAATACTCTGTTCGAAATCGCGCAAGACAGCACCAAGCTCAGCAAGCTTCTCATCGCTTGGGGATGGTCCACCGTTCTTGGTGGCCATCATGCGCTGTAGTTGTTCGATCAGACTGCCCTGGATGCCGTGCATGTGAAGTTCAATCTCGGTCAGATTGTTTTCGTAGCGCTGTAGTTGCTCATCCATCTCGCTAGTCGTCTTCGAGAAGAAGTTTACAATGTCCTGACCGTCAGACTCTGTATTGGTAGAAGCCCCTGCCTGTGCGCGTGACGACCACAGTCCGCTCGTGTGGTATTGCTGGGGAAGCTTGAGGTTGTCCAAAGCTCGGAAGCACAACCTCCCATTTTCTGCATCTTTTTGGTGTAGCAGTTGAACAGACTCGATTGCCTCAGCGTCAGAACGTAGAGCACTCTCTACACCATCATATTTCATCTGGACAAATTTGACGTCGTTGGGAATGTTCGAGAGCATGTCGCCATGGCCAGGCATGAAAGCATCCAGCTCGTGCTTTTGATTCATATACGACTGGATCTGGTCGTCGAGCCAGACAATCTTCTTTTGCAAGTCCTCCTGAAGGTCGTTGAAGCGTGTTGTTCCGCGAACGTTGGAAAGGTCTATCCGCACACCAGGCACAGTTTGTTGGTTGGTTGACTGGGCACCCAATGTGGAACTGAAAAGTCAGATGTTAGGCTTTAATCGTGTAATATCAGTCGAGCAGAGACTTACAATGCATTGGAGTTTTGCTGGTTTCCTGCACCAAGAATGGATGATCCAAAGGCAGAGGTGTTTTGTGCCGGCTGAGCAGTCTGGGTACTGGCCCCAAACAGACCTCCAGTCTGCTGTTGTGGTTGATTATTATTTGCAGTGCTAGATCCAAATAGACCTCCTGTTTGCTGCTGCGGCTGGGCAGTATTCGCGGTGGAGTTTCCAAACAGACCGCCGCCGGTCGGTTGCTGGGTATTCTGGGTGTTGGTATTGGTGTTCAACGAGCCGAATAAACCTGACCCAGCCGATTGCGCTGTAGTTCCTGCAGCTGCCTGAGCCGGCTGTGCAGAAGCATTGCCAAAGAGTCCACCGGTGCTCGGTGCGGCCGAAGAGCCACCACCGAAGAGACCTGATCCCGTGGAGGGTTGTGTCGTCTGAGGCTGCGATGCAGTGCCGAAAAGACCGCCGGCTGAAGGAGCTGCACTACTTGCACTTCCACTGGCGACATGTATGTTAGCATTCTGAATAGCAGCCATCTTCATTGCCTCCTTCTTTGCGCGGGCCGCCAGAAGCGTCTCTTTGGCCTCTGCCAACATTCGCCTCATGTCCGCGACGACGGCACTCTGCGCAGCTTGCTTGTCCATGGCGCACAAATCGGTCGTCATACAGAATGATGGCACAGCAAAGAGAGCATGGTAAGTACTCACAATAGATTGGCTGAAGAGGTGTTGATACTCAAACCTCCGGGGCCGCTGGCAGACCTAGCAAGGGCCATGGTTGTTGGCGGTTCGTAGTGCGAAGCAAGGGATGAGACGGAACGATTGATGCCTCGCTGGAATGTGAGATATGAGGTTGTTGTTTGTCCAGAGGTGTTGGTGAACGAATGACCGAGTGTGCTTTCAGCCTTGTCTCAAACCACCATGAGCTATCACTTTTTTTTCTTGCAGTCGCGTTGTCCTGGACGCCCGCAAGTTTCTGTTGACAAACTAGAGGGATCCATCAATTGATTGCTAGGGGGGAAGGGAGCTCGGGCCCAGTTCCACTACAGCTGATCTTACTGGACTGGACCTTGAGCTAGCGCCCTGTGAGATGCCTTCTATCATCCAGCGTTATTGCTCAGTGACCCGCTAGAAACTGCATGCGACGACTGTACCTGGATTCCAGCCTTGTCGTTCCAGATCAGGACCCTCCGTTCAGCCTTCTTTGTCAATTTGCAACATTTCGGCGCGAGACACTCCCGACGACAAAAGACAAGATGGATATCGACGACGATGATGATTTCTACGCGCCCGATGAGCCAGAAACCACCCAGGCTCCTGCGCCACAAGCCAACGCAACTGTGCAGCCCGCCGCGCAACATGACGAGGATCTGGAAGAGGGCGAAGAAGAAGATGAAGGCGCGGAAATGGATGAAGATGATTCAGTATGGCTTACCCCGGCACCTAATGAAATTTTGTTCTCTAACAACAATCTGCTAGGACATTGACATCATTACAGAGCGGAAAGATGGCACAAAGGCTCCTCCGCCAACTCAATCAAAATATAGCGACATAAGAAACATTCCGCAACGGACGACTTCAAGCGATGCTGCCGTGAAACCTGCCGTCAAGAAGGACGAGGCAAGTCCTGCATCTGGTGCAGAGTTGCCGGCTGTCTCGACATCCAAGATTGACGTCAATGCTATACCAATCCACAAGGGCACGGGGAAGCCCATCACACAGGTCAACATTGATGAAGGTGCGCTTTCTCATAGTCCACTTGGACAGTTTATTTGGGTCCTCATTAGATTCTAACCACATGACAGACTTGCCAGAAAATGATAAACCCTGGCGAAAGCCGGGTACCGACATTAGCGATTATTTCAACTATGGTTTCGACGAATTTACGTGGGCACTCTATGCAGCCAAGCAGGATGGTATTCGCGGAGAGTACAGCTCCGATGCAATTGCTCAGAATAACAAGAAGATGATGGAAGAGATGCAAATGATGATGATGGGAGGTATGCCTGGCGGAGCTGCTGGTGCCATGCCAGGGATGCCAGGCATGGACGGCATGCCACCAGAGATGCAGCAAATGATGCAGCAGATGATGCAGTCCGGCATGGACCCAAGTCAGATGGATCCCTCGGCCATGTTTGCAGGAATGCAAGGTGCTGGAGGTGCCTCTGGCCAAGGAGGTCAAGGCCAAAATTTTGCTGGTGCTCAAGGCTTTGGAAACCAGCAAGGCCAAGGCTACGGTTACGATCAAGGGATGGGCCGCGGCAACTTTGGCAACCGAGGGCGGCGGGGTCGTGGGAACTGGTAATGAGAGTCCTCTGGACCTCTTCCCATGACTCAGCTACACCATGATATACTCTCTACATCCAACCCTGCTGTGGACTACCGTGCGGCATCGGTATTGATCGAGGGCATTCCCGGAACGCATTGACCTGCAAAGAAGGAGACGACTACTCGCCTCTACGGAGACTCGACCTTCTTGTCAACCATGGAATTGATATTGGGCTTCATGGTTCAATCGACGTCGGCGTGGAGAATCTTGGTCTGGCAACTTCAAGATTACACGAATATCAGTCTTAGAACTTGGCCATAGCATTGAGACTTGACGCAATGAGACTTGACAAATTTGACGTCCCCATTCCCAAAGGGTCTTTTGAGGAGGATCTGTGTTGGCTTGATTGATTTCCACAAGTGGATCCAGATCGTCGTATACTTCCCAAGTGCATGTCGTGCTGCTTGATTCAACAGACCTAGATTCCCCTATCATCTTCTCACTGAGCGGGGGCATTGCATGTGTAGGTTATAGAATTGCCAGGGGAATCACGAAAGCACCTCTACAAGTCAGTGTTCAATCATCTCAAAAAAGGGAGCAGGGTCCCAAAATATATGAAGCGGGAGACCACTCATCATCTTCAACTGTTGCTCTCTCTGTATTCTGTCTTTCAATAATTGGCATGACACGAGCCACGCCAAGCCTTCTCATCGAATCAACAAATCTAGTTCTGACATCCCTACTGCAAGTCTCGATTTTCTCTCGTCAAGACGAGAGGCCGTGAGACCAGCAATTACCGGCAGTTTCTGTTATCATCATTTCACGGGCAATCTTCTTAGAGTTACTCTACAACCACACTTGTTACCTACCTTGAGGTATAGTATCTATCGAGTCTCAAGTATATTATTGGTTTTTGAAATTCTCTTCGATCATCATACTTAAATCTCCTTCCATATATGCGAATCAAGTCGGTATGGTTGGCATAGAGGCACATGCCGCTCATGTGGAAACAACAATTGTGCAAAGTTTCTCGCCTTTGCAAAGCAGGATGGAGCCGGTAGCCGCGATAATATTCTCGTCCACCGTGTCTTTGACCGACAGCTACAGAGTAAAAGACCTGCAATGCAAGACTGTACCACGCAACAAAAGCGCTGAAGCCTGAGAAGAAGAACAAGCTCTCCACAAAAGGTGATTCTGTATACATACAGGCTAGGCGAGCACGTCCAAAACGAGAGCCCCGATTTGACAGCCTTGGAATGCATGCACACAAGCGGGTACTGAAAAGCAAGCATGTTAGCACTGAGGGACAGCGGCAAGATGATAATAGATCATCCTCAGAATGTTTAATTTTTCACCGAGTATTATATCCAAGATACACCTCTCCTGATGTGATCACTTTATCTCACACGCCCCAAATCTGGGACAGAGACAGGTACACATCGGCATCATTCAATTTTCTAGCCTCCTCCAAAGTCAAATTGAGCTCATGGAGAAGAATCAAGGCAAGTCGGAGGACGTCCAGGGCGAGCAGCCACCCGCTGCTGACCTAGGGCACTACTCCGTCTTCACCAACTCGATGCGCCTCTATCTGACATACCTCTTGGGCTTTGTCATAATCCTCTCGACTCTGACGGCAACGATCTACTTCCCGCTCATTCCATTACTGAGTCGCGAGTTTTCGGTATCGGTTCAGGCCATCAACCTCACAGTCACGCTGTACGCCGTGTGCCAGGGGGTTACCCCGCCTATCTTCGCGTCGCTGGCTGACTGTTTTGGCCGCCGCCGCCTGCTCCTCTGCCTGGTGGCGCTTTATACCTGTGCCAGCCTGGGGCTCGCGCTGAACCGCGACAGCTACAGCACATTGCTTGCCCTTCGTGCCCTCCAGAGCGTCGGCGGCTCAGCGACGCCAGCAATCGCCTATGGCATCGTGGCAGACGTTGCCGTGGTGTCGGAGCGTGGCCGCATGCTGGGGCCCATGCTGTCGTTATGTAATGGGATATCCGCCGTCGGGCCCGTGATTGGCGGTGCAGTGGCTCAGAGTACGGGCGCCTACAAATGGGTCTTCCTTTCGCTCTGTATCGTCGGGATTGTGTGCTTGGTGCTCGTCGGATTCACACTGCCCGAAACGGCGAGAGCAGTAGTCGGTGATGGGTGCGGCAAGCCTCCTATACTCTCCAAGGTCTGGGGTACTGAGGACGTCTTGATGAAATATGGCACGACATGTGACCGAAATCATCAAGACCATATCCAACGGGACATGATACCAAGGGCTCAATGGAAGCCCACCATGCTGCTCGAGTCACTGCGCATCATCTTCCACCCCGACGCAGCGGCCGTGCTGTGGATGATCGCGACGTCGTATTGCGTTTACTATACTTTCCAAGTCGCCATCCCCGTCATTTACGAAGATGTCTACGGATATAACAATCTCCAGATTGGTCTTGCCTTCTTGTCCGGGCTCGCCGGCATGACGGTGGGTGGTATCGTGGCCGGAAAATTGCTCGATCGAAATTTCACCGTCGTTGCCCGCAAGAACGGTTTCCCCATTGACAGGGAAAAGGCGCAGACTCTCGACGACTTCCCTCTCGAGGCGGCCAGGTACCGGTCTATCGTGCCTTTCGTTGTGTTGGAAGTGGCCTTGGTGGCGGGCTACGGATGGGCCGTACAGCAAGAGGTACATCCCGCAGCGTTGCTGGTGATGCAGTTCTTCATCTGCGCCTCATCTACGCTTCTGAGCCATACATCTAGTGCTCTCCTCGTGGACATGTTTCCCAGCAAGTCCAGCACGTCGTACGCCTCTGGCCAGCTGATGCGATGTGGGCTGAGCGCTGCTTCGGCTGCTGTGCTGGCTCCGCTGACCGAAGCTGTCGGTAGGGGTTGGTACTTTACCTTGTTTTCTGTATTCACCGCTGTGAGCGCCCTCGCATGTGTCTGGCTTACAATGATCAAAGGCAAGTCGTGGAGACAGAAACGATGTTCTTCAAGGTGAAGAGTGTTAATCGAGCTGGCGGGTCTGCTAAGCTGATTCGAAACATAGTTCAAATCAGATATCACTAATTCGCGGCCGGTCGGTCGTGGTGCGTGTGTCAATTGTCGAGCCAAAGGCGGCCGCTCTCACATGATCCAGCACCTCATTCACCGTGAGTCTCAGTGTGAAAGGATTTCCTTCCCCCTTCTCAGAGGTTTCAATGCCCGGCTATTGTACAAATAGGCTAGAACTTCCCTCAAAAGGCTGATCATGGAAACATGCGTATAAGATTAATCACGCAGGCAGAAGAAATCCAGTGGTAATTGTTTGCGATGGCTTCGAGGAAAATCCCAAATAAGGCGCCACCCTTGGGCATGGTCAAGCATAGAGTATCAATCCTATTTCGGCATTTATTTGAAAAAGGCGTGCCAGTCAAAGACACGTTAAGATACTGAAACTGGTTTCATGATGTGGGCGCTGGAGAAAGTCATCCAGTCGGTGATGGCGGGGACATTACTGTATCTCACCGGAAAGCATGGCCTTTTCATAACTAAAGTATATTGATTTCCATTAGATCAACTTGATATCTTGCAAGATGGACTCTCGACGAAAGAACTGTAGCGAAGGCTCCGCAAAATTATACACAAGAGTCGGCCAAAATGTTCCTACGCGGAAATATGTACCACTCGCACCAACAGCGTGTACAACCAGCCCATGAAGCGAAGTCCTTGGCTCATCCTCAGACGAACCGCTTCCTATGAGAACAAATGAAAGGTTACATAGGTTCTGCTTTTCGTCTTTCAGGCGCCAGTCAGGGCGTATGAGGCAGGCATGATTCTGCTGATCTCCAAATGTATAGATCAGATTTCGCGGGTCGTTGGCATCCCGAGCAGCATTGCCTTTGCGAGAAAGTTTGTAGACATAAGCTCTCACGGAGAGCGTGCCCTGGGAGATCTGGCCGTAGTTATCTAGTCCTTTCTTCGTGATGGACATGCTCAAAAGCTCAAACTCCTGATGATCTATCCATTCTGAAGATTTATATTTATAAAAGACCAGCTCTTCATCGTAGACCACTAGAGACTTTGGGCGACTTATCCAACTCCACGAGGGACCGATATAGCTGTCATTGTCGCTGAGGTCATCAAGCAGTCCGCTCAAGGACTCGTGAGGAGGGATACGAAGGATCCAGCCAAGACCACGGTGAAGGTCGTTTCTCCAAAGCCCGGCGGCATACTCGTCACCTGGGAGGCTTTGGCCGAAGATCTGTGCCAACCCTGACAATGCCGGGAGTCTGTCCTGATTCTGAGTGAGCTCGCGCGGGGAGTAGTTGGCAATCACTCGCTCTGCCCAAGTCTTGTATAACGTCTCTGGGTCTTTCGAAGCCAGCAACTCGGCAAGTATGACATCCTTTCGAGGATTGGAAGCCAGGTTGGAGTGCTCGGAAATCGTCCAACTGCTACAGCTGAAAGTAAAACCGGCACTTGTGACGTATAACAGTCTCGTTGCCATCCCTTGCTCTTGGTAAGTCCATGCGCGAGTACTCCAGGTACTTCCCGGTGTGATGCCGCTATATGTCTGGTTGCGGTCATGTGTCCACATGAACGGTTGCAAATGGAAGTACCCCGTGTCATCTGTCTTGGAATGACACGGAACGGTTATCATGGGTGATCTTCTAGATAGATAGCCTTGTTGACAGGATGTCGTGGACAGGGCGCAAACTGTCAGATACGATGTAGCGTATATTTTGTGCATGCTGGAAGATTCGCGGCACCAATCGTCATGGTCGTCCTGCAAAATGCAGAGCGCATCGATCCAGACATAAGGTATCGACAAGGCCTTCGCTAGTGCAATAGTGTCAATTTGCACCGGGGCCAATAGCTCCAATGGGATACCGCGCGTCATCCAATCTATGGAGTCTTGCGTGAGCTTGAGTTGATTGCCGTTTCCCCAGCAATAGCTCAGCGCAAGATAACGAGCGTCGGTATCCTGAATCCTGGATGCGGCCCTTGTTGTTACCAATCTCGGAATGCTGCCCGATACATCAAGCAGTCTTGTGGGCAGAAAGTCACCTTGAGATGCATCAGAAGCGTCGCAGCTGTCGACGCACCGCTTCAGTTCAGCCTTTACGAATTCGATTGGCGCATCATCGAGCAGCGAGACCGTGAGTGGCTGAGGAAGCTGAATCCACGATTTCCACAGACTCGTATCTATGATAAGGCATACGTAAGCAATAGCAGTGCTTCCTGGAAGAAGACGACTGATTATTACCTGGACAGGAGACCTGGAAGTAGATCCAATATCGTGCGACTCTTACGTCCACGTCGTTCTCTAAACCCGGCCATTCACCTTAGCGATAAAGGCCCCGACACGAAAACGCTAGAAAGACGCACCTGGGGGTGTCGCACAAGCCACGGCCATCACCAGGAACAAGTCGGCACCAATGAGGTCTTGTCTACGTCGCAATCGGCATCTCTGCCACACGTATTCCAGATGAATGCGGAATTTGAAATGAGACTCTGAGTCAAAACCGAAACTCTTGTAGCAGCCCAAGGCCTCATTTGACCGGACGAGTGTTGCTAGCAGCGCACAAAACTCACAGCCAGCAGCTGCGCTGTGCTTGAGCCCGGGGATGTCTGGGTACTCATCAACATGCTCATAGTCGCATCGGATAGAACGCTGATCGAAATCTTGGATTGACAAGGCCTCTCTCTCAGCTTTGTCTGAAAAAAGCCTTTCGTTGATTACTTGCAGTGCATGGAGACATTTCTTGCATAGTTCTGATACCATTTAATAATTTTCCTGTGGCGATCCAGAGAGATCGCTATGATGGAGAGGAAGGAAAGGAGATAATCACAGGATCAGGGCTCAAATGTGAGGCTGTATTCGAGTATGCTGTGTGTGCAATCTATCGTGGATGAAGGATGGAGGAGAAAGCACCATCCTCCGCTTGAGTAGGGGATGCCAAATGTCTCCACCTCTTTCACGTGACAATTTCCATAACGCCAATACATGCAGACATGGCGATGCTGCATGAAATCTTTATTAGCAGAGTGTAGTCGTATTGTCGCTGAAAGTTACCTAGGTGGACATCATCTCTCCGCGAAATTCACAAGACACCGATACTAGGCGTAGCACAAGTTGAACAACTCTCTTCCAAGCTCTACAGCATCTGAGCATTCCAATCTACAACGGCAACCAATAAAATAATTTGGTGCCCGGCGCACTCAGGTGTGAAGCTGAACAGATCCATGTTGGCATTTTGCATCTCCAACCAGCCACCCGGGTTAGGTACTGGAATGCTTGTTCTATCAGCCGCTTGGGGCCTTTGATGGCGGCGACTATCATACGAATGTGAATGTAGTCGAATCTGTAGCTCCACAGCCAGTCTTCTTCGCAGTCCATGTTCTGGAACAGACAATTTGGCACATCCGGCGCGGGCTGGATCTTGCTGAGGTCGGTTTCTACCACGAACGAAGGAAGTCGGGTTGGCCCTGGCATATTCTAAGGCCCATACAAATGTTGTCTTTGGGCATGGGCAGTACGTGGCCAGCAGCAGTCTGAGCGAATCAGTTCTGCGTTGGTTTTCGTGTGTTGTGCAACAACTCTCTTGGAACACACAGCCTTGTCGCGTCCCCCGAATATCAAGTATAGGATGGCGCAGTAATCCTTGGCGGAACCTTGCGCATTTGTTATCGATACGTCAATGCCTTTTACGCGGTTATACATCTACTCAGTCCAAGATGGTGATGGCTGTAGCTGCTATATGCATGGCTAAAATGCTCAGTCTCAAGATGTTTCTATTATTTCACCCTGGGTTGGGGCGAGTCTCTGATGGTATGAGTATTCATGTCTTGGCAGCGAGTGGGGATTCACTTCACGATCTGATTAACTACTATAGTAGGTGGTCGCACGCTTCATACAAGAGCCTGTCCAGCCCGAATACGCGGAAAACCACTTACCATCGACAAACACACCCGCTAATACGAGGGTCTAATCCGCGGAAACAGGCCATACTCTCTATTAATTGTATAGCCATGTCTGAGGCATTCGCATTTCACTTGCCCCAAGTTGCCAAGAATTGACAATTGCTCTCTTGGTATCAATCATTTGGACAAGTCGGAAATGTGCGCCGTTTCGCAATCAAAAAACGGCCCACACAGCGTCTCTCGGGGCGACGGCTCCAAACTCATTGGACATGCCAAAGGACTATATTAGTCTAGGCCTGTGCGTATCAATCTCCTGTGTAGGTTCTGGCATCTCCTTGACTATTTGCGTGCCTAGTACTTTGTGTTTACAGTGTAGTACAGAATAGACAATTTTCTTTTCAGGAAACCCAGCCGCGCTGTTTCCGTGAAAACCAATTGTATGTCTGCCCAACGTAGGCCGCAGTGCCTAATGCAGGCTTCACACCACAAAAGTTGATACATATTCAACTTGAACCTATCAGAATGCTTACAGGCTGGTAGTGGTATGAGACAGCTTCCCAAGCCAATCACAATACTCTTGCAGACACACGTTGATGAGACATTATACTGCAATACTTACAACTGAGTCGAAAAGGGTCTTGTTTGTCCAGCATGTCCCGGCCAATTGATTCGCATTCCGACGACATGCGATGCGAAACAGTGTACATGAATCGTCAGGAGGGGTTTTCCAGTGCAACATCCAGGGACTCTTTCAGCGCGGGGTCAATTGATGGTCATTTTCTGGAGGGCGGTTTCCCCAGTTATACCCTTCAACTTTTACGTCGGCACTAATTGGTTTATGGGGCAAGGTCTAGTCTTGCAATGTGTAATCATGTACAATTCATGGCATTAAGATAGTCTCAGAGGAGAAGCAAATGGAATATGACAACAATCCCGGTAACTCATGCTAAAGAGAACGAAATCGAATTCTGGGATCGTGCAGTGGCTCTTGGAAGCGATTTGCAACTGGAATCACCGATGACCGCATTGGCATCGAAATTTCCAGCGCTCTCGGATGGTGGGGCTAACACAGGGCGGGCGGGGCCTAATGCTAGAGCTGAGCCCAGGCACCGAATCGCCCATGTGAAAGTCATGAGAAAAGACCAATGACGTCGCCCACGATGACCCCATGCTCCATTCCTGGGATGAAATCTGTTTCGTCCGCCATTGTCCAAATGGGGTTCTGATGAGCATGGTATCATACATGCGAAATACTCAAAAGAAAACACACCCGGGGCTTTTGCACCGGCGCAGAGACACTCCCCCGCCATTATTATTGCTTGCATTTGCATACCATTACTATTCGACGCATCATTGGTGGGTCCCCGTCGGCAACTGCTGGAATGTTCACGAGACTCGCACCTTTTTGGATCTGGCCGTGAGGTTATCCCCACTATGACCACGACGGGGTTGCCAGGGGGGTCTTGGAGCCTTATCTATTAAGGAGAGACAGGATCCTCTCCCGAGTGACAAGTGAGAAAAAAAAGGGATAATCAAATACCAACTGGCACATTGCTTGGGAAGAAAAGCACTGTTTAGGCCATTGCTGTATATTATATCAACATTTTAAATTGTTATTCATTCATATACCTACATACGAACCATGGAGCCCCTAAAGATGAATCTTATCACTTCTGCACCCGCAAAAAACGAGTCGACCATACTACTTGATCACAACTCTCAAGACTCGACCGCACTCGAGCCGATTCTGGATTACGCCTCTCAAATTTTACAGCTACTAATAAATCTGTCAATTGTCACTGCCACTCAATCATACCTCCTCTTCTCGCATCTTATGTACGCCAGTCTCTTTGTCGCTCAGCAGACAGCCATGGCCACTAAGAGCGTACTGTCAGACACGACGCGGCTATCCAGAAACGCGGCCATGGCGATATGGGATTCTGTTCAAATCAGACGCCTACGGAAAAAGCTAGAACTGGAATTCTTCACGTTTATTCTCGGTTGCGGTAATGTTTTATGCGTCATGATGTTTTGGCCAGGCTGGTGGCTCTTGGCCATGATCCTCATTGTGGTATGCTACACCTGTGCTGGCTGAAAGGGGGCCAGCGCGACCTGATGAAACTCGGTATGTCAGCCTCGACTAGAGCAGACTTGTGTGATGCGATACTGATCTGGTCCAGACTCAACATCATCTTCTGCTCGAAACAAACAGCATTATTTTCATGCCCAATAGACATGAGGCCACAGTACAGACTCTGCACCCCAAGGGTCTGAGCGGGCCATTTTACTGCCGTCTTTGCGCCGAGTCTGGCTATGGGTGAATCTCGAGCTAGGCTTTTGGGCCGCAACACTAAGCAAGATCAATTTCTGGTCTGGTCAAACCAAACAGCGCATCTCTCGTCTACTGATCTTGCTTTCCTCGACGGTTCTCTGGCCATCTCCATGGTGGTTTCGCGCTTCGTTGCGACTTGCGCGGTCTCAGGCATCGATATCGACGTCGCGACAGGCGCTCACGAGTAAAAGAACGTGTTGCCGCCCAAGTCGCGCCGCACCTGCTGGTTGTAGTCCTTTTCGGGATCAAACTCTTGCCACATGCTGGCCGGGTAAATGTGCTTGTTCCGCTCATACCATCGCCTGTCGACCACTTTGGTGTATGTTGGGTCATCGGAGGCGCCCTCCAACTTGCTCATCTCTTCAGCCGCCTTGGCTGCCTTACTGGCCGCTGTGGAGAGGGGATCAAATGGCGTATCGTCAGACTTGGTTTGAGCTGGCGCCTCGCTTGTATAGTCGAATAGGCGCTTATTGTTTGGCCCCACGGTCTTGTTCATGATGAAGTAGAGGAAATCATAATGCTATCATGCGATGGGTCAGTCGCCTTTTTCTTGCGTGCTGGGTAGATAGGGAGATGAGGTAGTGAATGTAGGAAATCAAAACTCACATGAGGAATAATAATGTTGCCGCGAACAATCATCAAATCATCCACTCCGACTCTTGCCCATTCCCGGCGAGCGTTTGCCTTTTCACCAACGCCCAAGTCGGCTCCGACCTTGCGGCTCTTGTCGAGGAAGACCCAGACGAAATCTCCCTTCTTGACGCGCACCGTGCCGCCAGGAATATTGGATCCATCGTAAAAGACAAAGGGAATCGCGATCTCGGTCGTCTTGACAATCTCTTGACGCTCGAGAAACTCCTTTCGGAGAGCTTCCCTCTCGGCAGCATCCCGCCGCAGCGCCGCCTTGGTCACGGCCCGCGGTACAACCGAGACGTTGCTGTTTGCCTTGAATTTTGCCTTGACTGTCTCCTTGCTGCTGTGTCCGCCATCTTCAGCGTCTTTCCTGGTGGTACCGTTCTCCTCATCTTCCTCGCCGTCGTCAAAGCTGAGCTTGGTGACCTTGCGTTTCTTGGCCTGCTTCTTGGCCTTGACGGCCGCGGCGGCGGCAGCAGCTCCTTCAGCGGTGGCCGGGTCGGGTGTCGTGGTTAGAGACCGGTCGACGGGGGTGCCGCTGGCCTCGCGCTCCTGCGCCTCGAGGACCTCGGCGCGGCGCTTGCGAAAGTCGGCATGCGTCACCAGTCCGACGGTGGTGTTGGAGATGCGCTCCTGTGTCGTCTTGTTCTGGGCTTGGAACCGCGACTCGTTGGACGTTGGCGTCGACATGTTGTATGCTCTTTATCCCGGCGCGCCGAGTCGGATTTGTGAAGGTGTGACAATAGAAACCAGTAAATTGAAGAGCTCGAGGTCTAGTGGCGTCGCAATTCGCCCAAGGGCAGTTTTTTGGAGGCCTTCTAGCGGGTAGCTCCGCTGCTAGGCTGGACCCTACATTACCTAACCTTAACCTTGTGATTGCTGCTGGCAAATGGGCCGTCTACCAATGAAGTTATTGCTTCCATTCCATAACTACCTCTATGATTGACCATTCATGTGGCTCGCGCGTATCGAATTAGAAGTAGTATACTCAAGACCAGAGCAGAAGTCGCACAACCAACTGTGTTACCAATATTAGTGCAAGTGGGGAACTATAATTCAGTCGCGGCTTATAAGAATACTCTAAGATGAAGTGAATTTCAGGTTTAATCCAATTGTCTCGTGATGACTAGACGATATGTGTAAAATGTACTTCGTCAATGGTATATGTAGTAGTCGATCATTAAAGCATTTTAATCCAAATCGGTAACTGCCGAACAGCATTGCAGAGTCCAAGCCTTTGGATTTCAATGCCCCGACAGACAGTACCTATACAATCTAAAGAGTCACTCACAGCTCGGAAGACATTGGCAATAAAAATGGGATATATTGACAGCCCGACCTTACATTTATAAGCGAATTGTTTTAGTTGGCCCCAAGATGAATAAATACTTCTTCCCCCAAATATGTACAATAATGCGAATGATCCATGATCAACAAGTATGGTTTCCCCTACCTACTTATACAGGCGCCTCACGCGTGTGCTTTTGGATTTCTCTCTTCGCCACACTACGAGACTTTGGGCAAAGTTATCCGCAACGATGGGATTTCAATGCCCGTCACTGCACCAGCAGCATTCTGGTGGAAAATCAAATCATCGGCACTCGTGCTGGCGTAAAGGACACTCTCGACGCCAACCCACGATCCACAGTCTGTGCTAAACATCTTATCAACCTGCTGACCGACGGCAAGATCCTCAAAGATGGCCTTGAATTTGATGGCCTTGCCGCCGTCCGCCTCGTCGGTGTAGAGCCCGCCCGGGTACAAGCGGATGGATGGGATGGTCGGCTGATAGGTGAGCTGCAGGGCGACGACATTGTTGCGAAAGTCGGTACCGTTGCTGATCCAGCGGTCGACGGACAGGCCCGGCTTGCCGTCGGTGGCAATGGTGATGGTCGAGTTGAGGGGTCGGTTGAGCTTGCCGCCGTTCGTGACGTTGGCCGGTGCCGTATACACGCCGTTGAACTTGGTCGCCGCCTGGCTCTTGGCTGCCGCCGTGACGGCCGGGACCATGACGTTGCCCATGATGTCGGCAATGTTCCAGTTGGTGTTGCCCGGGATGTCGCCGGCAATCATGATGGAGAAGCCAATGTCGTAGTCGGGAATCAGGATAAAGGCCGCCATGTAGCTTCCAATACCACCGGCCTTGTTGTATCCTGTAGTCTCGCGGTACTCGGGGCCAAGCGGAATACGTCGTACACCCCACGGTGCTCCAACGCTCGCCCTTGGGTCGGAGGAAAAGGAGAAAGGCTTTAACCATCTCTTTGTCACGGCAGGAGATAGCTGCTTGTAGTTGAGGATGGCGCGGCCCAGCTTGGACAAATCAGCTGCAGTCGAGTACATGTTTCCAGCACTAGATGGAAGCCAAGGTTAGTCAGGTCAGATTGGATAACGACCAAACAATTTTGCATTTCTACTTACGGAGCTTCGTCGCCAAGCTGGAAGTTCCACTTGGTCAAGTTGGCATTACCCGGGATGACTCCCAGCGCTGCCTTGGGGACCTTGTAGTAAGTACCATTCAGGTTCAGCGGCGTCAATACGGTATCTTGGAGCAGACTCTGGAAATCTTTGCCCGTAATCTCCTCTAGCGCATAGCCCCTGCAAGAGCTGTCAGTCATCTGCTTCAAAAATTCCATATTGCTCTTCGTGTTGGCACAACTTACAACAACTGGAAGCCAATATCAGAGTATGTTGGGGTTTGGAACGTGCCCACCGATGGCGCAAACTTGGCCATACCAGCAAAGAACTCTGCAAAAGTCTATGTGTGAGCTCGGATATCATACAGAAGTAGACTCAAGACAACTTACGCGCACGATCACACAGAGGAGTGTCGCCACAGGGTGGCAGGTCTGCTTCCGGCAGAGGAGGGAAACCCAACTGCACAACATGGTCCTTGGTCGAGTCCTGTTGGCTGACTTCACCAAGCAAGGCGTCTGGAAGCTTGTTAGAGATGACTCGAAGGTAAGGCGACTAATGCTAAATGTGCGGTGGTCCTTACAGTCTCTGGGAATTCCAGACATTTGAGTAGCCAACGACCCAATTGTCACGTCGTTCCATGCAATATTGTAAACGGCGTCCGAGCTCGAAGACGTATTGGCCACCATGGCCGCCAACTCTGGAATGTACTTTGTGATGGGCGCATTCCATATCTCATCGCCAGCATTCAACAAAAAGTTGTACACGGTAAAGACTTTGGTCAGACTTCCCAGGCGGAACACCGTATTCTCGTCGACAGTGGCGACTCCGGGGTGATTTATCTTGGCCAGCTTTGGCGAGGTATGCGAGTATGTGAAGAGCGGGTCCTGCTCGTGTGCCGAGAAGATCTGAACCGAGTACGAAAAGTTGGCCGTTGCCGTGTAGTTGCTGTTCCACTGGGCAAAGTAATTCGTCAAGTTTGCGACGGCCTCCTTGATGACGGGCATTGAGGAGAGCTTGGTCGGCTTGGGGAATACCGGACCATCCAGCGGGCAGTTGTTGATGGCTGCGCTCAAGGGCAGAGCGCCCGCCAGGAGGACGAGACTCTTGGACCACATCTTTGCTGCGGTATCTGTTCCTTTTCGCCGTTCGCCCTTTCTGTACTGGTAGACGCCGCTCTTCTCTCTGATCACGATACCGCGCAACTATACAGCTGAACGAGAGACAGACCTGTAGAGTGGTGACAGACGAACGCCAAGACTTCAACTTCTCGGGATGGCATTGTGATGTATATATGCGAACCCCAGGCACATATGACCGAGCCAATGTGCAAACTTCGAGTTAATTTTTTTTCCCTCTCTTTCCCGCCCACATCCCTCTGCCTGCAATCAAGATCTCTGTGTAAAGTTCCGGGGTGGAAGCATAATAGGCAAGTGTTATGCGTAGCATGTGTTGACCTGCTGTCCCGATTGGGAAGCTCACTGGAACTCTTCGACCCGGATTACGAAAAGGCCTGGCCAATACTGGCTCGGGATCGAGCATTTAATCTTGGGTTCCAATTGATTTTTTTTTTCCCCTTTTTCATAAACCACATGGCCAAGAGCCTCCAATTCCAATAACAGTGACACCAAGAGTCTTCGCATCGACCCGATAGGTTTCCAATTCGTTGGCGGGTTGCACATATGTCAAGTTACCATGCGTCCTCGCCTATAATCTAGTGCGAGTTCTAGGCTAAAGCTGACGCGGAGCCAAGGTAGGTATTTAATCTACTACAAGCTTGTGATAGAGCTCATAGTAACCAAAAAGCTTGGCTCCAATGGGCCATGCAGGTACGCTGGAGGCCCCTGTCCTGCTATAGACGATCCCTATATCATAGCTATACAAGACTGGAGAGCCTCAGATCCATTCGCCCCCGCCTTTCAACACGAGATAAGAGAAGCCTTGGTAAGATATGTCTATTGTATGCGTGATGTTTGCTGTACTCCAAAGTCTTGTTGCCAAGACTTTAACTCTTTCCGGCAATCGCAACAAGCACGTCATGTATCAATCTCGAATTGTTCTTGACCCTTTACAGGCAAAATCGGTGGTTCATGTTGTAGCGAACAGATGATGAAAGACGGCGAGCCTCGATACCTTCCACAAAATGCCAAGACTCGCTTAGCCGGTGTGCAGGTGATGCCGTAAGGTTGAATGCGTAGACCGTCTGTTAGGGGGGTATTATTGGCGGGCTCATGTGTCCAGGCTAAGATCGCTGGCTGCTGATAAAGAGTTGGAAATTATTCACATGGTGCTGTGCGGAGCCACACAGCAACCTGACATCGAATCTCGATGCCCCGAAAGAGGGAGGTGGGAACCCGGGGAGGACTCTTCTGATTGAACTTGGAGGGCGGCGGTGGCCAATGAGCGTTATGATCTCCATGTGCCTCACCAAGGCGAAACCCGGAACTCCACTCAATCCCGGGTCGCCTGTCCGAGCCAGGCAATTGTCCCTGATCCTAAACATAGAGTTCTGAATGATACCTCAATATCAACGTCTTTGCCAGCAAAAGAGGCCCCAAAACGTGGAAGATCGCATGATCATTTATATGAGGGCACAGGCCGTGGAGACAATCGCGTCATCCCCGGGCACTCTTATACCATCCGATCGCCACGCATGAATCGGGTCCGATGGTTTAAGCTTACCGGAGGAGCATCCGGCATGACGCAACAAGACCGTCTGAGCGAAATGCTTAATTCGTGTTTGAATAAAGATCTTGAACTGTCCGTTTCAATGTTTACCGGAAACAAATGCAAAAATGGAATGCAAATAACAACCACCCAAGGCTCTCAGCTCTGCACGCCATATCGACGATTCTCATGTGATAATCTATCAGCAGAATTCGCTTGCTGCCGGACCGGACTCCGCGGGCCAAGCGACTGGTGAGAGGTTTTCAGATCTCGCAATGTTTGTGGACCGAAATTAATATCATACATTATTGCCTTTACCATGTGACCTCTTAGATGCTGATCGTCGGTTTCAGTATCGATGAAGGATTCTTGGTTTTGTTTTTTTTCTTGAAGAGTTTCTTCATTTTTACTAGTCGGAACCACTCTCGCGTATGTCTGTCGAATTCACGATGCAGAACCGAGCTGCTGTTATCCATTTCGTCTCTAGTCTCAAGTACGGAGAACTTCTTCATCGACACCGGACTGTCAGTGTGCCGAACATAGGCCCACACACCTTTGCGATGGCCATCTCCAGGGAGCGCTTTGCGATACTGTCAAAGCAATTTGTATCAAGTCGCTGTTGTCTCGTCATCGGTGTAGTGAGGGTAACCAAACCGTACAGGCAGATTTCAGTGTTGCAGGTGGTGGGATGCAATATAAAGACCGGGTATTCTGCTGCAGAGATCGCATCCAATTCAACCTGGGGCTCTTGGCCATTGACTCAAGGCATTAGTGATACGCCTCATTGGCCTCTTGCCACCAAAGAGACATCGTGAATGGTATTTAGCCGACTGAAGCTTCCGCCTCTATTTTCGTCATTCGCAGGGGGGCAGATGTGGCCAGATTTTGTGCTTGTTCCATCAAGCTGCCATGCGATGCGCCCGTATCTATCAGAGGTTCGCCAGCATGCAAACCAGTGAACGAACCCACATGAGAACGGGGGTAGGGTAAGATGGTGTGATGGTCCTTTACCGTGAATGCTCACAGCAACTTCAGATAGTGAGCTCTGAACTTCTTGTTTGCTCGATCTGCCGGTCGAAACTGAAACTGGTCACCAAGCACCTCGAATTCAAATTGCTTCATTGTGCTGTCGTCGGTATCGTTGGGAGTTTCGTCGCTCGAAGGCACCCGCATGCGAAAGGTTGTCCCTTCTTTCGGTACCAGCTTTACTTGGTTTCTTTTCGTGATAATTTCAAAGGCGAATCGCGTGTCCTTTATCACAATGCCTTCTATCCCAACTCGGCTAGGATTTCGACTTCTACTGACCTCCACTCGAGCGCCGTGGTAGTCCGCTGCTGCCAGTTTCGCCGAGGCGCCCTGGCCGCCAGAGTGTAGCTCGTTGCCTAGAATCTCTCGCATGTAGCCGTTCCAGAGGCGGTTGAGGGGCTCAAAAATGGCAAACTTGCGCCCTTCTTTGGGTACATTATACAAGCCACGCTTGCGACGCTCCCGTGAGGAAAGTGGCTGAGGTTTCAAAGCTTTGGCACGTTTCTTCTTATTCTCCCGCGCTTTGCGACGTGCTTGACGGGCATTCTCCGAGGGCGGAGGCGAGTTCGGTCGAAGAAAGAGTGGTCGGTATTGGATCTTCTCGCTGAAGATGCGCTGAGCATTGTCGGGGCTGTGAGCGCGCGCAAGCAGATCCTGCGTAACTGAGACCTCGGTCGATGCCATAGTGTACTGTGTTATTGAGCCGCGCTTCTCATTTCGTTATGGATTTGGGGAAGAAGATGATTGAGTCGGTGGCGCAAGGCGTGAATATGCAACCTCTTTTTCGTTTTTCTTTTTTGCTCCCGGACTATTTCGTTAGACATTTTCTGCGTAACTTGACGAAAGATACAGGGTTTTTAGCTTCTAGCGAGCTTTAGTGGGGTTCCAGTCCACTGGAATGGCAATCAACGTGGCAGCTGGCCCCCGGCGCGAATTCCGCGGGGAGACCCGGCAGTGTATGCTGGCACCCATGTACCCCCGGGGCCATCAAAGTAGCGCACTCCAGTGTGTTCACATGCCTTAAACCTCGGCATTGAAGCAGCTGGACTGTTGGGTTAGACCAAGTCTCGAGTCTGGGGAAGTGACGCCAGTGGTTCTCCCATGCAGCAACGGTCTTGTCGTGTCTGTTCATGGTGTCTGTCATTGATCAATCTCACGATATCCTCATTGATTTTGAAGTGGTTGCGGCATAATCCAGAGCCTGCCATACACACTTGAATCGTTTCCTGTACAATAATCCGATCCATCCACCGTCCTGCCGATTCTCGCCGTCTTCGGCGCTGCCCATCTCCCATCACCATCGTAGCAAATGATCTTGCTGCCTTGTGCAGTGGTCTGAATGCGGACTTGCGTATGATTTCTTTGGGCTATAGGTAGCTCAAGTCGGAGACGGAATCATGGCACAGGATGATGACCCGACGCGCGACTCTGCGCCCGACCTCCAGATTCTAGGCGATCAAATCACGTTGCAACCCCGAAGCTATGTTGAACCACAGCAACAAGATGGGGAGAAGGAGGAGGCCCTGATGCAACATATGGCTAGATTTCGCTCCGAGCCCTTACAGTTCGTCACCCAATATAGTCTCATCATCATTGGTCTGAGGAATGCGCATTGACCCGTCCTCATCATCGTACAGATTCCTTCGCGAAGTCTCCCTATACGTCTCTGGCCAAGGATGGCGCGCATATGATAGAGTGGTCGGGCAACCGATATTTTACTCTGGCTTCTCGGAACAAATGAAGAATGCAGTAGTTTCAGCACCACTCCTGCAGTCTCGCATAGCACAGTTGGCCGAGATGCGGTTGCAGGTCGAAGAGAAGGAGGGATGGCTAAGGCAGGACGATCCCAACTATGCCATCAAGAAGGCGCAAAGGCGATCTGCCATCGAGCATGGCCTCCAAGAAGTCACGGAGAAGATGACCAACGACATGATATGCAAATTCGAGAGCAAAACCTTCATTAGGGGCGCCTATTACTTATGCACACAATTGCTGACGCGGGCATATCACCAAGGGATCCACGTCAACAGCGAGGAAGTACTTCGCCTGAGGAAAGTGGCTGAGATAGCCGCATCCAAGAAGCAGAGCATCATTTTCCTGCCAAGCCACAGATCACACGTCGATTATGTCTCCATGCAGCTGATTTGCTACCGTCTGGGCCTCGCTCTGCCAGTTGTCGTAGCTGGGGACAATCTGAACTTTCCTGTCGTCGGCAGCTTCTTACAACACGCCGGAGCCATGTGGATCAGGCGGGCATTTGGCAACGATGTCTTGTATCAGACCGCAGTGCAGGCGTATATCGATACCCTGTTACAAGGCGGATACAATTTCGAATGTTTTATCGAGGGTGGACGATCTAGGACCGGAAAACTCCTGTCGCCCAAGTTTGGCATCCTCAGTTTCGTTTTGGATAGCATCCTGTCCGGGAGAGTTGAGGATGCGGTGATTTGCCCCGTCAGCACGCAGTACGACAAAGTTATCGAGACCGAGGGCTATGTTACTGAGCTCCTGGGTGTACCGAAGAAGAAAGAAAATCTGGCAGATTTCTTGACAGACGGCTCCTCGGTGCTATCGCTGCGGCTTGGCAGAGTAGATGTTCGTTTTCACGAACCCTGGAGCCTGAGGGGATACATTGATGATCAACTTTCGAAGATTTCCAACGTGCCCGCCAATTTGACAGCGAAAACGCCAGAATCTGCAGCGGTACGACAGAAACTTCTGCGCACAATGGGATACAAGGTTCTCTCAGACATCAACGATGTATCAGTCGTGATGCCAACAGCTCTGATTGGAACAGTGCTACTTACACTGCGTGGCCGTGGTGTAGGCAAAGCTGAGCTACTACGTCGTGTCGAATGGCTCATTGACCGTGTGAGAGCAAAGGGCGGCCGCGTTGCACACTTTGGCAATGCTCCGCTTGCCGACGTGATCGAGCGAGGGCTTGAGGTACTTGGCAAAGACTTGGTAGGCGTTCTTAATGGTCTGGTAGAGCCGACGTATTACGCCGTCGACCGGTTCCAGCTATCATTTTACCGAAACATGACGATCCATCTCTTCATCTCCGAAGCTCTCGTGAGCGCTAGTATGTACACCCGGGTCAAGCAGGGAGGTGGACCAGCACACCAGGAAATCCCGTATCAAGAACTACGCGACCAAGTCCTGTTTCTGTCATCACTATTCAGAGGTGAATTCATCTTCCCGAGCGAAGGATTGGTGGCCAATTTGGAGAGAACCTTGGTTGGCCTTGAGAATGACAGAGTCATCAACCTTCATCGGGGAGAGGATAACAAGATCCTCAGCGTGGGCATAGCAGACGAGGAGCGCGTGGCTGGAAGAGAAAACTACGATTTCTATTGCTTCTTGATTTGGCCATTCATCGAGGCGAGCTGGTTAGCTGCCGTCTCTTTGATCAGTTTAACGCCTCCCCCAGGCACCAATGAAGATGATGTCTGGATTGGTGTCGCCAAGGCTCAGAACAGCGCTCAATTGGTAAGTGTGGATTCTCAACTCTTGCTGCAGAGGACGTAAGGACGCAGGTTTCATTGTTGCTGACACTTTCACAGCTTGGCAAGACACTGTACCACCAAGGTGACCTGTCATATTTCGAAGCTGTAAACAAAGAGACGATCAAGAACACGTATCAGCGCTTCGAGGAGGAAGGCATCATGTATGCCGTGAAATCCAAAGACACCAAAATTCCACCTCGTCTGCGTCTGGCGTCGGACTGGATGCCACGGCGCGACGCCGAGTCAGGGGAAATTCTTGCCGAGGGTCGGCTATGGGACTTTGTAGGTCGCATCGCTAGTTCCAGGAGAGAGGGCAAGAACCGCAGGGACGGCGCGACTGTCAGCACTAGGGTTATTAGACTTGCGGATATGTTGGGTAGAAAATTGTTTGCAGAGGCGGCAGACCCTGCAGCCAAGACAGGGACCAGGTTGAGTGCGCAAGAGGCTCTTCAGGTCCAGAAAGAGGTCAAGGCAGAGAGGCGGAGAAGAAAGCTGGAGGGTAGGGCACATCTTTAGATTGCCACCTGAAAGAATGCAGCTAGAACAAACAGCTACTTTCGAAAGACAATAATGCCTATTCTACTATTTTCAAGCCACCAGTGGCGGCAGCTGTATTTATATATAGATTGAGTCACAGAGTATATTGCAGCAATACGGACGTGATCGGACTTAATAGTCAGGACGCCTAGTATATATCCCAGAGACTGATCCTCCCGTCTTTACTACCCGCTGCTAACCAATGGGCTTCCTTTGCCTGCTTGATTCGTCTTTCCTTGACCGTCAAATCCTTCGATGATGGCATAATCGCAGTACTTTCGCCATCCGATTCATTCTTGGGAACCTCAATTCGCTCTTGAGTAGCAGAAACTTCCATGTCAACAAAAGTCACAGTGTAGCAGCCCACCTGGTGCCACTTGAGGACTGCAAGCTCCTTCATCGTTTTCGCCGAATAGACTCGTACTTTTGAGTCCCACCCCGCTGTGGCAAAGATCCTACCGTCTGAGCGGATCTGCAGACTCTGCTGGCCCGAGTGCTTGGTGTTGAGAATTTTCAATGGCTGTGTCTGAACTTCACGCGGAGGCTTCTTCTGGAGTCTGGGAGGCCGTGGCTCTCCTGCCAAGGCAGCAGACAACAGAGACATTCCACTCCCTGGCGCAGACGGAGGTTTCCTTTCGTTTGTTGAAGGGATATTGCCCAATATTGGCGGTCGATCTTCCGATGGCTTTGGAATCGGATGTCGGACCAATAATGCGTCAGCACTTGACGTCAAAAAATAGTCCTTGCTCGGTGCAACGCCAAGCGAAAGAACAGGCTGACTATGTGACTGAGCACGATACACAAGATTCCACGAATCATCAACGTCTTGCTGAGAAACAGTGACAAAGCCATTTTCGTACGCGGTTACCAGGACCAAGGACGAGTCTAGGTGAAAAATATCCAGCGCCATTACCATGCCGCTCTTCTCGCTCTTCTCCGGGGCATGAACTGTGTAAAGTCTCTCTTGCGCGGGTAACTTCCAAATATCAACCTACGATCATTAGCGACCACAGTCTTTCATGTTTTGGGGGAGAGCAAAAGAAGCAATCAAGCATCTGGCACCATACCGATTCGGAAGCAAGAGTATTGGGGACGGCTATGAGTATTTCATCAATGCCGCCATCAGGACTTGCTGGACAATGTCCAAATGAGCAGAAGTTCATAGTATTAACCTCGAGAATGTGCAGTACCCATGGCTGAGGTCTTTCATCGGGCAGAGGATCCAACGGTAAGGTTGTACTCAAGCGCGACTCGTCATTCTCGGAGATCTTCCACACGATCAAACGGTGATCTCTTCCATGCCTACGTATATCTACCTCAGTGAAACGGTCCTATACTAACAAATGCCTGTCATTTAGCAAGCAACCCACGTTATGATCTTGTCGTTGCCCCAGGAGGCAATGCCCAGGATGGCATTTGTGTGCGCCTGCCAGACTGCGCGAGGCCGCATGATGGTGAGATCCCACAGCACGACATATCCTTCGGCATCACCCGAGGCCAGGCGCTGATTATCTCTCACAAAAGCTGTTGCGTGCACCTGGGCCTGGTGTCCGCGTAGGACCGACTTGGGCGTCGCAGGCTCCGACTCAGACTGTGATGCCATGGCCAGAAATACTCAATTGGTGATAGTACACAGGGACATTGGGCCAGCCAAACATGGAAATGCACAGTCGGTGTGCTGGTCTTGCAGGAGCTCAAGCTTCCTTTCCTTCCTAATGGGACTCGGCCAAGGGCTGCCGCGTGACCACTGACACCCACCAAGAGAACTGCAGAGTTATTACTGGGGGGCAGTGTGACCGCTGAAGCCCGATGGTTCAGAAGACTAAAAAAAAATCTCGCGATGTCTCAGAAAGATGAGATGTTTGTGGGAGCTGCTTTTGTGCTGAGATCCGTCGCTGCTCGAAAAATTCACCGAGTGCCGCATTGGGCGTTTGAAGTCAGCGAAAGGTGGAAGCAATTGCGGTAGCTTTCGGGGGAGGGTCGGCTGCCGTCGCTAAAAGTTGCCTTCCGAAACTGCCCCGGGACCTGACCAGTTGACAACTACCTTAACATAGGTAGTATGCTACAACCACTGGTTAGGCACTTGCCCACTGGCCAGTCCAGGGAAGAAAGGCAGGCAGCGCCTGTGGGCCTACCAACTTTAGGGGAATCGGAGCCATGATTGATCAGACCTAGAAATTCTCCGATACGATAAACCTCATGTGTTCATACCAACCAATACTCACATTTTTCAACAGTCCCTAGATTGGCTGCTGAACAACACTACCTACATTACCTGCTCACTCCTGTCTATTTACTGAATACAACCCATGATTGTCATGTCATTTGCCATATTAACGAAGGCCGACCTCATGCTCTCGTACGACAAATGTCGTACGTACGTGTGTATCAATTTCGCCGCCAGGCTTCTGCATGTTCAGCTCTGACATGGAGTTGGCACCCGTCGCACTGAATCGCATCACTCGCCGCACTCATTCGTTAGCCCGAGAGTACCGTTGGCGGACCTATCGCATGTTTTGTTTCGATACGGCCAAGACAGAGCCCACTCCAAAGATGCACGCTCCTGCTCGATGACCTCGCAGAATCATTCACCCGCACCTCCAGACAGACAGAAGACACCGTGCTGCTCTCGTGTCCGTCCTTGTTGCCCTACCACCTAGGATTGTTCCACAGCGATGAAGCGGTCCAGTTCGTCCTGATGCCTCACTTGTATTACAAAGATGTTCGTGGTCTCGAGTTGCACAATGCTAGATTGACGCACTTGCCCGTCGGCGGCCATGTGGCACCTGTCATAGGCTGTCTCGCTCCATCTTCCGATTCTTCTTTTGTCCATGATTCATCTATCTTCACGGAGGGGGAGCAGAGGGCAAGCTTATGGTTATGCCGGCAGACCTCTCGAGTCCCATGTATCAAACTTTGGGCCATGCTTAGCTAACGTGCCGTGCGGCACCCAGGCTTGCCAGGCACATCAGGCGCCGGTTGTGAGAGCACGCCAATGCCGCTGTGTGGCAGTCTCTGACCACTCATCCCGTGGATACGATCTCGCTCGGTATTCTCAGTGGTCAGCTGAAGTGCCACAACTTTGCTTTCATCCCAGGCATTGCAACACTGGTCATACACACCAACGATAGGAAGATATGGGTTATGTTCCTTGGCTCCTGACATACAACACCCACGAGAAACCCATCAATCAGACCATTGAACTCGGTGTTTTCCCCCTCACAGGCGGCCTCTCCCGATAAAAATGTCCAATTCTCAATATACTGGCCAAGAAGGGTCGAATTGTGTTAGAGATCATCAACAACCCCATGCTGAACACGGACTCTCGGAGAGAATAACCGGGGCGACCCCTGCCCGCCTGCATCCCGTCTCGAGAGATCGACGCCGTCTGTTTCTCGGGCTCGAAATACCCTTGACCTCAGCAGACATGGAGCTGAAAACACTTCCGAGCACGTCACATGCGCTCACGATGCAGCATGTATCTAGATGGTATGCAGTCCATCTGATCATTAGAGTGACCCATGCGCTTGGTGCCCGTTTTCCTCAGCGACGCTGGTGGAGATCTAGACAATCAATATCTTGTGGCTTGCCCAGTTCTTCAGATTATCGCCTGCCGCCCGCCAATGAGCACCTTGGCCTACGGTTCACTGAGATCCCGGGTCCAGGAGGCGCTTGGAACCCCGGCAAGCCTGGTCCTGGTCCAGGCCTTGGCCTAGGGGATCCCTTTGCTTCCGACAACTTTCTGGTCAGCGTTGCGAGATGGCGCATGTACCAATGCACGAAATGTGAGAAATCATACGAATTCTGCTTACGAGGCAATCATTGCTCAATCATGATTCAGCCAAAGCATTAAAGGTCTTTCCACAAGCACGAAAATCTGTAAGAACACAGGGCCACAGGGCAGGTTTGTGTATCCATTTGAACATGATCGATCCAAGAGCGTTGGTGTACACGATGCGCCCCATTGCAGTAAGCTGCGACTGCTACATTACTACTACCAGGATTATACAGTACCGAGAGATTCCTCAGGGTTCCTGACTTGAGCCCCATCCCTCCCAATCGGCCAGTTTCATGCCAGGCCCTGCCAGGAACCGCGCCGTGGCTTGGAAAATTGCTTGCAGAAGCCTCTTCATATTGACCATCCAACCATCAGCTCAATAGAAAGCGTTGCGCCACCACGCTCCTGAGATATGGGAAATCAAAGAATGGCGCATTGACAAGCCAATGGATCAGGATTCTGCCATAGCGTTACGACGTTAGCTTCCGCCTAGGACGGGATTGGTGATCAAACCGTGCCGAAGACATTTTAGTGAGTGCGCTGCACAGCCCGCTGAGGAATATCGACGGCAATCCGGCGAGCAACTGGCTAGTATAGCATAGCACGACTACTATTTACTACTGGCATTATCAACCAGAGACACATCCGGAAGTGCTCCAAGCAAGCCAAGAGGCCTGCACGCTTTGCATTTAGGCCAGTCTCGAGACCAAGACCAACCATATGTAGACCAGCTTTGACATCATCATTGCAAGGTACATTTTTACAGAGTACTTCGCACATACTGTAGCTCACTGGCTCACCCAGGTTCCAAGCTCAGCACATAGAATGCGGCTACCGCAAAAGCAACCCCCCCCCATGGTTCAAGAGAACGACACCGACAGCAATAATTGGTCCGCTTCAAGCCGTCGTACCCCTTGACCGGTCCATGTCTTTGATTTGCAGCCCCGGAGATTTCGAGCTGGGAAGAAATACCACATAGCAGCCTGGTTCGCCTGGCTTCTGCCCTGCTCAATGTACAATCATCAATGTAGTGCGGCGTGAGTGATCGATTAGCAAGCATCCACATTCATATCCATACATGATTTCCCTCCCGCCAGCCAGGTACATACCATCTAGTGTATAGTAGGTGGGCGTCTTGGCAGGCACTCGTGAGTACTATGTAGTAAAAGTAGGTGGTAGGTTTCGCGCGCGCGCTGCAGTTTGGGCCCCACGCAACCCATATTTGCACCCCCGGCAGATGCTGGGTGCAAGTCAAGCCGAAGCAATTCTCTAACAGTATGGCTCTTCGACACAGCACGGGGAGTTTTCCCACACTCCACTGTGGCCATCTTAAATCCGGAAAAAGCAATTCTTCATGGGCCTTTTGAGCACAGATCGCATCTTGCTGCTAGTCAGTTTGTCGGGGGAGTTTGGAGGGGGATGATCTACGTCAGCCATTATTGTTAAAGGGCTCGGTGAAGAAGAAGAAAACCACCAACCCGTCGTCGTCCCCCAAAGGAATGTTTACCATCGCGCTACAAAGCGAGCAGATGAGCCACGACCGTTGTGTTCCGGTCGATCTGTCTAACGTCTTTTTATCCCTCTAGAGCACGATACTAGCCGGGCCCTCTATCCTTACACTGCTAACCAAAGGGGTGAAGCAAGCAAACTGTAAATCGGCAGCGGACCACTGAGCTTCTCTCTGGAGCATTTCTGCCCAGTCACCTTCACTTGGCATTGGTTAGCTTCTCCTCAATTGCTCTCTGTGGCCTCTTTGGCCTCTTTCTCATCGCGAGGGTGGGCGCTAGAGAAGCACCCATTCTGATAGCTCTCGTCATCGTTTGGAAAAATACAGGACCCGTCCATTGATTTTGTTCACGACTAGCTAGAGCAAGCTCATCCTTATAGCTCCGCGATTGGGGGCGCGCGCCGGTCAGATTAGGCCTCAGCTACACATCGGCTTTACTACTCTCGCTCATCACTACTACTGATTAGTGCGAGATCCACGTGCGGACACAGCTGTTGGATACTAGAAAAGGGAGAGGTGCGGCAAACCAAGGTTTATCAAAACGGTCGGTATTGGTCTCCAGGCCAGACCAGACGGGTTCCGACAGCTTACATCCTCAGGCTCCCAATCAGTGGCAGTCTCTGAACAATCGACACCCAAGACATTGTGTGTGTCCCGAGACCTGGGCATGGAAGGGGAACGCAAGTCGCGTGGCAGCTGAAAGTTATCCAAGACATTGGAGGGCCCTACGATCTTCAACGTTACTATCGGTCCTCATAACTGTGGTCTAGTACTCGGAGACGACAGACAGTTTGATACAAGCCTGAGATCACATGCCACACTCAACATTGGTTCTTCTCTTGATGAAATTCTGGCACTTTGTCACCCACGGTATTTGCAAATCGTCCAGTACCGGTGACACCGCGCGGCTTGCCACATACGTATCCACAAAGACACATAGCTTGTCTCCGCCACGCTTTTACTGTTGTCGGCCACAGCGTCTCTTTCACGAGAGACATCGGCCGCGACGCTGGCGGCTTACGCAAAGAGGCCGAGAGATCGCTTGCCGGACTTCGGAGTCGGCGCCGGCGTTGCGCTCACGGACTCTTGTTATGCCGAGCAATCGTCTTTTCCATATGCTATCAAGATTGATACCGTATATGACCGTCCCAACGTGAGACCTCCAAAGCGGCGGAAGCTATCGAGCGCGATTCTGGCCGCCGTGCCAGAATCCAAGAGCCCTTCCAAATCCAAGGGCAGGCGCCCGGCATCAGACATGAAGATGCCAACAACATCGACGAGTACCCCTGCCAAGAGCAGGCGGGTACGGACTGGCTGTCTGACCTGCAGGGAGAGGCACCTTAAATGTGATGAAGGCACCCCGGACTGTTTGAACTGTAAAAAGAGTAATAGGGAATGCAAGCGTGGGGTGCGACTGAACTTTATCGACATGACATGCAAGGAACCACCTTTCATTTCAATCGCAGACGAATGGTCAGGTAGGCGTTTTATCTCACATCAGGTGCAAACATATCACGACATTTACTGATTTCTCTCCAGTGCGATTCGAGGACGAATCTCGCCTCATTGCGTCAGAATATCAAGGCGGGCTCGGCAGATATGCCAAGTTGGAACCACACGCTGCATCTCCAAGTACGGCCGTGGCAACAGATGCGCCACGCCACAAATCCATCGCTGCAGCAGTCTCGGATGCTCATCCAATAGACGATCACCGGACACCTGCAAATATGCCAACACCACAGTCGCTATTTTATGCAGACAGAGGTCAAATACCACCAGATCAATACTCTGATGGAGGCCACAGCAGGAAAAATAGCGATGCGTCGTTCATGGCGCCGCCCGGCTCGTCTCATTCGAATGGCTATGCCAACATCGTGACAGAAGGCTTTGCCCAAATCAAAGAGGAACGGGGCGGTCAGCTTCGAACCACATACCGATGCGGGAGTGACGCATCTACGGCGGCCTCCATCGCGGGGATGACAGCAACTGAAGCACAACCTCAATATCACGATGCCAATATCATCAACATTGATCCAGGACCTCTTCCCGACACTGGTATGATGACGCCGCCCGGCGAGAAAAATGGAGAACGAGAATATCTCAACACACCTGAAGAATTGCACTTTATGCAAGTTTTCGTGTCTGAAGTGGGCATTTGGATGGACAGCCTGGACAAGGAAAAACATTTCTCGAGGCTAATACCGTACCATGCGCTAAAGTGTCCCATGTTATTGAATGCCCTACTTGCGTGCGGAGTGAAGCATCTCACACTGACACATCAGTACACTGACGACAAAGCCCTGTTCTACTATGACACTGCCACGACTCAACTCCTTCGAAGTTTACAGAACCCTGAACGCAACACAGCCGAGTGCGCAGCCACAGCCGTCGTTCTCAACGTCTATGAGATCATGAGCGAGAAGCCCGCCCAGCGTATGAGCCATATAGCAGGCGCGCGCGCCTTGATCCGAGAATGTGGATGGAATGCAAAGAGCACGGGTCTCGGCGCGGCATGTTTCTGGTTAAACGTTGGTATGGAGTTGCTTTCATGCTTGTCCTTTAATTGGCAGACGGCTTGGGACCCTGAACAATGGGGTTTGGACATGGATCTGAAGTCGGAAAAAGAACAGGGAAAAGAAGAGATTTGGGTTCATCGAATCTTTTACGTCGTGGCCAAAATCGCAAACTTCCGCGCCAGTATTCCGAAATTCCAGGAGCCCAGTCCGCATGATGAGCAGGTCCGTCGCCAGGCCCGTTTTGCTGAATGGCAACGCCTCAAGAGTCTATGTGATGAATGGAATAATGCTTGTCCACGGCCCATGCACCCTTTCGCCTACTTGTATCCCGCTCAAGGGGGCAAGTCACATTTCCCCAATGTCTGGTTCGTATTGATTGTCCCGATATCCCCAAGGGCTAGAAGTACTAACAAGAATTAGGCTCATTAAGCGTGCTGCCATTGTAGGCCGCCTCTACTATCATACGGCGCAATGTCTCCTCGCACAGATTAACCCATTGCTAGCCAAGGAGTGCGAAGAGTCACGCGCACTGCAGCAACATCATGCTCACCAGGTTTGCGGAATTGTTGCACATACCAAGGACCGTGGTGTATCCTCTGTGGCCATACGCTCGCTTGCTATTGTTGCCGAAGTGCTGGACAAATTGGAAGAGCAGCGAGAGGTCATTGGGATTTTGGAGAGGATCGAGTCCGAGACGGGTTGGCGGCTTGCTGCGCTGCTCAAGAATCTCAAACGAGTATGGGGGTGGGAGAAGATGGCCGGTACTGGACTTGCGGCGCAGTTTTTGGCGCAGAGTCCCTCGACGCAAGCATCCAAAGCTCAGCAGCAGCGACAGCCACCACCGCCAATCCAGACAACAACACCACCGAATGGACAGATGATGCCTGGGATGGAGAAGGCGCAACAAACCCTGGCGGCACCGAGGCCAATAAGGAATCCCAATCCTCTTAGCAATGGCGATTTCAGCCTTCCCGATCACCCCTACAAGAATTGGTATGAGCCGCCCACTCGGTCAAGCACATTCAGTTCTACACATGGGTTTCTATAATCTCAAAGCAGGACAACGCATATAATCGAGGAGTGTTGGAAAAGATTATCCAATACGGACGAGTCGCAAGACGGCGAAACAGTTGGCGTTAACTTTCTTTCCTGCTGCATGTATATGTTGGCAATATAGCGTAGGGTCTGGCCCAGTCATGGACATACAGGTATGGGCAATGTGAATAATTTTGGAAACGGAGTTTCGGGTTGCATTATGGGATCATGCCTTATAGGGCCTCTCTCCCTTTGGAAAGGACAACAATGCATAGCATCGGACATTGGTCTGATAGGCGTTATATGCGGTTCTCATGGATGTTTTGGTCTCTTGTTTCGGCTACTTTATCTTGGGCTGGATGTGATACACTGGTGCTGTCGAGATAGCAGGCAACTGATACCTCATCGGTGCGATTTGCATTTATATTCATGGCCTGTTATGGTTGGTATTCAGATTTTTACTGGAACATCTATTTCATATACCCTGAGCAGTAAATCAACATGGTCCTTTTCATCATAGAAGCATACCAGTCAATAAGCAGAGGATCTCTGTGGTTTCAAATAATGTCCAGTTTGCTCTATCAAAATGGGAGAGAACATGGGCGAGGGTATTGACGTGAGAGTGAGTGCTGGCATCTCACAAGCTCATGGCCCCTCTAGTGACAAAATAGATCCGCGAGTCACACTTCCTTTCGGTACAAGTGGAACCATATATCAGCATCAAAGTGACGAGATATTGCTTGGAGTAAATCAATGTATCACACCACAAATCCCAGCCCAACGTGACGATAGGACATAAAGTGACCATTGGCTCTAATATATCTATATGATGCCCGTTGAATCGATATTCAAGCTCTATGACATGTGGGAATATTCCTGGTATCAATTTTTTGCGCTCTCTGCAATCAACTCTTCGTCATTGTTCTCCTGCATAGCTGGTTCCAACTCCGTCTCGGCTGGTGGGACGGCAATGCCATACTTTTCGTAGGGAAAGTTTTGCAAGTCGAGGTAGTAATCTGCCCAACCATCGCCGATTTCTCCGAGCTGGTGAACATCGACGGCCTCGCCAGCCGCGCCCATGCGCCCGGCCAGAATCTCCTCGTCCCTGCCGGCATACTCTTGCTTCAGCATGGGGTGCGGACACCAGACGACGCGCATACCGGCCCGACGACCGGCCTCTACACCAGGCACACTGTCCTCAAACACCAGACACTCCTCGGGCGTAATGGGCTTTTCTCCCTCGGGTAGGCTGTCGTTGATGGTCTTGAGGGCGAGCAGGTAGATATCTGGGAGCGGCTTGCCACGGCCAGGCTGGACGCGAGGGTCGTCTCCCAGGACGCGGCGCGACGTCTCAAAGACGGAGAAGAGCTCAGTCAGGTGCGCCGTCTTGACCTTGAAGTTGCCGCTGTTGCTGCTTGTTGCCAGGGCAATGTGTACGCGCTGGGGCTTGGCGGAGCCAGCGGTGACCGTCTTGTCGCTCTCCTGGAGGTCCCACCAGCGCGTGCGGCCGAGATCGGACAAGAGCTTCTCAACGCCGGGCAGGGGGCGCGCGGCCGGGAAGTGCTGCTGCTGCAGGGCGCTGTACTGGCTCATGTAGTCGTCGTGGGAGATGGGGAGCTGCGCCCACTTGTGGAAGATCTCGTTGGCCTGGGGGCCCGGCCGACCCTGGAGCTGCGCCTTGATGGACCACGGCAGGTTGGGGCGGCCGTACTTTTCGAGGAGCACGTTGATGCACAGCGTGTAAATGTCCTCGGTGTCGAGAAGCAGGCCGTCCATGTCGAAGAGACAGGCCCGGACGGGAGGGAAGCTGCGCTCATGGGTATGCGTTAGTTGGCATTACTTGAGCGGTTGATCTTGTGGGAATTGCATACTCGGTTCGAGGAGCCATGGTGTTGAGGCCTTGTGCGTGTTCTCCTAGAGTGAAAGTCTGTGTCTATCAAGTCAAGTCCCCAAAAGAGTACAATCTGTAAGAATACTGGAAGTATTAGGCAGATTATAAGGGTCCGTCAACCCCTCCATCGGTCACTACCGCCAGGCACAGGCGGTGCGGGGGTGGGGTTCGCTTGACTCCTCGCCGATTTTCCAGTGGAGTTCGGGCGCTGTTACTCCCTTTACCTGAATGACGTTTTGCAGACGGGCCAGTCTCCGATATAGTTGGACACAAAACCAGGGCGCCTTGACGATCAACCACCCGCAGCCTGGACTCCTGCAGCAATGTCATCCAACGGCGCACAAGAAGACAAGACAAAGGTGGCCCCGGCTGCCGACGCTGATGAGGATTTGGGGCCTCCGGCAAAGTTCTCGCCTGAGGAAGAAGCGGCATGTAAACAAATGAGAATAAAAGCCCACTGCTGCAATTGAGGTGCAAGGGAGCTAACATAGCCCTTCATACAGGAACTCTTGAGTGAATCCAACGACAAGAAAACCGAGGCAAACAAGCTCTTCACATCCGCCAACTACGATAATGCCATTTCCAAATATGAAGAGGCCGCATCAGTCTGTCCGCACTACCTCGACTACGAGCTCGCCGTTCTGCAGTCCAACATTGCCGCGTGCCATCTGAAGCTGGAACAATGGAAGGAGGCCGTCAGCAGCTCGTCAAAGGCCCTCGACGGCCTTGAGAAAATCGAGAAGGCAGATGCCGCGGCCGCGGCCGATCCACAGGTAAAGGACGAGGACGAGGACGTTGAGGAGGAAATCGTTAGCACTGGTGCGCAGAAGAGCGCCCCTGCCCAGGGCCAAGAGAGCGATGCCGAGGTGGCGGCGCGCAAGCGCAAGGAAGATATCTTGAGGATACGTGCCAAGGCCCTGATGCGCCGGGCGCGGGCAAAGAGTGAGCTGGGTGGCTGGGCGAATCTGTCGGGAGCCGAAGAAGACTACAAGGCCTTGTCTGCCATGGATAACCTCAGTCCGGCTGACAGGAAGATTGTGGCCTCGCAACTGAGATCGCTGCCGCCACGGAGTAAGGCGGCGCAGGAGAAAGAAATGGCCGAGATGTGGGGGAAGCTGAAAGACGTGAGTTTCCCTGGTCCGAAAAAAAGAAGAGGAGACAAAAGTGATCGCAGAAATGCTAACGGAAATGTAGCTGGGAAATGGCATCCTCAAGCCATTTGGTCTAAGTACGGACAACTTTAATATGGTCAAGGACGAAAAGACTGGAGGTTACAGCATGAACTTCAACCAGAAATAAGGACATCATTTTGGACCCTCTACAAAGATAAGCGAACATATCTTTCACGATGAGGTTATCAAATTTCATTTTCATCTGACGCAAATATGTATTTGATTTTTTATGACTTGTTCCGCTCATTACAACATCCAACAACCCATGGCTATTACCGATGCCCATAACAGCCAGGTAGCGGAGGCTATTGATTGTGCACTGCTGCCATTGTCACCTTGGCTGCTACCAGTTGCGTTGCCAGTATTGCTGCCGCTATCAGTGTCATTGTCATTACCATTACCATTACCACTACCAGTATCAGTGCTATTGTCGCCACCCGTGTCGGTCTCGTTGCTACCGCCATTTCCGACGGTGCCATTATACTCATTACCCTGCTCGCCAACAACAAATCCATTCGACTCGCCCCCAACGTACAGAGCGCCGAGAGAGCTCAGCCCGCCGTCATTATCATATAGCGACAGGCCAGTTCCGGTCCAGCTGTTTGCGCCGTCGGGCCGAAAGATCCCAAACCACGCATATCGTTCCACGAATCCCAGCGAATCGAGATACGGCAGAGTCTGGCTCATTACGGCGTAATTGGCGTCCATGGGCGCGCCAGGCACGCCGAGCTCGGTCACCCAGACCTTGAGGTCACCCTGGAGGCCGACGTTGGAGCCATTGTACCACCCCGCCAGCTGGCCAATCCACGAGGCCATGCCCTGGAAATCTCCGTACCAGTGCACGACCACAAAATCGGTTGGGCAGCCATTCTCGGGGTCAATGGCCCAGCATGCGGCATTGAAGTCTTGGAGCCATTGGAACCCTCGCGCCGATCCCGTTGTTGCCGGATGCGAAATCTTGAATCGACTACGCAATGGTGCGATCTTGGCAATATAGTCGCGTGCGGCGTCTTGGGGACTGAGGTCCGAACCGCCCGTCTCAAAGGTGCCGTCGGGCTCGTTAAAGGTGAAGAGATATTGGGACGAAGCGGGCACGCGTTCTAGCGCGTCGAGGTCCGCGTCCAGCTTGGTGTTGTTATGGATGGTTGGAACAAATTCGATGGTGTCGGCCTTGTCGCCCCAAAAGATATTCTCCGGCGCCGTTGTCGGCAGCCAGGTATAGTACCAGTCCAACGGCGACTTGGCAGAGAGCAAGAGATTGTAGTCGGCCGAGTGTCCGTCTTTTATATAGGCGATGCCGCGTTTCGACGTTCCGCTCGATTGTGCTATAACCACAGCTTGTGCCAGCAAGAAGGTACAAGCAATCGACAGCTTTGCGCTCGGTCTCATGATGGAAGATTTTTTTGGAAGTGAAACAGGGGAAACGTAGACCTTGCTAATATATACAGCAATTGAAAGAGGGTCACTGAAGCTTCTAGTAGTCTTGATCCGTAGAGATCACTTGAGCGCAAGGCGCAACGACATACTCAATAATTACAATGAAAGTGAAAGATTGGCATTGAGAAGAAAAGGGGAATTGGACATTCACGAGCGCTTCGCGAAAAGAACACAGGCATGAAAAGAGCCAAGAGCCCCGATGCGAAAAGCGCGCAATTACATCTGCCATTGGCTCATGATGCCCTGTTCAGTCTTAAAGGTGCGACAATGGCATTGGCTATAACCCCTGATGAGAAGTCTCAGCGTGCAGTTGGGGGAGATTGGCACCATTTGGTACCTACATATGGATTCTGTACCATGCTTGTCATGCTTGCTTACTTGACTACGCCCGCTGGTTGCGGCCATTGGTCCCATGCGCTTACATGACCATATAGCCCATCGAGAATATGACTACTATGAAAGAAACTACAGGTGTAAAATAACAGTATAAGAAATAAACCTTTCCCATGGGATAAAGTATTTGACACGAGGCATAAAAAAGAATGGAGCCAGTCTTGTTCCATGCTTGCACGTGTAGGTATATCCCTGCGTCAATCAGGTCCGATCATAATACCTTAAAAATTAGCTGGGATTGGCACTAATTCCGGGGCTGTCTCAGATGTGGGTGACCACTGTAGTATGCTAAAGCTTGCCCTACAATTCAATTCAGCTGTGAGCTCTCCAACTGCAATCTTTTCACTGCTACATTACCCCTCTATGGTGGAGTGACGTCACGAGCACACTGCTGCGCTACCTCGCCTTTTCCGACCAATCCAAAAACTCTCCGGTGTCTCCAGAGCCCTGGATCCAGTTCTGAATTGAGGGGTCTGGATCGTGCAAAGAGAGGGAAAGGCGTGCCCAGTTTCCAAGTTGGAAATAGAATGGGAAAAAAGTAGCATTGCATTATACTCCATATGCTTGGCGATTGATGCCCATGTGGTCTATCTTGATGACACCATTTTGCACCAAGCCCTTTCCCTCCAACGGGTATGCATCCATCCATCTGGTTTACCCCGCGATCGCGTCCTTACACATCGAACCGATACATGACGGCCTGGCCAGATTTGGTGTAAACTTAAGCATTGACTACTTCATGGACATGGACGGTTTTAGATACATGTGTAGATAGATCAGATAAACATTGAATTCTCACTCACGCACCAAAAGCCAGACATGCTTTGATCGCGGAATATACTATAGTATGATCTTCATCAAGCGGAGTGAGTGGTTTGAAGCACAGACAGAGGTTATCCACAACAGGCAACATCAGCTCTTTTCCAATATCGGAGGTTCGAGGCAGCGGAACTCGCCATTCTTGTCAGATCGGCCGGCCCATGGTTTATTAAATGGGTACCTGCGACTCCTCTCCTTGGAAGAAAGAGGGAAAAAAAGGCAGCGTCTCGTTTCAAGCCGTTGTCAGCTCTCCTGTTCAATCCACCCCGGGTGACGGCACTGCATTTTTTTTTCTTCTAATTGATCCCTGTCCACAAGAAAGGAAAGTACGGGCTCAGAACCTGCTGCAACCAAGCTGGAAGCAAGACTCGAGCTACCCCCAGCCTATGACGGAGACTCTGGACTTGCAGCAACCAACCAACCTCAGGGCCGATGTATGTTTATTAAAAACTGTCAACGCCTTCGCCCATAATTATTTTAGCATTTGCTAGAATACCTACTTTAGCTTTCCTCTTTCTCTCCCTTCTACTTCTCTCTCGCTCTCATCCCGTCTCTCTTGCCCTTCTTTTTCTCCGGTTTCCTGCTTTGCCGGTCGCCGCAACCCTCCGCATCGGCTTCGCTCCGTGACTGAATTGCTTGGTTCTTTGCGCCTCTCCGCTGCTGCTGCGGCTAACACGGCACTGTGCCAAGCCTTTTTCGTACCAAATGTCTCATTCACCGGAGAGGGCTGGTGAGGATGGCGGCTCACACCACGGCTTCTCTGCCAAAATCCACGATCTCAAGGATAAGCTGAAGAACAGTCATCTCCATGATGCCAAAGTTGCCTTGATCCACAAGAAGTGAGTCGCCATGTCAATGAGCGGACCCCTTGGACATTGGGAAGGGACAAGCTGCTAATCGATAACATTGAAAAGACACCAAATCGGAAAGTTTGGCAATCTGGTAATATCTTGACAATAATTCCGCACTGGTGTACGTGTACATTTTTGACCTGACTTTTATGCGATTAGTTCAACCCTCAACACCGTCACGATGAGGAACATGAAAAGGCCTGTGATGAGAAGCGTACCAAAATTGGCGAGGAGCACCGCTTCAAGTCTTACTTTCCTGAACGCGATGGCAACATGATCAAGTGGTATGTCGACGGACGGGACTACTTTTGGGTAAGTTGCAAGAAGCGCGACGATGTGCATCATCCTTGGCTGACACCAACAAGGCTGTTTCCGTCGCTCTGGAACAGGCTCAGGAAACCATCTACATTGCGGATTGGTGGCTATCCCCGGAATTGTTCTTGAGACGCCCACCATATTACAACCAGGAATGGAGACTGGATGAAGTACTGAAACGCCGCGCCGAGGCTGGTGTCAAGATTTACGTGGCTGTTTACCGTGAAGTCGAAGCAGCCATTTCCTGCAACTCTGAACACACAAAGCATGCATTGCAGTCTCTATGTCCAAAAGGATCTCCGGGCTACGGAAACATCAAGATCATGCGTCACCCCGACCACAATGTGCTCGAGAATGCTGCCGACATGACCTTTTATTGGGCCCATCATGAGAAGTTCCTGGTCATTGACTACAAGATGGCCTTTATCGGTGGTCTTGATCTTTGTTTTGGCCGCTGGGATGCCCATCAACACCCCCTGAGTATGGATTCATACTCGCATTTCTGCTGCATCGCCAATGCTAACGGACCGTGTAGGTGATGTACACCCTGAAGGTGTTGCCAACGAAGTGTGGCCGGGCCAGGACTTCAATAACAATCGAGTCATGGACTTCAAAAACGTTCAGGACTGGAAGCAGAATGAGCTGAGCAAGGCCGATTATGGGCGTATGCCCTGGCACGACGTGGCAATGGGTGTCATTGGCCCATGCGTCTACGATATCGCCGAGCATTTCGTATTGCGCTGGAATTTCATAAAACGTGACAAGTACAAGCGAGATGATAGATTCGACTGGCTCGAGCTGCGTGGACGAACTGGCGAGGATGAAGATCTGGTGGGAGTGCAACGCCCCAAGCATCCTGTTGGCGACTATGTTCTTCACCCGCTCACGCCAATGGAGACAAAGAACCTCGATAATCGAGGCACCATTCACGCGCAAGTCGTCCGTTCCAGCGCTGATTGGTCCAGTGGAATTCTGAGAGACCACTCGATTCAGAATGCATATTCTGAAATTATCCGCAATGCCGAACACTACGTCTACATTGAGAACCAGTTCTTCATTACCGCTACCGGAGACCAGCAATCACCAATTCACAACACCATTGGCCGTTCAATCGTTGATGCTTGTGTACGAGCCGGCAAGGAGGGTCGCAAGTTCCGCGTCATTATTATGATTCCCTCCATTCCTGGTTTTGCTGGTGACCTCCGCGATGCTGCCGCCACAGGCACAAGAGCGATCATGGACTACCAGTACAAATCCATCTGCCGTGGCGAGCATTCCATCTTTGAACAGATTCGCAAGGAAGGCGTCGATCCCACAAACCACATATTCTTCTTCAATCTGCGAACCTATGATCGCCTCAACAAGACACCCGCCATCAAGAAGAGAGAGGAAGAGACTGGCATCAGCTATCAGGACGTGCAACGCGCGCAAGCTGAAGAGATCATGGGAAGTGGTATTCACGGATCCAAGGATGTCGAAGGAGGCGTCGACTCGCACATGGGCAAGAGTTCAGATCACGGCAAAGGCGCTGATCGGCAGCTCAATGATGAACAGTCTGAGCAGGCCATTGACGCCAAGAGGAAATTCGAAGCAGAAATGGACGGCCTGGAGAAAACAACCACATCCTTCAGTGTGGCGCATCATGCCATGGCAGACACTGGACCGCTTTCGGAGGAGAGCTGGGAAGGCGATGCCAAGGAGGAAGTGGAGAACTGGATCCAGGAGGAGCTCTACATTCACGCAAAGCTTCTCATTGTCGACGATCGCATTGTCGTCTGTGGCTCCAGCAATTTGAACGATAGGAGCCAGGAAGGTCACCATGACAGCGAGTTGTCTATTGTGATGGAAGATACGGATCGCATCCAAAGTGTCATGGATGGAAAGCCCTTTGAGGCGGGTAGGCATGCCGCTACATTGAGACGATATCTTTGGCGCGAGCACCTTGGTCTTTTGCCTCCTCAGGACTTTGATGCCAAGGACGACGTCAATGCGCAGCCACCAGGCGACGACTCTCCCAACGACCCTTGGGATAAAGAAGACAGTTATAAATTTGTTGAAGATCCTCTATCAGAGGATATGTGGAAGATGTGGACCGAAAGCGCCACGACGAACACGGAAATCTTTCGACACCTCTTCCATGCTGATCCAGATGATCACGGTTTGTTTCACCCACCATGTGTCTTGGTCTACAATCACTGACGAGTACTAGTCAAAACGTTTGACGATTATAACACCTTCTTACCTCCGAAGGGCGTTAAAGCTGGTCATATCTTTGACAGATTCTTGCCTCCAGAAGATATCCGTAGCAAGCTTGACAAGATCCAGGGACATCTGGTATGGTTCCCACTCGATTTCCTGAAGGACGCAAACATGGCAGAGACTGGGTTGCAAGTCAACCAGTTTACTGAAAGTGTCTATACCTAAGTCTTGGTGTGAACCTGGAGAGAATCCTGCTTTGTTTTGTTCCTGCTTTTGCGTTGATCGAGGTGGTTTGATTGCTAGGCAGCAGGTGTTTTCTGGAAATTTTGTCATGGACTACATGATTCTAATACAGGATATGATGAATGGCTATGATTCTCCAAAGATTCGCTTTTACGTTTTCGGGAATGCGTGACCAGCTTTTGAACAAATTTCCCAAAACACCTCAAAACAACAGTTCATGGCAGATCGTTTTCGTAATCGCACAAATCAAGGGCAGGACACAGTGTTCGTATAATAGTAAACCCAACGAAGTTTTGGGTTATTGGCAGACATCTCAAACGGTCATCGGAACCTTTTCAGCTTATGAGATGGCCCGCCCAGCCATCTGATTATCCAAACCCCCGTGTCAGATCCCAATTAGGTCGCGGTAGGGGTAAACACTATTCCAGTTCTGATCTGCCAACGACGCTCGTCCCAACCTCCCAGCTTCGTATCCCCAGAAATATATAGCAGTCAGGTGCAGGGTTTCCTCGGTTACATCCGACATAAGGTGGTGGATGAGCACAAGCCATGACCGTTTGATGTTTGTGACTCTGTTTCTAGTGCGTGGTGTCTCAGATTTTACATGAACGAGCTCATCCCTTGCGTCACTTCAAGGCACGCATCGGATTTGCGAATTCCGTGTTGGAGATGGAAAGCCATGTATAGATGGAAAGATTTTTTATTAAATCATTTCGGTCCAAAAGTTCCATTTCATCACCTTCATACTTGTATTTTATATTGAGCTATAAAACACCATTCATTGGGCTCAACACCTATGAGCCAGTTCCTACAGCGATACAACAAACTGACTGCCTTTTCATACGACAGATGAGATTATAAATATCTCGCATCTCCAGAACAGTGCCAAACTTTGATCGACGTCATAATTCTCATTTTTCTGCAAGTCTAACAGCCTCGACGATTGACAGAATTTCCCACATTAGCAGCGAGCTGGCGGTAGCTCCTAAAGGGCTTGCTGCTGCTCATCCTCTACGAATATCATCAACTCCATCACTTGCTTGCAAGTCTCCACAAACGCCGCCATGCTCAATCTCCTCATACTACTCGTGCTTCTCGGCGTGGCATCAGCATCACCGCGGCTTGTGCGTCGAGTCGTTGTGGCTCGAAACCACCCGCCGACACAATCCTCGACGGGCTTCCGCCTCATTGCCAACGTCACCGACCCGTCACAAGACTTTGACCCGCCCGTGCATGGCTGGGTCCTAGACGCCATCCACATAGGCGCAGGCCTCAACGACGCGGTCCTGTTTGCCGACGGGGACGACGTTGGGCGGGTATACTACGTCAACGGAACGGCCGACGAGATTGCCGGCGGGCAGGCCGACACCCTGACCGACGGGGGCACCCCGCTGTTTCCTTATGGCGTGTACGTGGCGGACCGCAACACCACCGACGCCGACGGCCTGCACGACGTCAGCGTCAATGCCGGCTCGGGCCAAGTCGGCGTGCAGCTCGAGGTTTCTTCGTCGTCGTCCACGTCGTCGTCCTTGCTGTACCCGGTGCTCCGGGGCCCTGGTGCCGCGGCGGGGACCTATGTCGCGTGTAATCAGTACGTCTCGTACTATGGCGAGAATTACACGACGATACGCTGGGTCTATGACGAGGTGGATAGCAGTGCCACGGCTGTTGTCACCAATAGTAGTAGCAACAGTAGCAACAACAGCAGCAGCGTGAGTAGTAGTAATGCTACCCTGGCTGCTGCTCCTGCTGTTGCTGGGGTGCGTACCATTCCCAATGGCTGTGTTGCTCTCACTCTGCTCCCCGAGTGCAACGTTCTGGATGAGCTTCCCAACGGGAGTCTCGCGAGCCACGAGTTTGCAGCCAACTCGACATGTTATGCCAATGTCTCGGCAATTGACTGGACGCTGTACGGGCCGTGAGAGCCTTAAGTGTTTGGCTACTGGGATGTATTGACTCGCGCTTGTGCAACCAAGAAGAGTGAATTCTCCCTTTGCTACTGCTTTTCTGACGTCCCTCCTATGCGTTGATAGACTGTCTGCTAGATTGCCTGCTGGATTGGTACGAAACTTATTCCTCCTGTATTATATACGACTTGCAAAAGGGATTACCATGTGCTATTACATACTGTATTATAGGATTCTCCTTTACACATTTTCTGTCTATATAGACTATAGGTAATAATAATGATAATTATGGGTACGATTGTTGCTTGTGGCCATGTCTGTGGGCAAGTTGTTTCTATTGATGCAGTCGTGAACAGGAAGATACAGAAACACCCAACGAAACAACAACAAATAGGCAAACACCATATTGCTTGCACTCTAGCATGTGATCCCTCCTCTCGGCAAGCACTGGCGTTGGCACCAAGATCGACAAGCAAGCCATACGTGAGGCGTCGGGGATTATTTGCGAACTTAACTCTTCCCTTACGGAATGTAGATCCGGCAATTCTCTGATTGGATGCCCATTACAAGTGCCAAAACGATCTCAATATATTGGACGGTTTTTAGCTTCCATAGTAGTACCACGTGTGATTGCTAACAGGACAGATCCTTAATGGGCTGAAATGTAAAGTAACTTGGGTGGAGGGAGGTAGAGAAAATACAAAGGATGGGGGAACATCGCTCCGGCGTATTAGATCACCACCACGGTCAGCAAAACAAGAATAGCGGCTTTTTCGTGTATTGCCAGGCATTGAAGAGGAAGGACAGTCGACGGTCTTCGCTTCCAGCGCCATAGCAACTCAATCCAAAAACCGTTGAGAAATTGCAAATTCTAGCCATGGTGCTTTTCCGAGACTACTAGGGACTAACGCATAGAAGAAGAAAAGAAAGAGAAAGAGGCAAAACCCATACATATGCCACAGTCTTGTTTATTATTATTTGCAGTCTTTGGGCTAAACGCCCGGCGCTAATATGGCGAACGGTTCCTCTTGTCATGAGACCGGCTCCCCAAGCCTCGCAAGTTAGTGACGACTCTGACGAGTAACCCAAATTTGGCATCCATTTTTATCTTCCTTCTAGCGCTGGCGGTAGGACAATATCCTCCTCCCCTTGGGCTGTTTGTTTTTCTTTCGGCTGGCTTCTAGAACTTCCCCCCTTGTTGGGTTACCGAATGCCTAAAAAGAAAAAGACGGCTTCATTCAATTAGCATCGGAGTCTAAAGTACGAGAACGGCCGGGCGATGGAAGAAAGCGTGCCCTCCTTTCGCTTAATTCAGGGTCTTGCAGCAAATGGTTTGTTTCAATTCACGAAAACGAACAAGATGTGCAAAGTATACGCTCGGTTCCTGGTGCTAATTTGGCGTCTCGAGTCAGCTACAATAATGGGGGGGAGGGGGAGGGTTTGGAAGGATTGCTCCAAGAAATAGTAACATTGAAGGGAGCTACCATGAATTGTAAACACAGGGGATCTATCGTACTTGGTCACATATGATTACATGCTCTATACAGCAACACGCCATTAAGGAATTTTCGCAATGAACATCATCATTAGTTGGAGCAATGTAATTATAAGCCTTGTGGCAAGCTTGCAAACGTGATTCGCTTGAGCAATAGCCTTATTCGGGACGCATATAGCTGCAAGTGGATACAGCTAATAGAGGTCACGGACCGATCCACGTCCCCTACTGGTTGGGTGATGGGTACGAATTAAATGATGATTGATTACACGGAGGTCTCGATGAATGAGAAAGAGAGAGAGTCTTGTGGGGTGGCTGATTTCTACAGGGCAAATTCATGTCCAAGAGAATAAAGTCATGGGGAGCCTCGAGTCTCATAGGTATGTATGATGGTCGCGATCTTGATGGAGGACTCGGTGTAGGTGGGGTGAAACTCTAACAGTCCCTGTCGTCAAAAGCCTGCATAGGACCATGTAGTTGTGCAATCACGTCTCTCAAGCAATGATGATTATCGTAGACCGGATGGAAAAAGCAATAAGATAGCCATCAATTTCCGATTGTCGCTTTTCCGAAGCCGCTACTCCCCTACTGTACCGGTTTTCTGGGGGAGGATTCGCTTAGTGGCACATAATCTTCCACCGTCGAGCGGTTCGACACCTCGCCGTCACGGTTAGCGGTAGCCTTGTTGGAGAGATCGGAAGATTACAAGGACATTCTCTTCAAACACTAGATGCCATGACTAGAAGCAATCACAAAAGGCCGGTAAAAGAATCACCCCCAGAATGGAGGGGTATGTCGAGATGTGACATTCAAGTCCTTGGTGCGTAAGCGAAGCCATTGTGAGCAACGCGCCACCAGTCGGATGACGCCTGGGTCTGAATATACTTTAACTAGATCGCGACGCGGCAACCTTAGCTCATCCTGACGGGCCCGTAGGGAGTACAGGGGGCCAAAGAAACCAGCAGGGCTCTGATTTTAGGAGAGAGCATTCAGTGCACATGGAAACGCGCGACAACCCCTCACTGCTGTCCCTGTCCTTTCTCGTCTCCGGATCGACATGGTTCATCGGGAATATGTAGGTGTAATCATTCGTCATAGGAGGAGACAGCCCTGTTGGTGCATTGTCGAGTGCCTCATGGCATGAATACAAGGCATTTCCCATTGTATACCGGAATGTCCTTGGCGACGAGGACGGAGTGTATCCGGGTCAAACCACGGGAACTATAGCTTATTACCCTCTCCCTATACTAATGCACATGAGGTAGAGCTGGCTTGCATGCAGTAGCATCCTTCAAAAAGGCTTCTCAAGCCAAGCAAGCCGTAGAAGCTTGTAAGAATATAGGAGCCCGGACAACCTTGGGCGGTTCATCGGGTCCAATGGTCGACAAGCTATGACATGACATGACGAGATGGTCCTTTGTGTTGGTGCTAAACTGCCCAGCTTTGTACGAACTAGCCAGCACCGACCAGACGGATCAAGCAAGTCAGCCACCTATCTCTTCTGCCTACCTGCGTCGACCCTACAGTAGTAGTGTACAGTAGATTTCAAACATTTTGAAGTAATGTCGCTACCTTGGATCATCGTCTGATATGCTCCAACATCTGGGGTCGGATCTGTCCTGCCGCTCGCGGACGTGACTCTCTCCGGTCTCTTCATACATACAGTCCAAGCGGTAATGGTATCCTGTGCCTAGATCATCAAGTTCTTGAGGTCGACTTTGTAAACGAGCAAGCAGTCTGTTTTCTTGCTTATGAATTATAAAAGATAAAATTGGCGACCGCCGGTGACTAATATGTAGACTTGCTTTGCTTTTGTTTTCCTGCTTGCTTTGCTTCCTTGCTTCCTTGCCTTCTCCTTCACGATCCCTGCCGAGGGGGGAAAGACCGGATTGTAGTCTTGCAGACGAGAATCCCTGCATTTGCAGTCCAGCCCCGGCAAACGGGGTGGGGTTGAGTCCCAAGGCCAAAGGATCTGTCTAAAGCCTCTAGTGCAAGCAAGGCACTGCCTCGCCTACAAGTACACTGCACTCTGCCCTCTGGGTGCCTGTCCCTTAGGTGGGTAGGCTAATAGGTACCTAAGGTAGGTAAAGTAGGTACTCTACCCACTATTCCAGGTATTATGACAGCGTATCCGTATCCTCTTTCTTTTCGCCCTGTTCCAGTACTGAATGTTCCATTGATTCTCCACAGCGTCTACCGCGCGCTTCACCCTCCACCAGAAGCTTTTTTGGCTTGCCTGCTTCCTTACCGTTCAGGAGCTAGACATGGGAATTTTTACATTCGTGAATATACACTCCAACTTCACACGGCTAACAGTCTACCCAAAAAAATTGAAAAAAGATGATTCGAAAAGTGTGACCTTGACGTGCTATTATAATTTAATATTCCTTTTTTTCCGCTTCAAAATCGGTTCATTTGCTGATGTTCTGTGGTATTGAAAAACGACCATTTTGGTAACGAGTGTAAAAATTCCAATGTCAAGGGGGTGCCGTTCTTTGCCCTGCCTGCCCAACTTTACCTAAAGTTTACCTGATCGCCCAGTTGCGTCGACTGGAGAAGAACTGGGTCACATCTCTGCCGTCAACACCAACTGTCGGGTCCGGGGACCCTTTCAGCGAGTGCCGGGTTCTGCTCAACATTGTGGCTGTCTGAGTGGGTGGTGGTTTTTTCTTTCAAATTCCTCTTCGAACCTGCCGGCACTTGCTGTAGTATTCGCGGGTTGTCTTTGTTTGGTAGGCGAACCCAGAAACAGACAGACAGACCGACAGGGAATCTGGCGTTGCCTCGGACTCCACAAATGATCTGCCATTGCTAGTGGGTAGGGGCCAAGTTCATCCTCTTTCCACCCTCAACCCCCCCGAATCTCTTCGCATCCGAAGGGCTCAAAGCTCACGATTGCGCTCAGCCCCCCAGGCCCTTTGCCAGGGTTTGAACACACGGGACGCCGGGCCTTGCGTGTCTCGGAGCACCGCTCATCACCATCATCACCAACATCTCCTCATGATTTGAGCCCTTGCTTTGATTTGCCATGTTTTACACGGGCAAGTCAACCGCCTGTCACACCTGCCGCCAAAGGCGGCTCAAGTGTGACGAGGTCCGCCCACACTGCCTCAAGTGCCGGCGCGCCGGTCGGGAGTGCCTGGGGTATCGCGATGAGTCGGCCTTCATCATCCGGGACATGACCACTGCCACCATTCAAAAGTTTGAGCACAAGAGCAGCAACAAATCTTCCATCTCGGGGCCCTCAGGAGCAGGTGGCGCGGGATCGGAAGATTCTGAATCGGCGAGCTCCGGGACGTCCCATGGTAGCGGCGGCAATGACCACCACAACAACAACACTTTTACACAATACCACCCAGCGCCCATATCGCCTGTTTCGGTAAAGGCTTCTTCGCCATCTCCTCCCAGAGATAGCTATGGCGCCGAGAGAGATCGGAGGAAAATCCGGAAGCAAAAGTCATTTGCCGATAATCCGCGATGGAAGCAAAAACAGGCCATGGTGGTGAAGCCAGTCATGATTGGATTGCCACTAGAGGATCGTGCCTTTTGCTATTTTGCCAACCGCTATGCGTTTGCTCCAGCGCAGTATCTGGATCCGGGGTATTTGCCCGTATTAAAAGTCGTGAGCCAGAAGAAGAACATGGGACCGTGTCTCACGACCTCTTTGTCTGCCGTCTCATTGGCTGCCTTTTCGACAAAACTAAACGCCAGGAAAGCCATCCTCAAAGCTCGATCCGCATACGCGACTGCCCTGCAATTGACCAATGAAGCGATCCAGAATCCTGGTTCGTGCCGGGATGATGAACTGCTTGCCTCTGTCGTTTTGCTTGCGCTCTTTGAGGTAATGCTTACAGCCATGAACAATCTTCTGACGTATACAATCATGCTCACTGCAAGACAGGTCTTTTGCTCAGACACCATATCCGGGTGGAGTAGCCACATTTTCGGTGCTGCGGCAATGCTAGGGGCTCGTGGAAAAGTGTCTTTCCGTGACAAGCTGGTCAGAGCCTTGTTCCGCGTAATCAGCAATGAATCGGTACGTGAGATTACGGCTCTTCTTAGAGCTCCTACTAATCAGTGCAGATCAAACTCAAGATGCTCGGCGTCCAAACGCCGCATACCGGCACTGAAATCTGGCTCAGGTGGCTTAGTGACCCCAGGTATATGACTTACATAACGCCAGATGGCGAACCAAGCAATCCGGACTCGGATGACATTGTGGACTTATCAAAAAATACCGAAGGCTTGAGCCTTGAGGATGTTGCTTCTCTCAAAGGCTCGGATGCGGTTGGCCAGGTCGAATCCGGGCCTGCCGGTACGTTACCAGTGCCACAGACGACCCCAAATGCACCAGTGGGATACACTGGGCCACAGAGCGAGGACGAGACATATCATATTACTCAGGCTCTAAACGAGGCCAAGGGCATGATAATAGCCTATTCCATGAACTCGCCACCTGTGCCCAATCTCGACGAACAAGAAGGGCCAGCTTCCAGCGTAGGCGAAAATGGCCAGGCACTCAGCAAGTCAAAACCCGTCAATGAAATCGACAGGACCTATCGAAACCTTGCACAAATCAGCCTGTACGTGGCGGCCTGTACTGCCCGGCTGGTGACGTACAATGTCATGGCCAGACTTGCAGCATCGCTCTCGCATGCTGCTGCCGACGAATATGCCGAGGCAGTGACCATGGGGAGGAAGGAGATTTCAGAGATCCTGAGAATGACGCCACACTTTTTCCGTTTGATCGAGGAGACATCTGTATCGGGTGACGATCAAGCCGTGATACCACCTCGAGGCTCCGAGTCGCCCTCATCCTCAGACAATTCTGATTCATCCAGCGGTAGTGGTGACGGATATGGCATGACAAAAAAGGCACGAAAACGACTTCCGACCCTCGCCCGAAGTTACATTGGCTTGATGATTCTGTGGCCGATAGCCACAGCCGCCGCCACGGATCTTATCGAGCCCGAGCAATTCCAATATATCATGGGAATGATGAAGTATATAATAGATGTGTGTGGGATACGCATGGGCACGGGCATTCGTCAATTCTGTTTAGAAAAACGAGAATTGGCCGGTGCACCGTTTGCCGGGTGAACAGCCAAAGCTCTATCCATTGAATTTGGCGGATATAAGATACGATACCGACATGAAGCCAACAACACGGAAAGAAATTCGAGCATAATAATGAGCGTCGCGTCAAAATCAGCATATGGGGGAAATAATGAATAGGCTTGAAAGACTAGTCAAGATGTCAGTCTACTAGTTGAGGTCTGGGACAGCATAATCGTTTGGGAAATCATGGCATGGGAGTTGGCGATTTCGAATTCTTGCATTTCAAACATGTACTACATCATTCACAATGGCGGATACCCCCTAAATTCTTGTCAATAAACAAGTAAAATACTCAAAAATCTACTGACAATCAACGAAATTCTCATGAATCCTCCAAAAATGTATTTCTTTTCTCTGCTGTACATGTATCGTAACCCGTAAATTCGTTCAACGTCATCTCATCATTATCCACTGTCTTCACCATTGCCATGAGATGTGACCATCAGCGTAGAAACAAGTGCTTGACTTCTCAACTTTTCCATGATAGCACCCTCCATCGCCAGCCCGTAAAGAGGTTGAGATCTTTCTCATCAAGCACCTCATCTCCAATCTCGATCCTCTGGATAAGTCGCTTGAGCCGCTTGGACACGGTCCTCGCCACCCGCAGCGACACCTCGGCCTGGAAGACGTAGAGCACCGAGAGGACGAGCAGGCCCATGGAGGCGAGCGCTCCATTGTTACGCACCAAGGTCCAGGTGCGCGAGATGAGACCCTTGCTCTTGCGAAAGGCGTACTCGGTGTCATTGGATGATTCTTGGTCATCTGAGGGCCGACGAAAGAGCCGCCGGACTGCTGGGATGAGAGTTGCGCTTTCAAGTTTGAGAAAGGGTTAGCATGTATGACAATATCAGGGCCCAAAATGGAAGAAATCCGAAGATCTATCTACTTATATGTGTATATATATACATCTTCAGGGACTAAAACGAGTGCAAGACAGGGAAGAGGTAAGATCAAAATACTCACAAGAATCCCCCCAAAACCCATCGTCCCCAACGATGGGACTCGCTAGCCTTGACCAAGGCCGAAACGCCACTGCGCAGCGTGCGCAAGTCGGCGAGGGCGACGCCCCTCTGGATGCGCAGGCGGTCCTCGGCCACGGGATCGTCGTAGCGCCGCCGCCGCTGCAGCGAGACGTAGTCGCGCAGCGAGCTCTCGGCCGCGGTCCGGATGTACTTGAGTCCCTCGGCCGTGTGCGCCATGGATACGGGCTGAGTCGGTGGCAGTGATGGTTGTTGCTGCTGCGGCGGCTGTGGAAAGGGCAAGGCCGTGGTTGGGAAACCACCACCACCCGAGGGCCGCATGGGCCGAAAGTCGGACGGCGACGGCGGGCCCGGAAAGGACGGCGTTGGACCGATCATGCCTGGGGGCTGTGGTTCCTGCTGGAGGTATGAAGAAGGCCCCGTCGGTCCGCGGTCCGTCATTGTAATGGGCTTGCTGGCGCTCACGGTCGACATTTTTTTTTTTTTTATAGTTGTTTTCTGCTCTGCGTGGGGTTTGTGACGGCAAGGCCTTTTGGAGCCGAAGAATAATGGCTTGCGCCGACTTCCTTTTTAATTGGATCTCAGTGATATCTCACTGAAATCCATACAATTCAGCTTGGAAATATCGCGATAATTGTGAGATATATGATCTGCTATGCCAGTGTAGCTCAATTCAGAATTCAGTGCCTGAGACGCTGTAGAAGCATGCACTTGAGAGACAATGACATATGCCAGTAGCTAGCTGGCTAACCAATTACGACTATTCCGCATTTTGCCTCTCTCTTGGTTTCTGGGGGTAGAAGCTTATGGGGTGGCTGGGGAGAGTGGGGGAGCCTGCAGAAACCTTGTACGTACTCTATGCAGATAACATTGCCTTTCTGGACATCAATCGCCAAGGTTTTTCCAAGGAGCCACTGGCACGTTTTCCCAAAGTCTAGGCCTGGTCTAGACGGTGGGGATGAGTATTAAGGCGTGAGAATCACAAGATGAAGATATCTACTCTGTAGTTTTACAGATTAGATCGTATATTGAAATATATTGTACTGAATCACAATAAAAGATCTCCCCAAGCTTTCAACCCTGTCTCAACTTCCAACTGTTGACGAATTCGTTCAAAAATATCGTGCCTTTGCGAATCCGCAAACAATATTTTACTGAATCGGTATAAATATGTGATATTCTACCTATAGCTCGTATCCTACAACCACTATTTTGAAATTGAGAAATCATGCAGATGTAGGATCACCATCTGTGCACCAACAGCCATTTAGGCATAAATCTCTCTTCACCTGATGTGACAAGTCAGTGGAGATGAAGACCCCTGGTCTGGTCTCCATAAATAGGCAGCAAGAGCCAAAGCTGTATAACTATCTCAATCTTCAAAAGAGCAATGACGACTGTCCCAGGTCTGGACATTTCTTTCATCATTTCTCAACTACATCTATCAAAGTTGGCAGACAAGACTCATACCACCGAGTACTCACCTTGATTAGCATTCTTTTCTTTCAAGCCATCAACAAGATGCCGAGACTGACCGAGCATGTCGCGCGTGAGCTTTACTATGTGATCGATCAGCCACCAGCCTTCATGTCCAAGGAGCTTAGAGAACTACATGAGCGCATACTAGCAGTAGGAGACCCAGCAGCTGTTACGCGGGCCGAGAGAAACCAGATATCCCACCGCCTTCCCCCCGAGGAGGAAGACCGCCTCTGTCGTGAAAAAGTCGGGCTTTCTCTGCCAGAACTCAAGGACAAGGTCATGACCAGCGGCGCCGACACGCTCACCGAGGACGAGTGCGCCATGATTCTTTTCAGACGCGCGCCCTACTTTGAGATGGATCTCTTGCCCGACGAGAAGCGGCTGGTGCAACAAGTCCTCGAGCTCCTGGCCAATGACTATGACCAAGAAGTGTGGCGCCGTACGTATTTTCGCGACAGGGCCTTTGACCAGGTCCGAAAGGAGCGCAAAGCAAAGATCAAGCAGGAGAAGAAGGCTGCAATGGAGGCAAAGATCCAATCCATGCGCCCACTCTGGGTGCTCGACATGTTTGCCGCCAAGCTGCCTCGCTGGGGCTTTGTCGTCTTTCGGACTGCTTACGGCGTGGGAATGGATGATAAATGGAAACTATTCACGGCGATTCATTCCATTACTGCAATGAAACAGTTTCATTGCTGGTACAGAGCACAAGAACTGAAACGCAATCTTGAGCCTCTCTTTGTCTCCGAGTCGCAACTTGACGGGGCGGATATAGACACGTTGCGACGACGATTCAAGACAATGAGGGAGCAGAATGAGATCCCCGAAGGCCTAGCAACGGACTGTTTCTTGGTAGTGGATAAGGAAGTCTTGAATCACCCGGTTATAACTTCAAAGACCCAATATCAGCCCAAGACACCCGGAGCAGCAGATGCATGGGACACGACACTACCGCTGACTGCCGTCGACCCTGATTATGATGAGTCTGCGTCTGTCTCGGACGACGGAGAGTCGTCAGGCTTCAAAGGCACAATCACGATTCCGCTGCCCAAAGTCTTTGACTGGCTGTATTATTGCTTTCACGCCAAAAGTGAAGATTGGGAAACGCGTTACAAGAATACCATTGGAGGGCCTGCAGAGGCCATGGTCAGTATTATAGAATCCCCATTTCCAACTGATCAATACTAATCAATGCCTTGGCACAGCATCAATCTGCACCATACCCAGCATATCGTCCTGGAACTGAGCCACAGACAGCTCTGCAACAACCTTCACAAGATTAAGTCGACATGCATCTCCATCAATTTATCTTTACACTATGATCGAACAAGACCAGACCATCCTTGAGTAAGATGTGAAAGATGACCTTTTCAAGATTTATATTACCCTCTTGCATGAAAATAGATTTTATTCTACGCATTTTCAAACATAGCCTTTAGCGTTCAATATCCAAAAACGAAAGAAAGAAATATGGAGGACCAGGAGGGGGGAAAAAATATGTAAAGTTGATCCGCCTGGCCGCTCTCGTGGTTTTCATGCTTTGCAAAGTGGTTGATTAGCGAATTTCACTATGAAGGCGTCTTGGAGGCCCAATCGAGAATCACACATGGGGCATACCTGCCGAATCAGCAGAATACAACGATTTATTGCTTGTTATTTATTGATTACTTTCTCTCAAGGCTGCCTACTTACTGAGCGTGGATTTAGCACGCTCCTGAAATGGTAGGTTTCCATCCACTTCTGAACTTCCGCCTGAGATTCTTTCCTTTGGGAATTCAGTTGACCAGACCAGGCCCAGACCTCTTTATTCTTCTCTGAATCAGTGTAGTCTTCCATAAAAGACCCGCGGACGCAGAAAGCTACGTTCAGGGTCTACTCATCCCCCTACCAGCCATATACCTTCTTGTTGATAGGGGGTTGTGAGCTGCCATGGCCGTGTGAGTGTCCTACGCTCTCTCTCTCACCGGAAGACTTTGAGTTGTGGTATCGGTGGTTCGAAGCGTCCTGGGTTGTTGATCTGCTTTGTCTAGGCTCCGATAGTCCATACTCCCTTACCAGCTGGCTATTTGGCATGGCGCTGAGAAACCCCAATCCTGGATGATCCTTGCGACTTTCCGAGCTCAAGCCTGTAGAGTGTCTGCGAGGCTCCCTATGAGATTCTCTGTGATGAGGTTCTCTGTGGTGAGGTTCTCTGTGGTGAGGTTCTCTGTGGTGAGGTTCTCTGTGGTGAGGTTCTCTGCGGTGAGATTCTCTGTGACGAGATTCTCTATGTGCGTCTCTGTGAGAATCTCTTTGCTTGGTTTTAGGTCTTGGGCCATAGGTTTCTTCCATTGTCTGTGTGTCTTGAATGAACATCTGTAGTTGACCGAGGAAGTTTGGCACTTCGGGCTTTTGTTCCTTGGGTCTGTCGCGCCGATGCGACTTGTCTGACTTCTCTGGCTTCGGCATCGTGATGAATTGTGTATGTGCACTGTAGACTAAATAGAATTGTTTGCGTAAACTGTAACTATAATGGTGCTGGAAGACTTCCTTCGATAGCCTACCAACAGTCTTTTATAGAGAAAGAAAATAAGACTCGCGAGCGCAAATCACTTTCTTGAAATTATCACTCAATCACGAACGGACTGAGGTTTCTGTGACATGATGGTGAATGCTCTTCACGATTGTGAATAAATCACATGTTTATTCACTTCATTATCTGGCTTAGACATAATAACCTGGACTACCTGTGTTTGGGCTATTCGATTGCTCGTCTACCCTAGACGTGACTAGGAATGGAAGGGGCCAAATAGCACCGTGGAGAAAGAGATTCACAGTTCATGGGCGATTGATATAGAGACAGACTGATTTAGAATAGGTGAGTGATCCATAGACTTGATCTCCGTGGATTGAGTGGCATACTGCCCAATAGCCTCGATCGCACCCGTTTCCCAAACCACAATATGATCACTTACTGTGCAGATGAAGGCTCGCGGGGCCGTAAACAGCTTCCAACGACTGGGGTACTGGCCATGTTTCCACTCGCGACTAGATGAACCGAAGCATCCAGTGCATTCATCTTTTGCTGGGTGAGTATGCGTGCGGCTGCAGTATGGTCAGCTTCTCTGTATTAATAGCTGCAATTGCCGCCAATATGTCACGATGTGCTCCATCACTGTAGTCATTACGGAAGTCGTAGAGGACCAAACACATATTGGCGCACAAAAACAAGAAGAAAAAGGAAAAGAGAGAAGGTTTGGATGGTGGGGCTGGATAAGAAAGAATAGTCTTATTTAGTGGTAATTTCTTGCTCAAGGCGTATAATCAATGACATCTTCATATAAGCCATTGTTATTCCGAGATTGGTTCACATGCATGATTTTCCGGACTCGTCTCATGGCTCTGGACAGTTTCGACAGACAAAGCATTACTATAAAGTCTTGACCAAGAAAGTCTAGCTCTTGCGTAAAAAGGTTCCCCCTTAAGCCGCAAGGTGATGCCTAGACAGCTGATTATAAATTATCATGTCCAACCGACGCCAGGCTCCAACCCGACCCGGCCTCGAGATGTGCAGGGAACAAGCTTATTGGGCGCTAGTATAAGAAATCCACATTTCTGCGCCGATATTGCGATATCCAATACGCCCTATTATTGACATGTTGGATTGGAGCATTATCATACTATTTCACCCCTTGCGCTTATCAATGCCGTTGTAGCGCAAATCCTCCGCGGCTTACTTACCTTTCTTAATCTCGCCAGAAGCACGAGACTTTCCAACATTGACTACTGTATCTCTGCAACCACTTTCCACTTTCAGCTCACCATCATGTCGCTCGAGACACCTGATCCACCAGCCCACGCCACACAAGTCCGATTCGCTGCTGCACCGTTGGAACTCGACGACAGGCACGACGATAGCAACGAGCCGATTCCTTCAGACGCAGTCCTCCGAGAATCGCAACTCGCCGATGCCGCCGTCCCGGATGGAGGTTTCGGCTGGGTCATTGCGTCAGCCTGCGCCGTCATGACTTGGTGGTTCGTCGGGATAACATACTGCTGGGGCATTATACAAAGCGCGCTCGTCGCCCAAGGACTCTCAACGCCAGCCACGCTGTCGTATGTAGGGTCTCTGGCAGTAACATTTGTGTCCATCCTTGCTCCCGCCTCTGCCGGTGTGATTGCACGCGCCGGTGCTAGGAACACTGCCATCCTCGGAGTATTCCTGCTAGGCCTGGGGAATATCCTCAGTGGCTTTGCGACCAGCAGCGTCGGCGGTCTCTTCGCCACGAATGGCATAGTCATGGGCTTTGGAGTCGCCCTTTCATTCATGGTTTGCTCCACAACACCGGCGCAATACTTTTATCGCAAACGTGGGCTTGCGAATGGTATCGTCTTTGCTGGGGGAGGTTTGGGTGGTGCCGTCATTAGTTTCATCATGGACGAACTCATCATCAAGCTCGGTATACCATGGACTTTTCGTGTCATTGGACTCATGACCCTCGCCACTGGACTCCCGGCTGCGTGGCTTATCCGGGAGCGTGTGCCGGTCAGATCACAAAGTCGTATCGAGTGGCGTCTGTTCCGGGATCCTCAATTCGTCATTCTCTTCGCCGCGGGAGCCGTGGGTACATTTCCCCTGTTTGTACCGCCTTTTTTCCTCCCACTCTATGTCAATTCGCTCGGCTTGTCATCTAGTACTGCAGCCGGATTGCTTGCAGGTTTCAACTTTGCATCTGCCATTGGGCGTATTGGCTGTGGAGCTCTCTGCGATGCTTTGGGCGCCCTCAATACACTCTTTGCTTCACTCTTCATTTGTGCCTTGAGTATGCTTATTATCTGGCCCGCATCACATTCACTGGCACCTTTGGCCGCATTTGTTGTTATCAATGGTCTTTCGAACGGAGGTTTCTTTGCTACCATGCCTACCGTAGTAGGTAACATATTCGGATCTGCCAGATTGAGTGTTGCAATGGGGATGATAGTTACCGGCTGGGCTGGGGGCTATTTAATGGGTGCTCCCATTGCTGGATTCTTACTCAATGCTTATGGCGGCGAGAATCGTGGGCTCAATCCATATCGACCGGCAATGTACTACGCCGGCGCAATGGCATTGGCTTCTGCGTTGTTAGTCCTAATTGCAAGGATGAGATTCTCTGTAAAGTTGATCAAGAAGCTCTGATACTTTCAAAATAATAGCCCTTACCAACACTAGTGATGCTGTCAAGGGATCACATAAATTCCTTGGATCAGGCATGTCTATAGTGAGCGAGTTTGAAGTCGCCGACATCAAGTACCTTATTGCAGATATGATTGTTCACTTTATTATTTGGCTTCAAACGTCATGATTTGAACTACCCATGTTTGATCCGTTCGTCTGCTGTGTCTCATGTTACCTCTCTTAAGATGAAACGGGTCATATAGCTATGCTAGACTAACGTAGATTATGTAACTGATTAACGAAGTATATTCCCGTGGGTTGACTGCATGTCCCTCAAAACCCATCGTCGATTGTACTAGGCTGTAGTCACCCTCTTCCTAGCCGCGAGGTCACCGAGTCCCTCCCTGAACCAAACTACCTAGTAGTTACGGTCGACCACTTGAGCGCCGTCGAGGTTGTCAATCAACTCGCTCCTGCTTGGAAAAGACCCTCCAAACCTGTGTTCCAGTGTCTTGCGATCACAAATACGTGGGGAAATCATGTATAGTGGACTTGGGAGCTTAGCGCACAACGCAACACTCAGTGTCTGCTGATATAGCCAACAATCGGCTGGTCCGGTATCATCTTCCGGATACTTGCTCAGAAGTTCTTCGATATCAGCACGTTGAATCTGATGCAAGGTATCTTTCTCAAAGAGCCAGCTTAAAGTACCGAGAGGAGGCTGATATTCATGTCGTGGGGTCAAAGCAAAGATCTGTCTGTTCTCAGCCCGCAGCATGTCCTCCACCAATGACTGGCATTTGAGAACACCATGAACACGATTCTCGCTAATTCCTTCCACGCCTAATGATGAAAAAATGGCCTCAAATGCCGAGACATCGCTAACGACGTTGTTATCGGTGAATTCCGAGAGATACCAATCTTAGAATGCTCAATTAGCTTCCATGGCTGACAAAACCGAATTGATGTGACCAGGTGACATACCTGGGCAAAGTTCGATCATGTTGTTTTCGATCTCTTTAATAATGTGCAATTGCCATGGCGCGAAGAAATGACAAAGAGCGGTGAAGATTTCTCTGTCTTCCTCGCGGTCGTCCTCCAAGTATACAGGAAATAGCAGCCTCAGAATCTCGAGGATGTACACGGAATTTTCGAATCTCGATATCTCTTGGTTGTTCAATGCGAGGCTCTCAAAGTCCCATAGACGATCCGTCCACGACTCCCTAGATAAATAACCGAAGTTTGATGACCAGTTTCTCACATGTGTGTGGAAGTGAATCATGCCTCTAGCCATTTTATGGTCAATATCCGACGGCATTAAGGCTCCAGGAACCAGGTATTTGTTGCCGAACTCTTGGAGTTTGACAGGTAGTTCTTCAAGAGAGCACGACTTGCTGAAGCCGCGTATGGGCGAAGGCGTCCAGGTGAGCTGCGAAGCGGCATAGCGGGCAAAGGCAATTGACATATTCTCTTCGCCAATGACGCCACGAAGGCAGTAGCGATGGATGTATGTTCGATGCGCGGCGTATGTGGTGGCTGATGACAGAGGATATATTAGCACGTGCCAGCGACAGGGTCAGGTATGGAAGACGTACTCCACGCTTTGCTGGTAAGGGCAAGATTAGGAATTGACTTGAAATCGACCACGAGGAAGATGATGAGCCGGATATCATTCTCGAGGAGTCCCATGCCCTGAGGGCGCAAGGCGGCAGCGGGGATGTCCATGATGATTGATGATACAGCTTGAAGCCGGCGACACTGGGTTGCCTGCTTCAAACTTTGGTGTGGAGTGAAGATAGAGTGAGGAAGGAAAGGGAAGGAAAAAAGAATAAAAGATGTGTCGAAACAAGGCAAGGCAACTGCAGCTTCAAGCTACCTACTTAGTGGGTAAATTGATTACGACAAGGACTGCATGCAAAGTCGAATAATTTGGGATAAACGGCGCTGGCATGGAATAATCAATTCTTTGTGTTAGAAAAATAGCAAGTACGGGATTTGGAAACTATTGGATTGGGCACACCACGAAATGCTATATACTAACTACCACAAATACTAGCTAAAGAGGCGACTTGACGTAGAATGCTCAAAGACAAAAGCCAACTCCATTCCATGACAAGTTGTGATTTTCCATATCTTTTCAAATTCCCTTTCTCCGTCCTGACTTAAGATTGCAAACACTTTGTATCTTTCATTATTCATGTCTGCCTCCATATCGTTGCTGCTCAACTAACGACCCATAGCGGAATCTTGCAAACCGTGAAAGCATACCAAGTGATTCCGCCTCAAAGCCGATATGACCAGACATCAAAACGCATTCCTTCAAACCAAGCCAATACATCAATGCATAAATGTATGCGCCAGAGACAAACGGGGTTGACAGTTGTCATGACACATCAAACATTTTCTCTCCCTTCAGTGTAACAGGGAAACCGCGAAAATTTAGTTCAACGGGCCATCTCGTTCAAGGCAATGGCCTCTCCCTCACCATCCAGTGGACCATCCTTTCGGCCAAAGAAGGCACCAAAGGTGAGGATATGGCCAACCTTGGTAGCCATGGAGCGGTGATCGGGCTGCTCAACTCCCTGAACCTCGGTCTTACCGTCGGGAGCGAGATGAGTCTGGTGGTCCTTGGGGAGGTAGCGGCCAGGGTGCCAAATGTTCCAAATGGCGGAATTGGCTAGAATCAGGGTGGCCTCGAAAACGTAAAAGATCCATTCGTAGCGCATCATGGGGCTCGACTCTTGGACAAATCCAAAGTCATCACGGTGGGTGTACGTGTCGGCAATGGCGTCGACGAGTCGGTAGGCGCCGCGGATCAGGAGTAGGAGGGTGCTGATGTACAAGACGACCATGGGCGTGATGGCGGCGGGAGACGTGATCTTGTCCATGGTGATTTGTCTGCGGAAGTAACCAGAGAGAATGTAGAAGAAGACAATGACCGTAAGCTGTAGGGCGACGGCAGCAATGATCAGTCCTTTGCCGGCAGACTGCTGGTCTGGAGGACTAGTGCGGTCGGCGGCCAGAGCAACTCCCAAGATGCATAGAAGCTCAATGAAGGCGGTAATACCGCCGCAGACAGCCAAGATCTTGCGGGAGGAGAAGGGTGCCAGATGAGGAATGTAGCCGAAAACGCGGGACAAGACATAGTAATTGGCTAGGGCGTGGAGTGGACTGCGTATGGTAGACCATTAGAACGTGGTATAATGGATAGTATTCAAGCTCTGTTGACCTACGGGCTGATGTGAATCAAGAGCTGACTGAGAGTGTACAAGGCCAGGCCGTGGCTGGTGATGCTGTAGAAGAATGCTCCATAGCTGCGAAATGCATAGCCGGCGGTAAGGATGATGGCACTGATGGCATACAGGCCCATGAGTCTCCAGCTCTGATGGTGACTGTTTTCACGTCGCGTCAGTATTGAGAAGACTGGCCGTGACAGTGCGGGAGAAAAATGAAGGGAGTCGTACAAGCACTGGAAGATGTGACCAAGGGCGGAGATGGCAAAGGCAGCGGCGAAGAAGATGGGAGCTCCCTTGTCAGGAGTGTAGACGTAGAGGCTACTGGACACTGCCGCCGACAAGTTTGTTAGTGTGAAATGCCGAAAATTGAAGCTGGGCGAAAGACGCCCATGAAATAAATCACAGGACAAGACTCACCAGGCTGGCTGTTCTCCATGTTGACAGCTTGAGATACTTGTGCTTCAGAATTCGGCAAAGATGGAGGTTGCTGTAGTCATTGGAAGATTCGAGCCGCAGAACGACTTTCCAGCAACGTTGTTTGAGTGGTGTTTGGAAGTGGCTCAACGTGAAATTTCGCGAGAGCTTGGAAGGGTGAGTGGTGTTGTTGTTATTGTTTCTTATCAGCAGATGGGAGACTGGAACGCCGCCGTTTGTCGTGAATGTAGACGCGACAGATAAAGCTCTTGAAGTACATGGGTACTTGTTCAGGTCCTGAAGAACTGCTGCACGAGCTCAAGTGTTGCTCTGTCGTACACTTGGGCCCAAGACGAGACGAAGTGCGGCGTTTGCTTGGAAGCACGAGAGTAAATGAATAGTCACCTTGCTGGTCACACTAGGTGAAAGTGGAAGAGAATCGTGCCGACTATTCCATATCTGCTTCAAATGATTTTCTCAATACCTGGGTACACTTGCTTGATAGTCGACTATGGGTATGGGTCACTGACAATAATCATGATTGTGATTGCATAGCTGGCTTATCAAAGTGTCAGGATGTCTCCTTTCTGCCCGGATATGTCTACATTTACGAGTATAACTGCCAAGGTCATGGAGACTAGGCGTTTAAGACACAGCAAGAACGAGAGCCACATGTATTCATTATATTGACAAGTCTTGCGTCTAGCAAAGGATGAGCTCCTGGGAGGAAACGAAGATTGCCATTTCCACATAGATTTCTGCATCTGCTATAATACCTTGAGTTATTTGCCTTTTTTTCCTTGATGATACAACATGGTCAAAGTTGAAAGGAGAGTTGATACCTGTAACACACACTATAATTGCAGACTCATCTAAATTCATGGCCCAGGGCGACTACAGACATATGACGCTATACCTGCTTTTGTTACCAGACGCATTGCTCAAGCATTTGCGTAAATCATGAACCCAACCACAGACGTACAAGCTTCCTTCATTCGACGACTAGAAACATCACAATGACAGTCGTCTATACCAAACCCCCCAACTCCAGTATAAAGCCAGCAAGCCAACGATGCGTTTAACAATCCAAATTCATCATTTCTTCTCCTCAAAGTAAAACTGACCCAGCCGCTCACCACCCTTGGTACTGCTCAGAGCTGGTGACGCGACTCCAACGTGTCCCTCGCCAGCATCCAAACTTTCATGAACAATGCGCTCAGCTTCCCGGGATACAGATCCAGGCATGCCTTGACCTAGCTGAGTGGCAGGTACGGGACCCGTGGCGGTGGTGTCTACATACGTATCGTCACCTGTAGTGCCAGTATGACCACCTCCATCCACGGCGATACCATTCATCATCCGGGCATCTCTGCGCTCAGCTTGGGCAATGGCGCTGACAGGGGTATCGCCAGCATCCCTGAGCTGTTGAGAGCGCAGCATGGCCGCCTCGCTAAGCCCTGAACTGCTACGCTCCAGACCCCAGGCTCCGGTAGCACCCGTGGTACCAGGCAGCGGACGGCGCTGGTAGATTGGACCGCTTACAGTGCTGTTGGCGCCTTCGCCGAAACCTACCAAACTGGCAGTCCCGTCATCACTCATTCGGTCCTCGTAGCCGCCAACAGAGCGGGCGCCCAAGTCGTCATCCATGACATCGGCACCTGAACTAGAGTCCACATCCATTGTGCGGTAGTTGGTATCCATGCTCATGACATCCTCGTCGACTTCAGTAGCGTCTCCAGTGTCAGTCGTCGTGCGCGCGCCAACACTTCCCGTCGCAGAGGCAGTTCCAACCGTGCTCATCTTGGTCGCGGCTACAGGCTGGCCATTGCTGTCAAAGTAGGAAGGGCCAGAAGGCAGGGCGCCGATCTGCTGTTGTGAGATGGAACCGGAGGGGAAGCCAGTGGATGTAGGCGTCGTCTGAGGGGAGATGCCAGACTGACCCTGCTGTTGCTGGCCGGCGCGCAGGGTTGATACCCTCTCAAGACCTGCGAGACGGGAGATTCGGTCGGCGCGCTCGGCCTCGAGGCTGTTGGTCGAAGGGTTATGCGAATGGCCGCGCTGGGTACCGAAGCCGGGGAAGGCATGGGCATGGCCGCGGTGGCCGTCTTTGATGGCGGTGGTCGAGAGGGCGGACAATGAAGTGGTTGTACTGGTGGGGGTTCCACTGCGGCGGTAAAAAGGTTAACAACCATGGTTGGGAGGAGAGGGAGTGATTCAAGACATCCTTACGGCATCTCATTAGGGGTGTCTGGATTGGAGGGCGGCTGCGGGAGGTTGATGATCATGGGTCCGGTTGGTTGCGACATGTTGACGGACTTGAATGGCAGCCTGCCGGCAGGACTGAAGGAGATGGAGATGATTGTTGTAGTTATGGGTGGAGGAAAAGGGGATGTATTCGATTCAGAGTTGGCGGCACTGGAAGAATCAAAAAGTGACAAACTGTTCCTGTAGAATTGTTTGTCTGTCCTCTGGCGACTGATGTGATAGATGCTCGTCAGTAAGCTTCCCGACTTTGCTCCAGGTTAGACAGTTTTCAGCTGCCCCTAAGGAAAATGACGTCGCGCAGTTACCCAGTGAACTTTCAGGTCTGGGGAGAGGAAGCTTGGGGCTTTGGCGATTAGCGGGGTTGCTGCAACTTCGCTGTGGGTGGTCTTTGCCGAGCTGGATTAGCGAGTGCCGGGGTGAGAACAAGTGCAACAAACAATGCTTCAAAACACCCAAAGAACTGTTTGTATTTGTGATGTATCAGTCTGGTAATCTCTTATTCATCAGGTACTTTTATTGATTGCAAAGTCCTTATACTCGCAAAATGGAAAGTTTGTTTATTCATTTTCAAGGTTTCTGCCCAATATTGGCCTCAGGTAGCGATGCAAAACTGGAAACACGTGTTACTGGAACCCGCCCTGAATATCAGCCCCGCGATCAGTGAAACAATGGGCTTTATCTGACCTGGAGCGGGTCGGATTAGCATGACGTCGGGGGTCATCGGGTCCCCTGGAGCAACGCGGGGGTGCAGGGGCTTGGAGACCCTGAGAATCACTGAACTGACTGCTTCAGGGCCCACTGCAACTGGGTAGTTATGTAAATTAGGAATACTGCGCTGAGTACGTAATGTAATGCCAAGATGGTACAGGACAATACCACACTATAAATAACAGGCATCAGGATCACGAAGTATCCAAACTATCGCAATCTCGATCATATTCCCAATTTCATGTTTGCTTACGTAGGTGTTTCCACTGGCACTATAGTACCCAAAGTCTCGGCCGAGTCAACCCCGCAGTTACATACAAGCCCACTTCCTTTATCCAGGCAATCACGAACCCGCGGACCTTACAAAAGAAGAATTGCGACGACGACACGATAAAGTTCAAGAGGTTCATGTATATAGGGACACATGGTACCCATCTAGAATACACCGGGGGTGAAATCGATGACTTGAACCAGGTCCACAATCTCACCTATGCTCTTGACAAAACCTAGATGCGCCGGATCCTCACTCTGATAAATGTCATTGTCAGCGTCAATTCGAAGACGATTCAAGGGAATCTTCTGGGTCGGATGGATCTTACCAAGTAGTACGCACGATCATCCTCGTTGTCAAACTGGCTGATAAAGGCATGGGTGAAGCCATTCTGCAAAGTTTTAGCATACTTGGCCTGGTATCATGATAAACTAACAGTTTACGTACCGCAATATTCTCCGGGCTGTTGTTGATTCCCCCAATAGAGGTCTTTACATACTCTTGCTTGGTTTCTGGATGTTTACAGTTTGTCTTGAGCGCGAGCATTCGATTACATGCCTGCTTCGAGTCAGATATCACATAAGCTGAGTTACCAACCGCCTCCACGGTAAGATGGGATTGGGCCTTTGCTAGTGGAAAGAGGAAAGCAAACAAACTCACGGCCTTGACCTCGTCCAGCGGCACCAACGACTTGAACTTGAACAGGACGATATGATAGATGGCCATGTTGATCACGGTCGCTATTTCAAGCAGACAAGCGCTTTTTTGGAAATTTATCTTGTGTTTGCGAGGTAGATGCAACAAATGGCGATTATCGCGACACGTAAGATACTATGACAGTGGAGGGGTTCCTCAGAAAATCGGAGCACACCTTCGGATAGCCGAGTGTATATTCTGTAATACCCCACTCTGACCCGATCAAGAGACCGTTGCGATGAATCTTAATATCTGCGGCCCGGTCGATCCTCAGGGATAGCATGACCACCAATATCAAGACAAGTTTTCGTGTCAAAGATTGCTTACATTTCGCATCTTGTCAACCCCTTCTCTTTTTCCCAGCATCAATACCGCATCACAGTTCGAGACTTGGCACAGTAATTTCTAACCATATGTTTGAATTATTGATTACCGAAAGATACGATCTTGACAGCAGGACTGACAAAAGGCATTGCGTCCGGCTTATAACAAATAATCCTGTCATGAGTGGGACCTCTCTACATGGCTGCCACATTAAGGCTTGACGGCCGTAAGCACTACAATCATCATGAACCATATAGTCTACCTAGCATCCGGGCGAGTCTCGTAGATGACATCTGACATTGGGCGGGGGATGGCGCTAGATAAAAGACGGAATTCCGCTGAGAGTACGACATTATACTGGGGGTCCTGACTTGTCTGAAGATATCAACACCCGACCATGTCAGAAATCAAAGCTGGAGCAGAGTTTCATAATCCACCGCCGCCGGGCAGCACACGCAATGCCGTTCGGACAGACGCAGCAGGACTTGTGCCTATTCTGGACGCACAACCGGAAATCCACATTTATACAAAATCCCATCCTCTCTTTGCCGACCTCAGTAGGGTCAGGACGGAGATGACGGAGATGACGCCCCTGGCCATTGCGCGGCCGACCAACGAGGCCGAGATTGCGGCCGTGGTGCGACACTGCAAGTCAAATGGTATTGCCGTCGCTATACGTAGTGGTGGAAACGACATGGGAGAGCGATCTCGCAGTAATGGCGGCGTGGTTATTGACGTCCGGTCCCTGGACCACATGGTCATTGCCGCGAATCGGCAATCCGTTCGCCTTGGAGGCGGAGTGAACCTGGGTAGTTTGCAAAAGTTTCTCGACTCCCACGAACTCGATGCGCCGTGTGGTTGGGGTTACGAAGTCGGATATGTGGCCTGGGCTTGTGGTGGCGGGTACGGTCTCGAGTGCGGTACCCGCGGCCTCGGCGTGGATCAGATCTTGGGAGGCCGGATTGTGACATCTTTGGGAGAAGTACTAGAGGCTGTACCCGGTGATGAGGGTTGCAACGACCCGGACGCCGACGACATTTGGTGGGCTCTACGAGGCGCTGGCGCTGGGGTGATTGGTGTTGTGAGCGAGCTGACGATCAAGACCTATCCTAGGCCGCGGGCAATCGCAGGCTATGTGTGGTTCCCCCTTTCTGAAGCAGAGACAGTGTTTGGAAATATGGAGAAGCTGTATCAGGAAGAGTTCCCCGACAACTTTGCGGGTGAAGTATTCGTGATCAACCCAATCAACAACGACGGCGGCACGATCAACCATTTCTTCTGGTGGCAGCTGAAAGACGACGGGAGTGACTTGGAGCAGGCAAAAGCATATCACAAGAGAATCACTCAATGCGGAACGGTAATCCACGACACCGTCAGAGACAAGGATGGAGACTACAATGAGAGTGAGTATGAGTACCCGTATAGCATCATGCTAGAACGAGAAGGACACTAACACATTGCAAGCCACGCCTCATGACTTTCTATTCTCCATCTCCATCCCCAGCCGGGGTTCTGGAATGAGAAGCAGCACCATGTCTGCTAACTTTCCATCATTTTCAGCCAAGCTCGGCACCATCCTCGCTCGGCATCCCTTACCGACAGAGAAATCCTGTATCGTATTACACAATTGTCACGGGCGCGGCGCTCAAAGAGACCCAACGGCAGCATTCGGCAACCGAGACCAGCATATACTCATTGGCATTACGGCACAATTTGACGAAGCCGAAAAGGAACCCGAGGAGCAGGCTAGACGCTGGCCGGATATTGTTTACAACGAACTCCAAGAAGCGGGTCTATTGACGGGGTGGAAATACATCAACTTTAACTCGCCAGAGAAAGGGGACGGCAAAATGTATCTTGGGGGCGAGGGCGTCAAGAGAATGAGACGAATCAAGGAGAAGTGGGATCCTACAGGGCTTTTTCAGCGCTGTACTCCAGACCTCGGAACTGATGACCTAATGAATGGTTTTGCTTGACGTCTAACGAGATAACTGTAGCCAACAGATTTTTAAAGTCTGGCCTAGATGGAGCTGATAGCTAGATGCAACAAATGCAAGTCACTTTGCTATTTGGAATGCTCTAGATAGCTTTTAACCTCTTGGACATTTTATTCAAATTGTAATATTACACAAATTGAATCCTTAATATACTCCTGTTCACAGTCCATCTTCATTAGGTCCTGCCAATATATAAACACATCCTCTTGCCTCTCAAATAGAAAACGTTGGCTTGTAGACAAAACATTTGTCTTTTAACATCGCAGCCCAAACCAAAGTCTTTACCGCTCGGGCTGCAAAAGATAAGGCACGACCGAAAGCGTGAAACTACAAGGTCCTAAAATGCAGAGAAACCTATAATATACGGGGGGAGGGGAAAAAAGAAAAAAAGACAAAAATATGGAGAAGCTGGGAATCGAACCCAGAACCTTTTCCATGCTTTTATCGCATGCTAAGGAAACGTCATACCACTAGACCACATCCCCGGAGGTTTTGATCCGAATCGTCGAGAAGGTTGACGATGGATTGTTGAAAAGAATGCGCGTAATTAGGTCCAAGTCTGGTGTGTTGGTGGGCTCTTACGTACGGACGAAGGTGGACGGGCACATGAAGAAACGGTAGGTAACGAGTGGGTACCTTGTATACGTAGGCTTGCTCATGAGATGAGACGTGAATTAATTGATCGAGGTGCTGTTGTTCCGAGTCAGGCTGGTTTGTTTGATGTGTATAAGTGAGGTAGGTGCCGACGCTTGTGTGTTGTGGGCCAGGAACATTAATTAAGATATGACTTATACCTAGCACGAGAGAGTCATTGTGGGACAGAAGTCGAGCTAGAAAATATTTCGTATTTGGATCAATGTATGATAGCTGATTGCATAAACAAATGTGTATATCAAATGTCCGAATCTCTCGACAACAAAAGGAAAAGGCAATCAAACTATGCATATGCCAAATGTTGATAACGCCTGGATATGCTCTTGAAAACGAAAAATGCCCTATAGTCAACGTCCAATGTTGTTCCACCTCCTCCGTCACTATTGCGCAGCAGCCGGAGCGTCATCGTCTTGTTCCAATCTACGCAAGGCTGCCGCCAAATCTGCGCCGACAACCTGAGTAGGCAGCGGAGCCGACTGGTCTCGAAAGAAACATCCCTCGCGGTGTCCATCAGCCCGAAGAAAACCACCCTCTTCTCCCGGTACAAAGATGCCGCGCCAGTCTGCCAGACACTCCCAGCAGAACTCGTAGTGACACCTGGAACAGGTCATGTGGAAACACCCATCCCCCTTTTGAACCTGCACGCCACACCCTTCCCCGGGACAAGGTTTGGTATGTTCCGCGAGCCAGGTCTGCGTCTCGGTGAAAGAGTGCTCCCGCTGCGATGCATACTGTGCACATGTGAGATCCGCATGCCAGGGACTTTGACACGTATAGCACATGGTAAAGTTGCACTCGGAACATTCGATACAGTTGGCGTCGGCTTCGTCTTGAACCGAGGAGGGAACTGTCGCCGGGTCATCATACAGGCTACCCGAGATGCAGCCCTCTCGCAGACACCATCGAAAGTTTGGCTGGGACGAGATCGATTTGAGGACAGTGTAGCGATCGTAAGCGGTAAAGGCCTCGGCAGTGGCGAGACAACGAATCTCTGCATATGTGAATCGATGCTGGCAGTCGGGTGTTGGACACGTTATATTGTCCACTGCACTAAAGCCCCGGCTCTCGATCTGGGTGGTGATATGCATTGACAGACAAGCCCGACAAATGTCGTGATCATGTTGACATCCCGGCAAGATCTCGGCAATCGGAAAGGACCTCACGCGCCATGTCCAATCACCACCTAAGCCTTTGATGATCTTGTTCCAATTCTCCTGATTGCCAGTGTTGAGTTCGTAATGAGTATCGTCGCACACGAGACAGGTTCGGGGAATGCGATGTCGTAGCAGCCCTTTGAAAATGGGAATCATCAAAGTTCCTTGACCATCAGCTGTGTCGATCGGAAGATTCACAACATCGAGGTTCTCATCGTCCGCGTTGTCGAGAACATTCTCGAGTAATGGCTGCATGCGGTGATGCCGAACGAGGCGATCGTGCAAAGCCTTGCTCCGACGGAGCTCGTCTCTTCCGGGAAGTGGATCGAGTTTCTGCAAGTGAGACCGCAGCTTTGTACCTCGTTTGTAGCGCTCGATATACGGTGCAGTGTTGTGTAGTCCCAAGTTCTCCATTGCCGCGCGAATCTCATCGCTGGAGTTGAGCGGTAGGTTACGGCCACAGCATGGTACCGGGCACTTGAGCCAGTTCGATCCGCGATTCTGCAAGTCGAACCACCATTGAGTTGATATCCCCGAGATGATGGCAGCACTCAGGCATGTCTTGCACACAAAGCGCCTACAGCAGCTCGAAGTACCCAGATCAGGGTCAAAGTCCTCGAATGCCGAGGCAGAGACCATCGGAAGCTGTGACAAGACTTCAGAAACGTACGAGCTCTGATGCGGGTTCTTGATGCCCTTAAACTTGGGAAGATGGCACACTGCGCATAGTGCGATGGGTTGCTTCAAGTGACTCCCAGAGACAATGACATCGTTCATAATCCTTGTAAACTCCTGAACCTGAGATGCCGAGAGAGGAGTATCGAGAGTCAAGGGCTGTTCCTCGTCGTGGATGATACCGTCAACAATGACATGGGGTGTAAACAGTCTCTTGAGCACAAGATCCCGTAGAGTTGTCGTCTCAAACAGAGTAACATCGGATCGCTTCTTGTTCTTGCTTCTCCGCAATCTGCTTGTAGGCCGCAGGGCAGGAGAGCGGACTGGCGATGCTGTGGAAGGCCGATGGGACTCTGGTGAAGAGTCCTTGGAGGACATGGCCCTGAGTTCCTCGAGTTCTGCTCGCAGGCGTGCATTTTCCGCCATTATGGTTTCTCGGTCATCGGGCTCCAGATCAGCGTCCTGGAGGAGTGCCCATGGGTTCTCAGCAGAGCTCCAGTCCGGGGGGCTCTGAACGGTTTTGCCTTTTCTGGGGGTGACGGGAAAGTTGTCGTGCAAGGATACATCACGCTGTTCCAGTTGGTGATGCACCGGGCCCGTTGTTGCAAAGGGGTCGACGGCCATTCGCTGCAAGTCTTGAAAATGCATTGGCGGCGTTTCCCTGGCAAAATAGGCATCAAACTGGTTCTCCAGACCCTGAAAATTGATCACAGCGTCAGAAGAATTGTTGATTGTCCTACTCGAGTCTGGTCGTCGGTCTTTGTTGCTGCTGGCATTGTCACCACGGAGTCCCGAGGGATGCTTATTATTAGAGTTTGATGACGGCGATGTGCCCTTGGCCCGCCAGTGGTTTTGTACTGCATCATCATTGTCATCGCCAGACTGCAGCAGCTCGCTGAAAGCAAAGGAAATTGCGTCCTCGCGGTTTGTCAAGGTGTGGTCCCAGTTGGAGCGTGCGTCGGTATATTGGGAGCAAACCGACTCCTCGTCATCCGCGACATCTCCGCCGATGAGGACAGGGTCAGACCTGTCCGACCCATCGCCATAGTATAGGTGGTTTGTGGCAGCCGCCTGTCGCACATGGTCCTCGTCTTCGTCTGCGGAATCCCGCCTCGAACGCTGACCAAAGCGCCTCACTGAAATGAAGCGCCAAATATTAGGACGTCGTACATTGTCCGTCGTTTGTTGTTGTTGAAATTGCTGCTGCTGTTGCTGTTGTTTCTGCTTCTTTACCAGGTGAGGGGCCATGTCTGCTACTACCATGATCCAACAACAGCTGCCGCCAGCCGAGTGGGTCGCTCTCTCAGTGCTCTTTGGTGGTATTCAATAGTAGAGTAGAAGGCTTCTGGGTCCTCTCCTGGCTCTTTAAGTGTATCCTCCTTCTTCTCACATTGTTTGGACCGTTTACCGACTTTTAATATGCGCAATCGCAACTCATGGGGTTGATTCCAAGGGGTCACGCTTTTTTTCTTCAAAGGAAAGACCCAGAAGTTTGTGCCGAATTGAATTAGAAACGGACAACACAAAAGGGACAATGACCCAAAGATCCAAGACACCGACCGCCCCTCACTCGACTCACCCATAGGTAAGCAGCGGCCCAAGCAAGAAACGTAGCACTTGCGTGGTCACTCTCTTATCGCACCAAGTCTTTGCACCAAACGGGGGCCCCAGCTTAGTTGTACAAGTGTCTCGTTGTGGAGGGGGGGAAACGCCCCCCATGCCTACCATGCTTGCCATGCTCAAGCTGCATCCCATCCCCAATCATCGAATCGCCGTGTCGCCCAATCTGAAACCCGGTGGTGGCAAACAACCACCATTTCAATGCTGGCCGAATAGGTAGGTAAGAAAAAGGGTATGGAGGGGGAAGACCCCAGGTGACCACCATCGCCTCATGCTAGCTCGAGATACTAATCGCGACTTGAGCCTATGGGCATCCAACTCGCATCCCTCTTTATTACCGGTACGGTGCCGCGTGGGATTTGGTGTGGCTTTAGCAGGTAAGCTGGCTGCTGGGTAAGCAAGCAGTGGTCATACCCAAAGCAACTTGCTAATCTACATGTCGACCCAGCTTATTTGATCATGCTTCTCGTGCCGTGTGCTCTCTTTAAGACAAGACGTGCAACTATAATAGAAAAGAGTCGCGGATCCGCCCGAAAAATAAAAATAAAAACAATTATCTGATCTGGGACAGATCTTGGCCGGGGTGAAAGGGGGGAGTGGTGATGAAGCAGATTTGTTCATGTTCAGGCGCATAACCATACCAACCGACCGCATGATGCGCTATAGTCAGGGCACACACCGATATATGGGACAATTGAGTTGCAGAAGTCTCAGACCCCTTGGGTCACATATGGTGGTGTCGACCCTTTTTAGCCGCAAAGCCGCAGTATGACGTTTCTACTCGTGACGGCCGCTGCGTAGTAACGGGCGCAAACTCCTGGACACACTTTACTACCAAAATGCAACATGTAAATATAGCATCTGTTGCATCCGTCGTACGACATAACCAGCGCGTGCTCTTTCTTGCGTGCTACCTGGTTGCTACTGATGCTGTTGATCTCCCCTTATGCCCTGGGTGCAGATGGACGATTCGTGCGTCACGTATGGTAACTATAAAGCATCATCGCCCAAATTTCGTGTCCCGCGCACCCCCGAGTCAGTCAGCTTCTTGACATTGCGCTACACGCAAGCGAACAGTGTGCCTTGGCGACCTGGGAACAACCCAGCAGGCTTTTTGTGCGTTTCCTCGCTTCAGGGCACCTACCTTAGCTCTAGAGACGACATGCTGCTCCTAGTCGTGGGCGACTCAAATATTCCGTCAATCATCCGTCTTGCATCGAATCAAAGCTCGTGATAAGGATGATCTGCAAACGACGGGTGGTCATCGGTCGGGGCCCCGGACCGGAAATGGCTTGATAAATCCGGATTATAAAGTTCATTCAGACCTGTCACGTATAAGCAGTCGATCACTCGGCAACAACTAGCAATTTATCACTCTCTCATGGGCGCATAGTACATTGCATTATGGGTTGCAATAATTGGCTCAGTCCTTGTGCATTGTTGTAATTCATACATGTGCTCTTGAGGACCAAGGCCATGTATGGACCTGTCGCTACAAGTGACGAATCAGCTCACAAATCAAGGTTGGCAAGACGACAAGAATACACATATCAGCAAAGTGAAAGATGATTTTGATCACTATTCAGAATCAAACAGACTGGCTAGATTTACCAGTCTTGAAAAAGTAGACAACGGATGATTTCCCAAAGTCGTCCCACAAAGAGATTATGCACAAAAGAAAAATGTGCATGTAAATTCTCTCTTCCTCTTGATCAAGTACTCCCATCATCCTTGCCAGAAAAGAAAAGAAAAACAAAACCCGCAATTCATCACTTGATCCCCCTTTAACCACAAAATATCATCCTCATGGCTTGAATCCCATTCACTTGTGATGACCAGGTTCGCACTCTTGCCACTGAAGATAGTGGATCTGGGTGAACTTGAAGTCAGTCGAATCGACCTATAGATGAAGAGAGAAGCAAACAAGTTAGCAAAAAAGGTCTTTTCCCAACTTACAGCACTGGAGCTGATCATTTTATTGTAATCCGGGTGGTGCGTGGCAGTGGTGGTGGTGCTTACCGTCAGCAGAGCCGTGTTGTTGGTGTTGAGCGGCGTCACGCGGACCTCGGAGTTGACATTGAGCAGGCCCTCCTCGCCGCACGGCGACCAGACGGTGCTCTCGAGGCCGAACTCGTCCGTCTTGAGGTAGTTGTCGTCGTATGCGCCCGTGAGGGTTTGTTGCGCAGAGACCTGTTGAAATGTGAGAAGAGTGAGTTCAACGGTTTCTCTTTTTCTGTTCCTTCTTGATGTATTCTTTCCTTGTATCTTCGACAACTCTCCTTGCTATACGACGTAAGAGAAACTTGACGTACCTGGCTAGAGTCACCGCTAAAGTAGTAAGTCGACTTGATGACACCCCTATCGCCCTTTTGAAGGTACGCATAACCACGGTAGTCGGCCTTGAAGACGCTAAACTGCCAGCCCTGGGGCAGCTTGAGCTGGAGGTTGAGCTGGCAGTTCTTGCGGCCTTCAGCCGGCTGAATCCCGGACCCGGCCTGCGCGACAAAGCTGTCATACAGCAGCGTCACCGTCGACAGGTCGCTGGAGATGGCGCCCGCCACGCTGCCGGCGTTGCAGCCAGACCCGGCGTACGAGATGCCCTCAATGATCACGCCCGATGGGGGAGCATCGCTGGTGGGAGCCTTGACCACGCCAGGTGCTGGGGCAGCCAGCGCGGCGGGGAGAGCGGCTAGGAGGACTCCTTTCAAAAGCATGTTGATTTTGAAGTGAAAGATGTCGAAGAGTGGAAATGAAGCTTGGGGTAGTTGTTTTCACTGCTGATGCTCCTTGATGCTTCTCTTTTCCATCGTCGATGTGAGTCCAACCTCGATGTTCTTATACTTGCCGCATCCCCCAATGTCGTGATCGGATATCGCAATGAGTATTTGGTACCCCAAGTTTCATAACATGACAAGAAGGCCATGAAAGCAATACCAAGGCCATGTTTCCTTGATTTTAAAGTCAGAGGGTTACAGCGAGAAAAACGTGGCGGCGACAACGAGCAAATCAGACTTGAGTCAAGTTTGACAAGCTTCACTCGAAGACCAAGACGCTTGAGGACTTTGGATATTTTTGTCGTTCTGTTTGATATGGCAAGGCTTGGCCGCCATGGGTACATGACCCGGTACTTTCAACCAGTTCCTCTTACTGTTCTAGACCGTCGCAGGGCCTCGAACTTTCCCCAGATTGTATGCTGCTGGGTTGGGTTTTCTAACTAATCCGGCGGGGAAAACCTCCATGCCAAGAGATCTGAGCAAGTCCCAAGTGGTTGTCACGACTCAGAATCCATGAGCGGAATATTCATGTCTCGGACTATACCTTGGACAGGAAGGAGATTACATGTAAGCATGGCACGTTAATGATGGTCATTGTATTTATAGCAATGTTCATGCAAGAGCAATATAATGAGCCTCAACTTATCATATGTAAGCAAGGCCTAGACTCGATATTATGATGACTGAAACAGTTGCTCGGATGCTATCTGGAGGTTCATCCACCAGGCACCCTACATCGCTTGGGCTTTTATATACGTGAAGACCGCTCCTAGAGGGCAAACGGTTCATACAGTTGGTCCAGTTGTTTGCTCCTATTGTCAGTCAAGGCTTTGTCAAGATGCACTGAATGTTTGAATAAAGTCTCTGGTCAAATAACAGATTCACTGCTGGATGAAACTGGAGCAACTATAACTGCTTCTTTGAGAAAGCTACCCAAACAAGCAGCTTGGCATCTCATTTCTGTGAGAGTGGCTGCTGTCAACACGCCAAGCAGGTTCATACCACCTTGCAGCAGAAGCCTTTATTCAACCCTTGCGCAGCTGGTATATAAGTTTCCATCTGATCACACCGTTGCAGACATGTTGCAGATAACCTTAAAATAACTTCATATTGCACGTCTTGTATACTTGTTTCGGCCTTGATCGGAGCTCTTCCTTCTGCTTTCTTTCCTAGCCTCTTTTCCTACATCATGAGGAAGCAATTCATCGGCTTTGTTGAACCTCATCATCTTTTTGCTCAACACTCGGTGCCATGTTTGTCTTGACTAAACATTGATCTAAGTCACTCACTCAGTGGTCATGGCGGACGCGCCGAGGCTCAGCAAAGACCTAACCGGGCCTAGCATCCATATTGAAGAGGCGGAATACATATTTATTCAGTTAATAACCCAGAAGTTAATCAGCTCAACTCAGCTGATGCCCGCCTGGTCCCTCATCAATATAGTTATTCGGGTCATGGAGCGTTGCGACTTGCCCCGTAGAGCCAAGCTCCACAGCCTAGCCGAGCTCGTCAAATCGGAGAATTTCCCCAATCGACTATACAAGCGACAGTTTGCATTGAACTCGAGATGTATTGACTCCGGAATAGGCAGTTTGTATCGTCGATCAGCTCTTCGATGTGAACAATTAAAAACGGGATAACCCGATACAAGGTAGGCACAAAGTAACTCTAGGAAGCAACATGGTTATTTTCATGTCTAAAGTTATATAGATTGCTGGAGCGATATAGTTCTAGATACGCTCTGTGGCTTGATCGTCCACGCCGTCGCCAAAAATAGCAGCCTTTTACCCATTTCCAGGACTTGGACTATGAGACCTTTCTGACTGATCACAATCACGCGAATGAGATGCCTGTATCGCCAGCGGCATCTATTGGCTTTCCCGAACCCTTGAGATCCTTATTCGTGCACTGCGCCAGGATGCGCCGGTAGCTCGTCAAGGGAATCTTGCCATTGTCTGTAACTTCCAGAATCAGGTGCATCAGCTGCCCCTTTTCGACAGCCTGCCTACTCATCAGCTCGACTGCGCACTTTTCGGGAGGCGGTAGCTCGACTTGAACCCGACTGCCCTCGTCGTTCAAGTTCGTAACCTTGAGCTCGTCCACCTCGGCCGAGGTCCACCACTGCGTGGCTGTGGGCTCTCGGTAATGCCACCACTTGAACGTCAGCTTGTCGCCCTCGTCGGGATCGTAGGTCTGGGAGGCGTCCAGAGTAAAGGACTCGCCGGCCTCGCACTCCACCAGGAGGGGTTCGAGGCTTTGGCTCCCATTGACAGAGATGACGGGGTGGTGATTTGCCGACTTGAAGTCCCCAGACAAGGTCCATTGCATGCGCGCAGCAAAGTCGTTTTGGAATGTGTCCCTCCAGCGCCATATCGTGGCCTGATTTGACCTATATGTTCGACCGTCGAGCCCGACAACTTCATCGGCCGCGTCGTGGTGGCTTTTACCGCAGAGACCGCTTCCGCTTATGTCGTGAAGAGCATACCGCCCGCCCCACGAACCATAGTCGGGGCGCTCCGGCACTCCAAGGCCATTCTGGATCAGATACAGAAAAGTGGGTGTGTCACCCTCTGGGATAAACATGTAATCGGGATACGCCGACCCAAGAGGTCCAATCTGAATGTTTTCTTTTACCCATTCCTTGGTCATCTTGGAGAAATCCGGGCCGCCCTTGTCAAACCCATAAAACTTGTCGCCCGAAATGCCAGTCCAAGCAGCCAGTCCATACTGGTTCCAGCCGTGCAAAGACACAATGTAAAACACGGAGGGAAAGTTATTGCGTATCCAAGCTCCGGTATCGTCTTGATCAGAGATGGCATACACTCGTAATCTCGCATACAAGCCCTCGGCCTCTTCCGCCGAAAAGTCCTTTCGAATCTTGTAGAGGACTTGGGCGAGGACATTGGTGCCGCCCCAGCACAAGACCCACAGCGGGCGCTCGTCGGCGATTAGTATGCGCTCCAAGAGCAACTTCCCTGCGTCGCTCAGAGGGACATTGTCACCCACGGCCGCCATGCCGTAGACGCTGGCGCCGCTGCGGATCAGCGCCCGCAGGCTGTCCGCCGACGCATACTGGGCATCGGCGGACACATGCGCGTTGAGGTTGTCGACGGCACCAGCGTAGGCGTCAATGATCTTGTGCATGTCCTGCGGGCACACCTTGGTCTTCATCCAGTTCGAGGTCACGGCGCCGAGGCCCTCGGTCTCGAATTGGTTCGAGTATAACAGGTATCGGACTAGCGATTCCGCATCGTCGGGTTCGTTTGAAATGTCGGATAGAATGAAGACTCTGTGTCGTTTGGGGAACGACAAGGACCGCGCTGCTTGCGACATTGTGAAATGGACAGAACTACCTCAATTCATATATAACCTGGAACTATCCCAATAATCTTGTATCGAGCAAAAGATGTCGCGTAATGAACAGCAGCTCTGGCTCTCTTTATCCTATCAGTCCGGGAATTCGGTGTCATGTTTCTATGCGGTGCTTAAAGTTGCCGTATTGGGCGAGACCAGCGCTAAAAACGGTCATGCGACGCACTGGGGGTGGGAAAGAAGCTGAGCATTTTCACGACAGCTTCAAGATGCCGCAATTGTCATTTGAGGCGTCCCGAGCCTTTGCCGACAAGACTAGCTTCTTTCTTTCTACCAAGACCTTGTCCGCAACTCGAGTGGATAGATGTATTACACAGTTTCCTGAATTCGAGAAAGGTCGCGCGCCCTCTAGTGAAGAATGCGAGTATTGCTAAGAGTAGCCATGATCAATGGCTCAACCAGTGCATCCCAATGCTCAATACAAGACATGATGCTGGAGTCGAATTGTTGAATGTCAGCTCCAGGCTGTCTGCTGAATACCGTAGACAACACGGATCTTCTCTTTTCAGACCAGTATGAATGGGCGTGGGAGGGGAAAGAAGATCCATGAATGTTTTGGTTAGCGGACAATCCAAAACCTCAAAACAACAGATATCATCATTAATATGATCAAACAGATGTCAGCAAAACTTCAGGACCAGCGTGTCAGAGTTTATATATTTTCCATTGTACGCATTAACCTAATACACATAGGTACCCAGCCTGCGTACTATTTATGTATGTCATTGTCTTTTGAATGCAACTCTGATCTGCCTTTTTGACAGGTGTCGGAGCATTTCCCCCGCCTTTCCTACCCCAAACACCCTTACCGCTTGCGGCCTTGACGTCATGCTCACGGTTGAATTGCAGGCCAGGTACGTAGACAAAGCAGTAGAACCCAAAACACGCACGCGACCGGGGGGTGATTGTTTGCAAAATTTATTGCTCTTTGTAAAAGGGGGGGAAACCAAGTTTTTGGCTTTGTGTCTCAATGAGGGTCGTCATCATGGTACCTTCAATAATAAGTTCAGTTCCTGCAAACAAATTGAAAGCCTATTACGTAGTTTCAGCCTCATGTCTATGGCATCACCTACATGTTTGCACGTACTGTCTGGGAATAAAAAGCCACACTTCTCCTCACACATTTTTCATTTAGTTCATATCTCCTTGAACAAATTAAAACTGCCACTAAATTCCATTTCTCAGCCTTACGAGATCTGATAATTCACACTACTATTATACGCTGCCATCAAGCGTCCCCACCATAATACAACACAACTCTTTTTTCTAATAAACAACCAATCCAACACAAGGCCAAGATGGGTATCGCATCGGGTATCGGACACTTTTTCGAGTCCATCATTGAGGTTATTCAGGGCATCTTTACCGCAATCTTCAACGTCTTTGCCCTGGCTCTACACACTGTCGCCGACGCCGGCAAGGGTGTTGTGCACTTTATCGAGGGTACTCTTGGTTTCGCGATTCGTATGTCTTCCTCCCCTATGCTGTCACGGTTCGAATCACTCGGAGCATCTCTCGTAACTGACATTTGGCTTTTGCAGACAACTTCTTCATCCTCGGAACTGTCGCCGCTGCAGTCCTGGGATACCTGTACTATCAGCAGCGCCAGAATGGCTCGACCAGGGTCAGCAAGACCTTGAAGTCCAACTAAGGAGTATTCATGGTGCAGACATTTGGCGAAAGTTATGATGGGCACGACTAGGGGTGGACATGCAGACTCTTGTTTCGAGAAATATACCCGTCTGCTTGCACTGCCAGATGCAGGGAAGGACAGTACTTCAGTTAAATAAGCGCAATTGATATCTATTCAACTCATTCCAACTCTTGTTCAATCCAATGTTCAACAGCAACATGAATATATCTTGTTCATTGCATATCGTCTTATTATACCATGTACATAAGTGGTATCCGTTTCTACATCAGGCACTGTCTACAGATATGCCGTCACCCAATACGCTCATGATTTATCCATTCTCCTTTCCTGATGGACTTTGTGAAAACTCCCCAACGCCAGAAACCATTAGTGATATGCCTCTTCCTCAAGCTCTCCAAGGTTAAATGGTGCCGCCCGTGAATCAGTATTCCTCCACTGCACAGTTGGGGTGCAAAACATAGACAACCTTTGCATCGGCTGCCTCCTCGTCGTCTCCTTCGTCCGAGGCGAGACCACTGCCGCGAACAGCCATCAGGATGTTGTCCTACAACAAAGTCAGCACATCAATTCGTCCATAATATGCAAAGAATCAAGCATGAACTTACCTTGACCATCTTCTTTAGGACCATCTTGGCCAGGGTCAGCTCACGGTCATGATCCTCCTCAGTCTCAAGCTCCTCCTCCTTTTGCTCGAGGTACCATTCAAGCAGCTGCTCAGCTTCAACGCCCTGGGCAGCTCCCGTCGCCTCGTCATCATTGACGCGGCTCACAAACTGGTTGACCATTGCAATATATTTCTCATAAGTGATGGCCGTCTTCTTCTTCTGGCCGTCGGCCGGAGTTTGCGAAGAAGAGCCATCGGCATTATCCATGGTCTCGTCGCCTTCGGCATCTTGGTGTTGAGCACTCGACGCGGCATCTGCTGCTGCAATCAGCTCAGCAGCATCCTCAGGTGTCACGTCGTCGTCATCGTCGTCCATTTCGACATCATCGTGCTCCACGCTAATAATACTCTGGCGTAGCAGCATGAATGCCTCGTCGACAAAGTCTGCAGTAATATCCTCTACGCAGTTGGCCTTGGCAATGGCCTCGGAAAGTCGGATCAAACTTTCCAGTTGACGGACCGTGATACGGTAGCTGTTCTTGCCGACACCGCCCTGGGCATCATCGGAACGGAGCTCCTTGTATCGCTTTACAAGCTGTTCCTTGGCCTCGTCTGTAAACTCGGGGCGGAAAGTACGAGCAAAGCGAATGTAACGCTGAAGACACTCTGTGCTGAACTCCGGCTCGATGGCGCTGTCGCGGAGCTGGTGGATACCCACAATGTGTTCCGCCAAATGCCTATCAATCTGGTCGTTGCATTCATCCAAAATGACAAAGAACAGATCAAAACGAGACATGATGGGCGCCGACATGTTGATGTTTGCGCGCAGTGTCGTCTTTCGGTTGTAACGGCCACCGACGGGGTTGGCTGCCGCCAAGACGGATGTGCGAGCGTTCAGTGTCGCCTGAATGCCAGCCTTTGCGATGGAGATGGTCTGCTGTTCCATGGCTTCGTGGATCGCGACTTGGTCGGCAATGTCCATCTTGTCAAACTCATCAATGGCACAGATACCATTGTCAGCCAACATCAGTGCACCGGCCTCGATTGTAAACTCGCCAGTTTCCTCGTCCTTGATGACGGCGGCCGTCAGACCAGCGGCTGAGGAAGCTTTTCCAGATGTGTACACAGCTCTCGGTGCGAATGAGCACACATACTTGAGGAATTGAGACTTGGACGTTGACGGGTCGCCCACAATGCAAATATTGATATCGCCACGAAGCTGCATTCCTTCGGGCGTTGTCTTGTGCACACCCGACATGAGCTGTAGAAGGATGCCCTTCTTGACAATTTCATGCCCGTAAACCATTGGAGCCAACGACTGAACCAGTCGGCTGTAAATATGATCACTGTGGACCATTTCACGCAGCTCATCAATCTCGGCCGGCGTCATGGAGCTCAGCACAGCCTGCTGTGCTTCTTCCACCGTCTCGGCACTCTCGGCATTCGCCTGCGTAAGTGATCCAATAATATCTTGGACTGGGCGCTGTGCATTGGATCCTGGAGTCGATGTGTCCGAGTTGACCATTGTAGCCAAAAAGGCAAGGCGGTATGTAAGATCACGCACACCTAGCGCTTTGAGGCCAGAAACACCGCTGCCACCTACATCGTTTCCACGAGGAGCGTTTCGATCGTCTCTAATGGCTGTAGGCCTCACTCCGGGCAGGCCAAGCTGCGAGACGTCTGGCACGACAATCAAGGCGCCAGTAAAGATACATTTCTCGCCGGCTTTGGCTCGGTCTACCATCTCTCCTCGAAGAATGACATCCATAGTTCGCGGCATGCTTCCAGTGGGGATTTCGGAGCTGTTTTCTTGAATGCGAACCTTTTGCCAGTCCACAAAGGTGCTGTGCCGTATGTCCAATTGCCAAGCAATGCGGTTATTGCACTGCAAGTTGGGGCATTGAGTAGGCTCAGTGTAGCGGAAGGTTTGTTCTACATTGGGGACAACAGATCGGCATGCCTCGCAGACAAATGTTGCAACCGACAGCTCGGGTCGGACTTCTGAAGTTCTGGTGACAGTTCCCGAGATGGACAGGAGCTGGCCAATATTCTTGGCTCGCAGACTGCGCACCCGAGAGACCAACGGGAGGTTATAGAATGCAATGGCAAATAGCTTGTCGGTCTGTTGATTTGCCGTCTTGCTGCCCTGCGTGGCTTCGGACTGGCTGGCAGTGCCTGATCCGGCATTGCTCGCTCCCGACGTTGTCTGACCACTCGACACTGTAGGCTGGCGATGCTCGCGAAAGTATTGCGGTTCGTACTTGGCAATCATGTTGTGGAGGGCGTTTGTGAGGAAGGGGAGAAAACGGTAGTATTGTGTGTTGATGGCATTTGCCAGACCTCCATTTTGATATGCAGATATGTGGTCGTAGTTGACGTAAAAGGTCGAGAGCTGGTAGACTCGCATGGCGTGAATTTGCGCAACATAGTACTTGTCCGTCGTGACGGCGCTCGATGTTGGAGCGGCCGAGGATGTGGGATCTTCTACGAACTCCTCGATAAAGTTCTCAAAGTGCTCCTGGACCGTGATGCCGATCCTGTCTTCAACTCGGGGGACATCTTGGGGTCCGTTTCGCCTGGCGCGACCGGGGATTTGATCGTCTGCGAAGCCCTCTCCCTCGTCGTCGCTGGGCGCGGCCAGACTTTCGGACAGAGGAGCTCGAGGTCGTGAGTTACGTCTGGAAGTGCGCGATGGCGCATCCGACATGACCATGCCAGTATCACTGGGAGTTGCCGCCATTGTGGGTTGGGGTTCGCGGAGGCAGTGGTTGAAATGAAGAGGGTATCACGGAAGGGAGCTGAAAAAGTCGGGAGCGATCTCGTCTCTGGTACAAAATTGGCCCAAGGAGGGGCTAAAGTCGCGTTTCTCTTGTCGCGCGTCTCTGAATCAGGTTGAACGCGTCTGCAGGGGGCGCGTGTTTAATTGGTTGCATGACACTAGGTTAGGCTGTTCCCAGAGCAGCGCCCATCACATAGCAACTCCCACATCCAGCCCATGTTCCTTACATGAGTTATAACCCACATACATTCCTCTTCCTTTGCCCACTCAAGGAACATTGAAGCAGTCGAGGACATTGACATTATGATGCAGGAAATTTATTTTCAATGGGTTTAATTCATTCCAATTGTGTGCTAATGTGGATGTGTGATGTGCTAAAGCAAGGCAACATGTATCTCCATCTCGCTCTCGAGATCTCCATTTTTATACTCTCCCTGCACTGAGACTTTCAAGTTCCAACGACGCCGAGTTCCAACATAATCAGATACCGCAAGACCTGACCGACTGTGACTACTAGAATCGACCCTCTGCGATGTCAATGTAATCCTGCAGCTGTTCAATTCGGTCGCGGCATAGCTGGAGTACCTCCTCCTGTTTGTTCGGCGGCATACGCTTGAGATGAAGCAGATTAGGGACTCCGTTTAGTCCAATGGTAGGATCAGTGCTGTCATTTGCGGTCGATACAAGTTTCCTTGGTGTGATGGTAAATGTAGATGCTGTGGCAGCTGATGTCTTTGAAACTCGTGCAGTGGGTGCCGACTTGGGCGCTACCGTCGTCGTTTCTGGTTCAAAATCTTCTGCAGCATCTGGAACGCATAAGTATCGACATTCATGCATTCTTGTGAGTAGAACTGGCACTCGACACATACCTTCGCGCAATGAGCAACGATTGGTACCATAGAGACAGTTCGCACAGGAACCTGTGCCTCCCGGCACCTGGACACAGCCCAGCCACTGTCCCTTGCCACTCTCGCACCACGTGCAAATGTCATCATCACTCTGTTTCTCCCCAGAAATCTGCGCCAAGACGGCTTTGAGATTATAATTTCGTCGACGGAGATTGAAATCAGTTCTGCCTCTTCCGGGGTTAATCTCCAAAGTATCCCTAGCGGGCAGTGAAGCTAGAGAGCTCAGGACTTCCTCCTGTGGAAGCTCCTCCGGGTTGAGCTGAAGGTCAGGGTAGGTCTCACACAAGACGGTCCACGAGTTTTTGTGAGGCGACATGTTAGATTCGTCGTCTGACAATGAGATTACGTCGGAATGATTGGGAAAGGTGCCTCTCATATTGTGTCCTAGAATGGGCGAAGCTCTGCCAAGTGCGTTGGAGGGACTGTGACTTCGCGATCTTTTATATCGCATGTTAGGGAATTGTGAGTTCGTGACTGGACGGGAGCTGCGCGAGGATGCCATATCTAGAGAGACAGGCACAATCGGTAGGGCGCTATGAGTCAATGATGAATATGACTTGATAGAAGACTTGTCGTGGGATATGTGCAGTATGTGTAGAGGAGAAAGAGAGAAATTTAAATTCGGTGTAATCAATGAATTTTGTAGTGGGATGTGTAAAATGTGTGTGAAGCCCATTTGTGGTTCAACTTGGACGTGAACGTGAGCAAATGGCAAGAGCGTTGGGTGAGTTCAATGCACACAAGCCCAAACAGTCAGTGCCTTCCAATTGTGCAAGAAGAGCCTAGCTTTCATTATACGCAACATCAACTACCACCACTCATCTATTACTTACACCAATCATGGCTGCAGAGGAACTTTCTCATGTCCGATATAAAGTCAAAACATCATCATCACTGGATATGCATTTTATATGGGGGTTCAGACATATCTCATTGTTTGCTACTACCAGAAGCTCATCATGGGGCCTGGTGACGTTTCTGCAGTCTAACATTGGCCAACGGTAAAAGATAGAGGGTAGCCCCGTCATGAAGGGACCCCTTCCCTGTCTCATTCAATCGCCACTTTGCCTACTCAGAGACAACGTTTATCTCCTCATCAAGTTCGTGCTCCTCATTTTGTGCAGATCCGTCCTATGCAACCCTTCATCGCTAGCCGCGGCAAAACAACTGTGCTTTTGCATATAGCCTCAGGCTTGAATGCATTTGTAAAAAGGAGAATGCGTCCCTCAAGACACCAAATCAACGAAATCTCCCTCCAGCATCCTTTTAATTCCGTTTCGGTTCGTATAGTCGGAAAGTAGAGGCAAAACCATTAGCCTTTCTTCATTCATCGACAGAAATGACAGAAATGCGCTAGACAATACTCGTACACGTTGTCGTCTCGAAATAGCAGGCCTTTTTGAAACCTACATGACAACGAATGGGGGAAATGAACCAAGAGCGAATTGCTTGGTCCTTACTGTGAGCCTGATTGGGCCGCGGGCTTGGACACTCGAGAAGGGTTATCCAGCGCCGTTCAGGGTTGTACAATTACAATTTTGTTTCTGATGTATTTGTACCGCGTTGTGTTTGCTTTTGTTGTGTAGTCGTCATTGTTTGAAGACGTCTCGTCTCGTATGCAATGAGAAATAATTCGCAGTCGCAGGTTGTTTCTACTCATCGCTGATTCTACAGCAGCTTACGATTGGGTCGGTTGACCAAGAGTAGACGAGCTCTTGGTCCAATGCTCGGATCGAGCTCGAAAATTTCCACGTCCACCACGGCTTGAAGGACGTTCAGAGCGCTCAGAGCGCTCAGAACGCTCAGAACGCTCAGGACGATCTAAGGTGGACGAGGAACTCTGATAATCACCGATAGACTCGCGTCCACCTCTCGGACCACCTCGGGTGCCCCGTCCGCCACGACCCTGGCGTCGCGAATCGCTCCGGTTTCGAGGGCTGAAGGGTGCAGGAATGGTCTTTGCTTCATCCATGCCATTAATCATGATGCGATAGACGCTCTTGTGGTTGACTTGCTCGTAAGGAAAGCGGACAGACTCTGATGCAGTGGCGTCGACACGATACTTCATGTTCAGCGGAAGCCAGTTAGGCTCTGCAGCTCTGTTCGACCAGAGTGCAGATGGTGCGTCGTTGGGAAGATTGACCAGTGGTAAGGACCCCATCTCCTGCTCGTCGAAACACTCTTCAGCCATCTCTTTGGTTGTAACATCGCTGCTGTCACTGATGGAAGAACCTGAAGGCGATAAGGCAGGCAGAGATACTGTAGCTGATGTGTTTGTGTGTGCCTCAAATGCATACTTGCTAGATGAGTCAACCGAGATTGGTTTTGCGTGGGGGGTACGCATAAGACTATTAATTCTTTGTTGCCAATTCTCTTGGGTCTTGATCTCACCGGCAGACTGAATACTACCACCGTAATGCACGTTTCGGCCAGAGAGCGGATTTCCTGAAGGGCGGGGAACAGGGGTGGCAGCGGCGGCTGCTGCAGCAGCAAAAGTAGCAGGCTTCGGAGGAGCAATGGGTGTAGGAGCTTGCTTGATTGGCGGCGGTGGTCGTTGTGCCGCAGGGGGTAGTTTCACCACGGGGCGTGTGGGAGGCAGTGAGACATGTGGTCGTTCGGCATCACCATCATACGCGGGGTGGCCATCCATTGTCGGAGGTGGCGGAGTGGGTGACTTGGGCCTTGTTGGCATGATGGACTCCTCCTGTCGAATGTCACGCGATCCACCATGTGGAAAGAAGCGTGATCCAGCTCGAGATTGGACGGGGCCAGATGGGCCGTGTCCGGCGGGGCCTAGAGGTGCTGCTCTGCCATAGGGGCCTTCTGGAAGACCAGTCTGCTGTCGGTAGTCCTGGTGATATGCTGGCTGGTTAAATTGATGATTTTCGTGCCTGATAGGCTCAGGACCCGGGTTAGGCGCAGCGGCATTCCAAGACGGCCCCGCGTGGCGATCGATTCGTTCACTATGCTGAGCCGTGACGCCTTGTCCTGTGATGCGCTTTCCATCTTGATTAATGTCGACGCCGCGCCAGGTATCTCTGACGCTGTGCTGGGCCTCGCTGACACTAACGCCCTGAACTTCGAGGTTCTTCCTGTACTCATCCAATTGTTTCTGTTTCTCGGCACGAATGGCGCGATCGTCAGCTGCGATATCTGCTGTAGCCCATGGGTTACGGCGGGTTGCGCTTCCAGTGTGGATAGGTTGAGAACCAGGACGGTTGGTACTGGGGGGGCCAATGGGGGCTAAGCGTTGCTGCGATTGTTGGGCAGTGCGTGGTGGGCCGATAGGAGTAGGTCGAGAGGTGATGCTAGCGGGCTGAGCAGGTTCAGAATCGGCAAGCTGCTGACCAAGATCTGCATCAAACGTGCCATTTCCTAGAGACCGATCATTTCCAGGTGCAGCCCATAGGTTTCTAGGACCATTCTGTGAGCCACTGCTCCAGGATGCAACCCTGTCGGCTGGCTTTTGCACCGACTCGGGCCATGATGTGTTGGACTGAGGGCCAGTCGGAGGGCCTGGTCGTTGAGGCTCTGCATGTGGACCTTCCATGTGCGCGGTCTCGGGACTATTACCACTCTTCGCATCCGAATTGGCGGTGGTTGCTTCCTGGTTCTCGGAATGAACAGCGCTCTGCGGTACAGCTCGTTCGGCCTCAGCAGCGGCTAGTTCTTCCTTGCTAAAGATGCCAGCCGGAGGACCGTCGCGTTTGTAGGCGACTTCCTTCGTTTCCTCCTTCTTTGTGCTCTTGCGTTCTGGCGCAGGGCCCATAGCCGCCAGTTTCAATGCGATTCTCTCTTTGCGAGCTGCCTCCTCCTTCGCCTCTTCTTCTAGTCTACGTTTGATGGCCAACTCTCTTCGTTCGCGCATCAGACGTTTTTGCAGCTCGATTTCGTCTTCAGAAGGAGCTGTCGTTGCTGGCACATCAGTGGGGATGTCGACCGGAGGAGCATGGATGTTGTGCAAAGTTGCGTCGATTTGGCCCGGAGAAGGGCGTGGCTGCCACGGCTGGGCATGTTGTGAGCGTGCCGGCGAGGGCTGGCCAGGGGCAGGGACAATCTGCTCTGGAGGGGCCATGTCATGGGGTCGGCCTAGGCGGTGCATAACACTACCACTACCACCGCTGACGTTCGACGAGGTTCGACGGCGGCCGTACGGTGCCGCATCATAGGCGCTCGATCTACTGGTTTGAAATGCCGCCGAGGGCTCTGCCGGCCCCTGGAAATCCTGCTGTTGAGCAGGACGTTGTAGGAGCGCGGGATGCTGCCGGTAGTTTGGATCGTGCCGCGAGCCCCTGCGATCTTGCACCGGCTCATATCGTCCAGACTGCGAGTTGAACAACTCTCGGTTGCCGCCAGGCTGGCCATCCCGCCAGGGTCCTCTGCTGAAATCATCAGCAGCAATCTCCTTGGCGGGCATGTTTCCATGCTGGCCGAACGGAGAATCGCGCGGCGGGTAGCCGCGCATCGGAGGCGGCGGTTGATGCGGGTTGGGCAACTCCATCATAACAGGTGAAGCCTTGTCGACAGGTGGAAGAGTTGCCCATGGTGACTTGGCCGGTGTGGGCGGTGCGGGAGCCTTGGCAACCAGAGTCGGCTTCTCCGGTGCACCTTTCAGCACTAGACTTTTGCCTGAGGCGATGAGACTAGGCTTCACAGACGGCGAGGCTCTGGCACTATCACTTGTCACGCCCGGAGCCGGCGATTTCGGCTTGTCCTTTGCCGGGATAGGAGCGACTGCAGCTGGTACCGGTACGTTGGCGATAGTTGCTGTGGGTACTGGCACGGCTGGTGCTGTTGAAGGGGTTGGCTGGTTCTCCAAAGTGATTCTGGTCCCATCGGTCCATGTTATAGCCTCGGGCGCCCACTCTTCGTCCTCATCCTCGTCGGCCCAATTGGACTGGCCCCGGTCGTCTTCGGGTCGCAAACGATCTGCCATATGAATGCCGTACTTCTTGAGTTCTTCGTCGGAGTACTTCTTCGGTTCAGGCACCGGGGCAGCTAATGCTTGGTCAGCCAAGGTATTCAAAGTGTTATTCAATCTAGTATGAGTCGCAAACCTTTGTTGCGGTTCCAGACGGTACTGCCGTCGGGAGCGCTGGGTGCTTTGCCATTTGTTGTGAGAGTCTTGGAGGCGCCTCCCAAGCTAGAGCCCGACTTTGCAACAAGCTTCAGTTTTGATGCCGAAGAACCGACTGCGCTGACCGGAGTAGCGGGTGCTAATGACGGAGACGAATTCTCAGATCGAGAAATTGCGTTGGCAGCAACTTTCGCGCCGAAGATCTTATTCACAGAGACAGACTTGAAGCTCTGAGGCTTCTTGACTGTAGAGGAGGTCCGTACATGACTTGGATCCTTTGCCTTTGATGTAGATGCCTCAGTATCCGAGCCACCGCTCACACTAACTTCTGCCGAATGGGCAAGATCTTCGACAACATCGTTGACGGCCTTGATCTTCTCAGGTTCGTCGGGGCCGCCGCCGTTTACAATAGGTGGGCTGGGAGCCTCGACATTCTGAGCGCTGAGTTCGGTGGTAGCAGTAGTCTGAGACTGGGAACAAGTTAGCAGCCACGCTTCGGTTTGAATGGGAAAGGAACGGTGGAAGCGGACGCGACGCAGCGAAATGTGTTGTTGTCGCGGGTCGGTCGGCGGAGAGCGGTCGGGGATGATTGTTCATTGTTGAACAGTGTCGTGAACAGAGGAAGCGGTAATCAGGTAGCAACCAAGGCAAACTTACGAGCGAAGCATCAGTTACTGAGACATCTACCGGCTTCTCGCTGGTGGCCTCAGCAGCCATCATCCGCTTGAGAGGAGCACTTCGAGTCTGGTTTGTTGTCAGGCAATCAAGCCGATTAGTTGATGCGATGCGCGGATAACGAAAAAGGAGAGATGCGCTGGTCGCTGGGTCGCTTATGGCGTAGATGAGCTGAGGTGTGATGTGTGTTCACTTCCAAACTTTCAAAGTGTCTAGCCGTGGCGGGAGCTGGCGAATGAACGTGTTGGACGAACTGAGAGCGGGTGGGGAACGCGAAAAGGAACGTAAACCGCAAGTTCAGCAGCAGGTGCAGCTGGGGGTGGTTGGTACCTAGTGGCAGTGGTCCAAGTACCTAGGTTGGGTACAAGTAGTGCACTGCTGGGCGCGCAATAGGCTGTCAGTCAGTACATTGAAAGCGTGTAATATGTTAGGTAGTTGCAGGCTCTGGAACGCATAAGAGACTCGCCGGAACTTACAAAAAAACAAGGACAAACGACTCAAGCAAAAAATTGTTTGGTCTGTTTGTTACTCTGTCAGCACTGAATGATTTTTTCCCCGGTGATGGTTCTTGCGGCTGGAACACCAAAGATAGAAGGGAAAAAGCAGATGGTTGGCAGTCATCAGTCTACTCTGAACCAGAGTTGATTGTCTTTTGTCGAAGGAATTGGTTAGCAGCTGAATCCCGAGTCTTCGGCAAGAGCGGATTGGGTTTAGCGTGCTTTTATTTCTGCCTGTACCCGTTTGCGCTGGCGGGTCCCGCCATGAATGGAGTAATCAACTAGTAGCCAGCGCGCCGGAGTGTAATAATCAACAGGCAGTACCCAGCTTGCCAGCTCAGCCTTGTGCTTCTGAGAATGTAGAGTCGCCGTGAGTTGCAACGGGGCAACGGAAAAGGTGCCGGCCATTTCTCTGGCAGAGGGTCTTTGTAATCGAAATCCTTATTCTCGTGAATTATGAAGTATTCACATCGATCTCCCATGACTCATTACTTTAGCATGAAGAGTGCCTACATGTTCTATACAGTACTGAATACCAAAGCTCCCCATCACATTCTTCACATAGCTGTGATCATCCATAAGTCTCAGGCAAGCTCTGTTCTCCATAATACCCTGGACAAATATCCTAGTGTTCGAATTTGTGCGTTTGCAACATGTTGAGCAGGTCCGTCTTGTGATTAATATCTACCGTCAGAGAGGTAAGTCGCAGGCCAGAATAGACGCACAGCTGCAAAATGACACACTCCATGGAATCCACCATACAACATGACAAAGATACTAGGGTTTTTATTGTGCTCGTTAAGGGGGCTTTCCTTTTCACGTCTCATTAGCGTAGTAGAGCTGTCAAGATATCACAACTCGCGACATGTCAGTCACGTTGCTGAGAAATGTCAACCACATCATGTTATTTGTGTTCAATTGTGAGAACCCAAAAGTTCGCTGCCCGACATGATTACAAGAGAAAACACATCTCTCAAAATCACAGAATATCATGAAGCGAAAGGCACAAAGGAAAATCAGGTCGAGTCCAATTCTCTCCTTTCTAGTACACAAAGCTCCGCAATCTGCTACGACGCTTCGCCTCTTCTATGATATGTACAAGGTACCTTCGGCATTATTCATGCCGATTTCCCATCGGTGCTTGCATGCGGGCCACACATTTAGTGGGCGTTGTTCTTGTGGTGGCCTGGATAATTGTCAGCGAATAGGCTCTTGTCGTCCAACGCTGGATGGATCAAACTTACGCAGGTGGAAGTAGTAAGTGATGGGGTATCCGATGACCAAGATAAGACCGATGGCGTGAATGATGGCTGTAGACATTCAGATTAGCAAAGTTCCATAGACTCCCTCCATTAGGTCCAGTATCGTGGGCATCTCTTTTCCTGGCTGTACAAGTCTCCATCTTTCGACCTGTGCGCCGCAGTTCCTCCTTCGATACATTCCCATCATACCCGGGGGGCTAGTACGTACGCTTGCCAGAGGCGTTGTCGCCACCAAAGTGCTTGGCCTGGTAACGTCCGAAAAGACCCTTGGGCTCAACCTTGGGGGCAGAGCCACGGGGGAGCTTCTCGTAGAAGTTGACGACGCGCTTCATGCGGACGGCATCGGGGGCAGCGCCAATGGCCTGGTGTTCGTTTGCATGTTAGCCGGAGTGTTCCCGTGTCAAGAGTGTCATGATGTCCGATTCTCGCTTCCCGGTCGGAGCCGAAATCGCGGGACTTATTGATAGGGCGGCTTCAAGTTGCAGACTGCACGTCCGGCAAAGTCATCGGTTTGGGAGTAACGTACACTTGGCGAAGCGACCTGGAAACATGATTAGTTGTTGTCCGTGAGTAAAGAATGCCGGGAGGGCGTACCTTGGGGGGGATGAGGGTCGAGAGCGCCCTGCGGGTGACGAAGCTCATTTTGGCGGTGGCGGGAGTGTCGCGATCGATATGAACAGAGACGGAGAAATCACAGGAGTCAATTGGCCCAGGTTTGACGCAATTGACAAGCTGTGCAAGGAGGAGAGATGTCGTCGGTTTGATGGCTCAATGGCTGTGAAGTGAGGTCAAATCACCAGGAACGGCACGAAAAGACCTCGTTAGCGCTGGCCCGAGCCACAATTGGACCCGAAATGCATTCCGCACCCACGCAGCACCCGGCACTAGCCACATCCGACTCAGCCACATCCGCCATCTTGACCTCACCTTTGTTTGAAGTTTGAGCTTGCCAATAGGCAATTGGACGACGACCCTGCCACCAGTTGCGCCCGCCGATTGCGATCGATATGGCATCTCTCCGAACTCAGTCTGCAGCCAAGCTGCTGCGGACGACGACCGTCTCACGATCGACCGTTACTTCCTTCACCCAGCGACGCTTCAAGGCCGACGATGCCTCTAAAGCCCTCACGGAGAGTGGCCCCGTAGCTACTGCTACCAAGACTCCCGCCGAGAGAGCTCCCAACTCCCCGGATTGGAGCGCACACATTGACAAGGCCACCTCGTACGTCTCCATGTGTCCGCTTGTCATGCGATCGAATTGGCGATGATAGTGAGAACTACTAGGCTGGCGAACTTTGGCTGATACCGACAAACAGCACATACACTCCGGTCCCCAAGCGTGTCTTGGATGGAAGCGAGGACAGTGAGGTCCTCCCAGCCGCAGTCCTGTCTGGCGCCCCCGTCGAACTGCAAGCACGAACTGTTCGGTACGATAGCTAGCCTTTCTGAGTATGCTTTGGGATATACTAACACCTGTCCCGCAGCATCTACCAGCCCGCCAAGCCTGCCACCCAGTCCGGTAACTGGGGCTCGCACCACTGGCGCATGGATTGGGATGTCCTTTCCAAGGGACACCGATGGGAGAACCCTCTGATGGGCTGGCAGTCGTCGGGTGATTTCATGCAGGGAACGCACCTGAACTTCAAGTCCAAGGAGGACGCCATCACCTTTGCCGAGAAGCAGGGCTACGAGTACTTCGTCCAGGAGCCCAACAAGAGATCATTCACACCCAAGGCCTACGCCAACAACTTCTTGTACTCGCCTGGCAAGCTCAAGCTCGTCAGAGCGAAATAGAGGATCCAATTGTACTCTTATTTCAGATGATGGACCGACTCGAAGAGGATCAGTGACCGTATACCTGGTGAGGCATACTACAGCGATGTATGCCCATTGCGCTGCAAATGCGAAGGTCGACCTGAGACTGGTGCCTACTGTACATACTTAGACAAGAGAAAATGATGCTTTTTTATGTTCCTAGTAATCTACACGGGGGAATGTGAAAGTATGCCTGTTATTCTACCTTGGTGACAGCACATGATCATTCAATCGACAAATGTTGACATATTCAGCAGCTACCGTAGTATTCTCGTATCTAAAAGCTCACGTATGATTCGATAGTTCACCATGCTGTGGAAAAGGCGTGAATCCTGTAATGCAGCATTACAAATGTTCCAGGGCTGGATAATAACTTCAAGCACCTTGACTGCAAGGACATCACGCCACCAATAGCCTCCATTCTAAAGGTCAGCAGTGGTTCCTCTTCCAAGATTGGGCCCACCCCAGAAGACAAAAACGTCCAGCCTCTACAGCCCTCAATTCACGAAGCTCTTTTTCAAAAAGGGACCATGTGTCGAATGTTGATATCAAATGCCATTGATAGCAATGCTTTATTGATGTAGAATTATTCATTTATTTTGCCAGTATCCTCAGTCATGTCCCAGACTGGAGAACTACCGCTTCCCCAGCGCAAACGCATCTTGACCCAACGCCATGCTGAAAGAAAGCCAAAAACAAAGGTGGAAAGAAACCTCATGGGTCCCAGCAAATACAATGTCCAGCCAGGGACACAATCATATCGTTACACTCCAGGAAGAGGAGACCGGTTGAGGTTTTCATAGCATTCCTCGCATTCCGGTGTTGCGTGGGCAGCCGTTCATCATGTCATAACAGTATCTTGGCCATTCTCGTGGAAGCCATTCTGGTCATCGCCGTTCAAACCCAGGTCGATACGGGCTGGCAGGTCTTTCTTGGTGTCTTTACGAACAGTTTCTTCACTCCAAGCACGCATTTGCACAAGATGTCGGATAGCCGTCTCTCTTCGGTTCGTTTCTCGCTCCAGTATGGCCTTATTGACCATGTCAGCGACCTGGCGACGAAGATCAGGCTGCAGCAGGGCTGCCAGGGAAGGATCCAGCGAGTCATGGGAAAAGACCACAAGGGCCATCGTCTTCTCTAGATCCTCAAGAAATTGGGGGTTGGTTGGAGCTCTGGGGCCGAGCTGTGTCGTTGCAAACTCCAACGCCGGGTTGATGTCTCGACCGGGCGTGGCGTTGCACTGCCTAATCAGTTCGACAAGCTGAAGACGTAGCAGTGCGAAATGAAGAGCGGTGTCCGCATCTAGTATCTGGTGCATTGTTAGACTTGGTCTAAACTAAAATAATTGCAATGATAGGGGGAACGAAGGATGTGCTCATAAAAAAGTGGTTGTTTCTCATCACCAGGTCCGAAGACCGTAATAAGAGTGGTGCATGTTAAAACTCTGTTTCTAATCATAGCGAGGGGGGACTGTGTGTGCTGCATTGGCGAGAAAACCACATACCTCTGGGTCCAAGTCATTGAGGTCACTGATAGCTTGCGCTATGTCACCTCTATGTATAGCAGTCTGGATCTGCTGTCTGGCCTCGATAGAATCATGCGACTGCTGGGGAGGCAGATTTGCTTCAGTTGAGAACTTCTTGGCAGCGTTGGGATAGCCCGCCAGGGTCAAATAGTCAAGAATGAGAGCATTAATGTCACTTGAATAGCTTGTTAGCGTTTGAACGGGGCCCAATAATGCATGAACAAGGATCGAGGGTTGCTTCGTTGGATCAGAAGAATTGAAGATATACAAATCGGTCTCCGCATAGTTTTGCTCAGAGAGATTCCCATTGATTGTTGTTGGCATCATGTTGAAGCGCGGGGGGGCAGAAGGGGGACGTGGACGGAACGGTGGGGGGATAGATGCTTACCTCTTAGGGGCCTTGACCTCCTCAACTTGACGCGTGAAGGCATGCTTCATCGGCGTAGCTGTAGATGTGGATGAAGTCATGTTGGATCGGTTACTAACCCAGGCGTCGAGGTAAAGAATGGTGTAACGAAGTCTTTCCTCAAATTCCCGCTCGATGAGCGCAGTCATGCCACCACCCGGGTGAATATGGCGACAAGAACGTGATATACATGAGCAGAAGCTCCTTACTAGATATCTTGTCTACTTGGCTCTGCTCAAAGCTGGGCGCAGAGAGAGCAGAGCTGTAGAAATAGGATTGAAAGGGCGAGAAATGATGCAGGAGCAGAATCGGTTGAAGGAAGTTGTGTCGGCAGGCTGGGGCTTAGGTGCAGGATTTCTTCCATGGTGGGGCTCGAGGTTGGAGCTCCCCTAGCCACAAATACGCTAAGGTGGGACACGACACAGTGGGAATGCGTCAAGGGCTGTATGTACTCTGTATTCATCTCTGTAGTTTGAGCTCTGTAAGGGAAGAACGGGAATGCCTGAACACGCGCCGGGGCCTGTAGAGAAGTATAACGTTTTGTACGGTAAATCGAAGACTTATGTATGTTCTAATCACTGCTGAGACAACCAGATAGTGATCACTTTCGACTAACTTGAACACTCTCACGGTATTCTGACAAAAAGTTTGTATATGCATGCATAAAATAGCGTAGGTACGGTGAGTTCAGTTGAGGTTGTGGCCCCTAATGCTGCCTGTGCCTTTCGAGTCTGAACGGAAGGACTATGCATCAGAGCTTCAACTGATGCACCAAAGCTTCAACGATCGCCTAGTTACGTGGTTGACAGCTGACTTGATTGGCTCGAGCATCGCCTAGGCTCTCGACGCCCCTCGGCAGCTGGCGAAGAGGTGAACCCAAATTTTGACGACTTGATTGCACGGCGAGCATGTTACTCAACTCGAGGTACACTTTATTTGCATCGGTACTCGACGTGCATCCTAGTTAGAGCATGGAATTCTAGCTGTTGTCGCAAAGAATTATTCATTTCTTTCTTGAAGTCACGATTGAGGAGTTTTCCCTTCATCGCTTGGATTTTTTCCCTTCTCTTACTTTTTTTTCCTTCGCTACGCGCACTCGGCGGAGACCGACGGCTGTACTCGAACAGATTTGCGATCTTCACATGTGGTGCCCATCTATCTCACTTACTATTATAGGTGCTAGCAGCTAGTCACGCGACCTCGATTTCAACATCAAATCAACACATTGTACCTGGCCTTGAATAGAGCTCGAACTTTGCCGAAAGCGTTTTGTATATATACGGAGTAGGCCAAGATGGATTCTGGCATTTCAACACCACCTGTCATTCCAGAGTACACCCCAAACCAAGACACAGTAGCGAAGCGAGCTCACTACAGTCCGCCATGGGCAGATGTCAGCATCATTGGTGTCGCCGGTAGCAGTGGCAGCGGCAAAACTACTCTATCCCATGCCATTGTTCGGGAATTGAATTTGCCTTGGGTTGTCATCATGTCCATGGTATTTGCTCCTCCATAGTCTGTCCTTGGCCAGCGCAAGGAAAGCTGTACTGACCTGCTCAGGACTCCTTCTATAAGCCATTGGATGAAGAAGCCCATGCGCGTGCTTTCAAAAACGAATATGACTTTGATTCCCCCGAGGTAGGGTTCATCCGCTCGAGAGATGTCCATTCTAGATCCCTCTACTAAAGGACATGTAGGCTATTGATTTTGATGAGCTCGTAAATGTCTTGCGAGATCTCAAGGCAGGGTCAGTTCAGCATTGTAAAACCGAGACAAAGGTCTTTGCAACGACATTCTAATAAGGTACTGCAGGCGTCGAGCTGAAATTCCTGTATACTCTTTCGAGAAGCACCAGCGTCTTGACAAAACTGTCCCCATTTACTCTCCCCACGTTCTCATTCTTGAAGGCATTTTCGCATTGTATGATCCCCGGGTTCGAGAACTGCTAGATATGGGTGTAAGTTGTTTTCGATTAAGAGCTACCCCGATGCCTTTACTTGGCTAATCATTCTACAGGTATACTGCGAGGCCGATGCCGACACTTGCCTTTCAAGACGAAGTTAGACTGGTCTTTTGCCCCTGTTGCCATGAATAATCACACTAATTCTCTACGCAGTTATCCGTGACGTTAGAGATCGTGGTCGTGATGTCGAAGGTTGCATCAAACAGTGGTTTGGATTCGTCAAGCCCAACTTTGAGAAGGTTGGTTTACATACTACATCAAGAGACGATATATGTAACGTGCTGACAAGGTTTAGTTTGTGCAACCACAAAGAATTGTGGCAGGTAAAACAGCCTCTTGCTGCCAAGGACGATCTTGGCCGCTCGTGTTATGCGGAACACTAATGCTAACTACATACTCTTTAGACATCATTGTTCCTCGTGGTATAGAAAATCGTGTTGCAATGAGTAAGTTCTGATTTGCTATGCCCGCGGATATGCATTAATAATGTGTAGGCATGGTTACTCAGTACATCGAGAGAAAGCTGCTGGAGAAGTCGACACATCACCGCGCGGCTCTCAAAAGTCTCGAGACTGGCTACGATCGTGAGCCCTTGTCCGAGAGAGTTGTGGTGCTGAAGCAGACCACGCAAATCCAAGGAATGGCAACGATCCTTCAAGATATTGATACGTCTAGTGAAGATTTCATCTTCTACTTTGACAGATTATCTACCTTGCTGATTGAACAGTATGTGAATGAATATCAATTCCTGAAATTTTCGCAACATTATGGACTAATCGTCATGCAACAGAGCACTAAACAACTCGCATTTCAAAGAGTTGACTGTAGAGACGCCTCAAGGTAACAAGTACCGCGGACTCACCGCTCAAGGCGAGGTCAGTGCAGTCATTGTGCTCCGTGGCGGCGCAACCTTTGAGTCGGGTCTTCGGAGGGTCATTCCAGATTGCCGGACAGGACGTCTCCTGATCCAGTCCAATATCCGCACCGGCGAGCCTGAGCTGCACTACCTCAAGCTGCCTTCGGATATATCTCAGCATGATTGCGTTCTGCTTCTCGATGCACAGATGTCGAGCGGAGGGTCTGCGCTCATGTCCGTCCAAGTGCTTGTAGACCACGGAGTATCGCCGGATCGAATCGTCTTTGTGACATATTCTGCTGGCCGCGTGGGTATCCATCGGTTGACCAAGGTGTTCCCAGAAATTACGGTTGTTGTGGGCAACTTACTCCCCGACATTGAGGAGCGATGGATTGAAAAGAAGTACTTTCGTTGCTAGTTGCTGAACAGCAACCTGAAGTCCTAGAAGCAAACAATTAGAAACTGGTCTACCAGCTGTTCTTGAGGACTGCAGCGAAGCAAATAACTCGAATGTCCTCATCACATGTGTATCTTCATTTTGATGCGTGATTGTCTCATGGTTATTCCAGGACCTATACAGAGATGTGCCTTGTGGATTATTGTCATGTATGGCTCTACAGAGACCCTACAGAAACTCTTGATCGTCTTGATACGAATTCAGGCTCGCCGTGATATTGAAGATCTTTTCCGCATTTTCCCAAGCCAGCTTCTCCTTGGTCCTCACACCCAGACCCTCGACATAGTCGAACCAATTGGCAGCGTCCTCGTTGCTCTCGTACGGGTAGTCGACGCTCCACATGACGCGGTCCTCGCCCATTTCCTCAATGGTATCTCTGACAGTAGCCAGTCTCCGGACACCCGCCAGGGTAGCGTAAAAGTTGTTGCGCAGATAGTACTTCATGGTCTTGTTGTAGGGGCCGTCGGCGCCCTCGATGCCAATGGCGAGGCGCGTGTCGACGCGGTGCACGAGGAACGGCAGCGCCTCGGCGCAGTGGCCGAGAATGACCTGGAGGCTGGGGTAGCGGTCAAAGAGGCCCGACAGCATGAGCCGGAGCGCGTGGCCCGCCGTCTCGGTGCCGAAGCCGTAGGCGGCGTGGGCCATCATGGGGTAGCCGTCCATGAGCAGCTGCTGGCTCGGCGGCGGCGGGCGCGGGTGCAGGTAGATGGGCACGTTGAGCTCGGCGGCCTTGGCCCAAAAGACGTCGCAGGCCGCGTCGTCCAGGTACTGCACCGTGTAGTTGTCGGGGGTTCCAATCATGCTGTAGCCATTGATGAGGGCGCCCTTGGCGCCGAGCTGCGTGACGGCACGCTCGAGCTCCGCCGCTGCCGCCATCGGGTCCTGCATCGGCACCGCGGCAAAGAAGCCAAAGCGGTCCGGGTAGGCCTCGACATAGTCGGCGTACATTTCATCATTGACCTCGGTCGCCAGCTTGGTGGCGTTGGTGGCGTTGAAGACACCCTCAATGCCCGGCGAAGTCAGCGAGATAATGACATAGCCGATGCCGCTGTCGTCCATGGACTGCAGACGGGCAGGAATATCCGTCAGTCGTGACTCTATATCAGCAGACACGCTCTGGGAAACTTTCATGTCAGCAATGGAGTCTGCTCTTTCGAGGGTACTAGATACTAACACTGGCAAAAGGCACACCGGCATATCCAGAGACTTGCTCAATCGCAGGTAGAGTGCCGTAGGCAGCCCATAGGTTTGTGCCAATTGCCTCTTCGAGTGCAATCTTGCCAAACATGCGCGGCACTGCTACCGTGCCATTGGTAGCTCGTGTCAATGTTGTAGTCACATAAAGACTGCGGTCAATCTCCATCTTGACGGTTGAGAGTGGGAAGAGGTAAGGTCGCCAGTGAGGAAAAGACCTCTCCCAGCTCCTGAAGACAGCAGAATCTGCCTCATTTGTATGTTCCTCTCTGGCTAGGCCACCAGGATCCTCAACCATGCGTACATATTGCCGGCCTGCAATCCCATGTCAAGGTGGAGACTACATGATCTTTAGCATATCCATGTCAGCTCAGGTTGAGCATTGCCAACTTACATAGTATTGGCGGGAAACCCGGATCGCAAAGCTCATAAAGTCATGGACAGGCAATAAGAGCGTTCGGATTATCCGGGATCCAGCGCCATTACCTGGTCGATGACCGCATTTCTGCTTCGTAAACAAATCTACCCAAAGCCAGGGCCCTTGCACAGGCTCCAGTGGTGGGCCCGGCAGTAGGATCAGAATCTGACTCCATGCCCGATTGAGCCAGATAACATGAAGCCGAGATCCGCCGAGATGGGGTGTCGTCCGACGAGCCGCCGGTGCCACGGCGGAGAATCAGACTGGAATTGTCTAGAGGTGATAATGATAAAACATCATGTCCTCACTGAAGCCTAAGGACAAGATAACCGGCACAAGGTGGAAATTGTTGAAGCCATCTCAACAAATGATTATGTCAACTTGGTGAATTTCGGACCCTGCCGGCAAGATGTCAGAAGCCTCGAAGCGCCGGCCGGAAGTGAACAACGGCATGTATATGCAAAACAGCCGGATCGCCGAGACGGGCCACTAGTATCCGCCACGTCCCGTTACCGTTGCGCCAAGAGAGCGAGATGAGCCTCACACCAATGGACAATGTTCCCTGGGCTTGACTCACTTGATACTTTGACCGTTCACACGGGTCCAATTTTGGATGTCAATCTTTATTTACATCTTCCGCATCCTACGGTGATTCTAATTTTAGTTACCTCTCCTTTCTGCTGTTTGTCTTGGACTCTTGGTGCAAATTTAGTGATTGGTTTTTATTAATGTTTCACAGATCTGATGGGTATAAATGAAATTTGGAACTCGAAGCTCATCATGAAAGTTTTCGTTATTCTCTCACTGGTATCACATCTGAAAGGTCACGCTTGCCAGTCAGAAATATGGCATTGTCATTATGCTAACCTAGACATGCTTCAATGATTACTCTGCCAACCACGTTTAATGTCCCACCATGGCCTGCTGCGCCGGGGCGTAACGATTTCCATGCGGCTTGGCCGCATCAATGATTTTGCGCATCTCCTGCTTCTCCTCCTCGGTGAGCTCCACGTCGCGCGAAGCCCAGTTCTCCTCGAGCCGCTTGGCCTTGGTAGTGCCCGGAATGGCAATCATGCCCTGGGCCGCAACCCAGGCCAGGGCGATCTGGGTCAGCGTGCAGCCCTTGCGCGTCGCGAGCTTCTTGATCTCATCCACGATGTTGCGGTTCTTGAAAAAGTTTTCGCCTTGGAATTTTGGTACTAGAAGCTGCTAGTTAGCTTGGATGAAAGTGATATTCAGAGCAGACGATGGAAAAGGGGGGAAACAAAAGAACATGAAAAGATAATCAAGAGTGTACTTGCCTTTCCGTCGGAAATCATCCGGGGCAAAGTCGTCGGGCGACTTGAAGGGAAAGTCATCTACAAGCCATCCGTGGCCAAGAGGACTGTATGCAACATAGGCGACACCCAATTCCTTGGCCGTGTCGATGAGGCCGTCGGTCTCGTGCAAGGTCTCAAAGGCAGAGTATTCAGCCTGGATGGCATCGATCTTGGCGACTTTGGAAGTAAAAGTCAGCATTTGCAACGTGAAGACGCTTGGCTTGGTCTGCTACTACTTACTGGAATTTGCTTTCCTCAGAGTGGCTGCCGAGCATTCGGACAAGCCAATGTACTTAGTCTTGCCTGCTTTGCGGATTCCATCCAGGGCAGGGATGGACTCTTCCAAAGGTGTCTCTGCACAGTTTAGGGTCAGAAAATGTGCTACATCAAGCCCACAGCCTTATAGAGACTTACTAGGATCGATTCTGTGGAGGTAATAGAGGTCAGGAGTGAAACCGAGCCTTTCAATAGTTCCGTCAATGTACGTCTCAATGTGAGCACGCGAGTTTGTGACACTGCCGTCGCCAAAGACATCGAAACCACATTTGGAGGCAACTACATACTAGTTAGTGTCTGATCTCCTTGCATATACCCTTTGGGATAGACGGGGGGCTCATCATACGGAAGATCTTGTCCCGAACATTGTGCTTTCTGATAAAGTCTCCCAGCAGCTTTTCGTTGACACCAGCTTGATACACAACCTAAAACCACACCTCCCATGTCAGTCAAACTGTAAGATCCTCATAATGACATTTGACTAACCGCAGTATCCCAAAACGTGCAGCCGAGTTCAATGGCTTTCAAAAGAACGGGCTCTGCTTCTTCCAAGCTGAGATTGCTTCCCAAACCAAAGCTCAGTCCCATGGCGCCGAAGCCGGGCGAGGGAACCTCGAGATCGCCGAATCGCAGTGTGTGAACCATTTTCGTGATAGACGTCAAAAAGATTTCGTTCTTGAGATGAATAATTTGGGTATTAGACCTGACTCCTACAGTCGTAACCACACATCCTTATATACTTCGCATATTGAAACATTCGACGCTCGTGCAGACGACACACGCCAACTCCGCAATGCCGTGGCCAAAGTCCGTAAACTGTCGATAAGAAGGCGAATTGCTCCTCAGTGGGGTCGGCACGTCGATGAATCAAGCGAAGCAAAAATTCTATCCCTCTCTCATCATGGGCGTTTATTCGGTCTAATCTGTAGGCACTGGATGAAGGCTTTTCCCTGAACCGCAGTGCCAACAACTGGAACCAAAAAGCTAGACCCATTGCAAATGCCCACCTGCATTACCTAAACGCCGAAATCTAGTTCAAGAGGCTCTCACGGGAATCTGGAGATAGATGACTTAAATCCGAGTCCCGGACTATCACCGGTCTCGACGATTCAACCACCAAATAACCCCTGATAAGACCTCTCCTATAGCATTCTGGATACGAGATATACGGCATATTTTTACTATTCGAGGTGACGCTTCGCTAATATTGGCCTATGAGGTCTTGTCACGGGTGAACGTCGGTATATCCTCATCTTCAGCTAGGCCTTGAACTCTACATGACGTAGCAAACTTTTAGAGTTTGTTCTAACATCCGCCGATAATGTAAATACGCTTACCTCCGCTGACACGGAATTGTGGTGGGTCTTGACACAGGGCTTCCAATAGTTCCGGCATTTCGTAGCAATCTAGTTTTTTTCAGCAAGGGTTCATAAAGTTTCTAGATATAGTGGAATACCACTTTTACTTTTTTCCCCATCTCAGCCTGTCATGAAGAGATGGGACGATCCTTCACTTGTGGCGGTAAAACTCCCATTCAAAGTACCGAGATAAAGTAGTGCCACATCTCTAGGCGAACCATGAATTAATGCTGCAATGAGATCCCATTGCGAATATCACAGTCCAATATCACAGTCTAGGCTGGCAAAGCCGAGACCTCACAGTATCTATGAATTAAATAAAGCTGCTCCTTTTCTTCATTTTGCTTTTGTTTTGCCACCCGATAAGCGCCTTGCAGATGCGTGTACCAATCAAAGTAAGGGGGGTATCAATGCTCGTTTTCGTCGCAATCCCTATCATGTCTACTGCGGTTTCACCGTCCTCAATTTCCTTTTTACCAGTGCAACAACTGCCACGAATCGTCGTCCTCGTTCATATCCTCGTTGTGTATAGCATCAGCGCGCCACATGAAATGATCAATTAGCGATTGGCAACTCCTCTTCTAGTCGAGTTCGTCATCCGCCTGCGAGCGCTGGTATCTCAGCTCCAAAACCCATTTGTCATCAAAGTCGATTCCTCGTCGAAGCTTTGTCGCAGCCTTTCGCCATATGGCTGTACTAAGACCAATGTCGGCAAGGAAAATCTTCCACTCGTCCACTGTGATGTCGTCCGCTTGCTCGTCTCCATGCTCAACTGCTTTCAACAGACCTTGCTTCGGTGCGCCGAGAGCTATGACATAACGGGGCTGGACATATAGCTTGGCCCCATCAATGATGTTGACCTTGCCATTGGTGGGATCAATGCCACTGGGAATATCAACCGCGAGAACAAAAGCCTCGTTTCGATTCGCCCATTCCATTAGCTCATACGTTGTTGCCTGGTCGCTCTTGCGAAGTTCCTCAAACGATATAGAGAGACCCAGCAGGGCATCGATTATCAAAGTGACCGAGGCCTGTGATGAAGCATTCAGCGATTTTGCACTCTTGTTCAGGTTCTCAAAAAGCTGTGCCTTTGTGCAAACTGCGCCACCGAAGCCCCGAAATAACCTGATTTGTCGACGAATCTCGTCAACCAGGTCCTTCTCTCGCTCGATACCGACGACACAGACCAGGACATTGACACCGTGGTTTCGGAGATGGCGGCCAGATGCAATCGCTCTTGCGCCGGATTTGTTATTTCCAGCTAGAATGACAATGGTTGGAGAGATTGGGGGCGAAGCAGCTGCGATACGCAACTGAATAGCTGGATCCGAGAGCGCACCAAGCGCAACCTCGGATATACTCCGGCCAGCATTCTCCGACATGAGATCTTCGCTGAAGCCCAACTCGTTGTGTGATATATTCTCAATGTTGAGCATCTGCAGGTGCGTTACGGTTTCAATGCGGCGGTTTGTAGTTACAGAGTAGAAGCCCTGGACTCCCACCGGCGCCGCATGGGGATGACGCTTGTTGGTGGGCGTAGGCGGGTGTTGATCACCAATTCTTGTAGCCGAGTTGATCCGACCGGGCACACCAGCAGTGATTTGCGTGGTGGTGCTCGCTTTCCTCGACTGTGAGCGTCGACTTGTGGACAATCGAGAGTCGCCTCGTAGGCGAGAATTTCTGCCACTTCCTTCTCTGCCGCTCAAGCGATCCGCTCCATTAATCGTTGCATCGTCTGCCTCGCTTTTCCAGAAGTCATCGGGAGTCTCTTTCAGCTTTGTGGCTCCTGCCGAAGAGGGCATGTCAAGTACATTCTCCGTGTAATGCAAGTTCTTGCCACCTGCAGTTCCTGGCTTCGGCTTGGGAAGGCGGTTGTGGGACACCAGTCTGTCTGCATCATCAATCTGATCCTGTTGCCGCATTTCCTCAAAGATGGTCTTCTTGTCAAACTTGGCCAAGCTTTCCGTGAAGTCAAATTCTCCAGCCTCTTGGACGTCCGTGACATCTTCCGACATCCAACCATTCTCGGCACTGGCAGCAATTCGACCCTTCTTCTTGAGGGATGCAAACGGCTGAAACGACTTGGTCGACTCAAGAATAGGCGTCTGTCGCCATCCGTCACCTTGTACTGTAGGCTTACCAGCGGAGAGCGGTGTTTCGTCGTCTCCTCTGCGTGTGTTCTTTGCGCTCTTGCGCTGTCGCTGACGAGGACGTTTGCTGGCTTTGACCGAGTCGGGATGGACAGGTGCTGTCGGTGTCGCAACCCCTCCAAACTCATCTTCTGTCGTGTCCAGGGTAGCGGGATCAGAAGCACCTATCGTGAGACCTCCAACATCTCTCGTGAGAGGGTCGATAGGACTAGCTCCTTGACCAAGGGCTGCCGAGTGAGCAGCTGCATTCTTTGGAAGAGGGTCACGCTTTTCCCCAATGTTGGCATCCTTACGGCCCTGGGGTGGTCGGCCCATGCTTAGAATAGCCGGATCTTGGAATGTAACATTTGCGGCAGGTGTAGCAGGAGCAGGCGCAGGCGCAGGGGCGGTGGCAGCAGCAGGAACGGGGGCAGGAGCAGAAGATGCAAAGACAGACGGCGCAGGAGGAGTGGTGTGCCGCTCGCGAATGTCCAAGATATTGTCGGGGTCCAGATCGACTCGAGGCAGGTATTCACCGGTATTGTAAATGTGGACTATAGACGGTCAGTGAGCGGCCATCTTCCATGACGAATACTCAAGTAGAACATACCATGCTCTAAGGACAGAAGTTGTCCTGGCATAATCGAGCAGACGATGCCATCCAGAGTACAACCAGACGGCTGCTTGAGCACCACCGTCATGCGAAGACCGATGAAATCCATGACGATGGGGGGGTTGGTGACTGCCCTGTCCTACACTGATTTGCGGGTCGATCGAGGAGAATAAAAATTGGAGGATAACGCGTCTTGGGTTGTCGGCTGATGGTTGAGCTATTTGATGAGCCTTCTAGACTCACGGACGAGAGGAAATGGTCGTGATGCCAGAGGGGCTGGGTGGGATCGCAATGGCGGGCGGAAAGTGGGATGGGTAACGAGATATTCTTTAGGCTCGTCGTCGAACATTTAGAGCTCGCGGTCAGCTCCGGTGTTATCGATAAGCCCGAGTAACAGGGGCACTTAAAACTAGACGCGTAGTTTAGGTTAGCAAGTCGCTGCTTCTTTACGTTGACTGCAGCCAGCCCATCAACCACTTTAATTGGCATCACGTCACTGCGCAGTGACACGTGTAACCCAAAAGACGAAAACGCACAGCATTTGTCGATACAAGATTTCTCGGATTTCTTATAATTTCAATAATTAATATATTTATATTTGGCCGTAGCTATTATCATGAGACATGACTCTGTGAAATTCACGTCGCTCGTCTTCTTCAGTGCAGACACACCAGGCCGGCAAATCCTTGACTCCATCTGAGTCCGCCCATAATGGCAACCATGCAAGCCAATGCTACAACAACACTGGTTGTACCGTAAAAATACGAGTGTTTCCTCCTTAGAGCAGCTAGTTCCGACACCCAAGTAGAGACAGTTGTCAAACACCCGCAGAACCCGTCCTCAATGCCTTGAAGCACTTGACACCCAATCACGCCGCCATCTGGGACGTGAGCAATGTCCCATGCCATTGCTAATATGGCTGTGCCACCAATGTTTACCGCAAAAGTTCCCAGTGGAAACGAAGCAATCTTTCCATTCAGATACATGGACGCATAGAAACGGGCCAAACATCCCAACGGTGCAAAGACTAGTGCAAACGTCGCACGCCCCCGCCATGTCTCTGCTGCCCCGAGGCCGTGAGAGAACCTGTCCGGTGGAATGGCGGACAGTATGATGGCTCCAGCCCAGCAGCCGAACGCTAGAAACACCGCGATTCGGTCGCCTACCTTTCTCGTTGTCTCAAAAGGGATTGTTGGAGTGAACTTCTCCAAGGCAATGGCCAAGTGCGCACCGACAAATAGCCCTGTCAGAGAGAGTGAGACTGTAGTCAGAATCACTGCCAATAATGCCTCGAAAGAGTAGCCTCCATTGCGAGAAATTGTTGTATTGCCCAGATCAGGGCTGGGCAGATCATTCGAAAGAGATAAAAATACATCTCTGATAAATGATGAGAATGACGTGAAGGAGCCGCAGAAACCAGTTGCCAAGCCGACATACATGGGGATTGTCTTTTTGGTGGCCAAATGCGCCTTTTTGGCCGCCACTAGATCGACATCACCACCATCTTCATTCTGCGCCTTTGCCAGTTGCTGGTCATAGGTTGCGGTGCCCCATTCATGGCGGAAGAGCATTCTGTCCTCGGAAAGGAATCCCATGACAAGACTGCCAGCGAAATTGGGCCAAACTGAGCTGAAGGCCACCGGTGCTCCCGGATAGAAAGTTATAGCCTGGAGCCCAAGTCGGGCGAGTGTGCCGAAGATTGAGAATAATATGAGGTACGAAATGGTATATATTTGAGTGGCGAGCTTGGAAACCTGGGGTTTGGTATCCTGCTTCTCCTCGTCAATCTGCGGGACCGTCTCGCGAGCACTCCTGGTGGATGATCTACGTTGCGCCGCTTGGGTTCGCATGTACTCTTGATCACGGCTGCGCGACTCTTCGAGAGATTCATGACGATAGATTCGCCTCTCGTCCCAATTTTGCACAGGTCCAGTGCTTGATACCTCGGCAACGTTCACGAACTCGTCTGGGACATCATAACCGGCCCCGGATGAAGATGGCTGACGCTGATGGTCGCTGGAGATTGGCGAGGGGCCATGATCAGTCTTGTCGTCAGTCGAAGCATGCCGACGCAACTCGCTTTGACCGTCCATAGCCGACTCACTCGGCCGCCGAGCCACTCGTCACGATGTTCGTTCGTAATTAAGCCGCTGCCAATGCCTCGAAAAGGCGCATCACAGGTCTCCCAAATAACGCAATGAAGAAATCCCACAATGTACGCTCTGAACTCAATTCAAGAATTGTCAAATTGATATGGGTTGGTTCATGACGACAAAATATGTACGTAAAAGGGAGTTTGCGACAGTCGTCCTTTTCTTGGCAGAAATTTCAGGCCAAAGCCAGGGATCCTGTCGATCCTCACTTGTTTCTTTCAATGTCATCACGAGCCGAGTGTGGATTCTGACTGGCGGCTTCGGCCAGCGAGTGGGACTGCGAATTAAGCTCACCTGAACGTGCTGGATGGGTACCAGAGACCGCCAAGAACGTGCCAAAACCGCCCTGTCATAACGGCACCCAGCGGAGACCAGCGCCTATCGCAAACCTCCTAACTTAGCAGGGGTAGCTCGGAGTCCAGCGCGCTTTATCAGTGGACCGGGGAAGGTGCCTACCTTAGCTTCAGGTAGCTTTATCGTGAACACCCCGCTGCCGGCCGAACCCCGCCATCCATTGAATGAATCCATGGGATATTTGTCTCGTCTCTTGTGGCATCTACACCTGGACAACGGGGGTAATAAAGCGTCTACTACTTATTATTCATCACCTGCTACCTACCTCGAGACTCAGATATCATTCCAATGACACACGGAGACATGCTCCTGCATATGCTCACTTTTAGTACTCCGGCTTACACCGCAGGACATTGGGCTCTCGCTTACATACACGGCTTGTCTCTGGTTCCAACTACCCAAGATTAAGGGTCTCCTTGTTTACTTTTAGTTCTGCTCACTTCCTTACTTTGGGACATTGGACCTTGGAACTTTCCCCTCCCTCTCTTGTCCCCTTGATCTATATATTCCTTTCCTCCTGGATAGCTACATATTGTACATCTCCATCATACGTGTTATTTCCTGGGACCTCTTGCTTCCTTCGTGTCTTTGCTTTCTTTCCAAGGTGCTCTATATTCTTTGACTGAATCACCGTCATAATAAACAATCATGTCGGCTCCATCGCTCCCGTCAAATGTCCACGTGTCGAGCCACCCGTGTCTGCGGGCCAAGCTCAGCCTGTTGCGGTCAAAGCAGACACACGCCCGCGAGGTCAAGGGACTAATCACCGAGATCGCCACCATTGTCGGCGTCGAGGCCTTTGCCTCTGTCTTGACCACCGTCGACGGCCCCAGCGACGAGACCCCGATTGGTTTCGGCTACACCACCACGACCATTGAGCCGGCGCACTTTTCCTTGGTGCCCATTCTGCGGTCGGGCTTGGGCATGGTTGAAGGTAAGAGAGAGAAAGAACCAAGAGGCAGGAGAGGAAACCGCTTGTCTGTTTTACATGTGTATAATATGACTATGTACTCACGAAACCCCGGGTACTTCCCCGGTGATTTTAGCCATCCAAACGCTCCTCCCATCGCCCGTCCCCGTGCACCACCTAGGCCTGTACCGCGAGCCGTCGACGCTCGAGCCCGTCGAGTACTACAACAACCTGCCGCAGCACCGCGGCAGCGCCGTCGCCGACTTGGCCATCATCCTCGACCCCGTCATTGCCACCGGCGGTACCTGCGCCGCTGCCATCCAGACCCTGCGCGAGTGGGGCGTCAAGCGCATCGTCGTTCTCAGCGTCATTGGCGCCGCCGACGGTGTTACCCGGGCCGCTTCGGAGTGGCCCGAGGGTGTCGATATCTTTGTTGCTGGTGTCGATGCCGAGTTGACCCCCGACGGCATGCTCAAGCCCGGCGTTGGTGATGTGGGTGATCGGTTGTTCTTGACTATTGGCAAATAAGAGAGGGCTTTGAACAGAAACTTGGTCCGTCATGATGTTTTATGTTGTGAGTTGAAGCAAGGTTCAGCCAGTCTTGAATTATTTTGCATTGTTTTTTGGGTGGTCACTGAAAGAAAGGCGTTCAGGCCATATTGGGTTTTGGGTTAAGCATAACTGGAAAAAGAATCCTCTTGGCAAAGATATCTTGATGAGCCACCTTGATTGCCCTCGGTGACATTTTGCAGATGCGCCTATATAAGTGATACAATCGCGGCAAATTAATCATTGCGGCGAGAATCTTTCCTCGTCCAACATAGTGCCTTCAGTCCAACAATCCTCCAGCCATTTTCGAGTTACCAGCCGGGGAATCTGAGTTCTTTTGCTTATGACGGATCGAATCTCTGCGGAAAGGTCTCGTTCAGCACGTGGATCGTCGTCTTTAGCGACTACCACGACGTGAGTGACGGATCGGTCCTCGAGATCGTCAACAATGATGCCTCCGCCGAATCTAACCCAATTCTTGTACTTGAGAACAGAGATATCCAAAACATTATCCGCTGTTGCAAAGTGGGCCACCACTCTCTTGAACATATGGCCCTTGATGTTTCCTATATCATGACCATGCGCCTCGAGCTGCTCGACGAATGCGCCCGAATGAAAAGGTTCATCAATGATTTCATTCTTGGGCATATCCTGCAAGAGGGCCTTGAGCTCTGCGACATCAATGTCTCGGGCATAGCTGTCGCCATAGTCGTCCAGGTTCTCTTGGGCTTGCTCCTTCATCTCATCCGAAACGTGAAACAAGTGCCTAGGCTCATATGGTAGGAGGAAACCCGCGCTGGCATCACTCTGTGCCACGCAGTCGAGAACCCACTTTGGACTAATAATGTCGACCGGGCCTGCCTTGATCAAACTGGCCACCTTGAGGACCTTTTTGTCACCAATCAATATCATGTCGGCATTTGGGATCGCTCGCTGGGATATCCTGCCACCATTCTCCTTGATCAGGACTTCAATCTGAGTCTTGCTCTTCTTTGGCTGCACGGATTCTGACAAGACACAAAACTCGAGACCTTGAAAGAGCTTGGTCTTTGGGCCGCCAAACTCGACCGGTGTCGCTTCTTGACCCATGATGACCATTTCCTTCTTGATCCGCTTAGTGTTTCGTCTTCGCCGTTCAAAATTCATCTCCTTCTCTTCCTGTTTGACTGCAATCTGCGTCTTGAGATCTTCGAATTGTCGCCAGTCGAGGGCTGTATCCCAATCACGGTCATCACGGAGCTTTTGGAATCGTGGAAATCTTAATGTTATCTAAAATCACGATCAAGAGTCAGCTGGCAAAGTTGTACAAGACACCTAGAACGATATAGAGACTAGATCTGCTTCGCTCAGGTGATCTGAAGAGATCTGTAATTTTCTCGGGTCTTTCTGTGGCCTGAGAACAATACGAACGGATATAGGATCAGGGATTCTGTTGCTCTTACCTGTTTCGCGTACTGATCCGAGGGAACAGAGCTGGCTGCTTTCACAGCAATCACTACCGAATCTTTGGGTCGGATCCATTGGTCTGGTTTCCACCATTGCCTCTCACCTCCAGCCAGCTCAATGTATTTGCTCGGTGGCCTTTTTGAGTTCCAGTCTGTCCATTTGCCCTGTGTTCGGTTTGCAATCTCGCGGTAGTCTTGTAGAGCGAAGCCACCACCAACTCTGATAAAGCTGAAGCACTTCTCAGGGTCTGCACCACGTTCAATATCGTCATCAGTGACCCGAAGTCCACACAAGAAACTGGAGTGGGCGCCACCACGGTGTCCAGTTCCATAATATGCGCCAATAATGACTACATCGACGGCTTCTCCATACTCCTTGATGTACTCGGGTTTCACCTTGATCCAATCATCATTGCGCTGATTCAGGCTGTAGACAGAAAGCGGATTCTTGATGACTAGGCCTTCGGATCGATTCTCGACTACTTGTCGCAGATGCGGTTCAATATCGGCCGCTGACGTTGACACCAAATGATCGTGTAGTTCAAGTCTTCGGTGAACGCCAGGCACGGCCTTCTCCAGCGCGTTACGTCGGTCTTGAAGAGTGTACCTGGTCAATTCCTGACCGTTCAAGTAAACAATGTCAAAGACACGATATAGACAACGTGCCCCAACCTCATCGTACGGGTTTCGTTTGCCGGCATTCGCCGCGGACTTGAGAGTTCCAAAGGCCATGATTTTGTCTAGTTGCATATCCCACGTAACCATTTCGCCGTCTAGAATGATGCTCCGGACTCCAGGGACAAAGGCGTTTTTGAGATGTTGCGTAAGTGCCGAGTCGCGATCACGCAAGCCGGTACCGTAAAGATAGGCATAGTCCTTGGCTTTGCGGGACCACCAGCCAAAGCGAAATCCTCCAGGCACAGTTTTGTCTTCCATCATGTGCATCTGCATGCGTTCTCCATCGAGCTTCTCCTCAATCCAGAACTCGGCATCCTCTCTGATTGTGTTATTCTCCTTGTCTCTCGTTAGCTGATCTACCATCTTTTTCCAGCTGCCAAAATATTGATACTGGGCTAATTGAGGCTGGAAGATCTGCATCAAGGTAACGCCCGTGTCATCATCATTGAGGCGTACGTCTCGATCATACAACTCCCAGCAGACACGTCGGAGACTAGAGGATACGTTGAAGAGAGCTTCGGCGTCAGGGTGCCATATGTCGAAGAATGTCCTTTCCGTGGCACCAACTTTCATCTCCTTCAGGATGATCCGGATGAGCCACATAAGCTCTTCTGGACTCATTTTCTGGTAAAAGTCCTCAATAATTGGTAACTGCTCAGCCTCGCCCGAGGCAGCAGATAACTTGTCCAGCATCTCGTTGACCTCTGCTACGCGCATGTCCCCGGGGCTCGAGCGCATGGGACGCTTGGCAATCACCTCCAAACAGCGACCAGCAAAGTCACCTGCCGTCTGACTCGCTTTCTGGCCCGGTCGTTTCCATTGGAGTAGGCTTTGTCCATCGGTGGAATACTTGTCAATCTTGAGGGTTCGCACAAGCAATTTGCCAATGGCGCTTTCTTTGAGGCCGTAGACGCCCCGATCACGATCTTGATTGGGTAGAATCAGTCGCATGGCAGGATAAAAGTCATTTCCAACCTCTGCGCGCCATCTTGACATGAACCTCTCAATGATGGCACGGCGCTGTTCATGTGGCGACAGCTGCGAAGGGCCGCGGCCGCCTCTTTGTTTGCGACGAGCCGCTGGCCCAGGTGGCTTTTTTTTGTTCTCATTTAATGGGTTGAACAAGTTCTGGAATAATTCTGCAAATCTCAAAGTCCGCGAGTGATTCTTCGGCCTATTTGGATAGCTGTGCCAGACCTGTCAGTTGACGCTTCTCGGTGGATGGGTGATCATTTAGATCAAATCTCACTTTTCATCGAATTCCTCGAGGGTGTGTCCGCCAAAGGTATATTGTCGTACTTCCTCCTCCACGGCGCCTGCATCGCGCTCTTTGGCTCGGCGTTGGCTCATGTCGGGTCAGTCAGGTGACGGATGGGACTCGCGGCAAGAGGCCACAGCTGGAGCTCCAGTGCTAGCTCAGAGCAACTACAGCAGTAGATTGATGCAGTTGATAACAATTTTGCACAACTCAAGTTATGCTGCTCGAACAGAGTCGCTTCTGAGACAGACCAGATCAAATGCTCCCAATCACTGGTTGAAAAATTGAGAAGTCAATAAAGGTTTGTGGCATTGGGTGTATTCTTTGTCGTTGTTATAAGCTGTCAGTGTACAGAGTTAGTTGGTACTCGGTAACGCCTTTCAAGACTCAACAACACTGATGAAGCTACAGTGGTAGCTGCGGAAGCCTAGCAAGGTTGCCTGGGCCAATCAAAGCTATAACCGAATGGGATTAGTGCAAACAATAACTAAAAGGCAGCTGCAGCCTGCTTCCCGAAGAATTCAATGTTTGTCCGTTATGTCATTAAATCACATCTCGTCGACTGTTTTCTTGGCATGCACTGTGCCTTCAACAGAAACCATGTTTTCTTGAAGTTGGATAAGGTAATTTTTTTTCATATTATTAGGAAAGAGTCTCGTTCAGAGTTAGATTGGTCCCCGAGCAACCTCTTCGGCTGGCATTTCAAAGATACCAGGAATCTCATAGACGCTCCCTTCCATCTCATATATACTGCCGTCCATTTCGTAAATGGGGCTCTTGTCTCCCTTGAAAGTCTCGTCTCCATGCAGCTCCGGCGGTGCGGCGGGTTCTGCGGACAATTCGCTAAAGGCACTTTCGCCCGACATCTCCGCCTTGGCCCATGGATCCGGCGTGTCGAGGATGGGCTTTTCGTCCTGGAGGCTCCTGGAGGTCTCTCGCTCCTGTTTCTTCTTTTCCTGCTTCTTGCGCCTCAGTAGGATCAATGCGACAATTAATCCGGCGATCCCGACGGCCAAGACGCCGAACAAGATGCCGACGCTGGCGGCAAAAGATAGTCCGCCCGACGACCCTCCCGAAGCTGCTGCCGCCGATGTCGCTGTGCCGGATGTCATCGATGAGCCCGTTTCTGTTGCATCTCCGCTCCCGGTGGCGTCGGAATCTGCCCAAGCGTCACTGGCAACGCATTCATATTGACCCGATAGTTGCGCCCCATCGCTCATGGCCGCGTCCAGCGTATTGCAGTCCGACTGCAGCGCTTCAGACCCATTAACTATTAATGTTCCTCTGACCTCGGCCAGCGCAGGCAGAGTCAGGCTGCTGTTATGTCAGTACAATATTTCCTCAAGCCGAAGAAAGTTGTGATTGAACGCACCCCGTAATGTTGCCAACAATTTCCACATTTCCGTTGATTGTGGCAAGGTCCGGAAAGCTCGACGACAAATCGTGCAGAATCGCATTGTTGTCCAGCACCAATCCGCCAATGACACTGGTAAGACTAGGGAAGTTGAGCTGCGCCAGTTGATCATTGTCTGAGATCTCCACGGTCCCGGTTTGAATATCTTTTAAAATGAGCGTAAGGTATTGTACACTAGTGTTTGCTATCCGCATGCTGTCGACAGCGTACAGCTCGGGTATGTTGATGCTCTTGACATTTTCAAGCACCACATTACCTGCCGTATAGAGTTTGGGCAGGTCAATGTACGACAATGAAGAGACGTTGGAAAAAGTCACATTTCCATAGACTGACTGGAGTTCGGATGCTGATATGGAGGTGAGTTCCGTATTGTCCCGGCAGTCGAGGTTTGCAACAGCAGTAATATTGCTTATATCCAGCCGCGTCACTCCGGGCTGAACGGTAACGTTGGCAGCATAAGAGCTGTCGGCACAGCCGTCTAGATATTGAATCTTTCCATCGTCGGAGAATATAGACTTGCCACACTCGGCTAACCAGGTGATTAACAATGGTCAGTATAGGTGAATTGAGAAGACATCGAAGTGTCCTTTCAATAATGATGGGTACGTGATGGAACAATAGTGCTACTGGACTCAAAACACCCATCGGAAATATGTGGATGGTACTTTGTACACATCTCGTATCGGAAAAAAAAGGCAACAAGAACTTTTGACTCACCATAGGCTAGCCCTGCCAAGTGGATAGCGAGGGCAACAGCACGCAGAAGCATGAGTAGGTACTGTGGTTTTCGCGGCGAGTGAGGACTTTCATCGCCGGAAGTGTTTCCTTCAGTATTTCCTTTCCATTTGTTCAAAAGAGCGACGATAAAAAAAAAAGAGTGACTATTGTTTTTGGAAGAGACTAAGAAAGAATCCAGCCAAATGAGAAGAAAAGAAAAAGAGAGGAGAAGAATAGGAGGATTCACCTGCGTGGAGGTGTGCACTGTGCGCGCGTCAACAAACCTTTGCCCAGCGAGGCACAGCGCACGGGGAGATGAATTATGGTGCCTGATTTTATGGGTATAGCACCCGCTAATGCGGCGACCCCCATGTCAAGGTTCTCGACTAAACTGCTATCGGCCCAGGGAGGATTCGTATCCAGGAATGCCATGGCTTCGCGTGTCCACTTTTTCTCCACGGCCTCGCCGACTTGGGATGCTTTCCAATCTCAGTTTCAACGTCGTGACAGCTGCCACCCTGCCACGGCTCGTTCGGCGCGACGGGAGTCCATGCGCAGACGAGTGAAGTCAGTTGACCAGTAACACTAGGAGTGGTACTTTTTCTTCTTTCCCTCTGGGCACCGACTACGTGGCAAAGGAAGACGAGGCCGCCGATTATATCCACAATATGGAGTGAATCGGTGGGAATCATGTACTAATATTAGCTTCGGCACCGGGAATTATATCTCGTCCCGCTTTGCTGCTTTGCGGGTGTTTACTTGTATTCATATCTCCCCGAGCTTGAAATATTGACAGTTCTTCGAGCTTATTTGAATATACTGGAACGAAGTTATTTCTACAATATTACTCCTTGCACTGGCCCGTATTCCATGACTCGCGAAGACTTGTTGACTGTACTCGAGAAGCAGTTATGTTACGGTCGCCATCTCATCCAGGCCCCCGTGATCTGGTACGATTCTACGTACTAACTTCCAAGTGGTGGGGCCATTGCGTCTCTTGGTCAAAGAGGTGACTTTTTGGTAGCAAACCGTGTCACATTATTCGAATCATTGTAGTCTCTAGCTCCAACAATTCTGAACGCAACCGCTTCGCATCCTTGATCTCCACCACGCCAATTCCTTTAAAGTGTGCAATTTGGTGAGACACGTTCTCCTTGATCAACACGACCCCGTGGCCAAAGTAGCCTCTAGATGCCAAAGGAAGGAAGAATATGGGTTCAGAGCCATGCAAGTCCACACGTCCATCTGGTATAACGCAGGCACTGAATTCGCGATTACCCATGTTGAACTTAATGCTTCGTCTTCGTACTTGTCGAATACGGGGACGATTCGATTGGGAGGTACAAGAGAAGCTTCAAGCTCGACGACCCAAGTGTGTCTTGACAGATTGTCGACTGTTATAGCTTCATAGGCAACGTTGAGAAGAGTTCCAAATTTCGTAATCGTATTAAGGACCTTGGGAGGCTTGCGATACAAGTCGTGATCATATTCAACGCCGCCATCAACGGAAGCCCACGACCATGATGGAGCATTTTGTGACGAGGAGTTCTTTTCGGATCTGAAGTCTTTGCGATACCAGCATAGGTCTACCAGGAGCGTTTCTCTCCACAGCCCAGCCACATATGTGTTTCCAGTAGCGCGTCTGAAGATTTCTGCCGATCCAGCCAACGCTGGTAGTTTAATAGGTTTCATGTGGAGTGGCTGTCGAAACAGAGGCCACGGCGACATAGGCATTGCGGTAGATGACGAGCATACAAGCAGATTGTGTCTCTCAGTCTTCTTGATCTTGTTGGATGGTGCAGAGGGCATTTATCCACATGTAACTTATCTCCAGAGTTCGCGCAATTGTTGCGCAAGATCTTGAAAGAGCTGCGGCAAATAATTGAGGGGAATGCCTTGCTGATGATATTTGATATTTCCCATGGTCGTGTTGAGGAAGAGTCTTTTGCCCCAGCTATAACTAAGGCAGATACAGAGACCAGTTTCTCCGGATGGTTCCTGGAGCTTGACGGGGCCATTGGGATCCTCGCCAAGGTCAATGTATCGGTGAGGCAGCTTTGGTGTACCATCGAGTCTACACGCACCGTGATTCTGGTTACAGTCTTTAAGCCATTGCAACAGAGAGCTCATCGCTTTCGCCGAAGAGGTAGTCTTTGGCAAATCCTTGATCGTCGCATGCAAACACCAAGGATTCGATATACCTTTCTCAGCAATCAGTCTCGACAGGCTCGGATAAGGGTTGGAGAGTAAGGGTGTCTTACCTTCAATGCCAGAGATATGGATTGGCTCATTCATCTCCAGAGAGTGACGACGAGCATTATCTTGTCTCGACCTCACCTTTTTAATCATTTTCCAAATCATACTTGTGAGGATCTTGAAGAACTTTGAAATAATTCAACTTTTGACGATACCTCACCCGCACTGAGTCTGGCAATGATTTGACGGCTTTATTGAAAAGATCACAACCTTCGCATGACGGAAGTTTACGATGGAATCCGTATTCACGAGGGCCCTTCAGATCCTGGCAGCCAAAGCATAGCATATCGAACTGTCACAATCATCACGGTACTGTTCTGCTTCTGATATCTTTCAACCGCTGATGGATTGCATGGGCTTAGGACGAAGCATTTAGAAAGAGGAGGCTCGATATGGAGCGTTGACCATTTGAGGAGTTCCACTCCACAATGCCGGCATTAGCAGGCCTGTGTTTTGACTGATGTTTGGTTCGATTCATACATCGTCGCCGACGTGCTCCCTTTCTTTCAGCCATGGGGAATGAGACATTCTTTTTAAGCCCAGTCTACCGAGGTGCGGCTCAACAAGACTCATTGTCACCACTTCATGATTTATCCCATCTTGTCGTGACTGCTGCAAGAAATAATGGGTCATCCATTGAATTTGCCTCTCCAGTACATTTTAGGCTCAAATTAGGCTCCTCGTCCCCAAAGATGGTGCACCTCCAGGGGACTGACAGCGCTAAAAATAGAGGGGATCATGTGATCTGCAGCTCGTTGACGCTGACATTGTGACTGGCTTGTGTTGTGACTCAGCATTTACAACTTCTATACAGTAACGTTCTACTGCTTCTATTCCCTGTGACTGGTTATGATTCAAAAGCACCTATTACATGCAAATGAGTCTGGCATTGGATCTTGATCGTGCGCGCGCACTATACCAAGAGATCGAACTCTTTGCGGCGCACGTTCGGAAAAATACGCTCGGCACGATACCTATTCCACAAGTGGGAGGCAAACTATCATCTCTCAGAGGCGACCTGAAGAACGAGATTGATCTCTTGCAAAAACGATGCGCCGAAGATGCCACTGGTACGCAACCTAGCAAGGGGCGCTCCGGTAGCAATCTATTATTCTTTGAGACGTGAGTTGGGTTGACACTTTGTATGCCTTGCGTCGCAGGCTGATTTCTGGTGACCAAACCTCCTCAGACTATGGGACGCCGCCAAGAGGTCCTCAAATCTTTTTGATATAAGACATCGGATATGCACTCAAAAACTCGACAAACCTCTACTTGCCCCAGGGCAACGCATTATACCATCTTTGGGAACCCACATGGGCTCGAAATATCGTCACAGCCTCGTTGACCTGATTACTGATAACGGCCGCGTAAGTATGCTTGGTAGCTGATCAGATACTGCTTGATTCAAGTTCCTTCTTGACCATTTTTCTCTAGACCTGGGTCAAAATATCTACCATTACAAATAAACGGCTTCTATACGACTTGGCCAAGGAAGCCGTCTTTTGCGACGACAGCGATGAGGATGGGCCGACTGGCTATACCATTGAGGATGATTTGGATATTCCGATCCTCAAGACTGCCAAGGAACTGGCCAGAGCAGCCACAAATCACCGGATTCGCACAAAACCACCAGCCGTTCATCTTGTACTCCCAAGGATAAGACTGGGAGAAAATGTCGAGGTTGATAAGATTATTGATCTATGTCGTCAAATTCCTGGCTTGGAGGTCTTTTGCAGGGATGATGTCAAGCCGCCACCCGAGCTCAGCGAGAGTACCATGGCTCTCATGTATCCGAATCCTAGGGCTTCATTTTCCGGATTACTCAATATTGACACGTCTGTTATAGTAGCACTCACTTCCGAATTTTCGCATACCAACGTCACCGTAGAAGATTGGTTTGACCGCCAAAGACTTGCCCACTGCGAACAGGAAGAAAAGGAAAACTTTCTGGAAAGACAGGTCTACCCCATCATAGGAGGCTACGAACTCGTCTGTGTCCAAGAGGCCATTGAGACATACAAGCACATTGTCGATACTATCGGCACGCCAGGGGAAAGGGCTCGCGCCAAGATTGTCTTGGGAGAAGACTCGTCAAAGACGCCAGCGCAACTGCTCGAGGAACTTCAGAAATGGTCCGTTCATCCCGTCCCAACTTCGCTAAGGCTACCCGTCCGCGTGGTCAATATCGAGTCCGACCTCCAGGGGCTTCCGCCTCAGGCAAAGGTCGTCTTGGAGAACCAGCTCAATCCAGGCCGCTCAGTGTTTACCTATGGCTGGGCCAAGAAGCTCACCACGGTGACTTGCAACGGCGTTGCGACGAAACAATTGGCGCATGGCTTGGAAAAATTCTCCGAACGCGACGGCACCACTTTGGATGACGAGATTTGGCCATCCATGTGGGCCTTTTCCTCGTCGAGACCGCTTTTGGGTGTACCCAAGTCCGCAGGATGGCGTAAGAAGCACATTGGAAACTGTGAAGCCAACGGCTGCACCTGTGGCGTCGAGAAGTTCCATCCTGATACCAACGTCGCAGCGGGTTAGAAAGTGGGAAGAGAGAAATAGGTTGCTCTTTTTTGTTCCCCTTTACGCAGGACTCCGGTAGGATTGCCCATATTTATAGAAGCGCACCATATGACCCAGCCTTACGGAACCATGGTGGTGTGCTGAACCTCGTGACGGGAGGAGGCTCGGATTTCCACCCACCCCCCCTTGTTTCCAGATTCACGTCGTACAAGTACAACCTTAAGCACGTTTCTAATCCCCGCGACGGGAGTGCGCAAATCCAGCAGAGAGGACCTTTGAACTTGAGAGATTGGCAAAGTTCTAAATTTATCTGCTTCCGCGAGTTTCACATGGGAAAGAAACATTATTTCTGCAGGCGTAGGATTCCACCTAAAATGATTGATGACCAGGGGTGTTTTGTGTCCAATGAAGCTGTCAAGGCCATAGCTGACGTAAGATTGCATAACCCATTCAGCCGGGTTAGACGCGTTTGACGGATTGTATACCATGGACAATAGTCAAAATAGCATTTTCCACCCCAAAGCTGTCTCTTGGGCTTATAGAGACATGTGACGTGATGGACTGAACTCTTCTTCTTCAAGGTCTGCATGGGCGGACCTCCAGACATGGGGGAACTGGACTAGCCTCCAAGCGAGAAAGACTTAAAAACAAAGAGACTACTTTAACTTTGTCGGCTTCTCCAAAGCTGTGATCCTGTTGCGACCTATTTTTGTTAGTCACTCGCATTCTGTCTGCTCCTCTCTCCTGGCTGTGATTTCACCAGACGTTCTCGACGCTTTAACATGCACCATATTCTTAATCAGCATACGTCGGCACATACGCAGACTCATTGAGCATGAAAGATTAATTACTCTTCCTCACTCACGAAGTGCACTGCTGAGTAAAGAAGGGGGACATATTCGAGCAAGACTGTGACTGGGTCTCTCCGCATACTGATCCGTCTTTCCATCCTTGGCTTTACTTTCATCGCAACCCCCAGGCACCCGTACGGAACAGGGAGAGGAGAGACACATATACACACATCAGAAGAAATCTCATCACAAAGCCATGACTCCCCAACCGGCACATCGGTCCATTTATGCCCACTTTTGGGAGTGTTGCGACTGCAAACAGCAACACCCGGCCGCAGAGGACATGTGTGAGCATTGCGAGCATCCTAGGTGAGTTTTTCCCCCATCACCTTTCCTCGCCCACCGGAGAAAACAGAAGGAATTCTGACTCTCTCGTTTGCGACCAAAGATGCAGTGGATGTCGCAGAATCAAGATCAAGATTCGCAATTCGCAATAAGGTGGAGAGAAGAGAAATGAGTTTTTGGGAAAATTTGAAAAAAGGACATTATTCAGCCGGATAACAGGGAAGAGGAAATACATGCGCATGATACCCATACAGAACCAGCACTAGAAGACGAGCCGGAGGAGGGAAAGATTTCGACGACATACAAACGATTATTATTTTGAAGTAATTCACATCATTAATTCCCCATAGCCATCCATGTTTTGAGTTTTGTCTTGATCCTGCAGAGTCTCTGCACGGGGGGTGACATATGCATGCATCCTCTTTTTTCTTTCTCCCCCTCTCCTCTGGACATGCGAGCAAACGGGTACGTCATGCCCCTTCTTGAAAAACCTTCATGAATCAAGACAAATCCGTCGCTACTTTTTCCAACGGAATGCCCCATTCATTCTTAATACACAGCAGCGCCCGCGACACCAAACATGGCCAGCACCACGCCCACGCCCGCAAACCAGAGCGCGCTACGCACCAGCGCCCATCGCGGGTCGTCCTGCAGCACCACGTAGACGAGGTTATACGCGGCCCGCAGTCCGAGGTACGCGCCCGCCAGACCGTTGGCCAGCGCCGGGTGGACAGGTGCGGCATTGACTGAGGCCACCGCCGCGGCGTACAGACCAAAGGTCTCGAGGCCATTGGCAAAGGCGGCCTCGGCACGGAGGATGCGGGACTTGACCTTGTTGTCTAGTTCAGCAGTAATAAAGACAGCCGCAGCAGGTAAATATTGGGGAGTAAGACGAAGGGCTTACCTTGTGGTCTAAATCATCGGCGGCAAGAATGGATGGTTGGTACGTCTTGGGGCTTGCCGGATCCAGATACCGACCACCGAGCCAGAAGCTATAAAGCTTCGGTATGAAGAGGATGACAAATGCCAAGGGTACCTGATTATATAAAAGTGATAAGTCTCGATGCGTGCATACGTTGCAAAATCACATAGCACATTGTAGCTTTAAGCGGCCAGATAGTCATGTAGGCAGCATAGGTACATATATGGTCTGTAGGAAATTATAGGAATGACATCCAACTTACCGTAAAGAATGTAAAATTCCCTCTTATTGATTCCATCTTCAAGTTGATATAATTTGATAAGCTGTTCAAGATTGAAATAAAATGGTGTGAGATATGGTGAATTTGGCAAAATGCTAGAATATGCTCGCTCTCCACCATTTGTCGATGAAACAATCTCAGTTTCGAACGGCCTAACAAAGGTCAAAGCACAATTGCACCAATTTGCAGCCAAAGTCTTGTTTGCATATAAGCCCAACCAAAATAACCATGACTTCTTCATGCATTGGGTTCATTCGTGAATGTTTTCATTTCCGTTTGCTGGTTGTGAATGATATATCGCCAATCACTTGAATACGCCGAGGATCATAGTATATTGCAACAGAGCCATGTACTCTTTGGTCTAAAGCAGAAATGATGCACCAGGGTATGTCTAAACAATATTCGACTCTCATGCACAGGTTCCAGCGGCGAGCCAGCCAGCAAGACTCGCAGTAAAGGACATGGACACCAGTAAACGCCACATCTTGGAAACTTCCAAGCCAGTTGCCTTTATATATACCATCAAGCGTAGTAGGCCATAGCCTCCTCCTCATCATCAAGCTCAATGGCCTGTTTTCGAGCCTTGATAGATGACTGGGATTTTCCCTTGTGCGCAAAATCGGAAATAGTGGCTGGCTTCTTCTTCTTCTGTACAATCGAATCCGGACTGTACAGTTTGTTGTAGAATTGAATGACCTTTGGGTGAGCCATGACCTTGCTCTTGTCGAAGCGCTGTACTTCTAGTCCATCCTTGCTGGTTGCACGGCTGAGGGCGACATAAGCCTGCCCTTTCTCAAAAATCTTGCCAAGGTCGACCTTTACTCGCTCCAGTGTCTGTCCCTGGGCTTTGTGAATTGACAGAGCCCACGCCAAGATCATGGGTAGCGCAGTGCGTTTGGCTTGGACTTCTCCGTTGGGCAGCTCGACCTTCCATTCCTCTGGTGTGACATGCATAACACGGAAACTGCCATCTGCGGCGTGAAATTCGACAACAGGATACTCTGTCAAATCTTTCAAGGATGAATCTCTGACCGCAAAAGATTTGATCTTCTTCATGGATTCGTCGACCAAGTCCGCGACGCTCAAATCAAACTTTGAGGGATTGGCAGTAAAAAATGCCTCGCTGCTGAAACCAATCACTTTGCCGAGTGTTCCGTTGACTAGAGTGTCGTCTAGGTTCTTGATGAGCATGACCTGCGCGCCTTTCTTCAGATCGATAGTTTTGGGTGCCATCATGTTTTCCAGCAACTTGTCGCGAATGTTGGGGTCTCCCGAGTCTTGCGCTGCAAATGTGCGAATTTCACCGGGCAGGGCCCGTAGTCGCATCGAGTTGGATGACTCAACCTCTCCTCGGGTTGGGAAGAGCTCAGTGGCAGTGATTCCATCGTCGTACACAAGCGGTCTCGAGAGACTCCTAAACGTCTGTACTGTCTGTTCGCTGACTCTTCCAAGGCGCATTTCGTTGAGCATTTCGGCGAATTCTGTGGCCAGTTAGTAAACATGGTGGCAATGAGGAACAGCTACACAATACTCACCATGGTCTTTCTGACGAAATACCTGTGTCAAACCAATCGTGTGATCGATGGAAGTGCTCCATGTAGCGGCATCGAAGGCAAACTTCGTATCACGCTTGTTTCTGTCGGGCACTGGCGGTAGTTGGAAAAAGTCGCCAGTGATGACAAGTTGGATTCCGCCCCATGGGCGTCCATTGTTGCGGATTTGGCGCGCAATTTGATCCAATTTGTCAAATAAGTCGCCATCAACCATGGAAACCTCATCCATAATGAGAACTCTTGTTTTCAACCAACGGTTTTTGGCTTTGGCATTCCTCCGAATCTTTTTCACAAGCGTGGGGACGTCTTCCTTTCCTAGACCGATACCAGAAAAACTATGAAGTGTCTGACCACCAATGTGGCACGCTGCAAGTCCGGTTGAAGCTGTAATGCTTACCCGCTCCGGATCGCGAGCCCATTTCCGCTTTAAGCTGGCAACAATTGCTCTCATCAATATTGATTTACCAGTTCCAGCAGGACCGGTGAAAAAGACACTCTGCCCTTTGTCAACTACCAATTCGTGCACCTGTTGTTGCTCGGCGCTAAGGGACATGGCGGAATGAGAAACTTTGTGAAGAGTGGCATGATGATCTGCTGTAGCTTGTCTGATCTCTTCCATAGAGAGATCTGTCTGAGACTCGGACTTGATCTTGCTCTGGTTTCTGAGCTGATTCTTCTTTGCTTGAAGAGCGCCAGGGGTGGTTTCCCATGCTGGTGTTGGTTTCACCTTAGTCGCAGGAGTGGCTGTTGACTTTGAAGAGACAAACCGATCCTCATCGTTGCTCTCCTGCTTCGTGCCAATTTCCTTCTTCACAGTCGTGTTCTTGTACTGCCTCGAGTTGCTAGCCCCGGCAAAGAGGTCAACTTTCTTCTCAACTTTCTTCTCAACTTCCTTCTTTGTGAAATTAGGAGGGAGTTTCCGTTTCTTGGCTACAGGCGCTGCGACCGGTACGGATTGGATATCTTCGGGAGATTCGCGCTTTTGTACATGTCTTTGAGGGTTCGGAGGCGGATGCCAGTGTTCCAAAGGTGACGATGTCCATGGAAATTGTGTGGTTGATGTGGCAGGAGATGGCACGTATGATTGAACTGGCGGCGTATTAGGTGGTCTCTGTCGCGGAAGCGAGGGCGGAGGGAGTGCCTCGGGACGTTGGAAGCTCAGTTCAAGGTTCTCATCGTCACTAAAGTCATCATCGCCTATATAGATCGAATCGATCGATGAGGCTGCTGCGCTAGGAGCAGTACTGCTAACAGGCTCGTCCTTGAAGGAATCGGACCGGGCAAGAAGCGATTGGAGGCCCGACGTGGGCTTCACGAAACTTGTCACTGAATTGGTGTGCACAGATCGTGAACCAGGATTATCTGATCTTGGGTTTAGAGGTAGACCGTGTGCCTTCGAAGACCCTCGAGTCGCACTGGCGAAAGCATTTTGACTGAGCCTCCCGCCTGTAATGGACGATTGGCTGCTCCGTTGCTTGGCGAAATCCGAGATATTCCCATCGCGGTAGGCCGGGCTACTGGAGGGAAAGAGCTCCTTCTTTAGGTCGGGCTGAGCGGCGGCGACAGGCTTGGAAGCCTCGTACTTGCGATTAGCCTTGCTCAACATGACTCCGGGAGCTTCTGAGGAGGCAGATGTCGAGAAGGCATGGACATGGGTTCTGCGTCGCTGAGGAGGAAGACGGAAGGGCGATGACGGTTGGATATTCAGAAGTCGCAGGCGCAGCGCGAGGAAGGGTCTCGAAGGCAGGGTGGAGAGTTGTCGGGTGTTCATCCAGTTATGTGAGACAATGTTTGTGCCATTTGGCGGAGGGACACAAAGTCTTTGGCGAGGAAGTACTCAAATCAACAAGGTGGACACAAAGTTGTTTTGATACTTTGGCATCCCGCATTGGGGAAAGCATGGGTCAGTCAAATCAAGAAAGAGATGGTGGTCGCGTTTGCCTTATTGCGCGTAAATGGACTGGCGGGGATTGGGCGCATCGAAGTCGTGTAACCCACATGGGCACCCACCCACCTACCGCAGCTCCCGGCGCAGGAGCGAGCTGATGCGCCTGCTACGCGGGTATCTTTGCGCTAAAAGCACTAAAATGTACCTGTGAAAATTCCGATTAGGTACCCGCTTAGGCAGTCCAAATCCCGCGGCGCGCTATTTCACCAAGGTAAAGTGCTCCTTCTACGTGGTTACACTACCATGGGCATGTACTTACCACACATGTTGGGTGGTGCTCTGCTGTACCTGCATCAGACAGCAAGCACATGCACATCATCAGGACTGTAAACATGAAGGCTCGACACTCGTTACCTTACAGCTGCTGTCCTTTTCCAATCTGTATAAAATTGCACGGAAAGCAGATCGCACGTCTTGGAATGCTCCGTGCCATAGGGTTGTCCATGCCTATGCCGGAAATACAATCATAAATCACGGCCAAGCTCCACATTAGACATTTGCAGAATTCTATTTTCTGAATAGCTGCAATGGTCGTCTTTAATATGTATGACAACCAGCCATCAAATATTTAATTTGATTAGTCTTGAAAAACTCGCGTTACCTTGTCCTTAGACTGTTGTGTTGTAAAAATTTGGTTGCAGAACTTTCGGAGGAATCAAGTTGCCCAAGTTGCCCAAACTGCCGAATCTGCATTATCGAGAGCACTTCTTTGTTCGTTGGCGCACAGGCTGTATCAGAAGGAGCAAAGAACTTTTTCTCTGTGCTTTCGGTGGATACATAACATGCAACCATATTACGCTTGTATCGGAGGGTATATACGTCTATACTATATAGATCCTTCGCTTCAGGTAATGCTCATGCCCACTAATCCTTCTCGTCATGTATGATACAGGAATGAAGGCTTGATTATCTTATGGGCTGCTACAACGGAAACAAGGAGTGAACAAGACGTTTCTATAGTGTCCCTACATTACCTTGCAATTCTAAAATTCGACTAGGAGCCAAGAGGCATGGACTTTTCGAGTAATTGGGGTCTGGCGAGTGGCTCTCTAATTCTTGACAGGAGCCATGAGGCTGAAGAGGCCAATATCATACAACAAAGCAACACGCTATGGAATGTCCACGAGATTAAAGCTAATCCAGAAACTCAATTGAGTACACCAAAATATATCTTGATGTCTAGATGTAGATCGTGTTGATTTGTGAGGAATACGTGAGAGCAAAAGTTGATCGATTCAGATTTGGTTTTCTTTTCCTGCTTATTTATCAAAGGTCTATATCTGTTTCTCACTAGCACGCTTCTAAAATGTGACGAAATAGACTGTAATATGATTCATGCAAGCCAACACGTCTTTGACTTCAGCCCTCGAGTCTTGATGGTCATGTGATCATTTACAAAAACAATCTGGAGGCCGAACACTCTAAAGCACCAGAAGGAGCATCTTCTACCACAACAGGCTATAATATATTTCCACTAAGCAAAAGTTCCTCCCAAACCACCTGCATATCTACCACATTCGGCCCTGTGCTCTTTTCTTTGTCACTCGGGAGCGCCGAGAAGATCCTGGCGTGTAAGCCACATTGAACAGGTCTCATCAATAGTCTACAAGGAACAGACAAAGGCCCTCCATGAATAAACAAAGTGAAAATGCTTATCAACATGAGAGTATTAAGTATGAGCCATGAGGACCATATTACATATTGTACTAGACAAGCAAGAAAATCACAGTCGTGTTTGACATATATATGCCAGCTCAATCGCACTCCCAAATTCACACAATTCACCCAACATCGAGCTTGAAAAGCGAAAGAAACGCAGACCTCTTTCCTTGATACATATATAAAATCATGGGATTCGCCCAGCAAGACAACAGTCGAGCAGTTCTCCAGGTCCATCGCAACAGTTCAATCTGCCCATGGCTGCAAGGCGAGAAATCCCGTAGTGGCTATGACAACACAGCAAGTCCAACACCAAGTCCTAGCCCACAGCCCCAAGGACCTAATTCTTGATAGTTGCAGGATTGAGTTGGGTAAGCTTTTCTGTAACGTTCAGCATCTAGCAAATTGTATCTGCGAAATCATTACTGACGAGAGTGGTTTCGTACTTTTGCAGGATTATTTTAACCGTCAGTCATTGGATATCACGAACTCCGTGTTGAGCGTTTGTTACAAGCTAATGGGTTCAAATTATTGAATTGTAATGCGTATTCATTAATTCATATATCATTCTGAATTACTGCTAGTGGGGTGTTCAAAAGCAAATGACAAAGGGAATTGCAAAAGGTATCGTTCGTGTTGTATCCTCCGCGTCATCCATCCATGCTGCAACGGGGTATTATTTCATCTGCACTCTCCACTAATGATTATTTTGGATTTCCAACATGAGTTGGCACATTTCTCAACTTTTCCTAGATCGTGACAGTGTTTGCGCCAGCAGAGTTGATACCGTTGGCATTCAGGGGCTTGCTGGTTCCGTTCAGGCCGCTGTTCAAAGCATTGCCATTGTAAGATCCGTTGGCAGGATAGCCGCTGTTGAGGGCACCTCCGTTCACATGGCCGTAGCCGTTGGCGGGAGCAGCATTCGGGTTGGCAGTATCATGGGGCTTGCGCACGACCTGGGGGGCCTTGGGCAAATCAGTGCTCTTGCTGGCAGAGCCAATGGAGAAGACGGGACTCTCCCACTTGTCGCCCTTACGAGCCAACTCCTTGTACTCAGTGGCCTTGGAACTGATTCCACCAGGTAGCTTGATGTTGGGGAAGATGCTGTCCTCTTGAGTAACAGCCATGTTGACCTTCTTGTCGGCAACAGCATCCTCAGCCTTCTTCTTGCCCTGGAGAAGCTGCTTCTGAAGAGCAGTGACGTAACGCTGATAAATGTTGGGAGCCTGAGAAGGATCCTCGCGAGCCTCGTCAAGAGCGCGGTCAGCCTCCTGGCGCACCTGGTACATGAGCTGGTCGAACTGGTTGAACTGCTCCTTGAGCTGCTTCTCGGCAACCTTCTGGATGACAGGACGGAGCACCTTGAGCATGGCAGGCTTGACAAGACCAAAGAGAGCCTTGTGGTTAGACTTAACCAGCTTGATCTTCAGGTTCTTAACGTCAACATTCACACTCTCGAGCTTGAAGAAGTGCTGCTTGTCAGACTTGTCGGCAGTGCTCAACTTCATGCGGAAGCTGAATCCATCGCCACCCATGAAGATGTTGGCAACACCAGTATCGGTAATGGAGGGGAATCCCTGCTTGCGCTTGACGTGGTAGCTGACATCGCGCAGGTCCATCTGAATACCGGCGACCTTGACATCGATGGTGTTCTTGTTCTTGTTTGTGATCTTCTTGCGTCCCCAGCGGAAATAGTTGTCGCTGGCAATCTCGAGCACATTGGGCATGAAGTTGTCGCTTTCGAGGACCAAGTTCTCAATGACAGCATCAATCTGAGGATCGGTGTACTCAATGCGCGGGATAGGAATGTAGGCAATGTTCTCAAACGCAGCAGGCAGGATAATGTCGGTCAAATCCTTGACCAAGTGAGGCTTGAAAGTGGGCTTGCCGTTAGCATCGTTGCCGAGATCATTGAACAACTTCTGGAGGGAAGCGGCAAAGTTTCTGTTGGCAGGGTCTTCGTCGAACTGGCCAGCAAGGAACTTGACCTCATCAACGATGCGGTCAGTGTGGCCGCGGTACTTGTTACGAAGGAGGTAGTTGCCGTGGTCGTACAGACGGTTCCACTCCTCCGTAGAAGCATTTTGCATGATGAAACCCTCCTGTTGCAGGCACTTGCGGACATAAGCATCAAATGACTTGAACCAGTTCTTCAGCTCGGGATCCTTGTCAGCGTCATCGTAAATGGCATTGAGCGAGGCAAAGAAGTCATCGCTTGAAGTGCCATTGGCAAATCTCTCAATCAGAGTCTTCAAGTCAGCTTCAGCCTGAGCAAGGCTGGAGCGTGTCTGCTGGACGGTACCGGTGCTGCCCGAGGCGAGATGTCTACCGTGACCGCCGTACTCCTCGGCAAGATCAAGCAGAGTAGAGATGGCCTGCTGGTAGTCGGGGTGCTGCTGGCATTCCAGAACCATTTTCTACAGAATAGCGTCAGTAATCATGTTTAAATTTGATTCGATTAAGGGGGCAAGTACCTTCAGGCGCCAGATGATCTGGTCGCGGCGCTCCTCGGGCACTTTGTTGCCCAAGTATTGCTTAGCACGAGCACGGTACTGAGCGGCAGTCTCCTTGCCATTCTCCTTTGTCTCCTTCAGCTGCTGTTGCGTTTCGGGGTCGACATTGCGATCCAGGTGCTGCTGTGCGGTGCCACGGGCAGCGTCGGTACCGGCGGTGGTGTTGGCTCCCGAGGCACTGGGCTGCGCAGCATCGAGACCGGCAGCGGCCACATCCTGGGCATCCTTCTTCGGGTTTCCCTTGTAGGCGCTGTTGATTTGAGCCTTGACGTTCTCCTTGGAGAAGTCGGGGGCCTCATGCCATGTATTGTCCTGGGCAGGGTGGTCAATCTGAGACAACTTCTCCTCAGAAGGTCTCACTTTTTGTGCAGCGTTTGAAGCGGCATCACCAGCCATATCCCGAAGAAGGAGGACACCATCGTTCAGAAGCTTACGGAATTGACCGTTGGTGATGAGCAAAGTGCCGAGAGTGCGAAGACCCTCGAGTGCCTTGTCGCCATGTTGCTTGGCGGCATCCTTGGTAATGGGAGCATTGGGTGTGCTGACACTGTTTGGGTTGAATTGGGTGGTCTGGTAGATGAAGTCCTGCAGCAAGTTGCCCTCGTTCTTGGAGAGCAACAGATTCTTTGCTTGCTGGACAACTTCCCGGAAATCGTTGACTAGTGCACGACCTTCTGCCGACAACTTGTCCGAGGGCTTGGAGAGAGCCCTGGAGGCAAGAAAACTGTTCAGTGCCACATCAATTTGCTCGTTCTGTATAATTTGTTCTATTAGTACTTCCCCACGCGCGACTGAAAGACGAGGAAAGATCCTGGCAGACGTACCGATGGCACCTTGCCATTCTGGAATGCGTTGATGATGCCGTAAATTTGCAGCTTGCGGTTGACATCAGCCTCCTTCTGTTTGATATCCGTTGGTCTGTTAACGGTCGCCATTGTGTCCAATTGATGTTGTTGTTCAATGTGATGTTGATAGGTACAAGGTAGTGGTTGTTCTTGCTGGTAATTGTATTTGGTTTTTGAGATTAGAGTAGGTAGGTATTGCTGGTACGGCGAATACAAAGCGGAAATGGGGTATCACAAGGAAATCAGTGGTATATGATTACGTGAAAGATGGAAAAGAACAAACAAACTCGTCGAGTGCTGGGGATGTGGTAGTGTTTATAGGAGGCGTTCAGGACCCAGAGACGCACGGCATGAAAGATGGACAGAGGCAGCGCGTAACGGCTAGCTAACAAGTACATACACGTAGAAAATGCAGTGTAAACCAAGAAAGGCTGGTACGTGTGTAGTGGACGTAGCCAGCCAGACAATCAATCGACTGATTCCCTTTGAGATTGGATCTGAAGCTTGATTCACGGGCTTGTGGTGACGTGAAACACCTTGTTGCAATACGTCATAAGCTCAACTCGAGCTAATAAGGTAACTATCGATCAGTGGAAGCAGTAGGTAGGAAAGGTACCACTCAGGCTACCCGGCGCCTATGAAAGACTTTGACGTTAGCGGTTACGCGCTGTTTCGCTGGGGCCCCCTTTGTCCATCGATCAATTTAGGGAACTTGAATGGCATTGATCTGGTCTAGATGCTGGTCGAGTGCCACAAGTCAAGCTCGAAGCAAGGCCATGGTGCGTGGACAGACATGGCGAGCATGGATGCATGGATGGATAGGCGGCCGGCCGGGCGGGTGCTGAGCTGTTGGATTGGCACGCGTCTGAGCATGTACACATGCAAATTGGTTTTTTTTTTTTTTTTTTCATTCCAATTTCGGAGCTGCCACACGACGCCAATAGTCTGGTCTGAGGGACGACTGACAACTCGATCTAGTTAGCTAATCGATATTTTAGTTCTCCCTTTTACCTTGCGATCGCTTGTTGGATTTGCAGATGGCTTGGATGGCTTGGAAGAAATTGTGGTTCTCATGCAAATTGACAGCTTGGATGGGGCTCTGGCTGGAAAATCGCCAGGCTTGCCAGGGTATCGGAGACATAGTAGTGGGCCAGATCAATCATCACAGGCGAGACAGGGTGTCTGCGATCGACTACTATACCACAGAGAAAATGGACGCCATTCTCTTTTCTTTCTTTCCCAGATGAAACCCTACTGCAGACGGGAAGGTAGGGATGACGCGAGGTGCCGCTCACTCATCCCTGGTTCTGACGATGTCCATGGAAGCACGAGTCCAGAACCTGTAAGCTCCCTCACACCTGTGTAGGCTGGGGCAGCGAAGGTATGCAACGGATAGCAGGCAGGGGGAGTGTGAGCTGACATGAAGCCATCACTGGTGAAGTGGTATTGCTTCTCGGCATTTAAAAAAAAATTAAACATGATTACACTGCTGCAGCGGTCCTGCCGTTACACGAGGGTCATCTAACTACAGCAGACTAACACACAGAGTTTACGCGGGCCGATCACTGCAGTAACAAGCAAGCAGATGGTAAATCGGAATAGCGCCAAAGTCGTCAAGCACGGATTGGCAGTATACTACTCATCGCAGTCCATGAGCAATCTAAAAAGTGAATTATCCATTGAATGAAGCAGGCCGAAGCCGGCAGCAACATAGACATGTATCATTGGATGAATTATTACGTAGGTACACGCTATATGTATGACTGGCAAGCTGATGGCACTTGAGGCTGGTATATCGGCAGCTTTAACCGTTGATCATCAGCATGCGACGCGTAATATGTGGCCTCCCAGACCTTTTTATTTTTTCCGCTTCGCTGTCTTTGGAGCAGCTATCAAAAAAATCGAGTGAAATCGGGCAATCGGTATGAGATTTACATGGGGCCGCTTTCAGCTCTCCAGATAGGGTAACAGGGGTCCTTGTCACTGAGACAGGATCCATAAGCGCAAGAGAAAAAAGATTATGTGTAGGTATATGAATAAACATTTTCAGCATTATGTATCAGGGCATCAGTTGCATCATCGCAATAGCTCAGTAGTAAGTGCATCAAAGCAGGAACTTCCAACTTGTCAGCTATCTTGTTAAGTACAGTACCATGGCAAACAGCTCTAATTTAGTACCAATTTCCGCACCCAGCACAGTTTTCCCCAGATTCAACAGTCTATGACGTTCATGGTGCCCGAGCCGCAGACGCCACTCAACCTTAGTGCCGTTGTTCAGCTCTTAGCAACCAGGCAAGCCAAGCAGCTTCACAAACTGGCTCAACTGGCCACAGTCCTCTGATTTTGAGGACTGAGCTAGTGACTGAAATCACGATCTTGGTTTATCCTTTCTAGTTTTTGACTCTGATTGACAGCGATCCACGCCAACCATCTCACACTACACTACACCACCGCCGACGATGCGTCAGGACAAACCCCTGACACCAGTGGATGGCTAGATCTGCAAGTCGGCATCGTCAAGCGACACGTCCTGGCTGGCCTGGGGTGGTCCATCGGAGTATTACCTCCTCTCAATGCATCCCTACCTCTGAACCTGATGCCATATGTATGGCTCCGGCAGTGTGGTTGCGCTTAAAAGTATCTCAGAGCTTAAAGCTTGAAGAGAGGAAGAAAGAAAAGAAAAGCCTTCGCCCGTCCCGTATCGAAATCACACACGAAGACGGAAGAGCCCTGAAAAGTGACACGACTAGCTGATCTACACAGGGTCATGGCAATTCCATGCAAAGAGTATTGCTGGGGATATGGCCAAGGACCCTATGTTCTAGCCTAGAGGACTGCACAGAATACAAAGTATAAATCTGCACTCGTCTGCCCATCTTTCTACTTACACGAATGGGTTTTCCTGTGCCGTGACAAGAAGGACAAAGAGGGAAATAAATGGCTGCTTTCTCAACGACTCAACCTTTGCATGTCACACATAGCTGCAACATCTCGATCCAATCCGCCGAGATCCAACGTTGACGTTGTCCAAGCACATGCGAGTGGTGGTGGTGAGCCAACGCATGAACGATCAAGATGGGCCACGGAGCTGAAGGCCATAAACCGGAATAATACCAGACACCCTTGAGACTGGGCACCCACCAATTTGCCAACATGAACACACCATGAGTACATGCACCCATGAACGTATGTACATTACGTACATACCTACTAGGTATTGATGTATATAGGCACCTACCGGCAGGCAGGGTTCTAAATTTTGTTACTAGAGCTAGTAAGTGCCAGTTACTAGACTAGACTAGGGCTAGTATTAGTATTACTATAGTAAATGGTCTGTTACTAGCCCCCACTAATTTCCACTTTTGGAAGAAATAAAAAATGTTTAAATTATCTACGAAAAAAAGCGGTTTTAATAGTGGTAATTACGTAATTATAGCTTTATTCGTTATTTTTAAATAGAATTATAAAATATTATAAAATATTTTAAAAAAAAATTCGAAAAAAATAAAAATAAAAATAAAAAAAATTAGAAAATATATAAAAAAATTAAAATAATTATAATTCTTTAATTTAAAATATATATTTATATTATTATATTATATTATAAATATATATAAATTTTAACTTAAAAAAATATTTATTTGAAGTCTCTATATATATTTTTTATATAACATTAATTTTTTTTAATTTTTTTTAATTTTTTAAATAAAATAACACGTTTTTCTTTAATTAAAAATCAATTAAAAATTATAAAAATAATTTAAAAACGCTATATTAATAAGCAAAAAATTAGCTATCGAACGGTATATTTTTCTTATCAGGAGATCCACTTTTCAGATAAGGAGGATTTACTATAGTATTACTAGAGCTAGTAACTACCATTTACTAGACTAGACTAAACCCCCTAGTAACTAGAGCTAGTAACTTTTACTAGAGTAAAAAGTGAGTACCCTGCCGGCAGGTAACACTTTGAACTTGGTAGACGTTTGAAATCTCGGTAAGGTTTTGCAGGCAGGTACGATGCAAACATCTGCCCGTGCGCATTCCAGCTGGCGCCAATTGAACCGATAAAGTTTCTCCCCTCGTTTCGTCAAAAACAAAATGAAAGTTCCGTACTGAGACAAACCAAGCACTCAAGCACTTGGTCGCCATTTGACAGCTACTACTCGAATCCGCACGCTCCCTTCCTTGCTTCCCACATCATGCATGAGCGCGGTTGTACGACGCCGTCGCTGGGAGACGAGCTCGAAATGGCCAAGCTTCAATGACTCGACTCCATTATAGCAATATCTGGCTCCCGTCAGGCAAGGACGATGTGTCTTATTTGTTTTGCTCAAGTAGACAGACCGGACGACTATATCACCGTTGCCCAAGTCACAGCAAAATATGGCCATTGGAATGGCAGTCAACGTTGCTCGGTGAAATGCCGCTTGAGCAAGCAAGGTTTTGTCAAAATCGGCCATGTCTTCGCCACATAAGGGTCATCACAGAAATACCGTCATGTCTACTACACATGATTGAGAAAAGTTCTTTGACTATTTGACGGGACATGTTACAAAATCATTCTGGTTCAAGTATAATAAACAACGCCCAACTTTTCTCCGAGAATCCGACGTGAAGAATTGAGTCTCAGCTTGATCAAGCATACACGAATATGAGAAGAGCTAACCGCAAATTCCCCAGTTGCCAGCACATGATCAAATCATAACAATAACCAAAAGAGGCCACGCCCCATCAAAATCACCGGCGACGTTCATAGGAACGACCTCTCTCGGGGGATAATGTGGGAAGGAAAGGGTTTGTGTGCGAGTCCTGACCAAGGTCCATTGCATTTGACACCAGAGGCCGACCGAGATGGTCAACGGTCCTGTAATTCGCCCTCAGAGAAGGCCGTTCTAGGCCAACATGGATCTCAACACCCCGCGGAGCACTAATGAAGTCTTCATCATCGCCATCCGACTCATATAAGGTGTCGTGCCCATAAGGTCGTCCCATGCGTGAAACTTCGGGCCTGCGTGGGAGTGATTCGTGGTACTCCCACCCATGGTCATCCATCGATAGCCGGTCCACGCGAGGCAGGTTGTCATCAGGAAAGCCGCCTAGGCGTTGTTCTCGGAGGCCATCCCTGGCATGGACCCGAGGGTCAACAGTGCGAACATTTGGCCGAGGGGCTTGATAGACCCGTGCCACGCGGCTTGGTCTTGCTCCGATCTCTATTTCCTCGACGAAACGATCTTCGCGCTTGGCATCCTCCATTCCGGCGTTGTAGGCGCTATTCCTCAATCGCTCTATGTCGCTCGCATATGTTGTGATGACTGGCGGGCGCGTTGGCGACTGTCTAATATATCTCTCATCGGCACGGCCAGTTTCGTATGCGTGCTTAATCCTCTCAATGTCGTCAGAAGCCTCTCTCTGATGCAGGATTGATGTTGGAGGAGGAGGAGGAGGTGGTGGTGGTGGCTGGTGAGCCATCGGAGGGCTTCTTCGTCTTTGAGCATCCGCAATGTATGTTTTCCCCTGTCTTTTTCGGCTTCGATTTTGAGATTCAACCCCATAGTACCGGCTGAAATTCCGGGGCTGACTAGGATTTCGACGCGGATCTTGAGCCCGCTTGCGTGCAGCCTTGTTGACGAACATAGGCGACGGCGGGTCGGTCCTCATGGTGCTGCGACTCTGCTCAGAGTCGCTCGATTCGTCATCAGAGTCAGAAGAAGAATCCGAATCGCTATCAGAAACTGCCACGACCCCAGCCATCGGTCCCCTGGTACCCGGAACTGGCCTCGCGGGTGCTTGTGTTCCTGCTCTCATCCCTGGATGCCTGTGTTGTGGTGGCACTGGCGGCTGCTGCTGAGGGCCACCGTGAGCTCCGTTTGGGAATTGATGAGGCGGCGCTCTCATTGGCATTTGTCCATTGGGAGGCCCGTCAGCCGCAGGACGAATACCCTGAGAATTCATCACTATGGGTTGTTGAGGACCGCCAAACTGCGTTGTAGCCTGAGCCCTTTTGGTCATCTGGTACAGAAAACGTATATTGGCTTGCTGGCGTGGGGAGCGTTTGAAGTAGGCAGTAAGCGAGACCCTCTCCCAATATACTTTCTGCTGCTTCCTGGGGGCTGACGAGTTTGAAGACTTCTTTTTGCTCTTGGAAGTATGCTTTGATGTCCGGGATGTCTTGTGCACACGAAGTGTGGCCACATCGTGCTGCGCGGCAATGTACGGATCAACCTCTTGGAGTTGCTGATCAATCTGCGCAAGAGTCCAGACGTAGTTGTGCGGATCATCGTCTTCCCGGCTCAGCTTGTCAAGTTCAAAGTCTAACTGGCGTAATAGTGCTGGGGATAATGAAGCCTTCTTTTGTGTGACGTCCTGGGTTGTCATATCTAGCCGGTAAATCAGGTCCAGCATATCCTTTCTCGATATTCCTTGGACTTGCGTCTTGATCGCTCTGTCCCAACCGGACTGGGCGCGTTCTCCATCGTCGTCGTCATACAGATCTTGGCCAGCGAGCTTCTCAAAACGAACAGCCTTGTAGTGGGTCAGTTTGCGCCGCATGTCAGACTCGGTCATGAGCTGTTCTCGGATATCAGTCACTTCAATGACTGGGCGACTACTCCGAAGGTCAACTGGTATGGCTTCCCGGGGAGGAGGCGGAGGTGGATAGCCATGCTGCATCGCAGGCTGATGCATCTGCCTAGGTGCCTGTCCTTGAGGAGGGAATCCGTGCTGCATTTGAGGCTGTTGCATTGGCCTAGGTCCTGATCCTTGGTGATGAGGGGGGCCACCACGACCGCCATCCCCACCGTTTAGTTGGATAAAGGGCTGGTTCATCGCGGCTGTGGTAGATGCCAGCGATGATTGTCGTAACTGAGACTACAGACACGGGCAAATAAAGAGAGGTTTGTTAGTTCTCAGATACCGGCTGATCAATACAGTCATAGGGAATTTCTGTACTGGAGTTGACTAGAAGGGGGCCTCTCCAGCATGAAGAAGGCTACAGAAAAGTATTATTTCGTACTTATGAACAAACGCCTGAAGGCTATCGATATATCGGAAAGAATCTGGCTCTCAAGAGCGGGGAAGATATCATAGTATTCGCCAAGACAGCCCTCCATCCAGGAGGGGACCAGAACGCCACACCGACGCCCGGTAGATGTGAACAACGCATACACACACACACACACACCTACCTAGACCGTCCACTAGTTGCACTGCATTATTTGGTGAGTCAAATTGTCAGTCGACTGAACGGTACATGATAATGGTGTGCTGCCAATCCCTCCTTCTTATTCACAATGCCGAAAACCAGGGATTGTCGTCGATCTAGCTGCAAGTATGCCATTGTATTACGTTTCATATGAACTGAATGATTTTGCCTCATGCAGTGCTTTGACAAAGCTTTCGAATTGCATAGAAACCAAGGTACCGACAACCCGATTGTCCGCAACAGCCGATAGCCTTCGTCAGATAGATAGAATATTCTACAGTCTGGGGCTGAATTTTTAGTCTATCCAGTACCAATCAGACGCGGCCTGAACGGTCCTTGTTCCATCAACAATGCTACAAATATGAAAAGTTGGCCGAACTCGGCATTGTCTATCTTGCAGTTCATCATGTTTTCCCACCTCCCTGGACTCTCACATACTTGCTTGTTTTCCAAATGAGTTGACAGGGTCGATTTGCCGGATTGTGGGTTGCCTGGTTCGCCAGATATCAGATTCTGGTTGCCTTGTTTGGCTGCCTTCAGCATCACGACCGGGCAAAAGATTAGATTACTCTGGCCCCAACTTCTGCACATGTGTGGCACACACACGACCTGGGACGTAGATTGTCCAATCAAAGACTGCTCCAACAATCGTCAGTACCTATTCTGTCTGCCACCTATAGGAATCGACGGGTGCATATGGCCAATGTAGCCAACTTGTCTACTTTACCGCGGTCTGCTCGGTGTCGCTTTCTGGGACTTTACTGGCACCAATTCGACGCTCTTGCCCCTCAATATACTTTTGCTTTATGTTTCCAGAATCTTCTTCTGTTCCATCGTGCACTCCATCCGTGCAAACGTAAACCTGTGAGAGGATTGCCAAAGCACAGAGCATAGACTTAGGGACGGATGGGCGACACAATCACTTAAGCTTAAACGGGGCGAAATGTCGCGCTCCCAGGCTGGTCATGCCAAGAGGTCCGAGCATTATACCGGAGGTGTGCCATCCACTAGGTAGTGAGCCGGGTCACAATCAAATCTCGTCCTACCAAACGGAGCAAATGGCACGATGCGGCTCTGCGTGGATCTCTCTCTCTGTCAGACTGGGCGTCACCGAACTGGAACCGACGGGAAAGGATAGGAAAATACCCCACCGGTCGCCGCCGTCTTTTTATCGTTTTTGGAATCTGGGGGGTTGCATTAACCTGTCAATTGCCAATCAAGTGTTATGTATGCATTTTGCACTGCACCTTGCCCGGTCTTCTTACCGCTATTTTGATGTTTGTGGCTTCCTTTGATAGCATCTCCGAGGATGATGGCATACGATTTCTATTCAATCGAAACCGAGAGCTCAGGTCTAGATGACTTGGATCTTTTTTGGGCTCCAATGCATCTTGTCAGCCCGACATATCATGCAAGCCTTGTATAACATGAGAAAACCAAAAAGCCGTCTTCTTGTAATTCCACTGTTGATTACCAAGAAACGCCAGTCATTCTTCGTGTGAAATCATCCGCGTCGGGGGTGGCTTCCGCTCAGCCGGATTTCTGAGTGCTACAGAAAATGATGATTGCCCACAACACTGGGATCGTCCTTGAACGCCAGGCTGGCTCTCTGACATTCATTATTGGTCTGACATACTGCATGGAAAGGAACGCGCCGCCGCTATCTTGTTTTTGGTGTCGCGACGTACCGTTCCCTCATCTGGCACCATGCTGAATCGCGATCCAACAATGACACATGGATACCTACGCTTATCCAGAACCCATATGCCAAGCTTCTTCTTCTGATAACTCTACCTAGATGAGCACGGGTTCATGCATTTTTGTGCCGTACAGATGCATTACCCTGTCATCTGCAAACTCCGTGGCCGCCGGTCCCAAACCACTGTTTTCTCGAACCCTGTGGCATGTACCACTTGTGTACGACACGAGCTGTTCGTTCCCGCCAGGCTAGCTCTTTAAACACCGCTGACTAGGGACATTGTTCTTCTTATTGGAACATACTTGCGTTTGGGCAACTGCTCGGAGCCGTTATCGATCTACCATACACAAAAGGTATGGAGGTGTCCGGCGCAAGTGAGCTTGTCACTTGATACAGGAGGATGTTGATGACGGCGGGTCTTGCTTTTCCCATGTCATGCATGGCCGTATTTTCTCGACTTTGATCCCGGCGATCTCATCCAACTCGGTCTATATGTCAGCGCTTCTCTGTCACGCCAAGGCGCAACCAATGCGTACCAGTTTTCGCGTTGCAGGATGAATTTAATCAACTTGAAAGCAAGACACTTGCGTCTTTCGCGGATAGCGGCGACGACCGAGGCGTCGATCTTGAGCTGATTTTCCAAAAGATCACAGCGTATTCAAGTAAGGAAAGCTTTTTCAGGGGTACACGAGTGTTGTAAAGGAAAACCCGTCCAATGATCCCCATCGGTCGTGATACCTGTGCGTAGTGACACCGCAGCCTTTTCTTTCTTTGCCTTTTTCTTTTTCTTTTTCTACTTTCGATAACATTGGCTGATTGCTGGCATGATGAAAAGACTCTGTGAATAGATTCCACGGAAGCTACTTCCGGGTACCTTGTGTCTCTATTTTTGGTACTTTCATTTTGTCCTACTTCTAAACCATGAGGTCTTAAGAATTCTATACTTCCTTTATCTAAAACTTTCGTTGTTTATCTACATAAATTTAATCGCCAAGAGGTATGTCTACTCATTTCTTTCAGCAATACTCTTACCTCTTACGATGGGTCATGGATTCCATCCATATGAACATTAGCAAATGCGCCTGGCCACCTAATGATTCTCAATGGCCAAACGTCCTGATTCATGTATGCGTTGCGCCTGGGAAAATAAAAGCTCTATAAATTTGAATTGACGTTCGTTCTTCTTTGGCCGGTCCCTGTTACATGAGGGCTGCCGATTTTCGGGAGCTACGACTGGGCGGCTATAGGAACGGAGTCAGCGTTCATCAACATCAAATCTGTGTCATGACTATGTCAATCGAGATCATGAAACCGCTTCCGAGGAGATATATGACAGCTTCAAAGACTGTTGTAAGTCGTCCAAAGTCAATTGTACAAGGACATGGCCTTAGCAAGTACTCGAGATAGCAGAAACTCGCACCCTTGCTGCCACTACTTGTCACCGTCCAAGCTCTTGCGAAAGTCGTCATTCAAAACAAGGACAGTAAATCGGGTATGAAGCCCCTGAGTGGAAGCAGTTGCATGCCTTGTCGTATCGACTCCTTCGTAAGGGGCAGCGGTGTGGAACGGAGCCAACAGCCTCGACTTTTCAAACGACCAGGGACAAGCGCTTTGCAGAAGTTTCAAGGCGATAAAGCCTGAACTCCCAGGATATTGAGAAGACTCGGTTCTTTTCCATAAGAGACTCATAATCGTAGCGGTCATGGCAGAAGACGATCGTCGCGAAAGCCAGGTCAACACGTTGGATAAAAATGGACCAAGGGCGCCTTGAGTAGACGCATCAAGCGCCACGGATGGGAAGCATCAGGACTCCCGCATAGAAGCCAGATTCGCCTACAGTCGATTCTATTATGGTTCAGGAGGCAGGCACCTGTCCCTCATGAACAATTGAAGCATAATTGCAAAACGATCCACCTCCTTGAGCTTGACACCATCGTTGAGACAGTGGGATTATATTGGGTCGCAGTAGATAGACTTGATTCCCCTCCCCTCCCCTCCCCCTCCCCTCATGTCCTTCATCACCCAAGGCGGCACGGTCTTTCCTGTCGCCGCTTCATCAAGACTTCTAAGGACGGAGTCGGCATCGACCAAGTATTGTCTGAACGGCTCGGGACAGCTGCTGTTTGTTTTGTGTGTATATGTATATACCTGGTACGTCGAGTCCTAAGTCGATATTTACGTCGTCCTTCTTTGCATGTTTTTTTTCGCCTTGCTTACCTTTGTATTAGAGTAGTTATTCACCATGTTCAACATTGTTCCGTGCTGGTTTCATGGCACGGAGACCTGACCAGAAGGGATTCACGTCAAAGGTTGCAGCGTTACCGCCTTTGGCTGGAGCACTTTGCGATACTGTTCATGGCGAGAAGACTCGGGTACGCGACTGGAATACTAGTCGGATGCATGAATTTCACCACCACGGTGATTGTATACTTCTATCCTTGAAGTTTCGCGACGGTCGCTCGAGGAGATTGACGCGCCTCCTACCAGCCCAATCTGCTCGTCAAGAATAGGATGACTTGGTTTCAACAACGGTCCACGCAAAGATGGTGGCAACGTTGCTTTTCCCAGTGAGACAGCTACTCGATGATGTCAATGAAATAGAGTCCTACTGCCTTGATCGAGGGGCAAAGGTTACGGACCCCACGGTAGATAAACCCCAGCCAGAATCTCCCCGATGACTTGAGTCAATTTCGACGGCACTACCAATGGTTGTTGTAGAACGTATTGGCTTAAACATATCCCGAGAAATTTGCAAGGGTTGTGAACATAACAGAATGGGACAGGACGCAGTAACGAAATGTGACAGTGCCAGGGTTATTTATAGTAGCCACCATATCAAAAATGCAGGTATAGCTAGCGCTTGAGCCTTGATGCATACTCCGGCCCCGCCCAACTGTGTACCTGTGAGTTTAGGACCCTCTCCACTAAAACCCAGGCGTGGCACGAGTAATGAAATCGTTGTTAACGCTGCATCAAACCCGCCCACTAATAAAGCGTGCAAATAGACATACTTCCATTACCATAATCTAGAACCGTGACATCGAGGTGCCTGAAAAGGTACATGTACCTAGATACAATGCCCCATTTCTTACTATGTACTCTCAATGCACTTGCCGATCCGTCCCCGTCCACCCGAGACGTGCGCTCGCAATCACATCACCAACATCAATTGCTTGTTGGTCAACATGATTGGCAAGGCTGCAGCAGCCTATTTACATTACTACCTAGGCACCCTGGCTTCTGCATTTCCAAGTCGTGTCTACCGAGACCTGAGTATCACTACGGCATTGCATTGCATCGCTCTCCCCAAACCCTGTCAAGGGAAAAACAAACAAACAACGCTTTATATTATGATTGATAGTACATTACCGCAATCAGCGACTGTCCTCGCTGTGTGGGCCTTGAAACGCTCAATGATGATTGGGGCCATCGAGCAGCTGATATTGGGCCTTGTTATTTGTCATCACCAGCGCACTTGGCTCCTACACTTGTTGGTAACATGTAGCGATGCACTAGGAATAGAGTTGGCTGACAAGATGAGGCTGGCTGCATGATATCGCTGCAGCCATACCATGTACCAAGCACAGGTGTCTCAGTATAAACCTGCTGCCTGTGCTACATGGGTGGTACTTTTGGCTCCAACCAATTTCCTTACACAGCAGCACTTGAGTCTCCCCGCATATCAGTCTCTCCTCATTCGCCATATGTATCTTCCTCGTTGGTGTCACTTTTATTTGATCTGATATAAATTACGGCTGGACACTGACATATGATTTCTTTACGTTTTCATCCGCATCTCTTGATTCGGTATCTCTCTAGTCAGCCAGTACTCAACCCCTCGCAGCACACATATATTGCCCACCATGCCTCCTAACCCTGAAGACTATTCAACAATCGACCACTGGATTGCACCGGCAAGAAATTTTAGAACTTCGGCTCGTTTGCGCTTGCAGCATTATCTGTTTCAAGGCACCATTGGACCCCTGTTAGAGAAGGGCGTGGAGAGCCAGATTTCCAATTCTCAAAAGCTACGAGTCGCCGATCTTGCTTGCGGCAATGGCGTCTGGCTCACTGAACTGCACTCTCACCTTGAAAGGGCAGGTATCACAGCACAGTTGGAAGGATTTGATGTCAACCCGGTTTTATTCCCCAATCCAACCATCTTGCCTAAATCCGTGTCGTTCAAAAAACTGGATATCCTTGCGAGCCCACTCCCCGAGGACTTGATTGGCGTCTTTGACATTGTTCATATTCGAGCATTTGTGAGCATCATCAAGAATTCCGAGGTCGGGCCTGTGCTGTCAAACGCCCTGAGCCTCTTGAAACCCGGCGGGTTCCTCCAGTGGGAGGAGTGCCGAGCGGACCGCATGTTGGTGCAGGCTCCTTCCGAGGGGATATCTACAGAGGCCTGCGACACCATTGTCAAGACAATCAGAACGTTGGGAGAGGCAGTCGGACACAAGAATGATTGGGTGGATGTCCTCGGCCGACACCTTGAGGAGCATGGGTTTGAAGATGTACGGGAACATTCAACCATAAGCAGGAAGCAGGACCTGATGGGCTTCACTGAAGATTACCTGATGATGTGGGCGGAACTCGCGATATACTTTCCGCCCCAGGCAAAGGAGCCACAGGCGCCATTGACTCGAGAGACCTGGACTGATCTGTTTGAAAAGGCTGTCAGGGAGACGGAGCAGGGGGTTGTGGTCCACCAGGGCAAACTCGTGGTTGCAGTAGGCCGTAAGCCTCTGTAGCGAGTATCTCGTCAAATGCAGTGTCCAATCCTTCTTCACGCCCGTGTGTATGTGTGTGTGTTCAAAGCTTTTGCATGGTTTATCATTCTTCTTGAAAAGGCAACACGATTGGGTCAAGCTACTGGTATCCTTGCTGATCATCTTCAACTGGCGAGAAACACGCCGATACCCCGCACTCCTAGCTCAGCCCAGTTCTACTGCGTACCTCGCTGCGCGTTGGTGTTGTTGCAATTCATTGCCTCCACTGTCTTTATCCAACATAACTAGGTCGTCTATGGCTATGCCTGTGATTGTATTGAGTCCATTTACCTAGGAATCATAATGTTTTGATCGGTGCCTGGCAGATGTTGTGATGCAAATGCACGCTATCTTCAAATTACAAGTGTACTACTCTATTTCGCTAGGGCTGGGGGCCGGCTCCATGATTAGGGGCCAAGCTTGCGGCAATTGCTAGGGCCGGGCCGCATAGTTGTCAGCTATTCCTTCATCATTGGACTTCCATCTCGGCTCCTCAACCATTGAAATCCCGTTTACATGAGATGGCCATGCAATGGCACTCGCGGCTCTCTCTCCCCCTTTACTCGGGCTGTGTGATGGTTGGCGATCGACAGTCCTTTGTATCAATATAAAACTGGCCCCCACGTGCAGTGCATCATCATCATGCGGCCAGTAGTGTCCCTATTCGCCTCTTGCATACCTATTCTTGGACTTGATATTCGTACTTCCATTAACAGTGCCCTGATTCAAAGCACGGGACAAAGTGCGTCGGGGTTTGGGGGCCAAGGGCTGTACTATGTAGCACTGCATTAGGTACATGTATGCATCCCTACTAGGTAATCGTACATTACCCTATCTGCTACCTACCAGGGGTCAAAAGTCTCTCACAGCATACTGCACACTACAGACTAGGTACCGGATACCTACGAGCGTACATACATAGGTAGTGCAATTGCGACTGGTGGACGTATCATCCTGCCACAATCAACCCTTGTCTCGAACAGTCTCCCAATCTCTTTTCAACGTTACCGTAGTGCAGCGAGCTGCCAGACTTTCAGTGGATCATCGCCTACCAAAAAATCCATGCAGAAGCAGCTGGGCAGTGGAACCGAATTGATGGGCAGTAATATAGTATATCGTAGGCATAACTCAAGCTAGGTGTACCAAGCCTTACCGAATAAGATACATAGGAGACTGCCATTTTCACACGGCTGGCCTGCATGCGAGCTGAACCTTTACCATCATTCCATCTGCAGGGTTTGCAGTGATCCGTCGCTTCTGGTAGGATACGTTAATATTCCCTTCTTAGCCGCCTGGCAATCAGGCTGCGCTGGAAACCAAAGAGCCGACTCACATCGTACATCTGAGACTTAACCCTGTACTGGCCACAGGATTCCAAGATGGGCTGACCGAGCGGCCAAGTCCCATTTCAGTAAAGTCATACCTGCGAGCAACGCAAGCAACAACGGCACAAAGCTCAATATGAGCAAATTCCTGCCCAAGACAAGTCCGGGCGCCTCGCTCGAATGGCCTCCAGGCACTTACTGGGATATCGGACATATCAATGTGACCTCCAGCCTCTCCTTCGACCTTTGGGACTTGCAGCCATCGCTCGGGCATGAAAGTGTTGGCGATTTCGCCATATGTGGCAGAATCCCGATGAATGATTGTTCTGCAATGGTAGATCATAATACCATCCAGGCAGAACTCTTCGCCTGCCGGTATATACACGGTGAGACCATTTCCTGGCATGGAATACCTCGCTATCGATCCTGCAGTGTGCAAACCCAACGCCTCCCTGATCGCAGCAGTAATATATGTCATTCAATAGATGAGGTCTGCGCCATCAGGCATGAGCAGTCGAAAACATATAGTTTCTGGATCTGTATTGGGACCGAGGAGGCTATCAAGCTCATCACGTATAGCATTGAGAGCCCGCAGGATGCGCGACAGTTCATAGAAGAGCCAGGCGAGTGCAGCACTTGGCAGAACCCAGGATATCCAGGGTTAGATTGCTCGTCAGGGGTAGTAGAGAGACTTCGTTCCAAGTTTCCGCAATGTTATCGAGACGATTGGCAAAATCCATTGATTTTTTCCGCAAAGCACGGCAGGAAGGATGAAACATATTGCTTCGAGAAGCCATATTTGAATTTCCTTCTCCGCGCTTCCATTCCTCGCCGTTCGTCGTAAGTATGGATGTTGGTCCTGTTAAATGTTCCAGATATCTCATGTCAATCTTTGGAACACTGTTGGGGAATTCTTTAGAAGCCTTTGATATTTGCTCTGCGATCTCATGGTTGGCGACAACAAGAAGAGGACGTTTGAGCGGGCGGAAATCAAGTAACATGAGGGGCGGCTCTCCAATAATTTTGTGCATCTCGCAAAAGATCAAATTTGAGTGGGTTAGAAGATGAGAAAACCAAGGTATTGAGGCTGGTACGGAACTACCACAGTCGCGCTCTGAATCACAATTCATCATAAATGCCAAGATGCCCAAATAGCAGGGATGTGGCATTATGGGCAGGTCGAAAATCAATCTAGACCCCAGCATTTTCTGGTATATCTTTCAAAGTTTTACGATCACCAAGCTTTACGATCAAAAGAACGACGAATCAGAGCATGTTTTTAGAGGTTGCCTTATGTGCAGGGCCTGAAGGCGTCGATCATGTCAGAGTCATATCTCAGCCACTGCTGCAATTAGCATACGCAGGCGGCAGACGTTTTGCATCTTGGCAACTGCAATTATGCGACAGGCGCCATTACAGTCGGCCGGTACCAAACACCCAGGGAGGGACCAGCCGTTTGTCATTTTTAGTCGGCCGGCAGCTGGGAGCGACGAGGCTTGGAAAGAAGCAAGCAGAGATCATCGCAAGAATTGGGGGTCTCTGGAAGGAATTTCATTGCGGGAGCGCTTCCCCATGCCTAGTATAAGTAGCCGGTAGATGGAGGGTGGAGTGGATCACCTAGTAACCCTGCACATGAAGAAACCGACTCTGAGATTCTCATTGGACGGATTGTCGGGCTGTTGGATTCCCTACTAGTTTATGGTGTGGTGGTGGGCAGCGGGATGTGCCTTGGGCGTCATCTGTCCAAGAGGCAGATAAATCATCGGCACTTTTGGTTTGCTCTTCAGTCAGTACAATTTCGAGCACGGCTGGTGTGCTCAAATGCGGCAGCGCCTGGCGGGAAATCCTTTTTGGCGATTCCCGATCTGCACTTTGCCGTCTGCCTACATGCAAAGTTCCATTCCGGTTTACACTAGAAGAAAGCAGCAGGCTCGGTGAGATCCCAAGTACTCTGTACGGGGCTGGGTAATGTACCTAGGGACCCACTGACAGAGAAATGAAGCACCTCTTCTTCTTCTTCTTGATTATACAAGGGCTACTGTAAGGATTCTTCAGGCGTATAGATACGGAAAATAGGGCCCGCCAGATAATTTTGTACTATTAGCATACCTGAGTACCTAGGTACGTAGGCACTGAAATTATCTCCAAATTTCCCCTCGTTTTGTGGTGTCGTAGTTTATTAGCAAACACTCTGACAGCCACAGTGCATTCGTTGGGTACACGATACAACTTTCAGCATAGCGCATCCCTCGATAGGTTGGATGGCCCATGTAGTATTTTCTGCCCCTTACAAAAAAAACCATCCATGAAAAACAAGCATGTACATGGTCCTACCAAGGCTGAGCTTTGCAGAAATTGCAAGGTGTCTTTGGTACTCACGAACCTAAGTACCGAGCCTTTGTGGGTGGTAACACAATTCGCTGTATTGGTGCGAGTGCTGACATGCTCTGGACATCAGCGGCCAATAGAAGCTGGATGATGTGCATATGTCGGCCTTCCCACGGCAACGTCGCCTGGAAGAACGACAAGCCCATTCGACAGTGTGCCCATGTCCACCTTGTGCGACTACACATTTTTCGGGCCCGATGAATTCCTTCCAACAGCATTCATGATTGCAACCCACCCATTTCGCTACCATACAAGGTAATTTGCCATTGATCAGAGGATACGGGCCTCCATTTAACAACACGTTAGCCTTGCTAGTTACCACCAATGTGTTTTCCTCTTAATCCTCTATCCGTCACTAGTACGTGTTTCACGTGGCTGATGAGATCGTGATACTGTGCATCAAACTTTTCAAGTCTGTTCGCCAACAAACAAGACTATCTACACTGACAACCCAGTCTTGATACCTTTATTCTATTTCACAAAGACTCTTGTGCTTCATACATTGTCTCAAACTCTACAAGATGGACCTCTCCAGTCTTGATCCCTCACTTCTCTCAACCATACCATCAATGGCACCTCCCCCCGGGGAGGTGTCCAACTTCGTAGACCCTTATTCACTAGCAAATCCAGTGGGTAGAATCGTCATCAGTGTGACGCTTGCCCCCATGATTTTGGCTGTGGCTTTGCGTCTCTATACCCGTACTTTCGTCACTCGTCCTATAGGTCCAGACGACTGTGAGTTTACAATCAATACGATTCTTTGGAGAAAGTCAACTAAACAGAAACTCCCTTTGCGCAGACGTTTGCATACTTGCAGCGGTTCGTAGTATCCCACTTGATTTACTGTTTGCATACTGACTTGGTTTCAAGGCAGCCGTTACTTCATATTGCGGCATCGCAAGTGGGTTTTGAACGCATCCTCATTTAGCCACAAGATTTCTAACGCCATCTCTCTGCAGTCGCTGGAAGTGCACAAGGACCTCATCAGTGGAATATTCCGATTACGGCAATCAACAATGATTATCTCAAGGTACGAGAAACTCGTCTCTCTCGTTGGAAACTTGATGATTGAGGTTTACCTTTACTGACAATGCCACGCTTCTCAGCATGACCTGCTTGTGGCCAATCTATATTCAGTTGGCGCTATGCTGACCAAGATTTCACTTTTGGTATTGTACCAGCGCCTATTCCAGCCGCTGCAGAAAATTCGGGTGATACTCTGGGTCAGTGGTGGAATAATACTGGCTTTCTACTTGGCCAACGTCATTGCTACTTGTATACTTTGCAACCCAACAAATTGGCCCACCGATACTGCCAAGTTCTTGGAAATGCAAGCTACCAGTAGCTGCAATAAACCTCTTCTGACCCTGTCTAGCACGCGAGGCATTTTCAGTATTCTCACGGATATATTCGTCTTGAGCATACCTATAGTATTGGTCTGGCGTCTTCAGCTCTCTTTACGGCAGAAAATCGGTGTATCCTGCATTTTTCTACTAGGACTCCTGTTCGTTGCTCACTCCCTCATATCTGAAGTTATACATGACTAACCCTGGTTTTTAGAGCGACGAGCTGCTGCATAGCAAACTCATACTTTAGATTCTACTTGTATTCGTCTTTAGACTACTCTTGGTATGGAACCATTGAGTTTATACTCGGGTACAGTCATCCAACTCCTGATCACATATCCTTGACCAGATCTAACCAAGTTCCTTTCTACAGTGCTGTCGAGCTTAACATAGGCGTAATTTGTTCTTGTGTCCCTGTCTCGACCGTTGCTCTCAAAGTTATAACCATGTACTCTTGGACGTCTGTTACCAGTTTCGTCAAGACACGCCGTTCTAGAAGCAGCGGCTCGTCTTCCTCCCATGAAAGCGAACGAAAAGTCTCTCGAGAATCCGAACACCTGTCCGACAATTACTCGAAAATGCCACGTCCTCCTACAACAGGCTTCAGAAGCATTGTTTCAGAGGGTCACAGCCAAAATCACGCGGCATTGACGCAAGGCTCGACCTTTAGCGAGGTTCGCTCCGTCAATGAGGAGTATCATGAACACCTGGGCGCACCACAAAATGCGAAATATTCAACTTCTGCAAAAGAGGAACCACTTAGCTTTGCTGTTTAAAATCGGAGCTCGGTACATTGCGCATTTGCTCATCGTCCTGCATTTACCGATGCGACTGCAATCCAAACAAGACATTCGTTAGTAGCCTGAGAACCAGGAGCGCTTATCGGCGGATGAGGCGAAGGCCCTCGACAGCTCCAAGTTGACTGAGGGCGTTGGGAAATAATTGTCACGGACAAATATGGGAGGCGCAGACTGACCTGTGTTGCTACCGAAGAAGAATGATATGGTAGTGATAAAGGAAAGCAGAGCTTCAAGACCAACTGCTACCCGGCGCTCTACGGCTCGTACGCGAACCCGAGCATGCTCGGCGACCCCATCAGTCTCAAGGCCGAGCAGAGCGACTACGTGCCTGACCCGGACCAAGAGGGCGCGGACCAGTCTGCTTCTTCGCCAATGTCAGATCGTGGCGTCAAATCAAGTCACCGAGAGGCGTTGAGGTAGCAGGCGGCCAGGAAAGTACGACCAAATTAGGTACTCATGAGGAACAGCAGCCTCAGTCTGCGGCCTAACATTAAGAAGACTTGTACATTGTGTCTTTGAACACTTGACGGCTGTATTTACTTGGCCAGTTACTAAAAGAAAATTCATTATGCCATTCTTCTTTGGATTATGCACTGTACAACTTATTCAACACGTATCAATGTTATTCATTCTTGACGAGATGCTCCTTATGAGTCACCAACGCTTCTCTAGTATTCTCAAAGGTTGGTGCTGACTTACCTGGCTGTGGGAACCTGTCCAACAGAACCTTCGCTCTCCAATACTTACCTAGGCAGTTGGAACTGTCCATCCATTGTCAAGCAGATACTTTACCACCTCGTGCGAAGCAGGGAAATATTGAAGCAACTGAGACACTAGAAATTCACAGCCCTCTCGCCACTTTTGATTGTCGTCTGTACCCTCAAAAGTCTCTGGACTGCACAGATGTACAGTGAATTCAGGATGAAATCTCTTGATGAATACAACCAATGACGGGCAATCGTCGAGTGAATCCCTCTGAGATCTAGGTCTGCCTGAAGAATGAGCTTGACATACCCCTGCAATCATCTGCCGCATGAGCAAAGGTTTGTAGACCTTTTGGAGACCTTGGTGCCTTTGTAGCAAGAGTGCATTCTGTGGACAGCCAAGGCGTAGCGCTTTGCAAACCGGGGCCGTTGGGCAGATCCAAAACCTGTGCAAGTCCGCGGGACTTTCTATGATTTTGCTGCCGCTTTGGATCAATACTTGGAGCATGTGGTATCTCCATAGTCGTCTTTGTACCTTGCCTCCAGGTTGGAGCTTTCTCCAATTCAGGAGGTCTGGTCTGCCAACCGGTCCTGCGTGTTCTAGGGCATGATTTAGTAAATTTTGGAAGAGATCCACATCCTTCAATGCTACAGCCGTAGCCAGGGGATCCTGGGTGACGTAATGACCTGCATCCAAGAGCGAACGCACAATGTTCATATATGAGGGGTTTTCAGTTCGCCAGAGAGCGAGGCTGAGAGGAAAACGAAATTCGTAGAGAATTTCATTTACGTCAGCAGATCTTGGAATGTTCATTCCTCGGTCAAGAAACGCTTGGACGGCCACCGTATTTCCATACCTGATCGCAATTTCAAGAAGACCATCGACGAATTCGGGGGACCAGTGCTCATACCACAAGCGATCACGTTCGATGCACTGAGGGTAATGCTTGATGTAAAGATCCAGAATCCACATAAACACGTCCTTGTCGAAACAGCACGCGGCTGCCATCTGAAGTGTTGACTTGGCCGGGTAATAGATGCCTGCTTGTTCCAGCGCCCACCGTTTTGCAGATCGTATATGGACAAAGTCCTTACCAAAAACAAGCATGCATGTTTTGCAACAATTCACGAGAGCTGCAAGGTCCTCTGGATCCTTCAAATACTCGGCAATCATTTGATAAAGCTCCGTAGAGAGGCGAAGAAGAGGTGCTTCTCCAGGTGTGGTTATTGACCGATTCATGGTGTGAATGGAGTTGGTTTGTTTCTTTGAAATCTTGTTAATTGTTACTGTTTTGTCGGCTGTTATGGTTGTGTAGAAACTTTCAATCAACCATCAAATAGATGCCTAGAATATATAGCTGTCTGCCCTTAGATAGCAAACAACACAAGGTCTTTGCTCTTGATAACAACATAATTGCTTCTCAATAACAATATTTTTGATCTTGGAAATAAAATCTTGCTTCCCATAAAAATGCTCTTGTTCTCAAAGTTAGCCATTGTTCCAGACTTTTTCATCTTTTGTTGATCACGTGCATTGTTTGTTGTATGATTACGACTCGTCAATTTCAATGTTCCTGTTGCGACAGCACAAGGAAATCAGGGTTTTTGATGAACATGAAAAAAAAAAAAAACCAGGAGTTATATGCTCATCCTAGCTATTGCATTACCAAGTTTGAAAAGCAACATCTACGCGAATTAGTCACATGTTTGAGCGTGAGGCTCCTTTTTTGGTCAAATACGCTCATTGACTCGACGAGACACGAGGAGCAAGATGATTAATGACAAATTACATGTCATCTGTGCTTCTTCCCAATTAACTCGTATTAGCATTGACTTGAGCGTCAGCTGCATTGGAATCATGGCATTGAAGGGCCAGAAGAGAGCTGTGTCATGGCCACGACTTTCTCATTGCTACGATCAAGACTAAAGAGTCAAGTCACTTTTTTCACAATAAGGAAGCGTATCCCTACTAATTAATTGCCAATTGTAGTATGTAACTCGTATTCTATACATTACGTTCATCTCTCTAGCCTCAATCGCCGGAAAAGAAGTCAGAAACTTCTATGAGGACGAGTATAATTGTGCCCAGTCCCGTAATCACGGTGAAAACGGCAAGAATCCAAAAGCGATTCCTCTCAATCTTTTCCTTTTGTGCCTCCAAATCGAATTCGCTTTGTCTATACATGTCTTGTGACGTAGCTGCGTCAAGTCGACCAGCATTGTTTACTGGCACCGATAGCTCCATATTGGAGGGCGACGGTGGTAAGGGCTTCTCAAGGTCAGCCCTTTGTCTTCCCACCTTGACTAATTCGTTGCCTCGGACCAGACTGTAACGGCTAGAGTTGCCATCGGTTTGCAACAAAATAACGAGAGGCGACTTCTTTTTGGAACGAGTGGACTTACCAAGTCTAGACGTACGACGAGACGCAATGTGATAACTGCCCGAAGTGTCGGAATGTCGGTTTTTCGGGCTCGGCTCACCCTTTTCGGACAAAACTTCATTGCGAGCACTTTCGAGGGAGGCTGGAAGCTTCCTTTCAGGCGACCAGGCCTGGCGTAAAGCACTCGGGGGCATGCTCCGAGATCTCGCCGCCATCAAAGCCATCCGGCTGTGTCGGCGGTTTGCAGTTTCGAGTAATGTATCCATCGTAGAATAGAAAAGCAAGCAAAATGCCTGAGCCGCCAAAACATCACGTGTGCGGAAGATTCAGGTGTCGTATATAGTTGCCACGAAAGATGGACAGTCCTGCCGTCAAGAACAGATTGTATGGTACACTAAAGAAAGGTAACGACACAACACTCTTCAACTCGACTCAATATGAGACAATTCTGGTGTAGTCTGCCGATACAACAGTACCAAGAGTCTTGGCAAAGTGGCTTGACAGGGGTTGATATATACAAGTTCATGTGCCTCCTTGTTACATGATCTCACTTTGCGCATTGTCCACCTTTGTATGGCTTTGATGACACGGTAGAGCGCAGAGAACAAAACAAGCAGGCCAACAGGCACACCCGGGCAGCTTTCGCCGTCGAGTGATCTGCATCGCCTATCACTTCGTAAAAGCTATTGTTGTGCATTGCCATCCGCTGGAACATGCCAGGAACAAAGACAATACTTCTTTGCACAATGCCTTGTTCTGTAACCATGAAGGCTCTACACACACCTTGATGTGGTCTATGGTACGTCCTAGTTAACGCCACAAATGTCGAAAAGTGCTTTCATGTCAACTTTTGATAACAAGTCTTTGTGATGTGAATCACTTTCAAGATATGAATATAAATACCCCATTCAGAACTGAATAGACATGAAGAAATTTGACTCAAGAGAACACTGCACAGCAATGAGCTTACAATTCTTACAACATAGAACACTATTTCAATTTCACAACATCATTCTACTGTCTTAAACAACAATTCATAAAACGTCGACAAAATTGCTGCTACAATGGCAGCTCCAACAACAGCTCCACGTGTTCCAGTCATGGACCGTGCGCAAGCAGAGAAAATCATTGTCGACTGGCGAACTCGCGCCGATGCCTGGCGCGAGATGGATGATGTCGAGGCTCTCAAGAACTTTGAAGTAATTCGAGTCGCGGGAACCAAGCGCCACAGCGCCAACAGCCTGTCGCTTCTAGTCTCGGAGCACTCGTACGCGCGCAACACGGCGACTTCCAGCCACCGAATGGAGAGCGCCCGGGAGCGCTGGTCGCGCGGCTTTGCCGTCAACGTCAACTCGGGTCGGGGCATGGTGGAGCAGTTCCTCGAGCACTATGTGGCCATGATTGACCACGACTTCTTCTCGGGGCTGCTCACGCGCCCCGTGTGCGGAGCCGACAATGTATTCATGGCGACTGACCCCCTTGTGAGACTCGAGCTCATAAACAAGGCGGGCACATTACAGCTCAGTCCCTCGGGAAGGATCATTGTGCCGTCTGGTGCGCGCTTTGATCCGCAGCGAAAGGTCCTCACGATTCATAGCATCACGTACAACATCCCCGAGGCGGATCTCAAGCGAGACTGGACGATTGCCGAGTTCATGACGACCGACTTTACTCGCCACATTGAGAAGCGCGCGTTGGACGATCTTCTCGTGAGCATGGTCCAGGCCATGCTGCACATGTACTTGGGAATCGGCAGTTGCTACAAGAAGGAAGATTCCGAGGAGCGCAAGCGGGAGTTGCGGGACCCTCATGGATTCGGACACGGCCTGGCCTTTTGGGATAGCTTTGCTTTCATCACCAAGCATCTATCCGAGTGGAAGATTGGCTCAGCAGATTTCACGCAGTCTGCCAACCACAGCCAGAGGCAGGCGACTTACTGGAGAGAGCACTGGTCGCGCCATGATGACCTCGAAAAGCTCGGCGTCGACAATGTCAGTGCTATGCAGCCCAACGGCCTGTGGAGGAGGCTGTCCAAGCTGAGTCTCTCTATCCTGTGGCTGCTCCTGGTCCTCAGCTTCGGGTTCTTGGCCTGGACTATATACATCGACTTGAAAATGGATGAGTTGAGACTGCGTGCGCCACCAAGACTGTTGTATAATTTCCTGCCGCTTCAACACAGCTTGGACGACATTATTCGGATGCCCATCCCGAGCGTCGCGATATTTCTCTTCCTTTGGTCTCAGTTCTGCATCATTTTCAGACATGAAAGACAAAGCTTGGCTCTCTCCATCATTCAGCATATCCTCTTGGGCCTTGGAGTCCTCGTGATGTACATAATCTCTCACTTTGGGCCGCCAGGATTTGACAAGCTGACCCATGCTCAGTTTATAGCCTTCTGGGTCATTGCGCTGATTACCCACGGGAGAATTATGCTTAGAAAACCCTCAGTGGAAGGCTTTGACGATTGGTATGACCAATTTGAGGATCTTTTCTTGGGCCGGTGGTAGTGACAATGACTGACTTTGAGTGTTCTGGTGAAGGTTACAGACCCCGGATTCCTCAGTCGGTGCGAGTTTAGTCAAGTACAGGAGGTAAGCATTAAATACCATGTGGACTTTGTTTCTGTTTTAGGAAAAGATGAAAAATAAATGAATAAAGAAGAGTTCCATTTTCAAAGCTTTGACGAATGTGAATGCAAAAAGTGAATATAGAATCGTGCAGACTAGATGGTACAAAGCAGCATTCTGATGAGCGTAGACACTCACAGGTATAAACGCAGTCTTGTGCATTCTTTTCAAGACAATACCAACAAATTGATATATTTGAGTGGGTAAGTTCCCGGAATACTCAACGTCTTGCCGCCAAGCGCTTACTCGATAGGCGCATAGAAGCTGAACTTGTGATCTGGGTCGTACATTGCCTTCAGAGACCTTAGCCTTTCAATTCTCCACTCTTCATGACCATACCAGTCCTCGAGGCTCTCATCGCCAACGACATAGTTTACATATGTGTTCATTTCCGAAGATCCAGTGCCTTCCAACAGAACTCGCCTGATTTCAAGCCCGGCATCGGTGCTAACTTGGTCCAGGAAGGGGTCGGGTACGTTTCTCAAATTGGCCGAACTAATGATGATTAGATATTACGACACGTGGACGAAAATATTTTTTCCAAAACTTACATTAAAAGATTGTTGAATCTCTCCGGATACGCAGTGCTCTCGTTTGGTATGGCTTGTACAGCCTTGACTGAGTAGCCCTCGTTGAGGAAAGCTGAGCCATTCAGTGCGGGATACGTTATTGTAACGTTGTTGAAAATGTCGTACGCCTTGCGATGCGCAGTCAGATTGAAGGACTTGGTCCCGATGGGAAAACGTGAGATGTGCAAGTCTGAAGTCAAGTTATCGGGTATGTTGTTGCCGGTCAAGGCTCCGAGCCCTGGATAGTTCGTCGAGCTGTAAGTTGTCGTGACTGGGCCGATAGCCTCGAGCTGAGAGATATATGGAGCTGCTTGCTCTTCGGTCCCCTCATACACAAGCCAGAGAAGAATGGCCGCCTTCAATCATTAGCGGATTTATTACAAAAGTTTGTCAGTCGAAGCAGGGTCTTCTTACATTGACAGGATCGACACTGAGGTTATGGACAAAGGTCGCCCAGTACCGCAGCTCAACTGGCTGCTCTCCACCGGCCGTGAACTCGTTGAACAAGCCAAAAAGCGCCTCAAGCTTGTCCTGTGTGTACCCGTACTGGCCTACAAGCCACGTATTGTTCTCAGGCACATCATAGATGCGATATTTGATGGAGGTTACAATACCAAAATTATGACCAGCGCCGCGTAGCGCCCAGAAGAGGTCATCATGAGATTCATCTGAAACTGTAATCGTAGAGCCGTTGCCAAGCACAAGATTAGCTTCGACAAACTGATCAGCGCCGAGCCCGTATCGGCCTTGGTTCCACCCATGTCCTCCACCAAGTCCGGGGCCCATGAGCGAAGTGGACTCGCAAATGCCAGTAACTGTTTATGCATGGTCAGAGCTGTCATACGGAACGTGAGCCAGTAGGTAAAATCCATACCTGTCCATTTGCCAACATCCCAGAGTGCGTCGGTTACCCCTTTCGTTGATATTCCGCCCTGTATTATCGCAGTTTGGCCATCCGCCTGAATGTCAACCTTGTTCAGCTGCCGCAGGTTGATATCGACACCACAACTCAATCCAGCCAACGTTTTGATGGCACCATGGCGTCCTGAGGTGGCTAGGAATTGCAATGAGTGGTTATTGGCCACATTCACCTATAGTGCAGTGTTAATCAAGAAATTATGTGTAACACTTCTCTTCGTATGTACTTGCAGTCTGGCTGACGTCTTCTTCCGTGGCAACATCAACAGCGACGGCAAAAGTTGGCTTTCCATATGTCGACCAGCGAAATGTCGCATTTGTGAACTCTTCAGACCCTGGGTAAGTTATGCGTGCGTCCTCTGAGAGCGTTGTCTGCAAGTCAGCTGCAAAAGCCTTGATCTTGTCTTCATCACAAGCCTTTGACAGAGCTGCCATGGCCAGCGCGCCAGCCAACATCCGCAAGGTCTTCGACATGGCCATTGTCAGATAGTTGTGGCCGAGTTACAGTCACATAATCTAGTCTGTCTCGCGGCCATTGCTGATTGATGGATATCCTCGAGTGATTATAAGTGAAAAGATTAGACTGATATCCGGATGATAGCACGGCACAGTATTCCGTAGCCAGCCCTGTCCAACTTACAAAACCCCGCATGCTTACTTCCGGGGACGAGCCCATATAATCTTACGTTCTAGAGGAAAAGTGGCATGGGTATGCTAAATAGTATTGTTGATAATCATGAGGGGTGACCAATGTTAATTGTCCCTGCTTACCAGGAAAAGGTGTTGGGCCCCTCTTGTACACACCACGCACAGATACCAGTGGGCCACTATCTTGGCAAGCTCCGTACACACGCAACCTGCAGCTCGACGATGTAACGGATGGGGAGTCTTGAATGGTCAGGTTGTGCCGTTTCCAGCAAGATACTAGTACATATTAGATCCATGCTTCTGAAAGTGCCGGACGGATTTGCGCGCCAGGTGAATGTAAAAGACCATTGCTTAGGTCAGGCAGTAGAACGCGCGATGCAACCACACTCGGATGAGTCCGTGAAAAAAATATTCTATTTTGTAACAGCCAGCAAATGCAAGGCATGAAAAAGTAAATCAGGTATATATATAATCATGGATATAAATCCATTTAGCTCAGAGGCCCTCCAATTCTGCGCTGTTGCGATCTTGCTTCTGTTGCTTCATTGTAATACGTACCCCTGGCCTGGTTTATAACGTCTTTCTTCCCTCATCCATTGATGCCACTTTTTCAGGATGATGAATATCACCAGGCTTCAACTATCTATCTCAATAGCAATAATTAAGATGAACTCACACCCGGTTCCAATACCCTCGACGATGGACTCGATCACGGCGCGGGCTGCCAACACACAAATGAGACAGCTCGTCAAATTGTAACTCACTTGCGGCGGCTACGTTTCTAAATTGATAACAGACAAGTAACAGCGAGTCAGGCACGATACTATACAGCCTATTCACCGGCGGCAACCACGATAAGCGAGAACAAAAGCGAATGAATGCTAACTTTAAAGCTGGCGTCTAAAAGAGGAAACAGACAGGTATTGCTGCTTTGACCAATCGATCAGAATGCCCAGGAATGTCAAATATACACGCTCCCAGTTATGAAGTCATCAAAGCACTAGGTTTTGTTCAGCTGGAATGGCGCAACTATGGCGGCAGCGTAGAACCCGAGATAGAGCTACAGGATAGGAGAAGGAACATCTCGGTATCAAATAGAATAACATGACCTCAGAATAGGTTTGGCTGCTTAACCTCGGGGCTCTCAAGGACTAAGTGCTCAAAAGGTGAGATAGATTTGAGCCAAGTGCATAGCCAATGCTGGCTGGGATATAGAGATGAAGCAGATAAAGTAGAGAGGGCTGTTGTCACGTGCTAACCGCAAGAGACCGGACGAATATGGGAGCGACTTCCTGAAATGTACCATGCTTGTCAGCGGTCTATCATGGATATGCATACAGGGTCACGCCTACGAGTATAAGGTAATTCATCATATAACTCATCACTGTCAGGTCTGGCCTCCGCCTGTGTGATATCGAGATCGAGTGAGGAAAGAATGAACACCGCGCAGCTATTTTTGCCCGGTTCCAGGGGAGAGGAATACTGAAGCTGCGACACTGAGGACTTTACTCCGTCTCTCTCGTTTCTTAAAGATGCACAGCATGGTCGGTTGTTAGGCGCCTTACTGCCTGGCCATGAGCCTGCATGTATGACCTGGGCATTGATTGGCCTCAGTGAAATTCTTTGCGGTTCGAGATTCGGGACATTTGACAAGTCACAATGTCGAGTATCCAAGTATTTGGCACGAACAACGCGGTAAGGAATCAAAAATAATAATTCAATCGCGGTGATTCTGTGGGAAATGACTTTCATTGTCATTTCAGTTTGTACAACCAGGTAAAAGCCATTTGCTGATCTGGGCAGTCTTGCTTCTGATTCCGTATACCACCTAGAGAAGAGCCGGGCGTGATTGCGGGGAGGGAAGATACTTTGACATGCACAGCAACGATACGATGAACAACGTATCTCGCAATTGTAATCTGTTTCAGTTTTGGACAAAAGGATTTACTTGCGAAGCTCTGGGAAACGTGAATACTTGAATAGTATCGACAAATATATGCGATTGGATATGTCATCAGAATAATAAGAAACAACAAAAGTAATGCCCAACTAGCCGGCATTTACCTAATGATCTAAACATTTAAACGCAGGATCTAGCGTGGGCGGGACGGACAGGGACCAAGATCCTCGAGCTGAAAATAGCAGCCAAATCGCCGCTACGAGAAATCTTAATACCCCTGGATCGGGACCGACGCCAGCCCTAGAAAAATCTAGTCTCACCAAACTCCAGGACCTCGGGTCTCCATAGTGAGATCATGCACTGACAAACTTGTGTGTACTGGGACCAAAAGGACTGCTCGTGATTTCTATAGTGCGGGCGAGACTAGCGGCGATCGCAATGAGACCGGCTCAGATGGTAAAAGTACTAAAATGCAGGGTGTTTCCCCCGTCTTTCTTTGGCAGCAATGGCGTGTTTCTTTTTATCTGCTATCATGGTGAACGGTCTATAGTCGGTAAATCTATAGACAAACAAGAGACCAGATGAAGCTCACGACAATCGCCGCTGCCCTTGTGGCGACGGCATCTGCGTCATACAGCACCGGCGAGAAACGCGAGACCAGCTTCTGGTATGCCAACTTGGATCACACGGGCCCGTATAGAGGATATGCACCAGAACTAGGCGTCAATGCCTCGACGTATTCAGTCTACAAGGCCGTGAGCCCCGGAGCATCGGCCGTCGAGATCCAAGCCGCCATCAACGACGATGATAACGGAGGGAGCCGGCATTCGCAGTGGCTGGCCTCGCAGCCGAGAGTAGTCTATATCCCGCCCGGAACATATGAGATCAACCAGACAATCTACTTTAACACGGACACGATTCTCATGGGTGATGCGACGGATCCTCCGGTTTTCAAAGCGGCGGCTGATGGATTCACCGCAGACCAAACTCTTGTTTCTGGCCAGGATCCTGGTACTGGTGAGCAGGGAGAGTTGTCATTTGCCGTCGCCTTGAAGAATATTGTGCTTGACACTACAGACATTGATGGAGGTGAGTACTATAATGTGCAGGTATATTTGAAAGATGATGCTAAAATCCAGTCAGGCACTGCCTTTACTGCACTCTGGTGGGGAGTCGCCCAGGGCGCGCAATTACAAAATGTCAAAATCACCATGGCATCTTCTATCAATGGTGTCGGCCATAGTGGTATTCGTCTCGGCCGCGGCTCTACCCTTGGACTATCAGATGTTCGCATTGAGCGAGGTCAGGTAAGTTGATGAGCGGGCCAATATATCTCATGACAAGACATGTACTGATAGTTATGGTATAGAACGGCATCTGGCATAATGGTCACCAGCAAGCCTCATACAAGGGCATCTACTTTTACGAAAACGCGGTCGGCATGTTAATCGACGGCGGCTACACCATCAGTCTCCTGGCGCCCACTTTCGAGACTGTTGGGACCGCCGTCTCCTGTACGGGAGGTTACCCCTGGATCTCCATTGTCGATGCCAAATCCATCAACTCGGGCGTCACCTTCAACACCACGTCGTACCCGTCCTTTCTCATTGAGAATCTGATCAAGGATACCGACTCGGACGTGGCCGTGGTTGTCGAGGGTACCGTGCTCGCGGCGCCGACCAACGGGCACGTGGACCAGTTCTCGTACGCCAACACGGTCGATCGCGATCCCATATACGGCGGCGTCAGCTCCTCAAGCGCGCGACCAGCGGCCCTGGCACCGGGAGGCTACTACCCCGTGATACCCGCGCCCAACTTTGCAGCGTACCCCGTGTCCGACTTTATCAACATCCGGGACCCGTCCCAAAACGGCGGCCACATCGTCCTCGGCGACAATAGCGGCGACGACGCCGCTGCCCTCAACGCCGTGCTGGCCTACGCGGCGAGCGAGCACAAGATTGCGTATTTCCCCTTTGGCAAGTACCGCGTCGACGACACGCTGGTGATCCCAACGGGCTCCCGCATCGTCGGCGAGGCCTGGTCGACCATCACGGGCCACGGCGACGCCTTTAGCGACGCGGCAAATCCCAAGCCCGTTGTGCAAGTCGGCCGCGCAGGTGACGTTGGCATTGCCCAGATCCAAGACATGCGCTTTACAGTCTCGGATGTCCTCCCCGGAGCCATTGTACTGCAGTTCCAGGCAGCGGGGGCGGCGCCGGGTGATGTTGGGCTGTGGAACTCGCTCATCACGGTCGGGGGCACGCGCGGATCGCTGGACGAGGCTGGAGAATGCGCCGATGCCGCGGACCAGTGCCGTGCGGCGTTCCTGGGCATCCACCTGGCGCCGTCGTCGTCGGCGTACATTGAAAACGTCTGGAACTGGGTGGCCGACCACGCCACCGAGGGGGAAGACTCCAACGGCAGTGGCTCGCACATTGCGGCCAAGGGCGGCGTCTTGGTCCAGGCCACGCGTGGCAGCTGGCTGTACGCCTTGGGTAGCGAGCACTGGTGGCTATACCAGCTGAACCTGTTTGGGGCGTCCAATGTCGTCGTGTCCTTGCTCCAGTCCGAGACCAACTATGACCAGGGCTCCAACGCCGAGCAGGTCGTCCCCGCGCCGTGGACCCCCGACGCCACGAATTGGGGAGATCCGGACTTTTCCTGGTGTGATGATGCCAGTAGTAATGGCACCTGTCCCATGGGTTTCGCCAACTACATCCAGGGCGGCGAGAACATTTACACCTACGCATCAGCGTCGTGGGCCTTTTTCAGCGGACCTGGGTACCAAGCGTGCGACGGAGATTGTCAGGATGTTGTCCATTGGATCACCGAGACGCCAGACAATCTCCAGGCGTTTGGATTGTGTAGTAAAGATACTTATTCGGGACTCCGCCTAGCCAATGGAACGGATATAATCACAGAGAACGGGTTCACCGGTAGCTGGGGCGGTGATGTTGGACGCTACACGCCCTAATGGTAGAGATGGGAAATATAGAAAATCACAGGTCTTGAGCTAGACGTTTTGGATGTTACAATATCATTGATTCTCATGACTCCAAGGCAATACCTGATGATGCATGCTACCCTTCGCCTGTGTCTCTTTATGTACCAAGGCTTCAACGCCGGTTCTATCATACAATGCTCGCCGCAGTTTCATGAGTTGGGAAATATGGGATTTCTTTCTCCAAAATAGAGTGGGTAGCCAGATGTTGTCATCTTCTCCCTTGTTTTTATGACACACGGTGGATATATGGACACGCGCGAGTCGAGGTCGTTGCGGTCGTGCCAATAATCGTCCAGTTTCTCTCAAGCAGCCACCTTCCAACTCGATTTCAATGTCGTCATGTGGCTTTGAGTAGATTAAGGTAGTAGTGTTGTAATATACACGCCTCTGTGGGGGTGAAGTCTGAGACGGGAGTCGACTGTGTCAAATGTCGACATTGAGAAAATTGCGCCTCGGCGACATTTTACAGGGCGGGCTTGGCCTCGGCACGGTCGAGCGCAGCGCCAACCTGCTGAGCAGTGGCTGAGCCCTCAGCACCAGCTTCACCAGTAGTAAGGATCTAGAGCAAAGTTTGTTAGTAAAGAGCGCCTTATCGCACCGACTGCACCCGCTGAACTCACGTCGCTACCCATCTCACGCATCTTCATTTCCCTCTCCATATCCATGACCTGCTGCTCCTCAGCAAAGGCCAGTGCCCACGGCACACCCAACAGCATTGCCGAGGTGGCAATGACCCAAAGAGTCTTGCCACCAAAGGAGAGCACCGACTTTACGGCATCGGTTGTGTTGGTGACGCCGTTGGAGATGCTGGCGCGGGTCTGGGGAGGAATGATGTCGCGCAGCGCGTAGAGGCGCTCGCCGAAAGTCTCATTGAGGGGATCATAGTCGGATTCCGTGGAGATTTCGGAGTCTGCGATGTAAATCGATGTGGTCAGCCTCGTGCTTGCGCATGTGAGTAATATGGGCGGAGAGCATGGCTCAAGACTATGGCTTGATGCACGGCGCAACAGCAAACGGCAATCGATGCCGATGGGCAGGCAGTATTTTCCTGTGTTGAAGGCCATCGGCGATGCACGCCATCGGGAAGATGCTTACCGGTATCAGAGTAGTCTTCATCGTCGTCCTCGGGGCCAACCTGACCCTCCTGGAAGTGCTCGTCGACAACCTCGGTGAGTTGAACCATTTTGAGATGATACGGCGTGAAGAGTTGCACAAGTTGTTGCTCGGTGTGATTTCGTAAAGAGTATCGGACCTCTTGTGTTTGAAGCCGTCGAATGGAATGGCCTGTGAATACCGGAACAACGGGGTTGTTGGGTGGGTGCTGGAGGTGCCTGGGGGCAAGTGATTACTGGAGGTGCGCCAGAAAGTCTGTCGAGCTGCTTTCAGTCTGCTGCTGTTAGCACGAGCTTCAGAAATTTCCTAGATGCTAACCACGATGACGGAGCTGTAGCAGGGATACTTACTGCGGGTATTCAGGTTTGCCCGATCCGAGACTTGCCTAGACTGGACGGTGCGAATTTATGGGGCAATACTAGCGCCTATGCAGAAAAGTGGTTGATTTTGTACAGTGCTAGACTAGAATCGAACACCGTCTGCAGCAACCAATGTCCAGTCTTGCCCTTTTTTTTTTCTTCTTGTGCATATCGGATACGATCGAATTCAAAGCCAGATATACATGTCAATAATATATACGACATATGCCGATTCTTCCTTAATGTCTTGGTTTCAGACTTTGAAGCCATCGACAAAGTATATAGAGCACATACAAATTCATCGATGGAACAGTGATATATCTGCGCTAGACATGGTCATTGACTCAATTAAACAGACATATGCTCCATAAACTTCATGCTGTGATCGAATGTAAATACGAGTTATAAAGTCTCGCCATATTCCATGCTGGTATCATGCTTCGTCTGTCTTCCAAATTCATGGATCTCCCCAATCTAAGTATTAAAATCAAACGCCATCATTACCCACGTGTTTGAAAATGATTGTTGAGCTTTCCTTCAGTTCATCACGCCCAACGAGCAAAGGACCACCTTCTATTTGTACTCCCTTATGATCTCTATTTTTGTCCTCGTGGCGGAGCGTCTGCGAACCTTATACCACGTCTCGCAGGAGGCACACGGGGTGTATCGTCATCTTCGCTGTCGCTATCTTCAGCGCCTGGGCTGCCCAGGCCCAAAGCTGCCTCGCGCCGTCTTCTCTCAGCCGGTGTTTCCTGTTCTCCCCGCGACTCTTCCTCTGAACGCATGCCAGACAATGCAGCCAGCCTACGGCGCCGCTCGACGGCTGTCTCGGGTGTGTCACTGATGGCACCCTCTGATCGACCAACCGGCGACTTCTCAGTCGCTGGCTTGGAGGTCGTGGTAGATCGGCCTCTAGAAGGCTCGGCCCTCGCCGGAGAATTGCTGCTCTCGCGTGGTGTGTTAGCGCCAGCGATCTTGACGTCGGAGCTTTTGTTGGTTTTTGTGGCCGACGATGGTGTTGCCACGCCAGAGCTAGGGCCGGAATTGGGGGCAGAAATCGTAATATTTGGGGCGCCACTCTGCTGCTTCGTAGCAAGCGTTCGGATTGCGGCTGGGGCATCCGAATTCTCGAGCACTTGGCGTTTGGTGCGTGCGTCCATCTTCCGAACCTCGTTCAAGAAGTCCTCCTTGTTCATTCTTCGGCCTTCGCCGCCGATTGTGAATCTGATCTTGTGGTCGTCTTCCTCCTCATTGAGATCTTGCCCCTCAGTATTAGCATTATTCTTCTTTTTAGCTTCACCCGCTCCTGATTTGTTGAACGCGGCCCAGCTGGTCAAGGTTGACTGTCTGCCCGGCGGCTTGGGTCGATCTTCGCTTGGTCCTGCTGCCGACTCGCCGCCTTGCTCCTTGGGCTTGGGGTTTTGCTTGACCAGACCGCCCATTCCCATGTATTTGAGACTGGCAGCCATCAAGTCATTGCCTCCTTGTCCCTCTTCTTTCTGGGACGGCAGTTCGTACTTCTTTACAACCTCTCCATCTTCGTCCTCAACAATGATCTGCATACCGTTAGCAATTGGACCCCAGATTTGAGCCCAAAGTGACTTACAGTGTTTCCGAACTGGTAGGCGCGGGCGGGCGCGTGTTTCCGCTCCGAACTGCTCTTAGCCTTTCTCTTCTGTACTTCTTCATCCTTGAAGTCCACCAGTCTCTTCTTCAAAGATTCGTAGGTCCAGCCGGGTTTCGACGTTTCCTGCTTGGCGTTCTCCTTTAGCCCCTCGATGCTATGAAGCACCTCGCCAGCTTCATGATGCTGCGTCTTGCCCGGCTCGACAGCAAGAACTTGGCCCTCCTCATCCTCAACAACGATGTGATCGCCTTCGTCGTAAATTTCGACCTCGGGTGCCTGCTGGCGGCCACGTTCACTTTGACGGCCGGCATCTTCCCCGGACTCGCCATCATCAGCCTTCTCGGGGTCCTTGTCAAAATCTTGTGAGGACTGTGATCCCTTCTCGCGCATCTGGCTGTGTGCGGTCTCATCATCTGTGAGCATTCCAGAGGTATCCTGAGTTCCTGGTTCAAGGTTTCCACTAGGTGAAGTCGGCGACATGGGTTCTGAGATTCCGCTGGCACTTCGTCGTTGCGGGAAAATGGCAGACTCAGACACAGGTCCACCAGGGCCAATGCCAGCATCCCACTTCTTTCGTGATCGCCGACGTGACGACGCGCGACTACCAGTCCGGCTATGCGTTCTACTTGGGTTGTCTTCTTCCCTCTGTCGTCGCAAGAATTGACCAGGCAGTCCTGTTGGTGGCAAGGTACCGGGGGGATATTCAGGCATTTTGAGGTCATCATAATCTGAATCAGTAGTTCGGGCCTGGGACCTCGATTGCGACGAGATTCTTGGCAAGCGATTCATCCAGGAAGGACCGTCCTCTGGAGCTGCCGTGTAAGACATGGTGATGCTGAGCGTATTGATGCGCTTGCCGAGGGTAAAAACAGCGACAGACGACCCGTGTACTACAATCGATGCAACCACCATGAATGTCACAATGGGCCATACAAGGGCTATGAGGTGGTAGTGTTCGTGATCTTCGGGCGGCAGTTCTGCCAATGGAATCGTGGTTTCGGTCTCCAACTCGGCGCGGGCAAGAATGGCGACAAAAATGGCGCCTACTCCGATTGGGCCAAAATGTCCCGCGAAGACAGCTTCTCGCCATGTTTTGATGTCCGGTATGAATGGTTTCAGTGCCAGCATGATGGGGATGCGCCTAAACAGGATCACAAAAATGGCAATAACAACCAGTCGCCAAGCTGTGAGTCCCAGATCGGCATTGTTGAACTGGTCCCATGGAATGATTGTACCCAGAAAGACAAAATAGGCCAAGTTGATGAGAAGATCGATAACGTTGGAGACGTGCGACTCCTCCGTCTTGGACGAGAACCATCCGTCGTTTGAGAAGCCGACACCGGCTGCGAAACCAACAAGCAAATCGTCGACACCCAGGATGCTGCCAGATCCGGCGCAGAATAAGGCCAAGGTGAAGTAGAAGACGAGGAAACTCTCTCGATCAATCAGGTCGTGCTTTTCTGCGTACTTGATTCCGTGTCGCGCAAAGTATCCAATCAGAAAACCGTAAATGGCACCAAAAATACATTCGTACAAAACTGTATAGACAAGCCAGTGGTACGTGGTCTGCTTGGCGTCGAGGTGCTCCTGAATAAGATACAGGGAGAGGTAGATGAATGGAAAAGCCATGCCGTCGTTGCATCCCGATTCGGCGGAAAGCAAGTCTCGCAAATGCTTTGGCACACGTTTGGCGAATTTTCCCTTACCGACGACGGAGGAAGCCAAGACGGGATCAGTAGCCGTGACACAGGCTGCAACCGTAAGACTTTCCAGCCAGTTCAGCGTGGGGACCATCCACCAAATGAATAAGCTTGTGATTAGCCAACCAAAGGTCATGACGGGTAGCAGGAGAAACACGACGGATTTCCAGTGCTTCTCCATGTAGAACTTGGGCAATTCGACACCGACGGCAAAACATTGCACCACAAGTACGATTCTCGAAAACTCGAGAGTAACCTCATCAACGTTGCCCCATGTTTGGGGATCAATGAGGTTGGCAGCATGAGGGCCAAAAATGAGTCCACATATCGTAGCCACGGTAGCTTCACCAATGTACATGCGCTCCTTGATAATGGAGGAGCATAACATGAAAAGTGAGGTAAAACCACCGAGGATGATATACACCAAATGTGGCTTGGTGATTGAGAGATGATCCCAAGCCATGATTTATTTTCCCTTTTGCTTGTGTTTCGCTGGAAAAGGGAAGATAAAAAATTAAAAGAGATGATGTAACCCCACGAAGAAAGGGTATTTTGCTTCCTGTTCCCCCACGGAGTCACCAAACTCTATTTAGTTTGGGCGTTGCTCAGAGGCGGGACTGAAGACCGAAGCGCATCCGGAGCGAATAGATGGGCGTCGTGATTTCTGCGCGTTGTAGATCAAAACCCCCCAATCAATGACGGCAACCCCAGATAGTTGATGGCCTCGATGCATTCAGAGGAAAACTCGGTTGCCAATCCGCTGGCAAGTTTTGCTAGACAGAACAAAAGAGGTGAGGGAAAAACAAACGTGCGACGAGAGCAACGAGAAAGTAGAAATTTTCGGCTGTTCTGTCTTTTTTTTTTCTTTCTCTCTCTCTCTCTCTGAGATGTTTGAAAGCTTGGCTGGCTGGCTGGTGCGCAACTTGGGCTTTGCAGGTACCGGGCGGTTTTCGTAGGTATCTTCCTCAGGTGGTACTCTCAAGCCACAAAGCTGCCGGAATGTTACAGCAGCTTGAGGGATTGCGCCTGTCGAGGAAGACGCGGTCAGCAACTCCGTTCGAGCTGAGGTGACTGATTATCGACCGGAGAGCATCAGTTGCACGATGACAAACGCTGACAGCATAACAAATAACAACAAAACAATCAAAGTACAAAATGGTTACGAAGCAGAACCCAGGAGCAATCGCTTTTAGCTTTTTTTTTCTTCTCACACCAAGGAGCTCCATGATGATGATGAGGATTTTGGGGCGCCATGACTGGGGCCCGATGAATACAGTGGGTACATCAAGCAGGGGTCTAGCGCTGCTAGGCACTCTTAGGGCGGGGCATTCGTTGCGGCAGGGCCGGGGTTACCCCCAGGGCGCCGAGCCTCGGATTGTCAGCGCATTGGGCTTGCTGATAGGCTCATAGGGCCTATGGGGGGTGGGCGGTCCAGCCAAGATACCCACGGGTCGTTCTTGGGAGCACGACAATCGTTGCCGCTTTTCCGATGTGATTGGGACAACGATGCTGTAGATGCTCCATTTACTTGGCTACCACCGGCGTGAGCGATTCAGTATATCTGCAGATTTATCCTGCAATGTCATGTATGAAGTGAAAATCGTTTACTGGAGCAGGAAGATTGACCACCCATGGCTGTTCACGAGACATGGAAGATCACCAGTTCGTCCAACTGTTCGTTGGCGGCCGAGCTGAAGGTCCTCGATCTCGACGTGGGGGCTCAGTCAAGGTAGTCTTGGGGAAACCTCATGGCAAGGCCGAATTTTCACGATCATATTCCGCTCAATATGGCACATTGCACTTACAAATCCCATGGTTGGACAATCATCAGGGGACTCATTCTATCAAGGAGAACCTAATTGTCGTTCTCGTGCACATGACCTAATGCAATGGATATGTGTGGCTTTTCTTGGCCGTTCAGACAACTATACATCCTCTAATAGATCGCATCTAACCTTAAGGTAGTGAACTCATTCCAGAGGATACACCTGGCAGGCACAATATTGACCACCACACATAGTCCATACGTCCAATTTGTTGCAAAGCCACATGCAAACAAGAGTCCAGCTGGGTAAGAAGTATTTGTTTGTACGATCACAACGGCACTTGGTACAAAGTATGGTGTCGCAATTCCATTGACTGCATGTAACACTTCGGATCCATGCCCGTGGAAAGTTTGAACCTGTCGTCTGATCAAAACAAGATACCAAACAAAAAGAAAAATCTGCATTGCGGGGCAAAAAGACATACGAATGCCCAGAGATGCCCAGGCGCTGCTGGGCTTGGTGTTGCAAGAAAACCAAGTCCACATCGGCCCCTAGCTGCTTGGCGGTTCTGCTAAATCGACTGTTCAACAATCTCGCCAGCAGGTGCTGAAATGTCTTCTCTCATGAGTTTCTTTTGTCGCTTTGAGCGGCTGGCGGCACTGAGAGTCGGCCTGGCCTATGCCCGGCCTTTTAGTGGGAGGATCTCAGGAATTTCACCGTTTCCCAAGGCTACGGCCTACCTAACCTAAAAGCCACAGGGCCACGGGCCATATAGTGGTGATTGCCAACGGTGATTGATGACTGGGCTGGTGGGCACAACTGGAGGTGACCCCCCAAGCGATAGCGCTATGTACAGGGAAGACGCATGCCGACGTCACAGCTTGCAGAGCGAGTCCACCTCGAATGCTTCCCCAGATTGAGGAAAACTGCTGAAGTCTGGAGGAAGGGGGAAGGAAAGATGATTGTGCATTCAAAAAATACCCGCCGCTCTAGTGTGATGCAACTGCATCTCGAAAGGACTGAAGAGGTTTCCATTGGACGACTCTGACCCTTCATCTTCACCATCTTATCTTCTCGATGTTTCTAATCCAAGTCCTCAGTGGTCGGCGGGTTTCGATTGCTGCATCCGTGCACCCGACGCGCGATACCATCACGCACTCCGCTGGCCGCTGTGCCGAAAAACGCCTGACGCAAGGAAGCTTGGTATGGATCTCGCAATCATACTATCACCGCCAAACCGCCGTGTTTGTTTATCTCCACTGTCAACAGAGTAAGAGGGGGGGAAAAAAAAAAATATCGCTACTAAGCTAAAATTTAC